CAGCAATGGACCAACCATTGGGTCTGGTGGGGGAAGCAATTGAGGTTACCAGTTCCATGGCTAGACTAGGAGGAAAACCTTGGAATGAATTTCGCGGGAAATGAATGTGATTGCTGGCAGATGGTCGAACATGATTTGTGCCTGGGAACTGTTGCCGATATACTCCACTCATCTCAGCTGCGTTAGCAAAGATTGGCTACAGACCTTCCGCATTTAGGAGGCCATCCTTGGGCCACCTGGGCATGCATCATCCTCAAGGTTCAACTTCGGAGAGAGCACAGTAATACAAAGTGCAAAGAGAGTTTAATCGGATCTATAGGACTTGGCAATAGCGGGATTTGACCGCAGATATATTAAAGTAAAACGGAATACCTAAAAAAGGTAGGTCGTAAGGATATGTGATATAAGCGTGAGACCATACGATACTCCGTAGTATAGCATTTGGCGAACCAGAGAGCCTGCGACAACGCCGAGTTCAAACCTGCCTTCCTAGGCGGGGCAAGTCTCAATGGGTGGCTGCGGAGGCGAGTCCATAAGTGGGCAAGTCGATCGCGTGAAAGTTAGGTGTTGGAGTAACCTTGGGCCAGTGGAATTGACTTAACGCAACAGACTTCCGGCGAGCGTCCGTATGCTTTACTTGATGCGGGCGTACGGCCTTGGGGTCGAGGTTTCCACAACTCTATTAAACTTCAGTCGGCGGGGCCGCTAATAGAGTGGAGCACTTGCCTTGGTTAGCGAGCCCTTGCAGTTGAGGTATTTTGATGGTGGAGACGGGAGATCACTACTCCGTACGGGGCTGGGAGTCGGGATGTGGGGGGGTCTCAGCGTGGCGAATAGATCCTTTGCCCTGAACCAAATGCAAGATCAGGTAATTCGTACATACTGTACATGCCGTCTTTGCCAATCAATCTGTTTCCCAGTTCAGAGCGTGAAGGTGGGAGGGAGAACGAGAGGAGGTTGTTTTAATGTCGATCGGATCGGGTATAGACTACGATATCGGAACCAGGAGATCTCGCAGTTCGTCTTGCCAGCCCAGCCCGATGTCGCAACGCTAGAGGAGCGGACGAATCAATGTCTAGTTCCAGAACCTAAGATGAAATCGAGTAAACTGTGTACCTGGACCAGAGGGATCGTTTGGCTTTAGAGCACTCTCAATGGTTAGTCGCATGGTTACAGTTACACCTACGTACTCCATACTTCGCACTCCGTAGTGATTTGTGTATCCCAGTAACAACCACATATGTAGGAAAGACTAATCATCCTGAGCCTTGGCGGCCATTCTAGACCCAGAGCTCAAACGCCACTTTGATCCTACCAAATCTCAAACTAATCTACGCCACGTTCATACGAAGAGCAGAGTGTTGTGGTATCCAGCCATCTAGGAGTGGGCACATCATCCACTCTAGTACTCCGTAGCTACGACTCACAGATTTGAGACAAGCCCACGGTTCTCGCGGTTCTCGGGGGAAGCCTTGTTAGGTGTAGATCGGTGGGCCAGATGGGGTGATTTCTCGCAAGCTGGATCGCTCGTCGTTCATGATGCAACATGCGACCGGCATAAAAAAAGCCTCCAGCAGGCCGAGACTCCTACTTGTAGATTTTGTTTCGCATGGGCATTGGCATGGCCACTTCACATGGAACTTGTGAGATCTCGATCTCATCTAACAATAGAATTGTCGACCTACTAGTGGCTAGAGCCTTCTGATGTGCCCCCCCCCCCCCCCTATGCTAGCTAAATTCCAAGACATTATTCCTAAAAGGACAACGTGCGACGACGACCAGGCATATCCAGGCCACAGGGCTCATCTCGTCTCGCTTGATTGCCCCCAAAGTACGGAGTACTCCGTACTTCATAAGGGAATCGGTGTTGCCGTTGAGTGTCTAGTGAACTTTGGTTAACGCCATGTGGATGGGAATCAGTTCCACTTATAACCAATTTTTTATTTCTTTCTAGAAGAACATGCGCCTCGGAAAGAAGACGAAATCTACGTCACCCAGACTGAAAACTAGGGCAGACAAAATTCTACGTATTCCACATGGTTGTCGCATGTTTATGCATAACATGCGCAAGTGTAGAACTCTCCAATTCTCAAGGTACTGTAATGTAACTGGGGATCCCCTCATCTCTCCCCCCCTATCCACTGATCCGGCACATCCTCCACAGAACTGGGGAGGCTTTGCCTCCAGATCACGGAGTATCAAGCAGGAATAGGAAACCGGTACGTTCATAGGGCCAAGGATAAGCTGAAGGTACATGGAATGATGTGCCAAGGAACCAACTGAGTGGTCTGTACCGGGCAGGAAAATTCTTTCTGCTGAAGCTCCCCTTCTAGGTAAGGTGCGTACTGACTCTCCGCGTCGATGACTGAGTTTCGTTGGAGTTTGGCTCAACTCGCCTCTTGCAGGCGCCCAATGAGCCTAGGTCATTGCCCTTGCCGTGACCCACATTATGCCGATGGCCACTCCATTTGGTGCCCCGCGGTAGCCCATTGGATGGAGATTGAGGTTTCAGTCATTTAGAGTGGCTAGGAAGAGTGGAGTACAGGAATGCATTCACGGTTGAGCAGACCGATGTGCCCGATACCCCCTTCGTGGGAGTTGTACAGTTCTCCACCACCGCAAAATAATATAGCCTTGAGCTGCTGCTCCTTTTCTTCTCAACTTCACTTCGGTTCCTTCATTCTTTCGGCCCGGGTGAAGAACAAAAGTCCTCCTCCCCTTTTCTCTCCGATCGGTGTCAACGCCAGGTTGTGAGATTCGGAACGCAAAGCCCCTTGGCCCGTTTCGATCCGTTCGGATCATCCGATTATTTACGGTATATACCGGTTTCACTTCTAAGCTCTCCCCTAATCGACTCGGGAAGCCGAGCCACGTGAATTCGCCATGTCGATTGAATACGATGAGAAGACCAAGGCCTCCGCCGAGCTGGCCGCCGAGGATAGCAACAGCAACCAGGGTGAAATGGTCAACGCCTCTGGTCACAAACAGGAACTCGAGCGCAACTTCAGCCTGTTGAGCATCTGTGCCGTCGCCGTGACTACAGGTAACACATGGATTGCCCAAGGTGGTAGTGTGGTCATTGCATTGAGTAACGGTGGACTGGCTGGAACTATCTATGAATTGTATGCTCCCTCGCCACCCAGTACAGGATGACGCTTGAAGGCCATGTCTTGGCTAACCCTGTTCACAGTATTGCTGTATCTATGTGCTACTGGCTTGTCGCTGCCTCTATCGCTGAGTTGGCCTCTGGTATGCCCTCGTCGAGTGGTGTCTACCATTGGGCAACTGTTACCGCTGGTCGATATGGTCGCGTCTGCGGTTTCTTCGCCGGGTGGTGGAATTGTCTGGCCTGGATTCTGGGTGCTGCCTCGATGTCCTTAATCATGGGTCAACAGGTCGTCGCCATGTATGCTCTCATGCACCCCGGCTTCGAACCCGCGCCCTGGAACAACTTCGTCGCCATGTTGCTTTGCACCTGGACCTGCTGCTGCATCGTGCTATTCATGAACCGTTTCTTGCCCATGATTGGCAACTTGGGGATGTTCTTCATTTTGTCCGGTGTTTTTATCACAATCATCGTCTGCGCTGTGATGCCTCATGTCAATGGCAATCCTTACCAATCGAACTTTGAAGTATGGGGCCATTTTGACAACCAAACTGATTATACCCAGCCAGGCTTCGTTTTCGTCCTGGGAATGCTCAACGGCGCCTACAGTGTCGGTACCCCCGATTGCTCGACTCATTTAGCTGAAGAGATCCCCAAGCCTAGCCGCAATATCCCCAAGGCCGTGCTCGCTCAAATGGGTGTTGGCTTCATCACCGGTATCCTCTACATGGTGGCCATCTTCTACTCCATCCAGGATGTCCCTAGTGTGCAGGGCTCTCTGTTGTTCCCTCTCGCAGAGATCTACCGCCAAGCTACTGGTACCAGCAGTGGTGCCGTTGGCCTTCTGGTCATCGCCTTCATTCCTACCATGATCACTGCTGCCGGTTGCTACATCACTGCCGGTCGCACCTTGTGGACTATCTCTCGTGATCGCGCGACTCCCTTCCCTAACTGGCTTGGCCACATCAGCACCAAATTCCAGAACCCCTTCAACGCTACCCTCGTCTGCGGCTGCACTGTCACGATTCTGGCTTGTATTTATATGGGATCCCAGACCGCTTTCCAGGCTTTCGTCGGATGCTTTGCTCAGCTGTCCAGTCTATCGTACTTCATGGCGATCTTCCCCCATGTCCTGAGCCGCCGTTCTTCCTTTGTCCCCGGCCATTTCTTCATGAACAACAAGATTGGCTTTGTCGTGAACACTCTCGCTTGCATCTACATTATCGCCTTCGTCATCATCTTCTGTTTCCCCTTTAACACTAATCCTACGGCCCAGACCATGAACTACGCCAGTCTCATGACCGGTGGTCTGTCCATCTTTGTTGCCATCTGGTGGTTCATCCGCCAGGGCTCATACGAGGGACCGAAAAACATCCCTATCACCGACAAGCACGTGCTTGAAGACGCCAAATAAGCCTCTTGCATTGCAGATTGTCGTGTTAGATGGAAGTCCAATGGAAGGCTTTCCGATCCCATATACCACTTTGTTTCGCTTCTACTTCAAAAACTAGCATTTCCCATGATCTCGCATTATTTTAATGCATCTACTTTATGTGACTGATGTGATATTTTCCTTTTGTATATCGTCTTAATCGTGTTGGATATGCTGTGTATTGTAAATAGTACCTCCGACACACACACCCCACAAATAATACCTTTTTGCTACTAGATGACAGGCTTGGAACTGATAAGCTAAAAGAATCTGATAAAATTATACTTTTCCTTTCCAAGGTTCCTTTCCAAAAATAACCACCGTAAGGCTGAGTTAACCAAATTCCAAGGTTTGGTCGATGTGTTGCTTGTTTTGCACATATTGACTGTGGTCACGTGAATGCGTGTCTCCTAAGTCGCGTCTTTCACGGACCGCGCAGCTTGTTGACCTTCCACAGACGCCATGGTTTACAAGCCCTTTAAACCTCCTTTGATCAGGAAACCAGAACAATCCACTGAAAAGGTAGACGAGCAGGAACACCCCACCAAGAAGCCTCGCCTTGAGAAGGAAGATCCGGTAGTCGACTCCGAAACGCGACCTGCAGCTCTCGCGAACCGGAAGCCTCTGCTGCAAGTCCAAAATGTCGGCAAGGATCTCACGGTGAAAGCGCCACCCGGAGCTGTCTCCAAGGAAGACGCCTCGTTTGAGAGATTCTTCAATGCGCTCTGGTTAGTCGATTCAGCCTGTGGCTCATCCATCGTACATTCTCCGATTCGGAACATCAACTAACATGTCTTCGGCACAGGAGAAAACCGAGCACGAAGAAGAACAAAACATGGGATGGAGATGGAATACTCGCATCCCGCCAAGGTTTTGTCTACCTACGTGACATAGGAGGTAAGGAAATGGGACGTGCCATGTACGAATCGAGCCTCGAGCCAGGGACCATGCTGTATATTGGGGGAAAGGAAGTCGAACTTGACTCCGAGATACCCCGCGCACAATTCCTGTCTTCGAGAAAATTTGCCCTAGACTCGAAACCCGCTCCATCGCCACCTGTACCTTCCAAGAAAACACGACTACCCACATCGAGGAGGGCCGAAGGGCGCACCTCCTCACTCGCCATAGCTACCGGCTCCTTGAAGCGGACTTCTTCAGCGTTGGAAACTGGAACTGCGATCAAAAAGTCCGGATTGGGCGCATATAAAAAGCCTTTGCTGGAGGACACGGTAATTCCGATCAGCGCAGACAAGATAGTCCCACGGCATGACCCCAATGCGGCAGGGGCGTTGATCATGCCTCGCCCAAGCTTGGTCCCGAAAGGAAAACAAATCGTGGATGTCGTCGTGGATCCTCTACTGACAAAGAACCTGCGGCAACACCAGCGAGAAGGTGTTCGGTTTCTCTATGAGTGTGTGATGGGGATGCGAGACTTCAACGGAGAGGGAGCGATTCTCGCAGACGATATGGGCTTGGGAAAAACCCTTCAGACCATCGCTTTGCTATGGACATTGCTAAAGCAGAATCCCATTTACGGAGACGCCCCGGTCATTCAAAAGGCCTTGATTGTCTGCCCGGTGACCCTTATCGTGAATTGGAGAAAAGGAGATCCGCAAGTGGCTTGGAAATGAGCGGATTGGGGTTTTTATTATGGATGACAACCGGAAACGGTTGACTGATTTTACCAAGGGCAAAGCCTACAGCATCATGATTGTAGGATACGAGAAACTCCGAACGGTGCAAGAGGGCCTGGCCAAAGGATCTGGCGTCGATATCATCATTGCAGATGAGGGTCATCGCCTGAAGACCCTACAGAACAAAAGTGGACAAGCTATCCAATCCCTTAACGCCGCGAAGAGGGTCATTCTCTCTGGAACCCCTATCCAAAATGACTTGCGAGAGTTTTTCGCAGCAGTCGATCTTGTCAACCCCGGCGTTCTCGGAACTTTCAAATCGTTTATTCGAGAGTTTGAAACGCCAATCGTTCGAAGCAGACAACCGGAAGCAACTCGCAAGGACATTGAGAAGGGTGAGTCCAGGGGTGAAGAACTTAGGGAGCTCACCTCGAGGTTTATTCTTCGCAGAACTGCCGATGTCCTGGCCAAGTATCTACCGCCAAAATCCGAATACGTTCTCTTCTGCAACCCAACTCGTGCCCAGGCCAATATCTACCAAGCCGTTCTTGCGTCACCCATTTTCCAGACTGCCATGGGAAATGCTGAAAGTGCTCTACAACTGATCACAATTCTGAAGAAACTCTGCAATAGCCCATCCCTGTTATCCGCAAAGAACAATGACAAGAAGCCCAGCGAAACAATTACCGCCCTTTTGGAGTCGTTACCCCCCAACCTCATGCGCCATTTTTCTCCATCGGCAAGCGCCAAAGTTCGTGTAATGGATCAAATTCTGGATAGCATGAGCACAAAAACTTCAGAGAAAATCGTTCTGGTTTCTAACTATACCTCCACCCTAAATCTGTTGGCAACACTTCTCACATCTCTTGGTCTGCCTTTTCTCCGATTAGACGGGAGCACCCCTGCTCAGAAACGACAGCCACTTGTCGACGACTTCAATCGTTTGCCTGCTGAATCGTGTTTTGCTTTCCTACTATCCGCAAAAGCAGGTGGTACAGGCCTCAACCTCATCGGTGCCAGCCGACTTATTCTTTTCGACGTGGATTGGAACCCTGCAACAGACATCCAAGCCATGGCCCGTATTCATCGTGATGGACAAAAGAATCATTGTCGCATCTATCGCGTGATTCTCAAGGGTAGCTTGGAGGAAAAGATATGGCAGCGCCAGGTTACCAAACTCGGACTGGCCGACAGTGTCATGGAGAACAAAGACAGTGTTTCCCAATTCTCCACCGCCGAATTGCGAGATCTCTTTCGTCTGGATGAGGAAAGTCTCTGTCAAACACACGATCTACTGGGATGTGAGTGTGGGGGAAAGGGCATTACATCGTTACCATCATCTGGAGTGGCTACCCCGACCGAGCGAAGGGTGGACGACGATTCGGGGCTTTCAGAGATGAGTGATGTCGGCTCAGACTATGAACTCCCTGAATTAGATATTCCTGCCTTGATGAAAGCTTCAGAGGTCGACATGGAGAAGCAAGAGCGCTCCATCCGCGAAGCATCGCGCCGCAAATCGACCAAAAAAGAGAATGGCAAGGTCAAGGATCAAAAGGAGAAGATGCACCAGTCTCTCGCTCAGTATATGCACATCAATCCGGCTTTACTTGCATCAGGTAGCGGCGAGGATGAAGATATGGCTGCTGCTGTCGATGATGATGTGCTTGTGTCCTTACTCAAAGACGAGTGCAACCGAATTGGGTATATCTTCAAAAAGACCAGTGGAGCGGAAGTGGAAACACGCAGCCCACCGCCAGATAAGAAATAAGCGAGATACATTTTCTCGATTGACTTGGCGGAGAATCCTAAGTTGAACCACCATTCGTCGATACAATTTACTCATTTAAAGAGTAAAGTCAAGTCGCCCTGTTCTCAGGTCTCATCATTTCATTGGCATTTTATAAGATTCATCAATTTTTGCCTACTCAAAACACCATCCTTCTCAAATCCAATCATACCGGATTGAGGCAGTCCATTGTCACATCTTGGCCAAATCAGAGACTGTCACATACACCTGAGTCTGACCGCGTCTCGTGATTGCAAAAACTCTTTCTCCAACAATCTTCAAATCCTCCATCGTTGTATCGTGCAGTTCGAAATCAAAACGACGTGCAAGTCCAGCAATAGCCTTATAAATCTCCGCATACGCCAATCTAGAAATAAAGTCAATGAATACCTAGGTATTCTTTTTAAAAGCGTTGAAAAGCCGAGACTAAGTAGAGGAGATCGAGTAACTCACGTAATTCCCAGACAACCTCTGCTTCCTTTAGTGAAATTGACGATATACCGTTTCAGGTCCTCACTCTGACTACCCTGAAGCCACCTCTCGGGATCAAATTTGTCCGGATTGGGGAAGAGAGTTGGATCGCGATGAATGAAGTAGGTAATAGCAGACATTGGGGTCTAGCATAATGAGTAGGGTTATTAGTTTTCAGATAGCGCTAACCACTTGCTTTTCGGATCAGATCAGATCACATACTCCGGGAGGAATAACATGGTCCCCATATCTCAAAGTTTCAGTGGGTGCAACCCGAGGCATGCGAGTGATGGGACCATAGGCTAGACGTAGAGTTTCGTATATAACTGCCGTCTATATTGGGCCACAAGTTAGCTTTGGATCACAGGTGTTAAGCTTGGGACGACTCTAGACACGGACTAGATAAGGTAGTTTCTCTAATTCCAAAAGGCTTGCGTTGCTACACGGTGTCGGTAGCACTTGTTTTAGCTCGGTGCGTAGTCGTTGCAAGATCTCCTGATTCTTCGAAAGATAGAATATCGATATGGTCAGTGTGTGAGCCACTGTTTCCGTCCCCGCGCCCAGGACAACGAGGCCTTCCTCCTGAAGTCGATCAAGTGTTCGTTCCGAAGCTGAGACAGCAGGATCAACAAGATTATCAAACATGTTTCGCTTCTCATTCATTTTCGTTTCCGCCGATGAATGCCCGGGACGAACGTTAAAGGACGAGACTGCTTGGTCATATACAGCCTCCATAGCCTCGAAGATAGTCGCTTTCCCAGGCTGCATACGACGGAGTAGGTGAATGGGTATTTTACGGAGGAGTATGATAAGCCACGGTGCAAATTGACCGATGTGTAGAGTATTTGCCGTCTCCAGAAGAGCACCGCGAGTATCACTCTTGAAGTGTTCGTCTTCCAGGAACCCCCAACTTTTCCCATAGCAATATTCAGTGATGATATCAGAGGTAAACGCGTTCAGGGCGTTATCCAGACGGACAACTGTCTTGCTATCGTGGAGCTGGCCTAAGCGATTGCCAAGCTTCTGTAGGTATTCGTCAATGATTGGAGTCATGTTGAGAATTGAGCGCCGAGAGAAAAATTCACTCAGAATGGCTCGGCGGATACGGTGATGGTCGTGCGATGCAGTTGCAATCATTGAACCTTCGACTCCGGTGGCTTTAGTGACTCTCACGTCCTTATCCCGTCGTCGGCTACTGGGTGCGTAAATCTCGTCGTAGAAGAGAGGATCGATGATGTGCACTTCATTAGGGTTGATGCGAACAATTGGACCTATCCTGGTGAATACTAAGAATACATTCAAGGATTCTTATTGAAGACATACCATATCTCTGGTGCATTTTTTCAATCTCGAAAATATACCTCCCATCTAGCACGCAATTGTAATAAAACTCAACACCATGGGTAATCGCCACCAGCCTAGGACCAGGGATTTTCCGCAAAGGGTGGAAGAAAAGACGGTAGATACTTCGTAGGACGAGGTATGCCCCCAGTCCAAGCAAAGCTAGCCATGCCCGTTCGAGCAGCATTTTCGCACGCAAAATAGACGATTATACCACTGGAGAATTGCCGGGTATCCCAGAGGCGTCATAAGTACACCTGGGCAATTTTTCAAGGCATGCTTACAATCGGGATACGACTTAAATAAGACTAAATACTAGGACCGGGACCCTATCTTCCTAGAATAGATGATGAGGGGGTCTTGTGGGACTGAAATGCACGACGTGATGATGTCCTCCTATCATAAATCCACGACTACCATTTATAAGAGTAGTCCTGCAAGAGCTGAGACGGAGGTCAAAATCAGGCATATGTACTCTTGCTTCCACCAATGAGACTGATCTTAGTATGTATTAGAGGGGTAGTGGCGGGAAGAATTTAGCCCGTCTTGCATTAGTTGAGCTTGGTGACACGGCTAATCATTAACTTGATTAAGCGATAGGTCCAGATCAGCTTAATGTTGGAATGTTTGCTTGTTTAAGCGTGAAATCTGCCAAGGTATTTGACCGGGTGTGGCCTTGTGGCCGTCGGGGGATGGGGAGCTGTACAGGAAATAGACTAGATGCAATTCATGGGAAAGCATTGGGCGCCACCACTTTTTCTGCAGTGGCGACGAATATTTTGTAGTGGCAGTCGACAGACATGATCCATTCATATCTCAAGGACCCTACGAGGAAGAAGGAAAAGAACTTGTAGAAGAGATTGCAGAATCCACAGGCCGAATAAATTGGCATGAAATCTAAATGTACAAAAGAAAATAGTCGAGAGACGACGGGGAGATATCTAAGATACTAATGTAGTAAATAAAAAAAATGAAACAATGAAAATAGGGGGGTGAAAATAGACAAATAAGTCATGCACAAGAAGAATACCTCCCATCCCATTCACCATGCACCCAAACCAAAACCAAAACCAAAACCAATGCTGATATCACAAGTCCAGCCCTACCCAGTTCCGTCCCATCCCGTCCCGTCCGTCCGTCCCAGCCAATTCCAGCGCCAATCCATCAGCAGACTTCGAACTCCTAGTACCGTAGTTTACCAACAAGGCCAAAGGTATAAGCAGTCTCCGCCTCGCTCTTCATCTGAAGCATATAAATGCGCTGAGAGCTAGCTGTAACACCGCCTTGTTTCGCGACGCCACCACCGGCAGTATCCTCATGAACAGAGACAGCAATTCCCGTCCGAGCAACGCGCTCGAACGAGCTTTCAGGAAGACAGACATCAAGAAGGGTTTCTCCACGGGTCTTGCCGCGGATTATAATACGTTTCTCAGTTTCGACGTCACGGCGGGGCGTTGTCGCACCGGAGCTTGGGGGAGATGAGCCGGTTCCATCGCCGTGTGTGCCGCTACCCTCGCTACGGCCACTGACGGCGGTTCCCGGGCGTGAAGGAGGGTTCTTAGGAGGGGCGGGCATGATTGTTAGACGGGCAGCGCCCATGTCGCGCCACTTTGAAGCGGTTTCTCGGAGATAGATGCGGACCTTGGCATTTGATAGACCGATGCCATCGGCGCCCTTGATGGCGGCGGCGATGCGGCCGATTCCACCAGAAGGTGAGTGGTTAGACCCCTCCTCGCCGGAGTACATGCTGCCCTCACGGCCGCTGCGAGATTCCACAGTAGAGCGTGAGATGTTAAACATCTTGCTTCCGCCACCGAAGCGCTTCAGGGCAGAGAAGGCGGAGCTCATGGTGCCGACACTGCTTTCGGAGCCTTCGGCGAGAGAACGGGGGGGAGCTGGAGGCGCGGTAACTCTTCCTGCGACGAGGGAAGCCGAACCAGGTGCCACCAGACTTGGAATCTGGCTCGTAGTTCGGGATTGGGTTGTCGAAGCTACTGCCGCGGGCATTCTGGAGGGCGATGTAGGTGGGGTTATTGATTCTGGCTTGGTTGATGAGGCCATAAAGTGAGTCACACTCGTCAGGGTTGCGGGAGCGGAACATGATATTGTTGCTCGAAGTGATCTTGGATCGGCTGGTTGGAGGGGAGCGGATGCTGATATCGATAGCGGTTCCGCGGCGGAGGGGAACGAGTGGTGTCAGTTCCATAGAAATGAGTGGACGCGACGATCGGGATGATCGATCAGACGAATTTGGGTTGGAATCAGGAGTCATCTTGAATGCTTCGATGAGGCCCGGGCTAACGACGATGTTGCACTCGTCGGGAACCAGACTTTCCCAGTTACCTTTATCTGACCATGCAAAAAGAGATGCAATGACCTTGGTCGACTTGGTAGGTTGCACGGGAACCGTACGGTAGCCACTCTGCGATGCAGAGTTGGAAGGGGACAGAGAGCTTGTCTCGGAGGTAGCGGTAGCGGTATCGTGTATCTTTGGCTTGGGGAGATGAGCCTCGTCCTCTGATTCTGACGAATAGTCGGATTCCGATTCAGAATCAGATTTTGAATATTCGGACGAGGAGTAAGAGTAATGTCGCACAGTTGAAGCATCGGAGTCGGTCTCTGAGTAGTCGGAAGCAGTAGAGGGTTCATATTCGTGCTTCAGAGGGGATGATCCACGGCGTTTGAGACGAACAGCTGACGGGCTGAGAACATGCTGGTTTTTGTTCACCTTCGAGCTTGGGGAGCGATGAGGTGGTGGTGGCGGCGGGGGCGCATCGTCGTATCTATCGTCATGCTTGGATTTGTGCCGAGATTTTCTTCTCGTTCTTGTAGGCGTCTCTGGAACTTCTTCTTCTTGATCAGGAAGAGATTCAAGGGGAGGATAGTCCTCTTCCTCATCAACGTCAATGCTACTTGGGCTAGACATATGAGTTTGGCTGCTCGCACTGCGAAGCTTGGGAATTTGGGGAAGATGAGCTGACGGCGTGGACGATACTCGCGGCGATTCCTCCGGGGATTCTCTTCCACGAGGGGCTTGCGGTGTCTTTGGGGGAGATTTGGGCTTTGGCAAGCGTGAATCTTTAGAAGTATCCTTGCTACCGCCATAGAATCTGGGCTCTGCTTGCTGAGATGTTTTGGGCTGGACCTCTGGCTCTGGCTCTGGCTCTGGCTGCGGCTGAGGTGCCGGAGGAGCCACGGCATTGTCTGGAGCACCGATTGGAGAAGATGGTGTTTCTGATGGGCTATCCCCGTAGCGGGACATTCGCTTCGCCTTGGACCTCTTCAAGCCGGACGGAGACTTGTCCGGGCTTACAGTAGAGGGAAGAAGCGGTAGACCGGGTCGAGACTGTTTTATAGAGAGCTCCGATCCTCCGGTGGTGTACTCAGTTTCACGAGTAGCCGTCGAACAGACGGAGCTCCTGTTCTCGGTAACAGCAGAGTTAACTGTACTAGGTTCGGAGTACTGCTCCTTTGGTGTCAAAGAACGGCGTTTGCTGAAAGCCTTCTCACCAATGGGAATATCAACATCGCTTGCATTGGGTCGTGGTGGCGATTCAACATCTGACTTGCGAGCCTTGTGCTGTTTGGCTCGGCTGATAAAGCTTTGAGTTCGGAATATTGTCGGAGGGATGGGGTCAGAGCCTAATAGCTGGATCCATTCGAGACCAACCTCGACTTCGTCGATACGAAGAGAGATCAGCTCCTGCCAGTACTTCTCTGCATCCGGGGCACTGCGGAGCATGAGTACAATCTCGCCTTTGCTATCGCCAGTGCGGGCCGAAACACATCGCAGATCCATTGGCGGGAAAAGAAGCCAACGTTCCGAATGATCGATCTCGCAGATCATGAGATCACCTCCAGGTCCGTTGCTTGGAGTATTATCTCGGTACAGCAATTCCGCCCGGCAGTCAACCAATTGCCCGCTGGAATGATATAAAGAGAGATTGAAGAAGTCACGAGCTCTTACACGGCGGCTGTGATCAACATTTATATTTTGGAGTACACCCAAGGTCGCAGGGTCTCGTGCACGGGTCGCATCGATGTTGGAAGCAGACTCATCTTCCAGCCTCGCTCGTTCGTCCCGGGCTCGTTTGCGTGCATCGGTCACAAGATCTTGATAAGCCCCTGCAACTTCCTCCGCCTTAGGCGAAGGCTGTAAAGTATTGATTCCCTTGAAGGTTTTGGAAAGGTACTTGAGGCGGACCAAGGGTCGTTTCAGCAGGTAAGCGACATCAACCTTCTCACCGTCACTGCCAATCACATCACCGTTCTCGTCGCGCTCCAAGCCTTCGTCCAAACTCCTGGTCTCGGCCAGTTGATTGGTTTCGTCTTCTTCTAGGGGAGCAAGGTTCACAATGACATCTTTAAAGCCAAGTCTCCAAGCTTTGAGGTACTCGCGGTACACGCGCTGGGCCCCTTGAGCCCACGTCAGCAATGCATCGGCATTATCTTGCGGGATTCGCTTGTGCAACGTCTTCAGCCGCTCAATGGCTACGCCCATGTTAACGATGGGCTTGGAGAAGTTCACATCATCTGTCGGATCCATGGAGGGCCGGAACAGGCCCGCGGCAATAGCTGAATCAGAACGTGACAGCACGCAGGTCAGTAGAACTGGAATCACACCACCAACAATAGTTTTCAGCTCGCGCATGTACTTTGTTTCGTCGCCGGAGAGCTCGGCCATGATGTCGGAAATTGTTGCGTTGGCCAGACGGCTCTTATTAGAGCGAATGCTTCGATTGGATCGATTGCTTCTGCTTCGGCCAGGGCCCGATAAAACGGACATCAGATCATTATGCGTGGTGAGTCGTCTCTTGAGTTGCGATGTCACTTGGGGTAGCGAATCGGGATCGAATTGGTCTTTTTCTTCGGCGGCTTCCTCTGCCTCTTCGACGGTCTGAGGGATGCGCTTTTCAGGAGATGTCGTCTTGCTGATATCGGATGATCCCTCCAGGACAGTACTTAGGGTCTCGCTGGATGCGATCGTTGAAAGTCTGTGGTTCCCGGTAGTTGGGAAAGGCCGTTTGGGGCCGGTGGGAACAGGCGCATTGTTTGCAGAGACCTCTGATCCCTCCGAAAAGGGTTGGAGATCAGATTCCGAGGGTGCAAGGCTGTCTTCGTATGGCTTGTCGAGCTTTTTGTCCTCTCGGATACGGAGTGCCAATGGCCTTTCAACCTTTTTGTCTACGCTGGACCGCTTGGGATTCGATGTCGTATCACGATCTTGGGATTTGTGAGGCTTCTCGGACGATGAAGGGCGATCCCTGTCCTTGGAGTGTCGGCTGTGGGAACTCTTTGGGCGTGATTCACTCTCCACCGATAGTTCGGACCGCGAGAAAGTGCTTGAGGCGATTTCATCGGTGATTTTCTGGGATCGCCGCGCTCGGGCTGACTTTATGTCCAGAGGACCGGGCATATCACCCTTTGACTCTTCGCCATCTACGAAAGGATCCGAGGTCCCGGACAGCCATGCTTCAATCTTAGCTCCGCGGTTTCCGGTTGGCGGAGGAGTAGGCCTAGGTGGTTCCGCCTCTGGTCTGGTGAACATCTTCCTTGACTCGTCCAGCATATGCGCGAAGATGCCCCCCTTTGGTCCTTTTACTGGCCCCCGAGCACGCCTGCGCGACAACTCGGTGAAATCCGCTTCGCTCTTCGCCCATTCCACGTCCTCGGGAGGCGGTGATTGTCTCTTTTGACGTTCGGGGATATCCGACATGACCGTCGACCGAGGGAGATCTGTCTCCGCATCACTATCTGCAACGGAGGCGACATCTTTGCGGGAGCTCGCGCGCTTCCAGTCGCGGGTCGGGGATCGAGAAGTGACAGTGTCGCGCCGGGCTCTGGACCGAGGGGGGTCACGGCCCTTGTCTAGATCATCATTTTTATTATCTTTCCTCGTTTTCGAGGACTCCGACTCCTCATTCGTCGTGTATTCATTGATGCGCTTCGGGGCCGGGAGGTGACGCGGTGTCGTTGAAACTGTGGTCGTCGATCGGTTTCTCCTCCAATGCTCATCACTGATCACTCGCTTTCGTGGGGTACTGTGACTGCGTTTGCGCATCGCCGGAGCCGTGGCAGTCTTTTCTTTGTCCTTGACAGGCTTCTCGACTCGGTCCGGTTTGACCTTGACCGGCTTGGGCTTGGGCTTTTCCTGGATCGCATTCTCCTCGTCGTCATCGTAGGCTCCATCGTTGATCGTAATTACCCCTCCACCTTGCTGCTGCCAGTTGCGCACTCTTGAGCGAACGGTATTTGTATCGTGGACGCCCAGCGGTTGACCAATATCCACCGGCTTTGCTGGGGTGGATTTGGCGGTGCCTCCACCTTTCACCGGCCGGTGCGGCGTCGCAGGAGATGGCATCGAAATCTATGGTGAGATCCAGAGTCAATACCACGATTCACATTGCAGGCGATCGAGTAATGTTGAGCATGTGGGCGGCCGAAATGTGTTTGTTGACACCATGTAGACCTTGGAGGCGGAGGAGGGGAGCTAGGGTCACTCACCACGCTGGGCTCGGAGGCTTCGCTTTGATCCTGACGATCAGAGACCTCGAACTTGTGGCATCTGTTGGTTCGATTTTGCTTCTTCTGCTTGTCCCTGTGCTGGGATCGGAGGCGGGGGGGGGAAAGTAAACAAGCTGATCGGAGTTGGAGTCTTCCACCGCCCGCGATAAGACCAAGCCAACCTCACTCTGGCGCAGACTAAAACGCGCTGCCGGGGAAACCGCTGATCGACGTCCAATAAGCCCAAGTTCAGCTCTCAGCTGGTTTTGGAGGGGGACAAGGTTTGACTTCTGCAAGGTTCGTCTGCGCGTGATTTGGTCGGCTGGAGGCTCACTTGAAGCTCACCTGAAAGCTCACCTGGATGAAAGCTGAGGTCTCGCCCTCTTGGCTTCGCCTACTGTTGCCTTTGCCTTTGCCTTTGCCTTTGCCTTTGCCTTTAGGGCCTGGCCTGGGGAGAAAAGGGGAAAGGAAAAGAAAGGAAGAGAACAGACGAAGCCCTAACCGGTTTTTAAGGCGACGCGTCGAGTGGTCCCATCTGCACTGCTTTGCTCTGCGTTGGTCCCAGTGCATGCATGTGTATATGTGTATAGCGGTGTACCAGTTAGTTAGTAGGAGTACCCAGGTTGAAGCTGAAGTTGTTCCCGGAATATTCATATTATTCTACCATACACCAGAATACGAGGTACATATTATATATACTACTATTGTATTAAGAATCATTTCCTTTCCTTTCCCTTCCGCTCTTTCATCTCCATTTCGACCAAGGACTACCCATGATTTGTGCCCATTGGGAGAAGGAGAGACTCCCCTTCCCCACCACCACATCCACAAATCCACCCACCCGGCTATGACGAAAGAGGTGTTCTACTGGCTTTTGCGCCGCTCGTCTGACACTTGCTGGGCCCGAATCGCAGCCGAAATGGTCGAGATGCTGTCATAAAAGTAATCTGCCCAGGAATTAGTCTCTGTCTCTGTCTGTGTCTGTGTCGGTCTCTCTGTGTAGGAATGTGCATACAACCCGGAACCACAATCCAGATGAAGTTCATAAAAAAGTAATACAGCCAAAAATAGTACCCCTCCGGTCGGCAGTACGGCACTCCCTTCACATAGTCATCGAAGAGGCTCGTCGCATAATACAGCGTATCCCCGTAGAGATGGCTCATGCACACCACCAACTGCATCGGGTGTCGCAGGGAATGCCGCCGTGCGGCCAGATAGGCAACGATAAAGCAGAGAGGTCCCCACAACAACTGGTACAAGGGGATACTAGTTAGTGGATTATACTTGCATTGGGCAAGAATACGGTACTCATAGGTACATACTCACCACCGTCATAGTCTCCATACACAACACCAGTGTGTCCGAGGTCATGTACCGAGAGTCGGACAGGGCATATTCCTTCCAGAGCTGCCCAAAAAGATCCTGGGCCGAGGCCATGTGGTCATGATGGATCATGAAGTAGCCCTCGAAGAAGCAGTGTAAAGTCCCAGCTATTGCATTCCAATGTTTTCACTCATTAGTTGGGTTCTTTTTCTTCAAGTTCTTCAGAAGCACCGGGGTATGTCATACAGAGCACAAACCACACGATGGCAATCCGATCGGCCATTCGCAGCGATGGGCGCACATAACTGGCCACGGCAAAAGTCAATCCAAGCAAGGCCGCGCATCCTCCACCCGCCGTGACGAGTAGCTCGAGGACGGAGGTTTGGTTGGGCGAATAGCCGACAATGTTCGCCCCGAGGGGGTAGTAAGGGTGGGAGGCTGGCATCCTAGGATGGATGGTCAAAGCTTGTTTGAGTGACAGTGCTGGTGGTAGTTGTTAGCCAAGTGAGGTGTATTTATATATTTATAGCTGGATTGTCGATCAATTGATCAATTTCAATCGATCAGTCTTGCAAACTTGAACTTGAACTTGAATGTTTGCATGTCTGCCGTGTGGAGTAGCTGGATGAGATGGGCCAATTAGAGGGCCACCGCGAAGTAGTGATTAGCACAGTACTACTTCTAGGGTATCTCCAGTATCGAGAGTCAAGTACTAGTAGAAGACTGTCACTGGTACTAGGTGGTTGCAGAGGGATAATATATCAGCCAAAGAGTACTAGTACTACCTATCAGTACTATTCTATGTCCGGGTCGGTGTCTGTCTGCTACTACCTAGGTAGTACTACCTAGTACTATTACTACGTAGTAAAATATATATACTTCTAGTACTACTACTTCTACCTACTTGTCAAACCTGCTTACCTTCAAGTTAACACCACCTGGGCAATAATGAGGAACCCATCTTATCTACAATCCTTCTATCTGTTGTACCAGTAACAAATATATCTAAAATCATCCTAAATAAAGAATGAGAGGTATGGCAGCCCTGGAGTGTAGGAAGTATACCCAAAGCGGTCAGTCTCGGTCACCCCAATTTCCAGGTCCTCCACCTCCTCCACCACCACCTCCACCGTGATTCCCCGATAACCTCTTGATTCGACTACTCTACCCCGATTTCCCGAATGGCGCCATTAGGATCTTCTTGTTCAACTTGAGCTTCTTCCAACATCATTATGGCCCCTGACTCCTATAGAAAGTCCGCCATTGATGCTTCTCGCGCCGCCATGGAATCCCCTCCCGGAATCGCTGCCTTGTTTGTTATCCGCTTCGACATCAGAACCGGGTAAGGTTTACCCCCCCCTTCTCCGAGCTCAGGAGGGGCTCGTCGCTGATGCGGATACTGATGCTGATGCTAATGCGCATGCGCTCACAGATACGTGGTCTCATGGAAACGAACGACCGGAGGTGAGTGTACATCGGCGCTCTTGCGACGCGCCAGGCTGACACCCGCGCCCCATACATAGTTGACGTCGAAGGCGTGGTCGAATACAAGTCGCTGCCTTCCGGCCTCCACAACGTGAAGGATGATCTGGTGTGAGTTTGCTTAATGCGCTTCCAACAGACCCCTGCACAAGAGGCTAATACAGTCTATCTTCTTCCCAGCTATTTCGTCCACGATCAGTATGCCGGGATCAGCTCATTCCTTAACCAGCCCGCCGCCGAGGCGGAGCGCAATGCGAAGATGTTCGCAATCGGCGTCCTCGTCCCTTTGAGCTCTGGAAGACTCGGGAAGAGCTGGCGACACGCTCCAAGATTGAGGGACTTGACGCTGTGAGTGCTACTTCACCCCGCCCCAATGCCTGGTGGCAAGTTTCCCAACTGACACCTATGCCCCTGGCAGGAAATACGCCGCCGATATGTCGAATGAACAACCCTTGTCCGATTACTGGGATGCATTTCAGATCGGAGGACCCGATTCTTCTGCTGCCGATTCGCCGGTCGACTCGCCAGTGAGCCTTCGCTTCCGACCGGGCGACCGACCGGAGACCTTGTCGCGCAGCCGCGCTTTTAGCGACGCAATGGTATTGGAGACGTTCAGGCCGGCCCTGACACCATTCCATCCGGCTTCATCGCTTCCCGATCTTCTCGACTGCTTTGGTCCGTTGATCTTTCCTCTATACCGCGCCGCGTTACTGCGCAAACGTATCCTTTTCATGAACGAAGCACCTGTTCATATACCCTGCAATTTTGGTAAGACGCCTCCCGTGTTTAACCTCTCCTCAACGGCTTCTGACTCTGTTCCATAGTATATGACCTATCGTTGCTAGCATCTCTTCCGAACTCTCTATTACAAGAACTCCCGTCCGGATACACGCCACCACTTCGACCCCGCCCCCTCTTCAACGTTGGTATACATGATATTCCTCACCTTGCATCCTTCGACACGACACGGTCAAGTCAAGATCCGGACAAGGACCCCAGCTGGATTGCCTGCTCGACCGACAGTGTCCTGACTATGAAACCTGAGCTTTACGATGTCTTGGTTACTCTTCCACCCACCCACTCCCAGCATGCTACTGAGCGAGTCTTCCCTCAGATTAGTTTGAGGCACCCTTCAAGTGGCAAGCAGAACTCGAAGCAAACCTTCATTTTAAAGGCCACACAGCGCGATGCCCGCCGCTATGCGATGCTTCGCAGAGGCCTACGGCATTTCGCCGCCGACCGTCCTACCTCCTCTGAGACCGAGGACTCATCTGACAGTGACTCTACATATTCCTCGAGCACAGTTGTCGAGCCAATCTCGTGGACTCGACTTGCTTACAACTCTTTCATCTGGTGGGCATCCGCCGGCGAACATCGTGACGGACTCACCGAAGAGGAAGAGGAGCACCAGATTGAACAAGACGAACGACTTCTGGCAAGCGTGGAAAGTCTTGCATACCCAGCCCCCAACTCCACAAACCGCCGCTCATTCCACGGCGAGGAGAGTGGTCAAGAGCCACCGGAAGTTGCTCTGGTAGCCTACTTCCGTCGTCTAACAACGCAGATATTCTACACCTTGGCCGGTGCCATCGCGCGTCACGATTCCGAATCGGGTGAAGATTGCATAGACGCTTATCACGATTCCCCGTATCTCGATGACATGGAGAACGACGACACGGATCCATCGCTTTCCAGGTCGCGACAGTCCATTCACACCGACGATGACAACACCCCCCTGCTGCGGCAGCGATCAAATGCGAACCACACTAGCCAAAACAATGACTGGGAAGAACAAGATGAACCAGGCAGCGATGTCCCAGTCACCATCACGATTGCCGACATGGCAGAGATGGGTCTAGACGTGTGGAGCGCCACGGACCGGATCTTTGTTGAGGAGCTCGTTACGCTCTGGTGGGGACGTCAGGCGCACGTGGACAGTGCACGAATTCGCTGCTGTGGAATTTCAATTCTATAGAATGGCCTTGGACTTCTTGTACCAGCTCAGAGGTGGTTTTTCGGTGCAATTTCCTTCCTCTATTAATCTATCTAGGCTCAGACCTAGGTATCATTGTTCGATCCCAACTTTATGAGCCCTTGTACATATATTTTGCATCAGACATCAACCGCAGACAAGCTACAATGCAGACTAGCCATTAGCTGTGCATCCGTTGAATGCAGAGATAGAGTAGAATTATACACGTTAAGAGTCACCTGCTAGTAGGTATTCTAGACGTTCAAGTTTCTTCTATATGAATAGTGCCAATCAGGTCGAGCCATATCTTGACGGACCTTATACACAGACTCGGCATCATCCAAAATCGTCATATCCAAATGAACAATCTTCATCTCTTCTTCACAAGTGTCAGATCTCCCAATACAACCCAAGAAAGGGACCGTGACCTGTGACAACCCCGCAAAGTCCTCTCCCTCCGGGCCACCCGCATTGCAAAAGACAACGGCGCATGTATTCTCGCACGCTCGACTGATAAGCGCCGCATCGAGAAAGACCTTCTCTGCATACCGGTTGTGCGCAATTCCCTGAGGCGCGCAATCGGTGAGCTTCCAGAAGGATGGCACAATGATGAGCTTCGCGCCTTGGCTTGTCAATTCACGGAATGCTTCTGGAAACGCCACGTCCCAGCAAATCAGCATCCCGACTTTTCCTAGTGGTGTATCAAAAGCAACATGCGGATCATTCTGTGAACTCTTCACATGGGGTCGCTCTGGGTGCCAGAGGTTTTTCTTTTCGTACCGGCCGTTCACGGCGCCGGTGTTGTCGATGAAGTAGACCACGTTGAATATAGTCTCTACTCCGGTCTTCTCGTCGCGATACAGCTCTGCTGCGGACCCGGGTACAATGCAGATGTTACATTCCTTGGCAAGTTCACGGTATACATCTAAGTATTGCTTCCAATTGGCGCATTGGTCGCGAAATTTGGGGTCTTCGGGAAAGAAGTCGCCGAGATGGTACTCGGGGAGCACTGCGAGATTCGCACCGGCACGAGCTGCGTTCCGAATATAGGCAATAGCGCGGGCCTGATTTGACTCTGTTTGGTGAGGCTAGAGTGCAAGGTGAGTAAGATATAGGTGGCTGGAGAGCATTTGAGTCTGGCATACTTGAGGATGTAGCTGGATTATAGCAACTTTGATCGAAGACCCGGACATGATGGCGATTGGGTGCGTTGTGAAAATGAAAATGATGAACGCAGGGAATGGATAAAAATTGGAATAGAACGATTGCTAATATAATCGGTATTCATGTCTTATCTTCCATCGTTGAGATACGGAGTTCATATACTAGCAACTAAAATGATATCTGGGGATAGTCCCTGCGTGCTCCGCGTGCTCCGCGGGGGCCATATCTCTCTGATCAGCACCGAAAGGGTAGGTCCTAGCGACCAAACTGTATCTCGTGTACATCTAGGTTGAGCATGGACCCTATGCTTTCCGTGGCGGTTGTATCTACTCGGCTTTAGAATTTACATTGAGAGATTTCATTCGTAAAGAGCACCGAGATACCTATAATGGGTCAAATGGGTTGATGGCACTGGCCCAATTGCCGAAACTATATCATCAAGCTGTCGACGGGTCCCACTCTAAATTGTCTACACATGTTGGAACACGGCAATATTTACCTGAGCGCAATGACTTATCTGCTTGAAGTAAATGTCTCCTATCATAGACTGTCATAGATAGCCCTCTTTATGGCTTCCCCCGCATTTATATAGGATTCCACCTCGAACATAAGTGCCTCTAAAGCACCGAGACTTTTCTTGAGCTATCAGCTAATATCACCTTCATTAAAAGTGTTTAATCAAAATAAATACTCGCACAAACAACCATTCAAGCTTCAATTATGGCAGAAATTACTGATGCTGAGCCGACTGAGGCAGGGCAATCGCTCAAGGAAATCACGTTTGATGCACCAGGAACTGCATATCTAGAGGGCCCAGGTAGGTTGGACGGGGGTTTTCACTTAAACTGTGGAACAGTCTGACTGAAGACGCTTTTTCACAGTAGGAGCAGGATCTTCGCACAGAAGAGTCATTCTGCAACCAAAGCCTACCTCCGACCCAAACGACCCCTTGGTGAGGACAGGAAATTCGAATGTTGTTGTGGAGAATACCCGTACTGATCCTAGATTAACAGAATTGGTCGTTCCGTCGAAAGTCCGTACACTTTGCCATTGCATCATTTTTCACCATGTTGGTGTTTGCTTTGTGGGTTAATTTCTTGTTTCTGCATATCCTGTACTGCTCTAATCTATTCAGGATTGACATCGGCCCGGTGGTTTGGCAAGAATTTGAGGAACTTCTACATATTACATACCCTCAACTCAACAACCAATATGCTGTGAACTGTGTCTCTCTCGGTCTCGGTTCAATCATCCTTGTCCCTTTGGCCTTGAAGTTTGGGCGCAGGCCTATTTATCTATTGACTGCCATGGTGGTCCTAATCACTGCAATTTGGCAGGCAGTACTTCGGGACCTTGCAAATATGATGGCTGCACAAGTGTTCAACGGAATAGCTTGCGCTGTTGGATGGACTTTAGTCCCTATCACGGTGAGAATTCCAAACGCCACATTTTTAACTTCATGTAACTATGTGCTGACATTCGTACGAAGATCACGGATTTATTTTTCGTCCATCAGCGAGGCCGAGCAAATGCGGTTTATCAGATAATGAGTAGCACCGGTGTAAGATCATCCCGAGACCTGTGCCTCAAATTCAGACTAATGCAATTCTCTTCCAGGTCTTTCTCGCTCCCGTCGCCGCTGGATACATAGCGGATGCTCAAGGTTGGCCTTGGATCTATTGGTGGTCAGCTATTCTTGTGGCTGTGAACCTGGTTCTTTTCATTTTCGTCTTTGAAGAAACAAAGTTCTCTATTCATACCATTGCTGGGTCGGAAATTAGGGCTCCAACATCGGCTCAAGAAATTGGAAACATCAGCACTGGTGATGTTTCCAAGAGAACAGAATTAGTAGACCCCGAAAGCCAGTTTACAGCTACCACAAATCCATCGACTGGGCCGCACGGGATACAGAATTGGATAGACTGTTCTATTCCTTTGAAATCACCGCGCCAACGTTTGGCGCTCTTCACGACATCCGCTGGAACCCTCAGCCAATTTCTACAGCATATATACATGCCAGTTCAAGTCCTCGTGAGCATACCAGCCGTTGCCTATGTGATGATACAATACAGCTCCGCTTTAGTATGGTTCACGGTCGTCGCCACAACACAGGCAGAATATCTCGCGCTGCCTCCCTATAACTTTGGAACGACAGGCATCGGTCTGCTCAACCTACCACCGTTTATTGGATCTATATTCGGGTGTATCTGGGGAGGCCCTGTAAGCGATTGGTCGATCAAATTTCTCGCCCGACGAAATGAAGGTATCTATGAGCCTGAAATGCGGCTTTACATTTCTCTTCTCCCGGGAATATTAGGCCCCGTGGGTCTTTTTCTGTATGGATACAGTGTATCGGAGGTATTTCTTCCCACCAACTCTACACTCAGATTCAACTCAAGGTCGTGATTGGTATTGACTATATGTGTACAGGGCTTGCCGTGGATTTTTCCCTGCCTCGGATCTGGGCTCTATGGGTTCAGCATGTCTGCACTTATACCAATCGCCCTGACCTATCTCACTGACTCATATAACAAAGTAAGTAGCCCTGTCGGGGAAGTCGGACAGAAAACTGTCTACTAGTATGCAGCAACTGATTTGTGAAGATTCTCGGAACTGCTCTGATCGGCGTGAGCTTCGCCCAGTATATGGTTGCAACTATCATCATCTTTGCGCTTGACCCATGGATCAGCAGTATGGGCTTGTACAACACTTTCACTGTAATTGGATGTCTAGCAGTCGGATGTAACTTGCTCTGTATCCCGATGATTCTCTATGGTAAGAAGTGGCGGATATCTTGCAAAGCGCAGTACGAGAAGATGGCAGCCGTTCAGTTTGATGAACGAGGGATTTGATGTTACATAGATCTATTTGCTATTAACTAGGGCATCATGATGAATATAATCTTTGCAATTCCAAGATGGCTTAACAAGTTTCATAAAAATCTTTTTAGACAAATATTCAACGTTTACTATGCCTACAATTTCCCCATAGAAATACCAGTGGAGCCCGCGGGGTCCGCGGACAATCACGGGGCTTGGCTCGCCACCCTATCGTGGACCTCGCGGAGCTCGCGGAACTTGCTTTCCACCCATGTTCTCACAATATCAACGCCTGTAATGGACTCTCAAGCGATTGGCCAATCTCCATCAGATTCCGCCGCGCGGAAGCGAAAGCGAACAGCATGTCGAACTTGCAGGGAGCGTCGCGTCAAATGCGACAACGGGCGGCCCTCATGCCACTCATGCTGCACCCTGAAATTAGCCTGCGTGTACCCCGACGACAGATCTTCTGCAAGCCCCAAGTTAGTGCGAACTAGTCAGTCCAATCTCTTGATCATCTGCTTTGAAGCTGACGCATCTCCCAATTTAGATTCGACTCTGGTTCTGTGGAGATTCTGCATCAGTTGCAGGGGATCCGTACAGTTCTGAACTCTATAGCCCAAACACAGAAAGATTCTAACGCCTCGCCTACGTATGACCTAACTCCCAGATTGACGACGGAGTCAACTTTGAGTTATGCAACTTCGAATGATTACAGCCCGGGCCATGTACATCGTGGAAACTTGAGTGACGGGACTGGTCATTTAACATCAAATCGCCTCTGCGCCGGCGTTGAGAGACTTCTTTTCTGGCCCAAAGTCATTGAATTTCTCGGAGAGCCAGTCGTGGAGAAATCTTTTGTCCTCGAGTGTAATTTGGATACAGCGGGTCTTGCGCCAGATGGACAGTCTTCGAAGTATGGAATCCGCGAAGACGACTTCATTACACTATGCCGAAACTTCTTAGACTATGTGCATGTGCGCAATCCCCTCCTCGAACCGAGCGAACTTGAGCAGCATGCCAAAGAATTAGCAGAATCCGGCCTGAAATGGGACGCCAAGTCTTGTCTTGTGGTATGTGGTTCTTGAATTACTTTGCCCATATTTTGATTTGTCGTTCTAATTGCATATTCCAGCTCCTGGCATGTGCGCTTGGCTGTTTCGCTTCTGAATATTCTCCAAAAAGAGCTGACGCGCTGGATGAAAGTCCACCAAGAGATGATGCATCCTACACCCGAGCAGAAGCATATTACGAGGCAGCATGCAAGCGTATCGGCTATTTAGGTACAACACTGATGGATATCCAATGTCTTTATCTGGCAGGAATATACAAGAAGCATACGCTACGAATTCTTGACGCCTGGTTCCTGACTGAACAGGCCTGCTCTCGACTGCATGCATATCTGCTTTGTCAACGAAGGCCAACCGGACCTTATGAGCAGAGTGATTATCGTCTGGAACAACGTCTTTACTGGTCCTGCATTAAGGCTGAAAGGTACTCAGGCGATGGAATTTATATGTTGGACGCGGCTAACCTATTTAATCCAGCGAGTTCTTGAACGAGATCCCGCTCATTCGAAGTGCCCTTATTTCGCTTGACTACCCGGACCTATTTCCCTCGCCCCCAACACTACCATGCGCCGAATCTCCCAATATCGATAGCCGGGATGTCTTGTTCAACAAAAACCAAGAGCAAAGCTGGCTATACTACCTCGCCGAGATTGCATTGCGAAGGACACTGGACCAAGCGATGCCTCTTATATACTCACCACAAGGTCCAGCAGTATGGATGGAGAACATCAACCTCATTCTCCAAAGATCTTCACAGTTCGACGAACAGTTGACTGCATGGTATAACCATCTACCCCCTACAATACGACCGTCCGTAGACACCGAGATTACGTCTAATGACCAGCTGTCTTTCTTTCTGCTAGGCCGGTTCTTGGGTAGCAGAGAGGCGATTCTTCGGCCATTCTTTTATTACACCCTTCACCACAACGGAGGCCCCGTCAGCCAAGCAGTCCTTTCACGTGCTAATGAGTACGTAGATCTGACAAGAGGATTGATTATTCATCTCCAGAAGCACAGGCGACATGGCGGTATCTGGTATGTGCTCCGCGGGATATGGGGCCTGGCTATGATTATCTTGACGATCGTGCATGTGGAAATGCCCAGTTTATCTCCTCCAGCCGATTGGTGGGAGCTAATACGGATTTCCCTGCAAATGCTACGCACTTGGAGCGTTGAAGCGGCGGATGTTCGGCAGATGTATGATATTTTGGTCTGTGCATATCGGGCTGTGTGTCTTGAGGTTGGGGAATCTGTGGAGCTTGCGGACTGAACTCCGACAACGAAACCAGTCAAATCCATGCAGAAGACTAGAAATGACTTGGATAATGTACTAGTAATGAAAGGCGGTTTGTGGATATCCTTGCATTGGCAAAAAGCCGACGATCGCAATCACACGATATGGATTCGTTTCGGTCCCCTCATCGTTTTTCAACGACTGGATATCTTTCTCACTTTCAAAAATATTATTAATCAATACAGTATATCCTTTTCTCCCTCCAGTTTGCAAGCTGGGGACTTTGGAAAGCTAAGAAGTTGATTTATCTCGACATCACCGTCTGCGCATGTATCTTCCGAATACCGACCTTTAGACAGTCCTACTCTGAAGGTTCACGTCGAGACCATCTTATCCGGCTATCGGAACTAATTTTGAATGCAACGTTGAATAATAAAGTTCGATTCATATTTTCAGGCCTCGGCGAAAAGAATTGTGGGCAGTGTCGGCGTTTATGTAGAGTTTGCCCACGTGGATTGTGCTTTTTGTCTTGTCCGCGGACTCTTGCGTAGTCCACTACTAGTTCCGCGAGCTCCGCGAAGTGGAGCAGTGGATCTATATCTTCATACCGTCATAACACCACTCTACCGGAAGGCAGCTCAATTTTGGTTGCCATAAAGGAAAGTCGGATTTCAGAATGCAGCAGACTAGCTCAAAATGGTCTTCCATCGATTAATTCTATCATTTTTTGCCGTCAGCGTTGGGCTGGTGGCGGAATCAGCAGCCCTTACTGTTGATGAGAAAGAATTCACCCCCATCAATGAACTTCGCGACCTAGTTCATCGAGTTGGAAGTGTCGGTTTGCGACTTCCAGGAAGCGATGTGCATAATGAGCTAGTTGACTGGGTCAATACAAGCCTGCATGACATACCCGGACTTGAAGTCCAGGGGTCCAAGTACGATCTTGACGTCTGGGAGCCAAAGAAAGGGATGAGCCTGAGTGAGGCCGGAAGCCTTTGCATCAAGTCTGCCGAAAGCCTTTGCATCAAGCCTGATGGAAAGTGCCACAATATCCCCATTGTTGGAGCAATCCCATTTACTCTTCCGACAAATGGCTCCGCCCTCACCGGCCCTCTCATCTATGTCCCCTCCAACCAGAGCATCTCATCCGTAAATGTTCGGGGTAAAGTCATTCTTAGAGACTTTCTCCCGTTGAAAGTCCCATATACCTATCTATTGAAGGATTCACATGTCAGTTCCCATTTACCTCTGGGCTCGCTTGCGAGTCGCGATGCAGGAACTATTCACTGAGTCAAAGATTACTAGTACGTCACGCCAGATCTGGCCGCCCAAATCAATGGTACCTATGAAAGGCCATATCTTTCCACACCAGCGGACGACCTTATCGCCGCTGGACGAGGTGGTGCAGCCGGATTGATTTCTGCGTTCGATATACCTCGCAAAACACTGGAAGGGTACTACGATCCCCACTTCGGACAACATTATCTCGTCCCGGGTGTTTATCTAGGTTCCGAGCAGTACTATATGGTTCGAAACGCATGTCGGTACGGACAAACAGCATCCCTGAAGATTTCCGCGGACACAGGTCGTAAATATACCCGTGAGCTGTTTGCTACTCTTCCCGGTCGATCCAAGGAAACGATAATCATCGGTTCGCATACAGACGGCGCAACCTGGGTCCAAGAGAATGGAGTTGCAGGCCTCCTTGCACTGGCAAAGTACTTTGCAGCCCAGCCGATGACATCGCCCGCCCGCGCGAAAACACTCAAGTTTGCATTCACGTCGGGACATCTGACATACAGCAGAGATGGATCGATCCCGTACGCAAAAAAACTCGACCAAGAATACGATAGCGGAAATCTTGCATTGGTCATCATCCTCGAGCACCTGGGGGCGCGGGAGCTGCTGCCATCCGCTGCGCCAAAGGGTCAATATGGTCGTGTATTGAACTTCACCGGCAATAGTGAAGCAACTCTTTGGAGCGTTGGACCTACGCAGCTAGTTATTGATGCTGTCACTACAGCCGTCAAAGAACGCATGCTGGATGAAATAGGGGTGACCCCAGGAAACCCCCCCGAAAAACACTTCGCAGATTCCTTTCTATGCCTCTCAGGGTGGCATCGGGACAACATACCATAACTACCTTCTTCCGACAACGTCTATCGTCTCTGGACCGTGGAGTCTGTGGGCGCCCTCCTTTGGCGAGGCGGCCATTGATTTCACCCGACTGCGCGATCAGTTGTTAGCAGTTGCAGATGTGGTGGTTGGCCTTGCATCAGCTTCGAAGCACGAGATCGCTGGGGGGTATATCAAATATCGCCAGATGCGTGAAAATGGCTTCCCCTGGGAGGAGCCAAGTTGGAAGTCACAATATCTGCCTGGACCTCGGTAGACGTGCAAGCTTCAAGAGTCATGGCCGACTCCATTCATGATTTTGGGAATTGGCCAGGGCTTCATAGCCAACAGAGTATATGGCAAGGTGGTGGTCACAGTCTCAAGTCTATCGGGTTCTAACTCTGGTTACCCATAAATCAATATCATTCCATGGTTTCTGGTGGCTGATATATAGCTAACCGTTCTCAACTGTCGTCGGTCGAGCCCTACTAGACCCGTTTCGGCCGCTACGGCTCAGTTAGTAGCGGTGCCGGAGTTTAAATTCCTTAAATATTCAACACATTTCACATCTCACTCATTCTTTCCAATACCTTCTATTACTCTGAAACACTTAGATTTCAAGTCCCACGATGGCCATAAAGACAGCATATTTACTCCTTCTTGCCCAGGTCTGTCTGTCCACCTCGGCGGCTGTTCCGCACGTATCTACTTCAAGCAAAGGACACACTCATCAAAACGGCAACCTACCCAATGTGACAATCTTTGGAACCGGAGGCAAAATCGCGAGCAAAGGTACGAGTAATACTCAAACCACGAACTATAAAGTCAGAGTCACCATCGAGGCGCTCGTAGAAGCAGTGCCTGAATTATGCTATATATCAAATGTTTCGGGTCTACAAGTCTCAAACGTTGATAGTGGATCGATCAACTCCACTATCCTACTTGACCTCGCTCGATACGTCAATGCTGACATGGAAAACCTAATATCCCACGGCTCTGTTGTGACACACGGAACCGACACACTCGAGGAAACGGCATTCTTCCTAGACCTGACCGTGGAGACTCATAAGCCGGTTGTTATAACTGGTGCTATGAGGCCTTCTACTGCAATCACCGCTGACGGCCCCTTGAATCTGTACCAAGCCGTGAAATTCGCCGGCTCCGATGAAGCTCGCGACCGGGGTGTTCTAGTTGTGTTGAACGAGAAAGTAAATGGAAGTCATTCTGTCCCTCGATCGATACTGACATCAGTGATTAGTCGGATAGGAAGCGCATATACAACGACCAAGAACAACGCAAACTCTCTTGATACATTTTACGCAACTGAACAAGGCCAAGTCGACTTCTTCATCGGCCAAGTCGACTTCTTCATCGGCCAAGTCGACTTCTTCATCGACCAAGTCCCTAAATTCTACTCTTCCCCATCGACCCTCGCAACAAGCCACACTTCAGCATCGGGGAGGCAGACTTTCTGCCCCAAGTAGATATTCTTTACGGCTATCAAGACGCGAATCTGGCTCTCATCGAAGCATCCGATCGATCTGGCGCCAAAGGAATTATTTTCGCAGGGGTAGGAGCTGGCGGGTGGAGCGAGAGTGGGCTGAAGGTGGCGCAGAGAATGTAAAATGAGACTGGTATTCCGATGGTATTTAGGAGCCCTCGTTGTTGCTCAGTTATACATGTTGAATTGTGTGGGAATTTCGGTAGTACGAAATATGCGGCAAAAGCAATGAAAACCGTGATCGAACCCTATTGCGGTCAATATTCTGCATAAGGACTACTACGATGATGAAACAGCCGGGACATACCTCGATTATGAATAGCCAACTCCATGCCAAGAGGCCTCTTACTCTTATTGCGGGTTAGTGAAGAATTCTCGAATCCGCCTTCGTATTTGCTAAAAAGATCAATTGAACCTAATTTAACCCCTTTCACAGAGGGCCTTCCGTCTTTCGAAGTCGTAGTAGAATGCCTCCAACGCTCCCTGGCATGCCTCTCGGTCAAACGAGTCCGACCACCCGTGTTCGAAATAGATTTCGCGCAGTACCTGTTCATCGAATGAGAACCATCAAAGCGAATGTTGAGCCTAGAAACTGGCAATCTCGGCATAGAATGACCTACCTTTGCCTCCGCAGAGCCCCACTTTTCGTCGTACCATTCATATATCGTTGGCCACGATCCCACCTTCTGAACATGCGGGATCCAATGAAGATTTTGAAATCTCTGCTTATAGAACTCCAAGCGGTCAACCAGTGGCTCAGTCTCATCTTCACATTCAACACGCCAATACCGCGGATCATCTTCAGCATAATCTGGGTCATATGTCCATCCATCTGGCCTGCGTTCAGTTGCTGTGCCTATAATGTATGTTAATAACTTAAGAAGGTGATCAAAGGTTATTTAGACAGGGCGGTTCCAAGGTTCATACCATCTGATGTATCGAACATCAATGAATAGCCATTTCTCCCTGAGTCTGTAAGGTTGATCACCCACGGAGGGATCCCAGCATCTTCTGGTATAGCATATTGATAGTGAGAAGGCTCTTGATTCACATAATCACATGCTCTGGTCTCAGGTCTTACAAGCCATTTTTCGCGCCTAGAGTCTAGATATGGTAAGTGACGAAGCAACCCAATCACCTCATCGGTCTTCCCAAGGGAGGCGAAAGCCTCATTCTCCTGAGTAATATGTGGCCATCCCTCAGGTGGGGGGGTAGAGGATGTCGGTCGGCTCGACGAAAAGCAGAGTGGTAAGAAATTCATAAAAGGCTGTCACAGCGGCGATTGACACCTCACGGTTGTATGTTGACGGACTTTTGAGTCGAGGGTCTGGAGGCAGTTCCATCTTCGTCGTCCACGTTGGTGAAAGATGGGGCAGTGGGGTTGATTTATATACAGCCCTCTGGCTCGCAATACACTAGGGCGGTATCGTATGTTACTGATACATCCTGGTGGTACTAACTAGTTGCAGACAATATGTCAAACGAGGAACTGTCTGATCTTGGCGTGGAACTTCATAATCTTGACATTCGCACTGGTGAAAACTCATCTTCTGTCAAGAGCCACTTCCTTCCAAGAATCGATTTTTCAGACTTGCAAGACTCCTCGAAGATGGGAGTTTTGCCGAGCAGCCTGAAAACGTAAAAAGAGGGTATACTTTTCGGAACTACTTCAAGGAACATTTCAATTATTACTTCACCGATGATTTCAAGCATCATGCATTAAGTGGTGGAAAACTTCACCAGAGCAAAGCTCATCGAGGGTGCTGGGTACAAAGACTGTATATGTAATCCACTCAACCTAGTAAGTTCTGAACTCTAACTTGTTTCTTAGCAACGGTCACGGGTCGTTTTCCGGTTGGCAAAGAAAAGAAAGGAGGCTGAGTGCTTCACTGTTCAAATCCGATTGGAGGCTCAAACGTGAGCATTCAAAGAGTCCCAAATGTCATAAACATAAAAGTCACCGATGTTCGCTGGTACGTCTAGCGCCAGGAAATTGTCCCGGTTTGCGATATTTGAGTCGACCTTCGACCTGGGAATTATTTCATCTTGCTGCGGAATTTGAAAAAGAAATGGCGGAAGACATTGGCGCCAGCTCACGCAATCGTGCACGGGAATGTTACTTTACCTTTCCGGTCAATTCTTTCCATTGAAGCGGCTTGTCTAAACTATCAGCTAACACAGTTCCAGCATCTTGCAATCATGGCAGATGACTTCGGTGGATGGCGAGTTTTCCAATCATATTTTGAGACCTTCCATGTTTCTTTCACGGTTATTGTGGATCTTGAACATCTCCTTGTGGAACCTCAGGGGGGAGAAAATATTTCGATTCAGTTGATAAGGCCGATTATGTGAAAAAGACGAATATGATTCTCAAATGGGCATGGCCTTTGACACAAGGTAACGGTGTCATCGCTAATCCTTTGCTCGACAAGGAAGACACCTTGGAAATATTCATGTCTTGCCTGGTTTCACGCTAAAGCTCTAGTAATTTTGCTTCAATGTTGCTGATATCTCGCGGAAATCGAAGAGATGAATGATACTGTAATTCCCATTTTGCTGATCACTTAATCCTCCCCCTGCAGTAAATACTAGTATCCAGATAATGACTAACGCTATAATACTACAATCTTATGCATAGTGGACCACTTATTCACGGATATGTTCTGGCTGAAGATAGTAGTGAATCACTCAAAGCGCTTCATCTAACAAATACACGAGCATTGTGGCCACTTATAGCTGGCTTGTCTGGCCTCTATCGCCTTAACCTTCCATGATCAATACTAGTATTACTTCATACTTCCACGTCTGGAAAGAAATGCCTAGATTGGCGGGAAATCGTTAACAATAATCGTCAATGACCTGAATAGTTTCTCTGAGTAGGTCTGCGTTGCCACATTGTTAGGGTGCCTTGACCTCCTGCTAACCAGTCCCAGCGACGATGTGGGGAACCAAAATGATATGGATATGGAGGGAAAACCCCTCAGAGTAATATGGAACACTTAGTACTAAAGCTGATATCAAATGACAAACAGGCCAAAGGCCACAAAGGCCACAAAACAGTGCGGGGTGACTCTTAGGCCTAAGTCTATGATGTCCCCACCATAGCAGATGACTGTATAAATTGGAAGTTGCCATGAACAAATTGAAGGTCAAGCTTACTACCGTGGGATCTTCAAGTCCATCAATGAATTATAACCTAAGGACAAAACATCCGTGGAGGACAAAGAACAGCTTCTTAATTATTACGAGAACCGTAAGAGGACGATAGCAAGCAACAAATATTAGAATGCCAAAGAAAGGAAAGGAAATACTAGCAAGACCAGCAATCGGTTGATGTGTACAAGACGAATAAAAGAGATGAACAAGAAAACAGTAAAATACTACGCTGATGATAGTGGAAATGGATGATATTAACAAAGCGCCAGAAGCCTCCCTCTTCTCCTTCTCCTTTTCGTGCTCTCGGTAGTGGACACATGTCAGGGCAACAACGAGGAAGCCAAAGATCTCCATGTCTTACTTGTCGAAGATGCTGAAGGGGCCGTATAGTCGGAGCGTCAGGAACGAGCTTGGGGAGCCAGGGTGCCATAAAAGTCCCTCGAACAGGTAGTCCAAATATTCTTGATTCACCTCGGCGATAGTAAGGAACATTTCGACGCCGTACTGAGAGAGCTGACCCATCCTGGTGTGTCAATTAGTGTATATTTCGCCATGACCGATCTACTTTACTTACTGACTTGGCCGCAGACGATCCTCGCGCTTGCGCTGTTTGCCGCAGCCTGGCCCATCAAAGGATTCACAAGTCTAGCCAATAAAAGCCAGAACTTGTAAACCTTGTTGCAGAAGAAGTGGCTTTTCGGTCCGGTGTTGTGCCTTAACCTCAACGATGATATGGCATTCGCCATCGAGATCAATGAGCCCACCGTCAACGATGGATCAAATATTCGCTTGGGCGACTAAGGAGGTTTTGTGTCGTTATATTTGGTCCCATTTAAGCTCCGTTGGCAGCGCGAGACACAAAGTTACCAAAAGGAATACAAAAGCCGAATTGATTCGAGCCTCGGCTATTTCTTCGGAGGCCTTTCTCGTGGCGAGGGGTCCTTGATTGTGCGATCGGAGCAAATCTGTGAAACCACCAGTGCCATCGGTTTCGTCGGTCTTGATTTGCAGGCTGCGCATTCTCGTGACGTATTCTGGCTCATCGATGTCGTCTTGATCTTGGTCGCTGGAGCTATTCAAACGGCTTGTTGGCTGCGATTCCAGTTTGATGCGCATAGGTGCCTCTGAATCGGCATATCCGATGAATCCTGCGATGTAGACAATGAATGACCGCTTGCTGGTCATCCAGGTCCAAAAAATGAAAAATTCCTTGATTAGATAATGGAGGTCGCGAACATTGGAAAAGGTCTCAAAGATGACAGGTTGCATGGGCTTTCGTTCCTTGTACTTGTAGATGTGGTCTAGAAATCGAACCCAGTCGGCAAAAGTCTGTAGCATTAAAAAAACAGTGAAGCTGACGCGGTTGTAAGAGATGGGAAATTGGGAAGATAAGATACAACTATCCAGATTATATTGTGGGAGTATCATAAGGTACCCTAAGTGGGATGTTGTCCAGAAAGGGAAGGTATGAGGCACATACTGCTGGTAGTATATTGCAGCATCAGCAAGAACAACAACAAACCTGGAACGGCAGTCACCACCCACAGCTTACATACTACCTTCTCTACTCGAACCTACTCAAGTAGCCATCTGTTGCCCGAGTGATCTCATCCAACTCCTAGCTTTAACAACAACCATCGTCAGCTCTTCAAACCAGTGCCGTGCTGTTCCCACCACTTTTAGTCTAATCCCATATAAGCTGACATGGAAAAGGCGTTCCGAAGAGACAAAGAAAGCCGATTGACCTTCGGTACAACATTATCAGAGTCTGTCAATTCCGTATGGACTCCCAACGGCCTCGACTAGATTTCTTCTCGCAAGGATTCAACTAGGGCCGTATCATTTTTACGCCTAAGAACTGTGATACCTGTATCTACTGCCGTCCAAGTGAAGCAGACGATAATATTCAGCAATATCAACACGTCTTGCAAGGCTGGCCAAAAATCGAAAAAGAACAGATCGTCTCGAGCTCGTTCCCCGAGATCCGTTCTTTATCAAAAATGGAGACCGAAGAGAATACCTGCTGGAGGGAATCCGGAACGGACGTGCCGAGAATATAAAACATAGCTGTTCATTACCCTTCTTCTAATAAAGATAGGTGAAGTCGCATTCCGATTTTCATTTAATCTGAACCTAAAGGAGAACTTGGAAAGCCAATTTTTATTTTGTAAACGATCAATATGTGATAAGTCGATTACAATAAATCACAACTCCTCCCCGATACCTTTGAGGCGCTTGATTTGCGAGGGAATATGCCAACCTTGGAATACGACCCAACGTTGCTTTTTGCACAAATTCTCAAATTGAAGGCGCGTGGGTACCTGCTCAAGGTCAAACAGGCTAGTTAGCCCCTCGGGCGTCCTGAGCAAGTTATCCCCGAGGAGACACTGCTAACCTCGGCATTCTCTCAATGGGCCCCCTGAATGGTAGAAATTACACTATCCCAGGCAAAACAATTAAAGAGGTTGACATTTGTTAACATAAGAATAACGACACATCTTAAACCGGCCTGTACTGTGCATGCGGGTTTTGTTTGCGCAACCACCCTTTGCCCAGCCCCGAGTCATGTCTACATAGTTACTGCATGTACACATGTATTTTGTATTCTCATCAGGCTTGTCGACCAACTAAATCGTTCCGGCTGACGCTCCAGGGCTGCAGGCGGGAGGCTCTGGCCACTCACAATCGTTTTCGGCCCTCCATAATCACCTTCCTCCTCGCCAGAGTACATATTTCACCATCCACTCGAATTCTCGTTTTTTTTGCTTGAAAAATTTGGAAATGGTGTGCAGAAGGGAAACTTCGATCTGGGTGAACATCACGAATAGGACCCGGTTCGACGGTGAGGGGGGTAGGCGAATGTGAGAGTCATGAGGTAGTCCTGGTAGGATACGGCTATATGTATGTCAAGACGTTAGATCACATTGAGCGCACATCTTGCAGCAAGCACCGCAGGGGACTCCTTGCTGCTTTCCGAAAGTTTACTAACCTGACTTATGGTACTGCATCAGCTTCTTACATTTCTCCCACATCTCATTTGCATTCCATCCCTCCCACGCACCCCGAGTCGTTCCACACAGTATCCAAGTCATCAAGACCAGCATTCGACGGACCCTGATCCAATTCCGATCTAACGTGAAACCTTTCTCAAGGAGCTTGTTCACAAAGGACTCACGATCTGCGTCCACGGCCTTTCCGATACTGCGAATCAACTCCTTATCCCTGGGAGTTGCGAAACGGGACCTGCCCAAGTCCTCCAAGGCCTCAGATACCACATGAGACTCATGAGCGGCAACATCTGCGTTTTGAGAAAATGAACCATTAACAGGAAATCGAAACGGAGGCCGAAATACGGCTCACCTACTCAGACTTGCTGCCCGGCCGGCAATAGGGGCAACATTCTCAACTCGCCTAGCTGCCTGGCTCTCTGACATGTTTCAGGGGTAAACCGCTGACTCACAAGATTGTTGCTACCGTGCGGGATCGAATTGCTAATGGAAAGTCAATGAAACAGAATCGATTGATACCGACGCTCTGGAGATGCTTCCACGGAATTTAATACCATTCGTTATCCTCGAGCAAGAATGGTTGAGATTTCTTTGACTCAGAGAATATGTACCGCCTAAAAAGGTACTTTTTGATCTATCATTCACCAGGCAACGCAGGCTCCATCTGTGGTAAATCTGCCTGGATCGCGGTTTTCAATGCTGCGCATGCTCTTAGAGGCCAAAAAGAAACTTGTTTCTAGCTACAGATGCTAAACAACCATCGTTCAATTCGCTTGAGAAAAGGCTTTTGTTCTGGCTCTTCATTGAAGAAACAATCGTCTTGTTGAACCTCCCCTTTGTTCGACCGACTGGATTCAGTACTGCCGTGCTTGATTCTTCAGACCAGACCGCACTGTATCCACGGTCTCGTATTGGTCCTCGGCGCCAGGGATGGTACGGGAGTTTCGTCTTGGGTTTGTGACCTGTCGATTCTTGGCCTCAACATCCATTCATACCTAATCTGCACCACAAAAGAGCCCCTTGAACTCAAGCGATTTTTAATTATATAGCCATTGATATCCATTGATATTTTGCAAATTCTGTTTTGATACTAAATAGCACAAGTTGAGCGAAGTGGCTCAGCCAGACCTGGTGATCAAATCTACAGTGAAGAAATGATTATGACAAATTTCAGATTCAGCCCTCGTCAGCTAAATCCGGCCCCCAAATCAGCGAAAAATAGGAGAACGAAAAACAATGCCAAAACTTTTGAGTCCTCTCTCCTTCCTCCAACATCCGTCTATCCTTGTTCAATATGTTCGGCGGCCCAATTGAGCGGAGTCTGTGATTTCTTCAATGAAACGATGAACAACATCCATCTCATTAAGCACATCTCTTGCCATGCGATTATTCGCCACCAAAAATGCCAATTTGATTGGTCGCTGATCATGTCGACTCAACCATCTCCACAGCCGATCAATACGGGTCTGATCTCCGCCAGTCAGCTCATGATCTTCCTTCAATGACTCCTGCTGTTTTATATCCACCAGCCAGTGGAAATGGTCTTTAAGCTCTTTCTCAAATGGAAATTTGAGAAGCCTGCTCTGCCATTCCCGCCTTGGATAAAGAAGTCTCATCCATAGGAATGCGCTCATTACTGTCCTTAACTTTTCGGTAGGCGTGATTGTTTCAATATTAGTGCAGTCAAAAGTCGCATTATTCCTCCCAAATATCGTGTAATCGACGAGATAAAAACCAAGATCAAAGTCGATGCCCTCATAGTCTCGCGCAACTGCTGAGTAATTTTCGCGACCAGTGTCTTTAAAGAAATGATCTTCAAAGAAATGACCCAAGAAGTTCTCCAGAGTGGCTTGACTATTGATATTCCTTGATTGAAAAAAGCTTATCAAGAGTTCTGTTGATGGCCCAGCGGTGTTGTAGTCGAGCTTTTTAGACCGCAAATATTTCTTGAAATACCAAGCAGCATCATCGGGACTCCTGAACACCCGGTTTCTCTTATCTTGTTTGCGGGACTCATGCTTTCGCAGCTCATACGAATTTATCGCTAAGCTTTCCAAAACTGAATCAAGATGCTGGAATGAGACTTCGCGATCTGAATTCCGTGATGCTTCCAGGTGCTCTGCATTGCTATCAAATCTGGCCCAAACATCGTCCACGAAATTGGTCACTTGAATGTTGATTGTGGTTGCATTGGCCTTGGCCGTGAATTTTGAATCATTCTCAAAGAATGCCTTTTGTTTAAGGCGATAGCTTATGGTAGCTCCTGGGAGCCTTCCTCCATCTGATCGGTTCTTCAGACTTTCGATGAAGCGTGGGATTGAATTGAGTTCTTCTACGAAGAATGCTCTTTTCAAAGTTTCTTTGATTGTATGGTGATCTCCCATACGATATATCATGATTCGAAGATGGAAAGAGCCCGGATGCAGCTGACCAACCCCTTGGGTTGGTGTATTTTGCTCCACTATGGGGCCGTCGGCAAAATTCGGTATGCCAGGATTGAGTAAAAGCTGACGGCAAACGCTTTCTGGTGATCCCGGCCGGATATCGAACGACTGCATGTCGAGATGAGCATTGTCGAAAGAACGGAGACTTGAAATGGTTCTTGCTGTGTTATTCATCATGATGTCTCGACTCATTTCGCAGAAGAGCACAGGCAAGAAGAAGTCAAAAAATCTGATTTAAAATGAAGAAAGCTCCGGGGATGGGGACTTGGTTCCGGAGATGTGCAGGAATAATTATGTTCAGAGACAGTTCTCATCTCTGCGGAACTTGAGGAAAATATTTATAGACTTCCTTCCATAGTGACCACAGGGCCCGATTTCTGGAAAGTAAAAAAAAAAGCCCAAGTCATATTCAGCGAGAAACGAAAGTCGGTATGGCTCTGAGGCTGTCAAAGGCAGGGGTTGAATGAAAATTCCATGATGGTGTGTAGGATAGCAAGGGCTGTGAGATAAATCGGTCAAGTAAGAAGGGTGGTAATTCGCTACCAAGAAATTTCGTATGTTCACCCGGGCGACGGGAATGCAGATCAGTCGTCAAATACAGACGCAGACAATGACTTGCTTTGGGGCCCAAGGCTTGCAGCCTCGATCTTTCAGCGGGCTCATGCGTGAATTAAATGGTCGGGCTGCACCACTAGCGCTGATTCTTGAGAGCATGGCATCTCTGATTTGCCGATGACACTGCATGAACCAATGCCCGCGCCCAAAACCGGAAACCCCTTTGTCACTACCCAAGATTGTGCTGTGAACGATCAAACACTTTGGGTGAGTCGATGAACTGTGGATCCATAGGAATTTTGAGATGTGATAGATCTTTTGATGTTCAATACTTTAATTTTTATATGCAGATTTAAAGCATAAATGTACCTTTGATCTATAAAAGTAGATAAATATTGAGTAAAACCTTTGGGACTCCAGGGTTCCCTGAGAAAAGACGCGATTTCCAAGAAGCGGGGGAAATGGCCCTCCTTGTCAACCATGACCATACTCGATTTCTAGTGGATAATCCTCTTATTCGCGACGGCCCGAGCCTACATCACCGCGCCACGCGACACCGTCCTTATGAACATGACTTTGCACCCAATAGATTATGATGCCGTGTACACAACCATGGGCTAGCGCGCTCTGATAGGACTGGGGAAAGGGCCAAGCGGCTCCTGTTTAATATCCTAGCCTTTTTTCGTGCCCTGCCTACTTGAGCTGGGCAGCACCTAGAGTCTCATGACTAGAGAGGAAAACCTGTTCAGCACACAGGGGGTATCCAATAGATGGTATTGATCGGGTGCTTAGATGTGCATAACTGCATGCGTGCATGCCAGATGCGACTACCGCAAAGCATCAGAATTTTCACTCTGCAGCATGATAGGGACCCTCTGGCAAAAGCCAACCTATCAAGGATCCCATCATGGAAGGCGCCAGCCACCTGTTCGCGCTAAGTACCTAAGGACTGGGCAACTGGCACATAAGATAGCGAAGAGCCGCTCACCGCTTGAATATATTTGATGAAGAAGGATTATTACTACTAGAATATTCAAGTTACTAGATATATGTGGCTCCAATAAAGATAGATCACTCTGGCCCGAATATATCCCCAACCCAGCTATTGAGTTGGGAGGGCGGGGATAGAACATTGCAAGGAGGTCGAAGAGTTGAGAATTGGGTGTTCTTTAATAAAGGACGAGGGCATATAGTCAAGAAATACCGTATTATAATCAAAGTGCAAGAGAAATGCCATTTCGGGCTCCGTATTTAAGTCAGGCGACAAGGACGAGGTTCAAAAAGTTGGTATACTCATGGCCGAAACCTTTCTCAAACACGAGTCACCTGGGACTTATGCATCAAATACCAACTGGGCAAAGAAAAGGCACGATATCTGCTACTAGCAGTTAAACTCAACTGCAGCATCAACGGATTGATGTTGAGGCTGGCCTGCCTCAGGCATACAGGATGCCGTGCCTTTTGTCGAAATAACTTTCAATTTGTCTTCTTCTTCTTGATCTATGACCACCACCACTATCGGTATCATCTATCGACGAGATCTTTCCAGGCATATCCATCACCATCATCACTCAACGATTAACGATTAACTCCGGTTGTGAAGGCAGGGATGCTTGACGGTTGAGTCATCGCTGCGATTTTGACGAGACAAGGACATGCGATACCCAGAGACTTGGGGTTAGTTCAGCTTATTATATATCATATTAGCCTACAAGACATTTCGATCGCAGGATACGTAAATGTAGATGTAGACAAAATGTCACGGTCTAATCTAATCTGCCGGGATGATCCTGCCCCGGGCCGTTGACCCACTGCCCCTGAGGTCTGTTTTAACTTCTCGGAATTTTTACCTTCCTCACACTCCTCCAACATCCATCGCACCATGGGGAAAGTCTTTTCTAAAGTATACGACGAGACTTTCAAGATACGAGCACTTGTATCCGAGATACTCGCGACGAAACAATGTTTTGACGCTCTCGTCTCTCGGGTCTCGGCCGTAACATTCCCGGTCTCAAACCCCACCTCCTCATTTTGGCAAAATGACCCAGTGTTCCCGGAACTGGTGAACATGCAATCTGAGAATCTCCCAAATACCGCTGACGTTGTCATTATTGGGTCAGGGATATCCGGTGCCAGCGTGGCATACTCAATTCTCAATGGGGTCCAGAATCAACGGAAAGCTAAGCAACCCCTCAAGATAGTCTTGATAGAAGCTAGGGAAACGTGCAGCGGTGCAACCGAGAGAAACGGAGGTCATATCAAATGCGCTGCGTATTTGGAATATTCTTCTCTAAAGTCGAGATACGGAATCGATAGCGCAAAGAAAATCTTGCAATTTCAGAAACGACATATGCCCATCCTACTTGATATGATACAACAGATGGGCTTGGATTCTGCAGAGGCGAAAGAAGTTGAAACAGTGGATATCTTCACCGACGAGAAAAGATGGAACGAGGCGAAGATGATGGTGCAAGAATTAAGGGACGAATTCCCCGACGCGGCTGAAGATACTGTGATTCATGATTGTTCGAGTGGTTGTGAAGTAAGCTGTACCCCCTTCCTCTTCCAATGGCATACTAAATGCGTTTAGAAATATAATGTGGATCCCCAGCACTGCTATGGAATCATATCCTATCGTGCAGCAGCCCTTTCGCCATACCGCTTCATCACCGCCCTCTACGCATCTCTTCTCGCATCATTTCCTTCCGACTTTTCTATCGAGACCAAAACTCTCGCGACCGATATACGAATTGATGTTAAAAACTCTGACCGGCCCTTCGTGGTCACCACGCCAAGGGGAAACATCAATGCAACCCATGTTGTGCATGCCACAGACGCATTCGCAGCGAATCTCATCCCGGGGCTAAAAGGGAAGCTCTTCCCGGTACGGGGACATATGACCGCTCAAAGTCCAGGAACCCATTTTGCAAAACTTGCAGGCTCTAGGTCATGGTGTATCCATCACAAGCGCGGCTTCGACTATATCAGCCAACGACCCGGCGAAGGCGATCTTATGGTTGGGGGTGGGGTAGTCCAGTCAGAGGAGAAAGGAATGGATGAGTTTGGAGTCTGGAGAGATGATCGGATCAGTTATCATGTTCTTGCGTATCTGAATGGACTTATGCCCACGCTCTTCGGTACCAATATCTGGGGGGTCGATGAAGCTCCCAGAGCGAAGCAAGCATGGACTGGTTGTATGGGGTTTACGCCGGATCTTTTACCTTATGTTGGCAAGGTGGAGGATAGTCTTACTCACCGGAAACTAGAATTTCCGTCAGGACAAGATGATAGAAAGGAAGCTGCCGAGTGGATTTCAGCGGGCTTCCAAGGGGAGGGTATGGTCATGGCGTGGTTGTCGGGTGTTGCCGTTGGCATGATGATTATTGGGGACGAAGAAGGCGAATTTCTGGAATGTCCAGGGATACCTAAAGGAAATGTTGAGGATTGGTTGCCTCGAGAGTTTGTTTGTTCCAAACGAAGGGTGGACAAGTTGAGTCTCTCAGATATGGCAACGCTTCTGTAGTACAGATTTTGATTTAAACAACGTCGTCGTCTTGTTACAAGTTACTAGTTGAGTTTTCTACGATGAGGAAGTTTGGAAATTCCAAAGTTTGAAATAGAGAATTAAAATTATATTTGAGATTATTTTACGCCATACACTAGGAGTGTCTTGTAAGGCTCAAAATCAGCCAGCCTCCCCAAAGAGAAACAGGCTAAAGGAAAAGGAAATAAGCAAACAAGTAAAAGCAATCAATCGAAAGGAAATAGGTGCACAGTGTGAACTGAATTGAGTGTAACGCCAGGCCAAGATATTATGAAACATAAGAGCAACTTCATTTCGTGATGATCATAATAATTGTAGACATGAAAAGACTTTTCGTTATATGCAATGTGCTTTTGGTGAGAGGTCGAGTCGATACCGAGTCAAAGACATGATCCGATCTCTACTCATCATAGAGATCCATGTTACCAGTGTCACCGTCCATATCAGCGGCAGATGAGTCAGAGTCAGAATCACTCATTGATTCATCTCCGTCGCTATCGGTGGGACTATGGTGGTTAGGCAAGACGTCGAGGTGACCATCGCGAAGAACAACACGAGCCTGCTCGCCATCCCGGACACTGCCACGAAGAATAAGAACAGCAAGGCGATTGAGGACTTCGCGCTCGATGAGACGCTGCAAGGGACGGGCACCATAAGCTGGCGAGTAACCCGCAGCACCGAGATAATCCTTGACTTCCTCGGTGCAGTAGATTTCGACATTGCGGCCGTTGTGCTCTAGGCGTTGCTGGACCTCGTTGAGACGGAGGTCGACGATCCTGCGGATCTCCTTCCTGGTGAGACGGTTGAAGATGACGGTGCTGGAGATACGGTTGAGAAATTCCGGCAGGAAGTAGTTGCGGAGTGCGCCCATGACCATCTCGCGGGTTTGCGAGTCGATTTGGCCATCGTTGGATGTTGGGCGGGCAAGGTATTCGGCTCCCAAGTTGGAGGTCATGACGACGATGCAGTTCTTGGCATCGACGATGCGACCTTGGCCGTCAGTGATACGACCGTCGTCCATGAGTTGTAAGAGGACGGTGAGAACTTCCTTGGCTGCCTTCTCGACTTCGTCGAAAAGGAGAATCGAGAAGGGGCGACGACGAAGACTCTCGGTCAGCTGGCCCCCGGCATCGTGGCCGACGTAGCCGGGGGGGAGCACCGATCATTCGGCTGAGTGAATGGCGCTCCTGGTATTCGGACATGTCGAATCGGATCATGGCCTTGGGGTCGTCGAAGAGGAATTCAGCCAAAGCCTTCGTGAGTAGAGTCTTACCGGTACCCGAAGGACCGCAGAAGAGGAAGCTTGGAGGGGCGTTCGGATTGCTAAGGCCGGAGCGTTGCAGTCGGATGGCGTTCGAAACTGAGACAACCGCTTCCTTCTGGCCGATCACAATCTTACCCAACTTCTTCTCCATGTTGAGCAATTTGTCCTTCTCGGTGGTACGAAGTCGTGTGACAGGGATACCAGTCCAGCGACCAACGATCTCGTTGATCTGGTCGGGACCAACTGCATCGGCGAGTAGAGCCTCGCCACCCTCACCAGCGGTAGCTTGTCGCTCCGCGTCAGCTCGGGCTCGATCAGCCTCAAGACGCTCGATGAGGTTCTTGGTCTCAGGAATGGCATAGTATTCGAGATCGGCAGCAGTTTGAGTATCGCCAGATCGCTCAGCCTCGTCACGCTTGACTTTCAGGGAGTCGAGCTTGATCTTGGCATCTTGCACTTCCTTGCTGCGCTTCTTTTCGCTCTCGTACTTTTCGCGCATGGGTCGCAGTTCCTCGGCAACGTTTGCAGCCTCCTGCTTGGCAACTTCGAGTCGAGCTTTGGAAGCGTCATCCTTCTCACGCTCCAAGGCATGGATCTCAATCTGGAGTTGGCGGAGCTTTCGGTCGAGGGTATCGAGGGCCTCGGGCTCGGATTCACGGGTGACTCGAACCGCTGCTGCAGCCTCGTCGATGAGGTCAACTGCCGAGTCGGGAAGACGCCGGGCTGTGAGGTAACGAGAAGCCAGGGTAGCCGCAGTAACGATGGCACCATCCATAATGTTGACACCGTGGTGGACTTCGTACTTCTCTTTGAGACCACGCAGAATGGAGATGGTTTCGGACACCGACGGCTCTTTGACAAGAACCTGTTGAAATCGGCGCTCGAAAGCCTGATCTTTCTCAATGTACTTGCGGTACTCACTCAGAGTGGTCGCACCGATACAATGCAGTTGGCCCCTAGCCAGCATAGGCTTCAGGAGATTGGCTGCATCCATGCCGCCCTCGCCACTAGATCCAGCGCCCATCAAAAGGTGGATCTCATCGACAAAGAGAACGATGGTGTCCTTCGAGTCTTCGATTTCTTTGAGGACGCCCTTCATGCGCTCCTCGAACTCGCCGCGGTATTTGCTGCCGGCTACGAGGGAGCCGACGTCGAGAGACAGGAGTCTGCATTGAGCCAGGTTGGCGGGGATATCGGCATTGACGATTCGGCGGGCCAGACCCTCCACAATAGTGGTCTTACCGACACCGGGTTCACCAATGAGGACAGGGTTGTTCTTTGTTCGGCGACTGAGGATTCGAATGACACGGCGGATCTCCTCCTCGCGACCAATGACGGGATCGATCTTACCCTCGCGAGCGAGAGAAGTCATGTCAATGGTGAACTTTTTGAGGTTCTCATTTTCGCTCTCGGAATCGGCGGTCTTGGAGTCGACGCGCCGGGATCCCCGGATTTGCTGCACGGCACTGTCAATCAATTTAAGATTGGGGACGTTGGAGTCGCGCAAGGCACGCTCGACCTGGGAATCCTGCACAACGGTTTGAATCAAGTGGTCGACCGCAACGAAGCTGTCCTTTTGGGTCTTGGACAGGTCGGCGGCCGATCGGAGAACCTTTGCGAGCTGTGGAGAGACGGCGACAGTCTCTGGAGGTGGATCTTGGCTGGGTAGACGAACCAACAGCTTCATTAGTGACCGATCGAGCAGCTGAGGGTCACCATGAGCGCGTTCGATGACCTGGCGGAATAGCGGGGTAGAGGAGGATTCGTGGGAGGAGTGGCCCACGGGCTGTTGATCCTGGGATTCATCTGGAGCTGGGTTGAGAAGAGAGACAGCCAGGTGGAGGGGTAGGATTTGCGAGTGGGCATATTGTTCGGCCAAAGCGCTGGCATCCAGCAAGGCCTTGTTTGCCCGATCTGTGAATTGAGCGCCGTTCATGTTGAACGGAGTAGTAGTGGAAGATCAGTTCGAGGTGTGTAGTGTGCTGTAGTGAAGTGGGTTGCAGTGTGTGCTTTTAGTGTATGTGCAAGTTAAATCAAGCTGTAAAAGGTGAAGGTGAAGGTGAAGGTCGAAATTGATCAGCCCACCAAGATGACTTGAACCTAAATATACTCTTGGGCTGCCATCCCGAAACATCTGGCCAGTCCATGACGACACCCGCGTCAACGAGGTGCTTCCACCGCCTTCTCGAAGCATCACCTGAATTCGCGAGTGATCTGCCCATCACGTGAGTCAAGACACTACACTAGCCACATTTCACACAGCCACATCATCCCACTTCCCTCGGGTCACATGATCAACCCAAAGAAGACAATTGCTTTGATGGAAAATGATTCCCTTGTTCCATTCAATCCAGTCCAATGAATCCATTACCTTCCATTGGCTGGAAGACAGCCAAAAGTGTATCCCGCGTGTGGAGGGCGTCGAGTCCACTTGACGAGGTCGGATCCAGAAAATGATGTGGTAAGTCTTGATTTGATCATGACGCAGTGCCGCTGACGCCAGCCTAGGAACGGAACAACCAACCCCTCTTTCTACGATCGGGTCGATGGACTCTCAAGCCCAGCCTTCTATGGATGGAATAGTCTGTAACCCTAGCCAACCCGATGGTAACTACGGAGTACCGATAAACCGAAATCAACAACAATCTGCAGCCTCTACGCTGGTGGCTGAACTTATTTCTATTTATCCTGCTCGTACCGTATGGGACGAAGTACGAGATCCGTGTCTACCCTCCCTAAAGATATATCGCGATATCCACGATAAGCGGCAAAAAAAACATGGACATGACGTCAATACGACCGGCCAACATGCAAAATACGAGTAAACGGGATCAGACCTCGTTTTTACGGAGTACGGAGGACTGCTTGGAATCCTCGGCCGAGCTGCCTGTAAATCAAAGCAAACCTTAGGGCACAGGCAGAGAGAGAAAACGAAACTTGAAGGACTTGCAATGCCCGCAGCAGTGGCCTCCGTCCTCGGTCATACATACTCCACCCTCAGCTCACACACGGGATTTTACCGGATGGCCAAAAATTCCCCAAAAATCCACCCTATGGGCACACAGGCCCAGACATCGTGGATACCGTCGCGGGAGGAGGGCTCCATCCCTCGCCGCATCCAAGACGGAGGATCGCTTGAATCGAGCGCCCACCACCCACTTAGTGGGGCTTCGATTGGATACGACCAGGCAGCGCAGCAGCCAGTCCAAGGTTTTTTTTCTTCTCCCTCTCTTTTCGCTGGGGCCACTGCGAGCAATGAGGCGGATATGGCGCAGAAAATAGCAGCGGTAGGTTCCTGCGGCGGGGCCGGCGGAGAGAGGGGCGAGAATTGTCTTGTCGTTGATTTGCCTGTGACCTTGTTCTGGACCAAACCGCTGCGACCATGACCATGATAATTCTCGTTTGTGCAGTATACATACTCCGTATATATGGTCACTGCCCAGGAGGACGGAGTCAAAGTGCGGCATTATTCTATAACCTGCCACACACTACTGTACCTATCGCGAGAGAACAAGGTGCTAGACCATGTAGATCTCAATCTTTCCCCTCATCTTGAAGTGTAGGCCGGTATTCCCGGTGCCTGCTACAGAGCATCATTCCAGTACGTAGCATAGAGCATCTGATAGGTGTAGAGCAAACACAGTTCCAGTTCCAGTTCCAGTTTCCACGGCGAGATGGAACGATCTGTGGCAACAGGGCTGTGTCCACCCGAGGTCGTTGGGAAAACCCGGTAGGATAGCCCGAGCTTATCCAGACTGAGTTTGAGTTGACCACAAGTGTCTGAACCCATTTATTTCCATTAGGAGTGGAAATTAGGAGTGGAAATTCCTAAGAGGTTGAAACTAGTTTAGTACCTACTGGAGCCCTGGCTATAAAACTCAACCCTGATCTTCTCACGCCATCGCCCCCCCAGATTGTACTCATCACCACGACCTTGTATTTGCTGCCTCACTGCACGCTACACTTGGGGACTCGGCTGTCTCGGCCTGACTTTATTTTGTGCCGATCGAGGATTATCTTTTTACTCCCGAGCACTCGGTACTGGCCAACAGGGCAACAGAGCACAGGGCACAGCTGACTTTTGCCTGTCATCGGACTTGCCATTTGCTGCTCGGTCTGCTCCACGAGTTTATTCCACTTTGCCTTTCGCCCTGATTTTCTCACAGGCTTCTTCTCTGCTCTCTGCATTCATTCGGAATTGCTGGGAACCCATCAAGAATCTCTATATTCATAATATTTATCCATTCAACTTTTTGGATACCTCATCATCATGTCTACTAAACCCATCTTCGTGGCAACGCACCCTCGTGCTTGCTCTACGGCTTTTGAACGAGTATGTTTGGAATTTTCATCTTTCGTTTATGATTCTCAGGCTGGTTGATTTGTAGCCATTCACCAAATGGCTGCATCTACATCACCTACATCATCTACGCTGTCCAATACAGTACAGTGCTGACATACATCTACAGGTCTTCATGACTCAACGCTCCACCATCCAGTGTATCCATGAGCCTTTCGGTGATGCCTTCTACTATGGCCCGGAGCGTCTCTCCGACCGTTTCGAAGACGACGAACAAGCTCGCCTGGACAGCGGCTTCAGCCAGTCGACATATCTTACCGTGTTGGAGAGAATTGAACGAGAAGCATCCGAGGTCCGATCCTTTCTTCCCTGAACTTTCCTGATTTCGTTCTTTCCTTTTGTCATTTGACCTCGGTCCTTCACGGATGAGATCTTGTTCAAACCCCCATCTGGGAACCCTTCTTCACATTCACTGGCATCAGAGCCATGTATCTGTAGCACAGAGCCGAGAACCTGGCAACAGGGTCTCGCACCTGTCACACGTCAATGAAAATTTCCCTGGACGAAATACTTACCAGTATGCAGGGCAAGAGAATCTTCATCAAGGACATCGACCACTACCTCCTCCCACCAAATGAACTACCGGCAAGCGTGGCCCCGTCCCTTCACCGCATCAAGCGCGGCGTCGGCACCAACGGCACCAACGGCGAAGTCCAGGCCAACGGCGTGAACGGCGATGTCAACGGACACGCCCACGCCAACGGCCACACCGCGACCAACGGTGTCACACCCGACACCAACGGCGCGGTGAGCAACGGCAGCACCAACGGCGTCACCAACGGCACCAATGGCACTGCCACAAACGGGCACACCAACGGACACAGTAATGGCCACACCAACGGCCACGCCTCCGTCCGACCGTACCCGTACAACACGCCCGCAGAGACAGGCAATCCAACCGTCATGCCTCGAGCCCTGCAAGAGCGTTTCCACTGGGCTTTCCTAATCCGCGACCCGCACTTCAGTGTGCCCTCGTATTTCCGCTGCACGATCCCCCCCGCTGGATAAAGTGACGGGCTTTTATAATTACTCGCCGTTGGAAGCTGGGTACGACGAGCTGCGCCGGCACTTCGATTATCTTCGGAGGGAGGGACTTGTTGGACCACGGGTGGCGACGAGGTCTGATATCAGCGTTGAAGATGAGGCGAAGACTAAGAAGACCACTGATGAGATCTGTGTCGTTGATGCGGATGATATGCTCGATGCACCGGCTGCGACTATCGAGGCGTTCTGCAATAGTGTCGGCTTACCTTATACGCCTGACATGTTGATTTGGGATACTCCGGAGGATTATAAGGTTGCCTGTGATGCATTTGAGAAGTGGCGTGGTTTCCACAATGATGCTATCGAGTCGAGTAGTCTGGTTGCGAGAACTCATGTAAGTTTCTAATTTTTTTTTTCTTTCCAGCGGAGGGAAGGGGTGATGAGGATGGGATGGATTGGGCTAACGTGTTGCAGAAACATGCTCGCAAGACGGAGGAGCAGTTCGATGAGGACTGGCGCAAGAAGTATGGACCTGAGGCTGCGGCTATGATCCGCAAGACGGTTGATGCCAACATGGAGGACTATCTTTATATGAAGCAGTTCGCCGTCAAGGTCTAACTGGTTAAACCTTGTGGTACCATTGGTATATGAGGTATACCGCCAGGGGAGAGAAGAGGTGGAGGAAGAGAAGAGAAGAGAATGAGAAGAAGAAAGGGAGAGAGCAAAGAGGAAGAATGATCCCTAGTATTCTGTTGTTCAATGATGTGCTTTCGCAATTCCCCGATTCCCCCATGAGAACGATTTAGTCCCGATGACGCGATCATTCGCCCCGATCACTCGCCCGTCTACGCTTCTCTTTGCTATGATTGGTCCATTTGTCTCTGTTTCATCGCTTCACCGACTTTACTTTACTTCGATGTCGTGCTTTTGTGCGTTGTCTTGCGGGGGATCAAGATCTGATCTCCCGGTCTCGTTTGTCTTGCATTCCAGACTGAATTGATACCTGACTTATCCACACCACATAACATTTTATTCTTATTGTAACACCTATACTCCACTGAAGAATCAGCATTGAATTTGAAGAAGCTCTGGTGGTTGAACCTCAGGCGATGACGAGATTCCCGGGGTGTGAAGGCTCATCGCAGTGCGAACATGCTACTAGTACTCGTAACCCCAATGCAATCCTGGATGGAGTGCTGGGTATCATTCTGCGAATCAACCTCAATCCACAAAGACCCCGAGCCAATAGCCGGATCATTCCTGTCTCGTGAGTAACTGGCAGTTTTTCATTCGAGCACTTGCTTTTTCGATACCTTCCCCTAGCCTTAGCATATGATCTTTATATCGACAGCAACCAGACCTATTTCCCATCTGGGCAGCCTTCCATTAAACAAACATAAAAATAAAGCACCCGGCTATGATAATAGCTAGATTCCAATCATGTATAGTCACATTGTTGCTATAACTCACATCTAGCGCCTACCGTGGTACCCATGGTGAATTTGAATGAACCCAATCAGCCACATAAGCTACAAAAACCCCGGCCGAAGCCATACAAAATTGCAGTGCAGAGGTCTGACAATTCCCTCTCTCATCGTACAGAAGAAAGCTATGCTGCGGTCCTACTTACACCGCACTGTATCCACCCCTCGTTCCGGAGCCTTGCAGGGTGTCAACGACCCGACGACCCCAGTCCTTGCAGAGGTATGGCACGTCGCGAATTGCATCGCCGTGCGGGAGGAGGTCCCAGCCTCGTGCGCCGTGGCGGTTGTAGTTGAGCCAGGAGCCGAAGATGAGGTATGCCGCGACGCAGAGGAAGACACTGGATGAGATTGGGGCGGTTAGTCTTTGCTTTGTCGGTCTCACAACGAAGGGTATCGTCACTTCAAACACTCACATGATGATCATCCACGTAAAGAATCCCCAACCATTATTGGAGCTAGCCTCCTTACCCCTCTGATACTCATCACAAGCATAGCGTGTGCGCCACTCAAGCTTAAGCACGTAAATGCCATCCTCATTCGGAGCAAAGCTCTTGTACTGAAGACTTTGGTCGGAGGTCTTCTCCCCATCACCCTCACCCTCGCCACCACCATCCGCCCGGCGTCTCTTCTCACTCCCCTCATCCTCCGACTGTGCCTCCTTGGTACTAATACCCTCCAACCCCGACCGGTCCGGATCACACTGGAAATCAATCACGGCAGCCGTATCCTTGGCCTTTTGATCATTGTGCTCGCCCTTCCAGGAGCCACCGGAGATCTTCAGACGCAGACCCTCGGTCTCAGAGCCCTCGATCTCGCTGAGTCGCGTGAACTGCGGATCCTTAGATCCGCCGCCCATCGGGTCGAGTCCCGCGATCGGGAACCCGAATTTCTGGTCGCCGTTGCCATCAGCTGGTTTTAGGTCTTCGAAGCCGCAAACTACGTGGAGGGAGGGTTAGTTAGTCGGCGCCTGATGGGTAGAAAGCTTTTTTGGATATGGGTGTGGGTGTGGGGGAGGGTCAGGGTCAGGGCCAGACGTACTGTTTTTAGAGTACTCGCAGCTGCCAGCTCCGTTCGGGCGTTTGGAAGCTTTGCCTAGCGGGGAGCAGATGTCGAGGACATAGGTGGTATTCGTAGAGTACTCTTCAGTCTTGTTGAGGTGGTAGATCTCGTGCACGCCGCCCAAGCCACTGAGATCGTATTTGTAATCGTTGACCTTGATTTGGGCGCAATCGAAGGTGAGCGCGGTCGCGAAGCTGGCGGTTAGCGCGGAGAGAAGAATGGGTGTTTTGCTGGATTGTATTCGCATGGTGGAGGGCTGGGATGTATGTCGGTGCAGAGGAGGTGTGTGTTGGACGTTGGAGTCACGGAGGCGGACCCGGACTCGGACTCGCGACGGAAGTGGAAGTGGAAGTGGGAGTGGGAGGTGGAGGTGGAGGTGGAGCTGAAGCTGAGGCTGAAGTTAAAAGGAGGCTGACAAGCTCTGCCGGATCAGGAGAACAGAGCAGATAGGGCCAAGAAGAATGTGATAGCTCTGCTCTGGAGATGGCAGTAGGTAGGATGGGGCTGAGTTGGAGTGAGACGAAGCGATGACGGCGTGCGGAGGTGTTTCGTTTCTCCGGTGCGAATTGCCATTGCGACTGCCTGGCCTTAGCTGCTATTAGTATGGGACACTACTACTGCTTCCACACAGATGGTATGGTTATACTATACTGTTCAGAGTATACAAATTAATAAGGAGGATACTCAATTCCAGTCATTTATTTTCAGCTTAATTCCATTCTAATGGTAGTTAGAAAGTAGAGCTACCTGTGGGTGATGGCATATACTCTACTGCACTGCTACGCTACTCACAAGAATACTGAAATAATTTATTTAAGTCTATCTAGGTAGATATGAGTATTCTGAGCATAAGTATAGCCACAAGTTTAGCTACAGTTACCCTATAATTATGACTATAGTGATACCCAAACTACCATAGTCATACTCCCACTGCAGCAAGCCGCTGCTCTGCCCCTCCGCCTGCGCACGGACCAACTGCGTCAACCGACGAACTTTCCATCAACTCTCCTTTTGGTGTTGACACTCTCATTACATTTCAAGATGATGCAACCTCGCATGGTATGTATCTAAACCTTGAGCTGCTTTCTCTCCCTATATCTGACTTTGATGCCCCCTTTCCTCCCACTCACCCCGCACCGATGCCTTTCAAGCTCTCACAACACCACATCCCACTAACTCCTAACTCTCACAGCTCTCGCGAGAGGAAGAAGGCCTCGGTGGCAGCGACGAGAATGAAGTTCGCCGCGAGGATCAAGAGAAGATCAATCGATTCAGCCGATTGCACCAGCGTGAAGCCACACTAGAGGATCAGCTCAAGGCCAAGCAGGTATGACCCGCAACCCCGCCAATATCCAGAAGAGAAGCAATTGGATTTCCATGTTTGGAATTGCCATCAACGCGAAGAAAACAATACTAACATCCTTACAGAAGGACAAGGAAGACTTGGAGGAAATCTCCATGGAACTCGAACTAGCCGATGAAGATGAACTCGTCCCGTGCGTTCTCCATTCCATTCCATCTACCCGCGTCTCTATTCCCAAGGGGCACGCAGGCAGCAAGCTACCAGTCAGGTACAGAATCAATTCTAACTAGAACAGCTACAAAATCGGAGACTCCTTCTTCCAGCTTCCTCTCGCAGATGCCCAGTCCATGCTCACCACATCCACAGAGCAGATTGACACCGACGTCTCCAAGCTTGAGGATTCCATGGGTGAGATCCGCGAGGAAATGCAGCAACTCAAGGTTGCCTTGTATGCGCGATTCGGACGCAGTATCAACCTGGAGACCTAAAGCAATGGAATTATCTGTATTCTTTACTCAGGTTCGAGATCTTGATGACATGACCCCCAATTCAAAAATGTATCTATTCAACAAAATCCAAATTTATCTCAAATTTCACAGATATGCTAGTACTACCGGAACTGCTGGGTCCGTCTCAGTCTCGACTTTGGCTCCGACTTGATAATGGAGTTGTCTCGCCTGTGACTGGTCTATTTGGCGTGAAGATGGGATTCTTCTTGGTTCATCATTTCTGTCCATGAAACTTGAAGCTTGTATGTACTACCTTTAGGTAGAGGTATCACTTCGTGACAGACAGATCATAGACACTGGCAGACAAACAGGCAGACAATAAGTTTGAATATCACCGAGGACCATTCACTACACAAAACTCGAACCCATGAAGTGAACAACCAACAATCAACCACAGCTCATAATTCATTCAATCAAATAAAGGTAAGAGGTATCTAAGAAGACCAAAAGAAGAAGAAAAATAAAAGAACCTTAAGAAACGAAACAGTCCACCAGAAGATATCACAAATCCAACGCTGCGGTGCGGGGCATATATATAAGCCAAGGAAGGGAAAGGAAACGATTGCAAATTGCAACACGGGTTATCAGATCAACGCCGATTCTCCAGTGCAGTGCAGTGCGGCGCGGTACGGTGCAGAGCTGCCCAGTAGGGAGGGAAGAAGGGAGAGGAAGAGGGTGGGCATCCCGGAATCAAAAATCAAAAATCAAAATGGGAGGGTTGGGCCAGGCCATGGGTATCTCTCGCTCCACTCTAGTGCGCAATGGCATGGCATGGTAGGGCATGTTTTATATAAGCACTGGCGGAGGAAAGCAGTTATGTACGGCTTGGAACTTGCGAAATGGAATCGCGTTTCCTCGCGTGTTTTTTTTTCCGGAAGGTTGGTACTGCAAAATTATTTTGTTCTGTTTTTTGGTGCGAGCCGTTTACCGGAACTTGGCGCGGCAGCGACCCATGATTTCGTTCTGGCAGACCAACTCGGCGCTGAACTCACTTCCGTCCAGTGTGAGGTAAATGTCAAAGTACACTCGGTAGAAGATACCCTGGGGAGTATCCATGCGCTCGAAGTCGGTCTCGAGGTTCTTGCGAGACAGATCCGAGGTGAGGGTGACGACTTCCTTGATACCTTTGGGAGGGTTAGTTTGGAATGATTCAAAGTCAGTTGGGTCGAAAGGGATTACTCACGAGGATCCTTGGTATATTCGGGGCAGACATCCTCATCACAGGCGTACAGAACGTCCTCGTACATAAGGGTAGCACCGGGCGCCACCTGGCGGAAGAAGCTGACCTTGACGGGCTCGCCGATTTTGACACGCTCACCCTTCTGCACGAAGATCTGGCGAGTGTACTTGCAGCGATCCCGACCATCGAGACTGGGAACACGATATTGCTCGGGGTGGTATCCCTCCTTGAATGGCTGAAGGGTGGCCATGAGATAGTGCCGACGGGCAACACGGTGGGTGATGACTCGTTCGGTGATACCGGCGGTGACAGCACCCTTGACGATAGCGGCGACCGAGTCCATGGGGCGCACAACCTTGGTGTTATATTGTGGCGGGACATGCAATTTGATTTGCTGGAAGAGGTACTCGGAGGCACCGAATCCACCGACAACCAGGACGTTTTGCAGCACACGATTCTGGGCCTGGATGGCGATGATCTGATTGCGAACCAGTTCCAGGATACGGTTGACCACTGGCTCAAAGCATTGGAGAATCTCCTCGTTGGTGAACATCATGTAGCCTTCCTCGATACCCGCGTCCGGGAAGTCAGCCTCAATGCCGACATCCACCGCCCATTTTTGTCCGTTGTTGCGGAAATCCGCCTTGATACGGTTCTCGAAATCCATGATACACTTGGCGTAAACCTTGCCCGCAATGCGCGAGCCGTCCGGCAGCTTCATCTTCCGAATCTTGGCGCGCAAGATGTTGCTAAAGTTGCGATTCAGCGCCGTGGAACCGCAGGAGTCACCAGATCCGGTGGTGCATTCCATCACACTAAATGGCGATTCTTCTTCCACCTCGTAGGCGATCAAATCAACGGTACCACCACCGCAATCGACAATCAAGATGGCGTCACCAATCTTCAGATTCAGCAGACCGCTCTTCGCACAGAAGAGAGCGGCGGCCTCGGGCTCCGAGACGAGAGTCAGACGGTTATCATTCTCATCGCGCAAGAAGCCTGCTTGAATAGCAGCAGCACGGGTGGCTGCCTTGCCGGCATCGTTCCAGATAGCGGGGACGGTGAGATAGTATCGAATGTTGCGCTCTTCGCGAGTGAAAACCTCACCCAGGGTCTTTTGCAGCTGGGCCCGCATGGCCTGGCGCAGTTTGAAGAGGTAATCGGCAGCGACATCGATTTCGGACTTTCCAGGGGGAAGCGGGGGCAAGTTGATGGGGTCGATATAGGTGTTCCCGGAGAGCATCAGCTGCAACTTGAACCATTCCACCTTTTGCACGCCGGGCTTGGGGTATCCTGTCGGGGCCAAGGCATCGGCGATATCGGGGCCCCAGCCAACTACCTTTTGATATTGGTCGTAGTAGAGGACGGTGGGAATCTATACAAAGCAAGGTCAATAAAAGGTATACATAAAGCGAGACCATGCGACCATGCGACAATTTTATAAATTGTCACTGTGACAACAACACGCGGGGCGAGGGCGGGGCGAGGCGGGGGGGGGGGTCCCTAATTAGAGAACGATCGCGGGCTTACCTTTTGCTTGGTGTGTGTACCGGCGCCGGGCCATTCTGTGATGATATCCTCGCGGGCTTCATTGTTGGTGGCAAAGGCAAAGGCAACACCGGAGAAGGTAGTACCAAAGTCAATACCAACAATGAGCTGGGACTTGCCTCGATTGGCACCCTCGACCTCGGCGGGGTTGCGATATTGTTGTGCGGCCCCCGGGGCCATGGGGAGACCCATGGCCTGTGGCTGTTGCATGCCATAGGCGGGAGGAGGGTTCATCTGTTGCGGAATACCGGGCTGGTACTGTTGTTGCTGCATGTTTGGTAGAGGAGCGGGGTGTTGGGTGAGTTGTTGGCCAGGAACCATGGGACTCGTGGGACGGTGTTGTTGGAGCTGGTGTTGAGGTGGGTAACTGGGTGGTCGCTGTTGTTGTGGTGGTGGAGGTTGAGATTGTTGAGATTGTTGTTGATTGATTGACAGACTCGCAGTCGACGAGCTGCGATGGGATGGGGGCGCAGTGGGTGAAGTACCGTTGGTGGAGGGGGCAGTGTTGGAGGGGACAGGCGAGGCTGGCTGATGTTTATCACGCTTATTCTTGAAGCCAAGGCCTGACCGGAATCTCGAGCCGATGGATTCCATGTGCGGCGAAGAGAAAAGGGAGGAGGAGGGAGAAGGAGAGGGGGGGGATAAAAGAAAAAAGAAATGGGGGAACAAGGGGAGGAGGAGAGGAGGGGGGGGAGGAGGAGGACAAGGCTGAGAGAGAATACGAAGGGGGGGAAAAGTGTCAGCTCGGCAGAAACAGAAAAAGGACTTGGACAGATCCGAACAGGAAAGGCCTGGTGGATTGTAGGGCCTAAAGGGAGATTGTGGCCGGCTGAGGAGGAAAAGGGAAAAAGAGGAACAGAATGGAAAAGAGAAAAGAGAAAGAGGAAAGAGTGCGAGGGATCATCGTGAGGCTGAGCGGAGTATCTGAGCTTGCCTACTTGGTGTGTGCGAGTATACACTGTTGATACTGTTGATATATGAAGCTATTATATCTGGTTCACTACGAACTGGGTTCTACTATCTACTATGTCCTTGACTCGACTCTCCTAGTGTATGCTCATGCTAATTCTTATTCACCAATGTCTTTCTATCTATATTTTCACTCCCATCACCATCTTTTCTTTGTTTTGGCCCCCAACCAATGGGAAATTACTGGGGGGCTGTGAGGCAATCCAATCCTGTCGAGACGGCTCCTTCACGGAGATGTGTACGAGTATTCTGCTCTGCTCTATTTTAAGCTGCTCTCTCTCCCACCATCTCCACCTTCCGGGCGACCCAGTGCCCCGGTCGATACAAGTTTTGAAGCATGCTGTCTCCATCTTGAATGTACCCACAGAATCGATCGCCTGCCCGCGCCTCAACCTCGAACCCCATGCGCCGCACCAGCGCCAGTACCTCTTCCTCTGTCAACTCCACATTCCCCGGTTCTCCAATGCCTGCGTCCGTGTCCTCTTTGCTCTGTCCCTGTCCCTGTGCCTGACCTTGGCCTGGATGTCCGTCATCAAAATGCCACAACAACGGCCCCACATTGACCCATAACCCATTCGGCTTCAAGCAGTGTCGAATCGCTTCAATGTATCGAATCAAATTAGGCGCCGTGTCAATGAAAAAAACTGTCGCAACCGCGTCAAAGCTGGCCTCTTGCTCGGGCTGTTTATACAGCACCACAAAGTCCGCTGCCGACATGGACATCGACCCAATTGGCTGGCCCGTCGTTGCCGCTTCATGAATTGCCGTGCCGGGGTGCGTATCCGGGATAGCCACACTGCGTAATTGCTGCTGCCGCGACCTCAAGTTGGAAAAATGCAGCGCAAACGGATGCAATGCATGCTTGGCCGCGCCCGCCGTATGATTCAACACCCAACTACTCGCCAATAGCTGATGATACGAAATCTCATTCCCCTCAGCAGCAAAGCCAGCCAGACACAAGTCAAAAACAAAGCGACCCAGCCCGGCCCCAGGCACCAGCACGCGAATCTCCTCGCCCGCTGTGCAGCGGGCAGCGAATTCCTCGCGGAGATCCTTCAGAACGGGCTCGTAGCAGACGTCACGCTCGACCTGGCCTTCGGCACTCCAGTCGCGGTAGAACTGGCGAATGGTCGAGTGCGCCTTGTTGACATCGGACGCGGTGGCTGTATCGTGCCAGTTCTGGTTGGGATCGTCCTTGTCCGGGGTGGCGGGGAGACCAAAGGATTCCAGGCCGACGGCCAGTATAGCGTCGGCGATCTCAGCATTGACGTCGATCGCGTCGTCTACGGCGTTGAAATGGTTCAGAATTGAGAATGGGGGCTCAGAGAGCATCTGCCAATGCTCGGACGGTAAGGCGTAGAAGGCCTGACGGCGCCGATGCGTCGTGTTGCGGTGCGCTGTCCGTCGATATTGTCTGTAAATTATGTTAGTTTTTCCTCTGTTAATCCGTAGTTCGCCGTCCATTGTATGTATCTATCGGTGCCTAGGTGGACATAAAAATAGTATCATATCCAGTCGCCCACCTCCAGGCTCCTACATATCGCATAGCCATCACGATCATCACTGGCACTACCACCATCGGCATCACCTACCGGAAAGAGTCCAGCGCTGCAAAAAGGACCCTTCGCTCATCGGGGTCAGAAAAAGGGTCAAAGTCCCCCGCCCACTCCTCCTCAGTCTGCTCATGGTCAGACATGACTACTGAGTATACAGAGCAAGTCGAGTGTGTAGAGAGTGGAGTGGCAGAGTGAGCAGAGTTGAGAGTGCGGGCAAAGCAAAGTTCGGCGGGATTGGTGGAGGCGGGGAGAAACTTGAAGTCAATAGCTTCTTTCCTCTCGTCTTCCCTTACTGCAACACCACATCACCCAGCACATCAAAGCACCACGCAGCACAACACAGTACAATTCGGTAGTCTACCCCAGACTAAATTGAATTCATAAATTCCATTATCTCTAAATTAAAACCCTCGGACCCTGCAGAATGGCGACCGAGACCGCCTCAGTCCCGCATACCCAGCAGGTCTCTCCCGACCTGAAGCCCCAAGAGATCTCATTCCCGCTTCCCAAGGCCCTTCACACAACTGGCCATGTTCATCTCACTTTCTTGGGACATTGTGCAACAGTATTCCTGGCAACCTCGACGCCAGGGGACTCGGGCGGCTCAGTGAAACCGTTGGGCAGCTTTGTCTACGCCATGCCTGATGTAAGTCATTAATAACAATCTTGATCTTGCTCTTCCATTTCCTTTCCCTCCTGTATTGTCTCCCCTCCCAATACAAAGGAACAAAGAAACAAACAGAAAGCGATCCCATTATCTCAGAATCATTTCATTCCATAATCTAATTCTAATCTCCCCAGCGCACAAACGCCAAATCCACAATCTCCACAACAATCTACACCTCACCCTCAAGTATCGAGTACACAACTCGCGTTGCCAAAATCATTGCACGACGCATCGGTATGCCCGTCTACGTGGGTTGTAGCATTGACCCCCACGCACTGGAATTGACTGTTGAGGAGGAGATGGAGGGTCTTTCGCAGATTGTGAACTTGGTGGTTGAAAAATATGAGGCGAAAAAATAGTGGCTGTTGACATATCACTGCTATCTAAAGTACTATCCATGGTGGATCGTCGGTATTCTTTGGAAATTAAAATACTAGCATGATGAATATGTCTAGAGGTGGAAATATCATGCATCAAAAATGAAAGGCATCCTAATTATCTACTAGTCGAATTGGCGGCGATTTATGCTGGGGGCTTGTCTCCTATGACTCTGCCAATGTTATCTCGAGAAACGGCCAAAGTTCGACGCAGGTAGGTGTACTGTACTGGGGTGCACGGATAGTTTGAGATCCCAAAATCCTATATTCACACATTTAACTCATAGTCTCGCATGCATAGTCTCGCATTGATACAAGTAAACACGGTTGTGAGTCGATACCAAATTATGCAAGTCTGACTACTAGTACTTTTGAGCATGACCGATCAATCCTCCATAGGGAAGGTGGTAGTCTTCCTTATATGGAAATCGACAAATCCCCTCAATTCGATGACCATAGTGCTGATTAATACAAATTAGTGGTGGTTGAATAATCTGCAAATGTAGTAAGTACGGTTATGTGGCCGACTCCAACTCTCATATGGATTTCGTTAATACCTGTACTCTTCCACAGGAGACTTTCAGTTTTGATAAAGGAATTATATAAAGCCATCGATGGCATATGATCATTTAAGGTCGCGAACATTTTCTCCTCAACTCACCGGTATCAGAGAAGCTCTCAGTCTTTCCACGGTCGATTTTTCATTAATTTGAGACGTTGAGTCACTATCCAACAACATTCCCATACTGCAGTCAAAGTCAATATACCATGGGTTGCTAGTTTTCCCACAGGAAATGAAGGGTCTGATGGCTATCGTGACCGGCGCCAATGAAATTTCCGGGGATCATGTGGTACGATGGCCCCTTTCCCCTCTCTCTTTTCTTTTACAATTCGCTCAGGAATCCCTGTATCTCAAATATCCTGCTTCATCTAGCTTTTGCAATATGGGCTCATCATTCCATAGCTTCGGGTTCTTTGCAAATCGCCCGACCGATGGACCAAGATGTACGCATTATCTCGCCGCCCACGGAACGGAACCTGGCCAGCTTATGTGGAGCACGTGTCTATGGACCTGCTTCAGTCTCCAGATATTTTGGCCGAGCAAATGTGGGAAAGAGGTATTAGTGTCGATTATGTATTCTTCTTCTATATCCAGCCAAAACCCAAAAAAATGGTGGGAATATTTGGAGTGCGGCCGAGGATCTTGTTACAACCAACTGTAAGTATTTGAAAATACGGCTTGGATATCGTTAACTCTTGAATGAAAAAGAATCGCTCCTTGTCAGCTTCCTCGAGGCCCAGGCGCTGGTCAACTCAATGCCCCAGCGCATACTTCTCCAACTAGGAGCCACGTACTATAGAGTGCACTTAGGTACGGCACATAAGATTTATTAATGCCAGGGGGCCAATACGAATGAAAATCTCATCTCATTTCTCGAAGACATATTAGTACTCCTGGGCTAGTAGTATTCCGACACATATAGAGCGTCGAGACTGCCTGGTATTGCCTCGCGCTGGTATCCGGGATGCTCGAAGGTTAATTCTGGAAAGGGATTCATCGAAAGGCAAGATAAAATGGTAACCCATCGTGACCCAATTTGTCTGGCTCGGATATATTTGCAGACTCTATCAAATTCATGCAGATGGAAAATAGCGAGCAGCCGTCGCTCAGTTTGTGAACCATCAGTTTTTAAGACAGGCTTTCGATAACTCTTGCCCAGATATGCGTCCTCGGTGGTCAAGTGTATAACGCTGAGGGTATAAACAAACTTGACCACGACTTTAAGAAATCTAGCTACCCGAAAGCTCCCATAGGAGAAGTTCAATCTGATAATATGTTGGAATCTGTGACTTAGGGGGGTTCTTATATGACCTTTTATTGGAAAATCCATTGGAACTGACTACTCATGTTCGGGTGAGCCCCATGGCCGATTATCGCTTCGGACAGTGGTGAATACGAGGCTTCAGTTTGGTCTCCAACCTTGGAACTTAATGCAAGCCGCGCCCTGAAGACTCTTCTGCAAAGCTTGATGAAAATCTAGTATTGTATAGTCATTTCGAACTCGGACCCATTTTTTTTGATTTACAGAAAAAAACGTCTCGTTCCCTCGGTTATCTGGGGCCCGATATATCGGGAGATATACTTATCGGGCTCCTCCGGGGTATTTCTGCTTGCCGCGAGCAGCCGAGTCTGACCGGTCCAGCGCCCCCATTAACTAGTATGCACATCATAGAGTATTCTAGCTGAGCTAGTGTATTGAACGACTCGGACGTAGTAGATAGAAGCATCCTTGGCCAGCTTGTGGTGGTATTTATCAGTTAAGAAATTAACGGGATGATAATAGTATTGCGTCTGTGTTGAAAATTCCGCTGGCATTGTTGCCCAATATAATGCGCATCATCAGATAGCTCGTCCGACATGGAGCTTCGTCTCAAGCTCTTCGACCAGCTCGGTCGTCTCGACCCATTGATAGTCCGAACATGTGTAAATCGATGCCACATGCAGCTTCACGAGGGCTCGTGCACCAGATGGGGATCGCCGATGAAGTGTTTGGTCGGACATTTTGCTTCCAAAGAACATTAACTTTGACTTGTCTTAGATCTATAATCACAAGTTAATTTAACATGACTACGAAATGCAACTCTTCCCCAGTGTAAATGGGGTCTAAATCCTAAGAAGTAAACGTGATAGTGGGTCAAAGCAATGACACTCCAGCGCAAGCCTTGAACTCTAACCATCAATCGAGCGGATGCACAAAGCCGTGACGAAAGTAAGGCACAGAGGTCGACTAAATCTGAACGATCTCATGCATCGAAATTAAGCGAGTCAATCAACGACAGAATAAACGCACAAATTGGGTAAAACCTCAACGTCATTTACAAGCCAAGCAATGATTTTAACCTGAGACTCCCGCGATTTAGCACACGGCGGGCTCCGGTCTCAGATAAAAAGGGGCGTCAGACCCCCCCAGCAACTGGACAGGGCAAATCGGAAAGCCTCGGTTGGTGAGCGGAACTGTTTCATCTCTCTCGGTTCGTTGATCCGCTGTGGGGCGGGGCAAATAGACTCGACGAGAACCAAACACGGGCCTCGACTCTATCATCCTTAAGCGAAATGAGCACCGTACTTCGTACACCACACTGGGCCGTCCGTAGTGAAGCAGCGGGGACAAAGGACAGGACACCGTTAGCCATTTTGGAAATGGGCCATGACCTGATTGAGATATTTTCGCTACGGCCGGTGATCGCCAGTCCGCCGGCCGAGCGTTGCGCTGCCCTAACTTGCCCCATTCTTAGAAGTGGGGGCTCTCGTCGACCTGACGCACCTTTGTTGGCCTCACAATCGGAGGGTATCGGACCTCTACCGGAAAAGCAACTTGATGAAACTTGCTCTACTAGTATTCTCAAAGATTTCGGCTCGAAATGATGGAGCTATAGCCGAGCCAAGCCATCAGGGCTCTTGGCTTGGTGAAGTGCAGAGATTCAACCCAGTGACCTGGTCCGCCGAACAGGTAGACCAGGGTCGATCATCCAGTGCCAACTCATCACGGGGTCCTTGCCCTATCAGTTCTCCCGTACAAAAGAAAAGCGGGGAGAGAGATACATATTACGGAGTATGTATGGGCCACTGATTTGCCGTCTAGCTCGCGGTCCATGCGTTCCAGTTTGCGAGAATGCACTGAGTGCAGCAGCAGGAACGAAGACAGGGATTGCAAAGAACAAACAACGAGCAGCGACTATGGTCCAGCCAAGCACGACGGCATAATAGTCCAGCACATACCCCGTACCGGAGTTCTAAAATCAGATCCAGCTCGCAGCTCGCAGTGGCCGACGGCACGAACCGAGCGCCCGCTATGTAAGCTTATGCAGGCCGCACGCAGGAGCAGGAGCAGGAAGAACAGTGGCATCAGCCAGCCCTGTGCACGACTTGGGATAGCTAGCCCTTAGAGAGCCTTGCCGTACTGCCTTCTCATCATTGCACTGGTGGAGTTGTGATGGCGCAATACGATGAGACTACTCTTTATGCAGGGCCGGTTTCAATTAGAGGCTGGCATCTTATCCGGGGCTGGTCTAATCACCTAAGCGAAGGGTCCGGGGGAGGATTGAATGGACGATCTCCAGAAAAAAGAGATATATACATACGAGTACGTACTGTACCAACAGACATGCATGTTGATCATTGGCATCGCCAGGTGTGGTCGGAAATGGACCCGCGCGCCAAGGGAGGGCAACTCAAAACATGCGCCAAAGGATGAAGGGCCTGTGCAGCGCGTTTGATGTAATTAGGACAAGGTGTTCAGCGGTTGCAACAGCCGTCGCAGGGCCGTCCCGACTGCAGTGGTGGAGAGGGGCGAAAGTAACAGGATCAGACCGGAGAACTAGCCTAACGAGGAGAGCGGCTGAAGTTGTCTGTGCTTTCGTGCATGGCAAGTGCACGTTTGGGCTGTTCATATCCTGTGATCCGGCAAGGACCCAAACGCTTGGGAACGACTGCGCGAGAAGAGTGGTATTGGAATATTTCTCCGGGGCGGCTCGACGCATTTTACCTGTCCTTATGGTGGAGCTGGACCCGGGGACTTATCCTCTTTAGCAATGTCAATACTCGTAGCCCCGGAAAGACAAGTCAATTTGGAGGCTGGTCCACCACAAGCTCATGAGTTTCGGGTGGATATGGAACACAATATGTATGTACGGAGTACAGGCATAGCCTTCGAGAGATCGGTGATCCTCGTATCGGTATCTCCTTTTGCGGAGCCTGTGTACTTCGTATGTATGAAGCAGGACCCATTTGGACCAACTTGAAGTGAGGGTCGACCGTTTTATCATCGGACAAAACTCGGGACTAACCAGCGGTCGGACACTTTTCCATTTTATGTTGCTTTTCTCCTGCCTTCTCTCGGGGAGAAGAAACAAGGGGGGTGGGGGGAGGGCTAGGGGGGGGGGCATAGCCCCCAATCCACCTCAATACGCAGCCAGCGATAGGCGATGGGCTCGGCAGGCGTCGCCTGCACGAAACAAGCAAAGATTGACTTTGGGAAGACGTGTTGCCATACGGTTCCACCGGGTCAGTAACCGGCGTACCCATGTGGTCCGGTGCACGACTTCCGAGTCGATCATCAGGGCCCAACCGTGCAGAAAACGAAACGGAGGGCGGTGGGCGGTTAAGGAACAAAAAGGCAAAATTAAGGCACCGCAAATAAACCCAAAAGAAATGACGAAGAAAAATAAAAATAAAAGGGGAAAAAAGAATCCACCGCACGGCGGGCGCCGAGATCTTCATCCCACATACCGCGGTCAACTTTGGGTTGCGAGAGGAGACGCTCGTGCTGGGGTTGCCTAACTCTGTTTCAATTAAGATTGGTAGGTGGACTGTGTACGGAGTATAGAAGAGGTGTTAGGTGTGCCTAGATGTACATAAATTCAAGTATGGATTGAAAAGATTAAGATTGTGCCGAAGAAAGGGTGATGTGGACTAGCAATAGTATGATTGGTATCCCTGTCTTGTATTGATACCAACTGCAGAAGATTGTTCCTCTTTTCACCTCTTTCGCCTCCTACAACTCGACGATCTTCTCCTGGACGATCCGGCACTGTCACGACAGGGGATGCGCTCTTGGGCCAAGTGGGCCCCCGCTAACTCTGCCGACAAGACCTCCCTCTTCTCTCTAACAGTTTTCCCCCCGGTTGAACACCGTAGTCCATCTCTGGATCGAGACAAGGTTTGCCAAATACCAGGCTTCCCGGTGGTGGGCCCGTGTGGACATCAGGCACTCGACTCCAGGCCCCGTCACTGGCTCATCCAATATCCTCAACGCCGCTCAAGTGCTTCATGTCTCCATCCACCAGCCGATCTCGGGATGCTTGGAGGTCTGATCTCGGGGTTCACAGGAGTTTGGCAATGATTGCGAGTAACAGTCACTACGAGTAGATCCCTCGATGGGCCTTGCGAGCTAGAACCAGGCGCAGTCAATAGCCTTCTCGGTGTAGTCCAGTTAGTCCCAGCGCCTCGGGCCAGGCCCGACTTAACCAAGTGTCATTTCGGCTGAAGATTCCTAAGTTCTCTTGCCGCCACCAATTCCTCCGCGATCTGTGGGCGCCGGGACCCTGATGGAGCCCATGAGAACGGTGATCGCAATTGAATCGTCGCCTGTGGCCTTGTCGATCTAGTTCCTTCGCCCACTCTCTTTCACTCTTCCGTTTTTCCGTTTTTCTTCTCTTTTTCCCTTTTGTTGCTCCCCTTTCACTTTCATACCCATCAAACTATAGTGTTTCGACAAAATCTTTGTGGAATACCGCGCCCAAGAGGTCGGGTTCACTCTCTTCACAAGATTCCTGGATCTTCATTCGTGCCCTTGGATGCCCCAACCTCGGCATTTACATTTACATTACATCTCCATGATCCATTTTGACTTGCGTCTGTAGACGTGGCGGCCCTCTTTTTTTTCCCATTTGCTTATTTTATTTTATTCTATTTCCGTCTTTGATCTCTTGAATTTACCCTCTCGGATTTCCCGTTGGTTGTCATTTGATTTGCCTCCCACCCCCACGACCAATCCTATCCCGCCCAACCGTACCATTTTCCCCGACAATGGCTTCATCTACTATTCGCGAATGACCAACGTTTTGTGTTAGTGGTTTACCCCCAGGCGAATCGGCTGTGTCAGGCGATAGCCGCTTGTGGCCCCACTAGTTATTATTCGGGGAGATTGTCGTTTGCTCGCGATCTATTGCTGTTTCTACGGTCCTTGGGCCGCGTTACCCCCCCGTCCGGATTGTTGGTTGAAAACCATCCCCTCCTTTGATTATCCGTGGGCTTTCACGGCTGGATGATTGTCTCCCCCCGAGACCACTCTCCGCCATGCAGCCCTCACCATTCCGTCCACCTATGATGGGTAGCTCGAGTAATTCGCTCGAGCTGCCCCCAGTCCAGGCTGTGACGTCGGGCGCATTCCCATCAACACCGGGGATGCTCTCCGCTCCACCCAGTAGACCGGGTAGTGGAATGCAAATGGCTCATCTGCTGCAGCCCATGCCTCAGGGCCCTCCACCGCATCAGCAGTTGACAAGCGTCCCAGTGCCGGGTCCGGGACCTATGTCCGGTCCAATTCCGGGCCCTTCAACATCCCCGTATTCCCGATTCTACGAGTCGGGGTCGGGGTCCCCAGCAGAGAGTGGTGGTATGTCCGATGTACCTTCTATGGGGCCGCTTCCAGGGGGCCTCTTCCAGACGAGCCCGATCGGGCATCATTCGCAGGCGCAGCAGAAGCGAGCCTATCGTCAACGAAGGAAAGACCCGAGCTGTGATGCATGTCGCGAACGCAAAGTTAAATGCGATGCATCGGACTCGACTAGTTGTACTGAATGTCTGAATCGCAAAGTACGCTGCCAGTTTACTAAAGATACCAACCGCCGCATGTCGACTATCAAACAGGTGCAGGATCTGGAGAAGACAGTGGCGCAGCAGAAGAACCTATTGGATCGGTACAAGTCAGAGCGCATGCGTCCTGAGCATAGCACGACCGAGGTCGATGAAGCTATCGTGCAGCCGGTCATCAGTCTTCCAGAGATCGACTATAAACCAGCACGTAGGCCGAGACAACCCATCTCCCAGGACCTATCTGGAGTACGATCGAATCTTCGAAAGCATGGACAAGGCATTTTGAAGGAGCCCACGCCATACCAGCAACAGAGATCCCAGTCAGTTGTTGGCAATGATGCCCCGAGCCTACCGCCGAAAGATCTCGCCGACCACCTATTAGCCCAGTACTTCAACTGTCTTCATTCAATATTACCCGTCTTACATTGGCCCTCCTTCACGGCAGATTATGAAAAGGTCTATCGCGCGGGTACGCTAGTCGGAGTTTCTAGCGAATGGGCTGCAGTACTATTCGGTGTTTTTGCGTGCGGCGCTATCCATACCGTTGAATCGAACCGCGAAAAGGAAGGAAAAGAATACTTGCGAATTTCGTGCGGTATAATCGATGTCTGGCAGGACAGCTTCAACCTCGACCGAGCGCGGGCCGCTTTGTTGGCCAGCATCTTTCTCTACGAGATCAACTCCAAATCGGCGAGTTGGGTATGGATAGGCTCTGCGGTGCGCGTCGCCCAAGAAATTGGACTGCATATTGAATCTGGCCCTTGGACTGCTGTTGAAAGCGAGATGCGGAAACGGCTATGGTGGGGATTATACACCTGGGATAGGTAGGTTTCGTTGGACCTCCGCCTATACCTTTTGTTCACAGAATACTCACCTATTAGATTACTTGCTCTTGAAATGGGTAAGCCCGTTTTGATCAATGACCAGGACTGTGATATCGATCTTCCTTGTCCTGTGGATGATCGATACATCACAGAATCGGCTGCGATCCCCGATGGCCATCAGACAATCCCACTGCTCGCCACAATACACGTTGTTCGATCCCTCGGCCAACTCACTAGAACTTTACGCTGGTCAACTCTTAGCTCTGCGACTCTTGAGACATTCGAGCGACACTTTAGCACATGCCTCGCCACCTTCCCTCCCTACCTCCAGCCGAACAACGACCAAGACCTCGACCCTCGATCTCTAGCGCCCTCCATCTACCTTCAAAACGCAAGCCTACTCCTCTACCGTCATAATATCTCACCTTACTGCCAACCCTCCGTCCGCGAATTGGCAATGGTTCGCTGCGTTTCAATAGCCATTGACACTGCCAACATAATTTCTCGTTGCATGCGATCTCATGCTGGCGCAGACTGGCGAACCCTATTTGCTTCTGCCGCAGGAACTCTTCTCTGTACTCACATCTGGCGATGCTCTCTTTTCCTTCTTTTCCAGCAGGAATTCGGACCCGCACTTGCTTGTGTCCAAGCTATGGCTGCTGTTGGCGACGACCGCGCTATCAATGCTTCATGTGGACGCTATCTAGCATTTTTCCTCCAGCTTCTGCTTGACCGTCTCCAACGGGGTGATACTCTCGAGGAAGATGAAGAAATGGTCGCCTATGTTTCGGGTGATATGCAAGGTACTAGTGATGGCAGCTGGGTCTGGCAGGGAAGCGAGACTGGCTCACAGCTCGAAGCTATGTCTTCGAAACCAAACGCCCATTCTCCCCCGGGGCCTGAAAAGGAGTGGCCGGGCTGGGAATGGATAGAACAAACAGTTCAGTATTTGTCGACTGAAAAGCAACGGCAATTGCAGATCCAGCGTGAGCACCAGCAACGAGCTGAACAGCAGCGACAACAAGAGCAGCTGCAGCAATCACAGCAGGAAATACAGATCCGACCCAGTCATCTACAACAGCATCTACCGCAGCAGATGGAAACTGACAGTCGGGATGTCAACATGGAACCCAGACAGGATGTCTCGATGCTTCAGCCCGAACCTTTAGCCTCAAGTGAGGACAGACGGCCCAGCTCGACGCAATCTCGCATGACTATTGCCAGTATTATCTAGAGAGCATGATTTCTACTTGGTTGCAATCGGATATGGACTCCATTGCGCCACTAGCTCCATTCATCTTTCGCAAAGTAGTGATGAGGGATAGGAAATACGCAAACTCATATGATACTTAGCTTCTACCAAATTCCTCGATGCATTAACGAGCCGCGTCATCGACGCTTGTCGCATCATTCTAGGAAAATCCATGTGTCTAGACATCATGATACATACACTGCCACACGCCTACCCAATCTCAAGGATACCCGCCGCAAAGGCACCTTCATTCCACTCATGAAAGCATCGCCTTTCAACTTCAATGCCAATATTTATTATGTATAAATGAATATATTACATTGCAATCTGAAATCCCTAACAATACTACCTGTACTCACTGAGGATCGACCCTATAACCTACTTGGAGTCGCGAAATACCAACTTCCAACTTGAATGGAGACACCATCGCAATCAGTTATAATACAGATTTTATCTTTCGATCTTCAAGAATGCGGATAATGTTACTATTGATACATGAACTATTGCCCATAGTGTGAAGCGTGGCAGTGTCCGCCCAGGCGGCAGTCACATGCCCTTGCCGCAACTACCAAGATTGGAGAGTCACCTCACGTCACATCGCAACTTCAACAACGCCCGAGTACGAAAGGAATATTGAGCCCTGGCATCGAATGCCACCAAATGCCTTCAAGATGCCGAGAAGACAGCCTTCACCCAAATCAACACTCTGACTCTTAATCATTTGAATGCCAGGGTCAAGGCATGCCCCGCTCGCAGGGATATGAAGGATATGCTAGAACACAAAGTCAAAACATTCTCTGCGCTATGGGAAACCCTCCGCGATATCTCGGTGAGTTTATCCACACAAACGGCAGCTTTGACTGATGCCAACAGCGAGGCTGATGAAAGAGCTGAATTCGAAATTTCAAACAATGCCACACTCATACGACCACTCATCGCAGCTGTGACACAAGCGGCTATGAACGAATCCGATGCATGCGGATTTCACTCTGAGTTACCTCTCATAATACGCGGTCTCAACAAATTGGTGGCAACAAGCGAGGCCATTTCAAACTTTGGGTCAACTGCAGTGCTGGGTCTCACTCCAGAGATCGTGATGAAGGTTGGCGAGGACATTGACATAAGTCACCTCCACACTCTCGACCATATCAAGCACCATGCGCCGCGGGTTCCAATACCAGATATACGTGGGATTCTCCAGCAGTCAAACAGCAACCGCATCTTCTTCCTCATGTCAAGAGCCCCTGGCGAGCCGCTATATTCAAAGTTGAAGTCCATGGGCGAGGACGAGAAAGCTTCGATCAGGCGAGTTTTGGTTCTTGCCCGCTCTAGTGTTCTACGAGACTGGAGCTGCGCTCGGCGGAGGTAACCCTGACCGATGCAAAGAAACGCGACGAGAAGTGCGTGTTGCTCAGGGATGCATCAGCAACGAACACAAGTTTAACGAATTTCTCACTTCTGACGATCGCCGGACCTGGGGAAGTAACATTGAAATGATAAGCTTATACCTCGAGGAGGACCGCCAGATGTTTTTGACTCATGGTGATCTTCTCCTCGAAACATCATGGTAGCCGCCCGCCCACATGACCCAGTTGTGGAATATGCCATACCCGGGGAGTCACCGGACATTACGAACAGGAATCTTACATCAATCAACTGTTCGAGTCACCGTCACGGCGATTCTTGATTGGGAAATGTGTGGGTGGTACCCAGAGTACTGGGAATATGTGAAGACCCTGAATACTATTGGCCCGGGGTGCGATGTGGATGACTGGTGAGCCTATTTGCCTAAAGGAATAGGTGTTTGGCCCAGAGAACATGCTGTTGACAGAATGCTGAGTGGATGGCATGGAGTGGACAACTCCTTAACAGCCTCAGGCACCAATGTGATTGGTCATCCAGTTACACTAACGTATTTCACTAGTATTCCGAACACCCTAGTATTCCGAACACCCCACCACATCTAGAATCTTCAATACACGATTATTCAACAACCACCAAATAGATTGATTCAAACTAGGTTACTAGGGCATTTATTGATTCGATGCCCTAAATTATTACATCCAGAACACCTAAATACACGCTTGGTTGTAGGCCCAGCGTGCACGGTAGGCTGCTGAGCGTGTTCGCTTTGATCAGGTTGAATCGATTCAGTAGGGACTACTGGCAACGATTCCTGCTGAATGAACTCAGCAACTGTTAGGCCTTCCTGGCGCTCAATCTGGCGATTAGATCTAGTGCGCTTTTGGCGTTTTTTCTCGTTAAACTTGCGTAGTACTCGATTTTCCTCAGCAAGTAGTATACCGCTTTGAAGCGCTAGATGGCAACCTTTGATTAGTTGATCTAGTGCACGATTGGTAGGGCTTCCTGGTGTTGTTGAACGCTGGCGTAGTAGGCGCTTAATTGAGGAAGCTTGCTTAGCAAGCTGCTTCGCTGTATGTGGTGTTTTAGGTGTAAAAACACTAGATCTGCTGCTAGGTCTGCTTGCTGGTGGTGTTGGTGTTTTAAGCGATATATTAAGTTTGGATAGGACTCGCTCGGCGTTGATTGGAACTAAGCCTGCACTGGCAAAGCTTGATTGAATTGTATCTGTTTTGAAGGCTTCCTGGCGTGCTAGAATGTAGGATTCTAGGAAATCAAGCTTATCGATATGGTTGTGTCCTAGGCGGGTTTGGGATTCGATTAAGCGACCGTATGAGCGTTTTAATACTGCAAAACATCCAATATCGAGTGGTTGTAGAAGATGTGATGAATACGATGGTATGCAAATTGGTATAATATTGTTTTCCTCGCAGATTTGATCGAATTGAGGTGTCAAATGACTACTGTGACCATCAAGAATCAATAGTCGATATTTACCTTGTATACGTGTAGTTGTTGCTGGAATAAATAGTTTTTGTAGCCATCGTATACCAATTTCATCGGTTGTCCAACCATTTAGTGATGTTTCGATTCGCCAATCGCTTGGGAGGTCGTCAAACCAGCTTGCAATATAGTTTTTGCCTTTGAAGATTATACACGGCGGAAGCAAATAGCCAGTTGCCGATATAGATTCGATTGATGTTACCCACTCCCGATTTCCTGGTTGTAGAAGAGGTTTCCGACCGTAGAAATCTCTACGTGTAACTACCCTGGCAGTAGATATAAGGCCCATTGCGAATCCAGTTTCATCAAAGTTGTAGATATCCTCGTTTTGAATCCCGTTTTCCTCAATCGTGCGTTGTACTAATCGAAACCATTCGCGTAGGCTTGCTGGGTCTTCATTTTGAGCACGCTGATAGTCATAACGCCTTGAATATCGTGTACGAAGCTCTGATCGGCGTTGAATATAACGTGTAACCCAGTTATCGCCAACAGTAGATATCACACGATCACCACGCTTTGCTAGTAGAAGATTTGCCATATTAGCGATAGCCAAAGGCCTAGGCGATGCGCCACGTAGATCAAGTGAGAGAATCCACTTGCAAAGTAAATCCTCTTCTTCTTGTGTAAGCTTGTTCAACGCTGATCGTTTCTCCTGCTGATTTGGCACGCCTTTGATTCTGTCGTGTAGTGTAGTGATCGGCACGTTGTAGATCGCTGCTGCTTTGCGTAGGGAGGTCACTGAGCGATCCTGTATAGCTTTGATAGCTAGTAGGATCCTACCTTCCCTATTTGGCGACTTTGAGCGCTTTTCAGAGCGTTTGGGTGGCATTGTGTGTGGTGGAAAGTCGTAGGTGACGCGTGAGGAGCGCGTTTTTGATGGGGTGTTCGGAATACTAGTGTGTTCGGAATACTAGTGAAATACGTTATTTGGTCGTTCTAGATAGCTTCGGGTAGCCTTATCCCCATCACCACCTTTGTCTCATCTCTCACTCCATCTTTCTCATCTCATCTCGTTCGAAACTAGCCAAGGGTCAAGGTCACCCGGATCAAAATAACACAGACAGCTATCATGGAATTTCCTCCACCTCACATCCAACCTTCTCAATCGTCGCACACGCATACGGTGATACTGCTTCATGGTCGAGGAAGTGATGGTGAAGAGTTTGCCGAGGAATTTTTCTCTTCAGCAACTTCAAAGGGCAAAAGCTTGGCCTCTTGTCTACCTTCCTATCGTTGGGTTTTTCCAACCTCACGCGACCGATGGACTACTAGGTTTGAAGAAGACATGTGCTCCTGGTTCGATGCTTACTCGCTGGATGATATTCAGGAAAGACAGGAGCTTCAGAAAGACGGTCTCAAAGAGTCAGTCTTACACATTGTCGATATTATCGAAAGGGAAGCTAAGCTGCTTGATGGGCGGTTTTCCGACATCTATCTCGGAGGTATCAGTCAGGGAATGGCAACCTCTGTGTGGGCATTTTTTGCCGCAATCGGACTAGGAAAGATCCAGGAGCCACTGGGTGGCTTGCTAGGATTTTGTGGCTGGTTACCATTTGCCCAGCAGCTCGAGACTTTGCTATCAGAACCCGCCGTCAGTGCCTCCCAGAGTTACCCGATCCAGCATGAAATATCATCGTTCTTCTTTTCCCAAATTGCGGGCGATCGAACCTTTCAAATTACCCAGGCACCGGACAGTTCCATCTTATCTACTCCGGTCTTCTTAAGCCACGGAATAGATGATGTGTGGGTATCTGTGGAACTCGGCCGACAAGCGTCTCAAATTCTACACAAAATCATGGCACACGTTGAGTGGCACGAGTTCACTGGAGCGGAGAGTGACGGTCATTGGGTTAAGGAGCCTGAAGGATTTGATCAGATCCTCCTGTTCCTTGGGGCCTGATTCGCCCAAATTCGAGAAGAGGCTATCGGGGGATGGGGCTACAATCAAAGACAGGACTCCACAGAACATTTTATTCGGTACTCTTTTAACTATGCTAATGATGTGGCCTCGCAAACGGCACTATTAGCCTCGCAAACGGCATACCTGGACAAAAATTATTCTCTCTAAACATCATCCCTTTTCTCGACAACTATGTTGACCTTGGTTCTCCTCGATACAAAATCGTGCTCCCCTTCCTCCTCCTCCTCCACCCTAATAATATCAGCGCTTTAGATCAGACCCAACTCAACGGTAGCCAGAGTTCCGTTCTGTAGAGCACCAGCGTGGTGACGAGCAACAAGACCGTAGGCGAATTGGTACCTTCACTGCGAATTAGCAAACGCATAGAGTGGCAAAGTATCTAGATGGTAAACTCACTTGTCAAGGTATGGCAGAAGCTCAGTCAGACCAGGGGTCTTCCTCCAGTCCCGCATCAAGTCACAAACAATGCCAAATAGTCCCATCAGAGTAACACCGGCGCGTTCCATACGGCGGTTCGCATCCTCAGCAAGACGGGTGTCAAAGGTACCGCTAGCGTCGGTGTTGGCGTAGACTTCATACCCCTCATCAATCAGGGAAAGGGCCAGGAATGCAGTACCTAGTTGATTGGTGAGTATTGTGGAAATATCAAGAAGAGTCTCATAGCATAGCATAAACTTACAAACTTCAGTCACAATTCCACCAATAATCAACTGCTTCTTGCCGGTAGCCTTGACAGCAGCCCGGAATTCGGCATTGTCCCAAGCATTGACCTCACCCTGGCGGCGGACAAAAGTAGCGTTGGGGTGCATCTCCATGATTTCCTTGATCATGAGGCCGTTAGGACCCGCGTCAGAGGAAGTAGTCAAGACGGTTGGCAGGTTGAAGACATTTCCAAGAGCGGCATGGCCCAGCATGTTGTTGCGGAAGTCGTTGGTGCTGAAGTCACGGACGACTTGGGAAAGACCAACTTGGTGATCAATCACCAGCAGAGCCTGATGTATACTGGTTAGGTCTGAAAGTCTCATGGAGGGTATGCCAAAAACGCACAGCATTGTCCTTGTCAAGTCTGTTCCATGCCTGAACCGGGGCAGTGATAGCCAACAGGAAGGCAGGGATTGCACTGGAGAAACGCATCTTGAGAGAGTTGTCGGAGATAGATGTCGGATGGAGTAGAACGAAGACTGTTTGATACTCTGGTTTTGAATCTGGACTTTTCTTCCGGGAATAATGGCCTTTTTATACTCACCTCCGAGCTTGTGAGTCTATACACATCCCGATGATACAAACTAGATATGGATCAATAATATTGACCAAGCCCTTAGTAACAACCGACCTGCTTAGTGCTGATTTCCGGTGTTCATTTTTGCATCTAGTTCATGCTCTCATACTCTATGGCGGCCTTGGCCTGCAGATACAGCAGTGGGGCAATAGCACGTGTTTCGAATTGAGAACTATTGCAATATCTTGACCAAGCACTTTGAAATCCCCAATGAGATCCATTTTCCTAATCCGTCTCCCTCACGTATTAGACACACCTGGGCATAGAGCAAATGAAGATTTCGGGTTGAGACCTCCATGGATATATTTCGTCTCAACAACTTGAACACTCGAAGAATACTAGCTGATAGGATTCCTTTTCCTCCTGAGATTTTCCCTGATTGGCTTGGAATGCTGACTATCTCATGGCTTAGAATAGAAGTACAGGGGTCGCGGTTTGCAAGGTGAAGCGGCCAAAATTAATACGCGCATTGCAGTTCCTATTCGCCACCACACAAGCCACAATAGATACGAAAGGCAAAACATCTCGATGAGACAAATTGGCGGGCTTATTGGTCGGTCTAGCATCCCTAACCGAAGCTGTCAACTACAGGACTTCATTTTAGCTTAATTAGTGACTGACAAACTATAAGCTAAGGATACCGTCAGCATGCACGTCAACCCGAACGTAAAGCCAACGGCGGTGACTGAAAGGCACTTGGCCGAGATCGGGAGGATTATCCAGCAATAGGAGCTCTCGATTTTGCGCCACGTGCCCCACTTGTGCCTTAATTAGCATCAAATCCAGGCTCGGTGTTACACTATGCCCTTCTGCAGATGCGATCTTTGCGCCAGTTCACCGCTGGACGCCATCGTCCCGGCAGGGATCTCTGCGAATATCAGATATCATCGGCTAAATCGCAGAAAGAATCATCCAGGCCAATAGAAAACCAGAGAAAGGCGGAGGTTAGAGACCTTTGCCCAACAGACCCTGCTTACTCCTGATTACTATGTAATCCATCAGCGGCTTGGCGTTGGAGTTGAGGTCTTGGCAGGTCCTCACTTCTCAAATAAAAAGTTCCTAGAGTACATTCTAGCACAGCTCGAAGACACAAGTCATGTCAAAAAGACGAATATTAGATTCTGTGTCTGTCCACGCACGGGTGGCAATATGTTGATAGGTTGAACTCTTCGAGACAGATGAGCTCGCAGCTAACTTCAATAATTATGAGTTACAAATTAATAACTAATTATTCCAAGATTTGATGAAGACCAATAACTACTTTTCGTGAAGCAAAAAGGTAGTATAATGATTGTTGAAAATTGCGTACGACCTGAGTGTAACGAAAATTGCTCGTCGGTTATTTCCGACAAAAACAGCATCCATATTCACTTACAGCCAGATCGAACGAAACCTAGCGTGTATTATATGCCAGAATAAAATCCCCCTCGGGTGAGTGTATTATCACTCGGGAGAGCCCCGGGGGCGTTGTTCAATTTCAATCATCCCTTGACATTGGTGTCGGAGCCAGACTCGAGATCCTGTGAGCAGTTTCTGAAAGGTTGTCAGAACGAAACTCTAAGGTTCGATTAGTTGATAAGAGGGCGATGACACTTACCCAGCGTTCGGACGGTTCCAAACCCCACTCAAATCTCCGACGGGCAAGGAGAGAGGAAATCCAACAGAGTCAAGGAGTTGTGCCGTCAAAAGATAGAACCCAAGCATACTGGCTAGGAATAGAGCAGCGCCGCTTCCCTGTTAATCTTAACGTTAGTTGTCATTCCGACCCAAATAAATCGATACCCAAAGAACAATAAGAGTAAGAACTTACCACTGTCAATCTATTACCAAGCACCTCGTTCTCTTTACCAAGCTGCCAATAAGCCGCAGCGAGGAGCGCGAAGACCAAAATGAGGGATGCGAAAATGACAACGTAGATGATATTTGTGCGCGTTGCACAAATCGTATAAATTAGCATCAATAATCCCATGAAGATAAAGAAGTATGCTAGAAATAAAGTGTTAGAAAAACAGATATATATAGTATCAGTTCAAGTAATGGTAGTAACAAACCAAATGTATTGACAAATCCAGGGCTGTGAAGGCCCGCTAGAGTGTTGGTTCCTTCTGGCGAGTAAGGGGCTTTTGTGAAAAACGATCAGAATTTGAAAAACCAAAGCATATTATTAGGGCATACCTGCGGAGTTAAAAGCAGGTGTTAGAGTTGCGCCAAATGCCAAACAAAATGCCCCTAATGCATGTCAGTACACGAAGTAACCATCTCGCGTTGATAGTCGAGCCTACCCAAATGTCCGAATACGACGGAAGAAAAGGTATTTCCAAGAATGAATTCGAGGATGCTTGATAGCACAAGGAGCAAACCTCCCATCAAAATTAGAACTCCGCTTTATGGTATAAATTAGGTTCTGGCTAACGTATCCAATGGGAGAGGCTGTCTTACGTGAACGCAGCGCCACCTCCACCGGCGCCCCTCCATGCCATCAAACAACAGGCAAGCGGGCTAGCTGTGAGCACAAAAGCGCCAAGTCCCCTATTTTTGCATATTAGCTTGTGCTATCCCGCGGTTTAATAGCTGAATATCGTGTACAGTGGAGTTGGGTTTCCCAAGCTCTTGGTCAGTGCAGTCTGACGATGCATCATGGGATTCAGATAAAGTCTCTCAAACTGCTCTGCGGAGAGAGTTATAGAGGTAGGGACCTGAGTTAAACGAGGCATGTTTCCAATCTCACTATGAGAGAACTTCGAATCTCCCCGGGTAATATCGCCGTCCATGCTGTGTACCTGAGCCTTGTTTCTATTGAGAAGGTAAAGAGGGGCTGGCTGAAAGATAGCTGCTTTTTAACACTAAAATTTGAAAAGAAAGGTGATCGCTTGAGAGCTTTTTCTGGTACGACCTACGGCGACCTTTATAATTATCCTACAGTGAACGTGTCATTATCTCAAACTTGAATAGCCATTGCTAAAAGTTTTTCGGAAGATAGCTCGGCATATCCGTGATGCAGATCCCCAGATTCTTTTTCCTTCAGAAAGTTAAAGATGTGCGGTAAGGGGATTCCGCTGCTCTTAATTTAATCCGTTGGGCGGGTCTAAAGCTTTAAATCTAGATCGGAAGAGAGGTCGGCAGATTTACGCAGATCTATGGTCTGGGTTCCCACATTCTGGGGTAAACTGGGGCAATTTAAGGTTTGTCTGCATTGAACCTTGTGCAATCGGCCTCCGCCTTGTATTCCGCTGTGCGAAGCTACCCGTTTGTGACTTCCGGCCCAGCTATTCGCCACCCGATCATCCTCATGTTTAATTATCCCGTATCCGGCGACATAGAATCCGGGTCCGGGATTTGCGGGGTTCACCTTGAAAGTAAGCTCCAGGTTGGTTGAAGGCGCAACGGAGGCATATCGTCACCGTCATCATTGGGGCTTTCGGAAGCCCAGTCGGCAGTTTTCCAAGCAGATTCCCCATGTGTCTTGAGATAAGACAAACGCCGGTGGCCGGTTGGTCATTTTATTGTTTTGTAACTGTACCAGAATCCATCTTCACTCAACTATCTCTAACGTCCTCGAAAGACCACGTTGATAGTTTTCAATGCGACAATTTACACCACAAGTGACCAACAAGAATATTTTGTAGAGGGTCCTTTAATTTTCTAGCAACCCGGGGCGTATTCCGGGGCGTGTTCCGAGGTTCCTAATCTTTTTAAAGAACCCTGCCCAAGTATAAAATCCTTCTTACCTTTCGGAGTTGGGACTCGGAATTCGAAATAAAAATTAACCCGTCCACATGAGACGGGGACTTTCACCAACCTTGGGGTTAGAACCTTGGAAGTCATCTAATATTACTAACCACTGGCAGTAGTAAGATTTGGGATTTAGCATGAGCACTGCCTAGTAGGCCCGGCACAGGCTAAATGTGATATATCACTGGCACTCGACGACCCCCGAGAATATTGAAAAGTGGAATTCTTAGGTACATATTGCTAGTCCGTTATATCAAAAATGATTAACTCATGCATCAAGGTGTAAGATATTGCTTTTAATACTACTGGTATTTGCTAGTACGGTGTTTTGAGATGTTCGAGTCGCTTGGATGCTTGGCTCGCATGTGGAATAGTTATGGAGTATTTATTATTGGTGCTCTGGACTGCCAATTCGGAGCTAACTAATTCATTGGCTCATCTTAAGCGATCGTTTTCCATTTGGTCTTGTTGTTTAGTAATGATTTCAAGATTTACGTACTTTTGCAATGCTGACTGCGTAGCGGGGACGTGACTAAAAAATGGCTGAAACGTGGATTATCCTCTGGGTATTTACATTATTTATATCGAGAAGTCCTCTTTTATGAACAGAATTCAGCCGTGATTATCTTCTCTTGCCTAGGTAATGCGTATGCGGTCTACTGTCTCGCTTGTCTTCGACCTCTCCGGCGTCGCCAGGGCCTAGTCGGCGCAGTATGTGCTCAAATGCCTAGGTCGATTCTCCCCTCTCCCGCGGTGATATGCGGGAACTCGTATGCAACTAAAACTCATGTCATTGCTCAATCAACCAACGCCCCTCAACACAACCCCGCACCGCCTGCTCTAGTTTCGCTGTCAAAGCAGCACATTATTAACAGAAAACTTTCCCACCGCAACCAGTTCAACTCTAAAAAGCCTCAGACCATTTTACTTTGTTCCACGAGAGATCAGAATGGACTATTTAAAATTATCCGGTTTGCTCATTGTAGCTTCTATAGCTATTCGTTTATTCTCCAATCGCTACAAACACGGACTTCGCGATATCCCGGGTCCCTATGTCGCAAAATATAGCCGATTATGGAAACTGCATAGCGTGTGGAAAGGCAATCACCAAGACGTTGCTATTAATCTTCATCATAGGCATGGTCCTTTGGTCCGTATTGGTCCAAAGCATATATCCGTCGGAGATCCAGAGGCGATTCCTGTTATCTATGGATTAAATAAAGGATTTACGAAGGTATGAAGTCAGCATAAAACCTTTTGAGAAAAGTCGACTTTAGTTCTCATGTCAGCTGGGACAAAGTTAACTGTCGACAAAATCATACTAATCGAAACAGACTGCGTTCTACCCTATCCAAAGCATTTCGTGGAACAAGGAATTCCAAATGAATTTGTTTTCCACTCGAGATGAGACACACCACCGAGAGCAAAAGCGAAATGTTGCCAATGCGTATAGCATGACCTCGCTTCTGGAGCTCGAGTCGGCAGTGGACTCGTGCTCGGATATATTCATTTCCCAGTTACGTCGGTTTGCTGATCGAAAGACGTCCGTTGACCTGGGAGCCTGGCTTCAATACTATGCATTTGATGTAGTTGGTGAATTCGTCTTTGCAAAAAAATTAGGCTTTCTCCAAGAAGGAAAAGATATTGACGGCATGATGGAGGCAATTCAAGGCATGCTGGTCTATGCCAGTCTATGTGGCCAAATTCCCGAGATGCACCCCCTACTCCTTGGAAACCCACTTTTTCCGATATTGATGCCTAGCATGGAAACTTGGAACCAGGTTCTTATGTTTACTTTGAAAGCCATGAACTCACGCTCCTCGATACGGCGTGATGGCGAGCTAGATAAAGACGAAAAGAACGGTGGAAAAGACATGATGTCAAAGTGGATGGCAGCTCATAATGCGGACCCCGAAAGGTTTTCTACAAGAGATGTTATCGTACACCTCTCGGGGAATGTGTTTGCAGGTTCGGATACTACCGCCATCGCACTCAGAGCAGTCATTTATTGCCTCTTGTGCAACCCACAAGCCATGACAAAGCTTCGAGCCGAGCTCGACGACGCGAATAATGAAGGCAAGCTGGGGAATCCAGTTTCATACCGAGAGTCTATGACGCATTTGCCTTACCTTGCTGCGGTTCTGAAAGAGGCCATGCGTCTCCATCCTTCCGTGGGTCTGATCTTGGAGCGAGAAGTCCCGAAGGAAGGGGCCGTCATTTGTGGAAAACGAATTCCAGGGGGAACCATTGTTGGTATCAACGCATGGGTTTTGCATCGAAATGCGGAGGTTTACCCTGAGCCTGACTCGTTTATTCCCGAACGCTGGCTGGCCAGTTCCCCGGAGAAATTGAAAGAGATGGAGCAGAGCTTTTTCAACTTTGGATATGGTCCGAGGACTTGCATTGGGAAAAATATTTCCTTGATGGAGATGCATAAGATTATTCCGCAACTACTGCGCGAATTTGAGATTCGCCTGCACGACCCATCGAAAGCTTGGAAAACGAAGAATGTCTGGTTTGTCCAGCAGGAAGGGCTGATATGTGACATTGTGAAAAGAACATGAAATTACTAGTAGCCCTTTGGTTGTGCCATCGGACATCTGTCATAAATGCATTCATGTTCAACACCGGTCAAGGAGGGTCTTCAATTTCAACGATATCAATCAATCCATGTTTTCCTTATGCCCGGTTCTGACAATACTACTGGTCCATAGGTAGTACTAGTATCTGGCAATGATTTGCAATGAGCTAATCATGACATACACACCTCGTATATGTAGAACTTCTTCGTCTACCCCCAGCGCGAATTTCAATCTTAGCTTCAATCGACGAAGAAGAAAAAATGCCTCGATTTCTCGTATGTTACCCTATTTAGGAACCAATGATACAGAAATGACTGTGGATTTAGGTCAAGTTCCGACCGTTTGTTAATGAGAACGAGCGACAGGAGTATGCACTTCATCAGTCGAAGTTTCTTGCTAGTGGTCTGTCATTCTAATTGATGCCAAATTCTCAGTTTCACATCCGAACTTGCGCAAAACGGAGGTCAACTGATTAGGACTCGTCGGCTTCGAAATGGATCAATGTTTGTTTCTCCCACGGGTATCAGTGTCGAGGGAGATTTACGGCTGATGCTTGATGTTGCAGATACGAGGTTCCTGACGGCAATCTTGACATACACAATTTTAGAACTAAAAAATTCGTTGATGTGTCGAGAAAAAAGAAGAATGAATGATATTGCTCCTCGAATTCGTAAATACATACTCGCTGCCACTATATGTGATCCGGGGGAGGAGCGAGAATGTGATATCATTATAAGCGGGTTAGAATAGGAGGATATCAATTTGTGTTTTTTGGTCCGCAATCAATACAAGCTATTTCGTTATGAGCACAGAACACTTAAAAGGTATATCATACCAAGCTAGCACCTTCGCTGATAAAGATGAATGAAGTTGATCCTCGTAAGTCAAAAATATGACGGTCGCCGACTTGAAAATGTCAGGCGTGCAACTCAGATATCTTCTTCCGACCCTGATAAATCTGTCGGCAGCGCCAGAACCAATCAGAGGTGGGGCACCGAAATAAAGTACAAGGCCTCAGCCCCAGGGGCTTGCCTTTGCAGAGAACTGAATGGTTGTCAGAAAGTGGGGGCAGCAAGATCTGGTTTAGGACCACCAAGAAACTTGGACACTCCATCCCTGTAGGTCTGTTTTGCTAAAGGTTCATGCAATCCCTCAAAAATATTAGCAAGGGGTTGGGAGGGACGGGAAATGGAATGATTTGTCCATGGAGAGAAGAATTCCACGCCAACCCGTGACGGGGCAGCGAGGCGTTTCTGTTTTGACAGTCCAGGCCTTTTTAGTCCCTTCAGCCGCACGTCGAGGCAGAGTCCCCGCATAACCAAGACATGAACGGCAATTCCATTGGTGGAGCATGAGGTGAGATGCATACATGGCTGTGATCGCCAATCGACCTGGTGGCTCAGCGTCAAAAATCTGCACCTCGTGCCCGATCATATGCTCGACAGCTCCCGCAAGTCGTGGAAGAGGTGGATGATTTTCCCCCTTCTCTTTTATCCTCTCCTACTCCCTTTACCGAACTTGTCTTTTCATAACCTTCGTGTCGACGACACGCCTCTCGTTACGACCACCACGCCGATGACCGATGGCCACTTGCTTCTGAACATCTACTTTCCTTTCTAATTACCCCAGCGATTCAACGTGAAATACCTTGATATGTGACACAAAAATGCAGGCCACTCTATTTGATGGTCCAAGGATCACACCTAGGAATTCTACTACACATGCGAAACACGTTTCGAAGCCCTGGCGGCTGATGACAGCTGCTTCGGCTATTTTGCTGCTGCTTGGGTGAGTGTTTGAGCATCTATGAACCTCCAAAGCCTTTTTCTAACCCTATATGGGCTGTTAGATATCTTATTCTCCCCGTGGTCTTCAGCGACGCAGACGATACGATACGAATTGATCAAACCGCGTCGGCCGTGTTCGCCTTGTTCTTCATCGGGATAGGATATACTGCCTCCATAGCCATCGCCTTTTTCCAGCGCCAGAAGAAGGCATTTCTTCTGCGTTCTATCTTCGTGTGGGTCTGGTTCTTTTGTCCAGCGTGCCGCACAACCATTCTGATATCACCAGGCCCTACTTGACGATAAATCTTTTGTCCCTATTCAATGTTATTTTCAACATCCTCAGTCGTGGCCTTGTACCGCTCAGCGCACTCCGAGTTGTTGGGATTGGACTCCCTAGTACATTCTCTGTGATATACGGACTCTCGGCATTCTTGATCTATCGCGAATACGGTCCTCCCGACGAGCAGGTGGAAGACGACACCCCTTTACTAGTACGCGTCAATCCCGAAGATCTGACCCGAACACAGTTGCGACGGCTGTTAGAAGAAAGAAACTCTGGAGCCCCATCACCCGATATTGTTCATAGCACCTATCGATTAGATTTGCCCGGTATGGAGCCTCCGCAGAAGACTTGGGATCGGCAATATAGTCCGCCAACGTCCAGAACATGGAGTAGCACGGGTCGGACGATGGTTTGAGGGATGGGTAATAAGCCGAAAAAGATGTTACTTTAATGATTAGCGATAAACTCTGGCATAGAGAGGCAGTACATGTGATTTGATGGAGTGAAGTATGGAAGAATGGCCCAAACCGGCAGTCCCGGTTGGACCTCGGCTCATCCCGCGCTTAAAAGTTGGAGGCCGCCGCCGTCCGACCTCCTCCACTCCCTCCATCATCCCCCTTTGTTTTGCTCTGTTCTGCTCTGCTTACCCTTATTCGAATTAACTGAAAGAGCACCATGGCGAACCGTGTGACACTGCTAGATCCTCCGCCGCAGGATCATTCCAAGGCGGCCATTGAGAATGTGCTGGATCTGACGCCAGTCGTGGACCTCGGCCCAGTATTACGCCCCTCTCCCTTCTCACTCCAGCAAATGCCAACAGCAGACTAATACCTTACCTGCTTCGCCCTCGATAGGATGTATTCACCAACACCAGGCCGCTCTGGCACCCCCCTGGAGCTCGAGGCATCTATGGCGGCGCCGCTATCGCCCAGTCTCTATCCGCCGCGATGCGCACCGTCCCCGCCGATTTCGCCGTACACAGCATGCACTGCTATTTCGTCCTAGCCGGAGATTCAGAAATCCCTATCCTCTATCATGTCGAACGCGTGCGTGACGGACGAAGCTTCATTACCCGAACTGTGCAGGCGCGCCAACGCGGTCGTCCCATCTTCACGACGACGCTCAGCTTCAGCCGCGTCGGTAGCGGAGGTGAGAAAACGCTGAACCATGCGGTCCCGAAACCTGATGTACCCCTCCCACAACCGGTCATTTCCGGCACAGTCAAAGCGCTGAGTGAAGCCGGCGGTGGTCCTTTTGAGTCCCAGAAAGCGGGCATCGTGAACCGTGCCTCCTATCCCGAAGATAAGAAGATGCGGCGATTTGTCCGGGCGCGTGGTCATATCTCTGATGAGGGTGGCTTCCAAGCTCATCTTTCCGCGCTCGCCTATGTTACCGATAGCTTCTTCATTGGGACAGTCGCTCGAGTGCACGATATTCCGCGATTTTCTTCCCTGCAGAGCTGGAGAAGCTATTGAAGGCATTGAAGAACCCCTCTGATCTTGATGACGAAGATATCACCAAGGCTCTGAAGGAACTGAAGGAGGAAGAGGCAACCGATCTCCGACGACGACTCGAAGGAGCTCTCAGCGATGCCACCAGTGGCAAGAATCAACAACAACACAAGGAGGTCGGCATGATGGTCAGCCTGGACCACTCAATATATTTTCACAATCCTCGAGCTTTCCGGGCCGATGAGTGGATGTTGATCGAAATGGAGAGCCCGTGGGCTGGCGAGGGTCGAGGATTGGCTCTTCAAAAGATCTGGTCGAAGGATGGCGTGCTGATTGCCACATGCACACAAGAGGTATGAAAATAGTCTGAATCCATGATAAGCACAGTCCTGCATTACTAACGATTTTCTAGGGCGTTGTTCGTTTGAAGCAAGATAAACCACCCTTGGCGAAGATTTAATTCGACATCTTTTGATACCCCTTTCCTGTTCTCGGTCAACCTTCTTCTATTCTATTCACATATTTCAATAATAGACTTTGTTTTTCTTATCTTTCTTATCTTTCTTCGCACTTTTCTCCTGTTTCTAATTCGTTCGATTTCCAAGGTTGTGGAGGCACGATCTATCTGCTAGTCAGTATCTAGTGATCAAGCCAATCAAATCTACATTATTAATTGAAGTCCCTTGTTGATTTAATGACGAATACTGAAGAATTTTCATCACCTTTATCGAATTTTATTGATCGGTCCTAAGGGTACCACTCGGATAATGATAATAAAAAGAACTTTGACCGAGAAAAACAAAGCAAGAAGGCCAGGCTTTTGAAAAAGCAAGGATAAAAAAAAGTATTCAGACAGCCACCCAGTTTATGAAGATCACAAATCCCAATGAAACGCCAAAGATAGAAGATAGGGAATGTTAGACAGGGGGAAAAGGCAACAGAAAAAGCAAAACACGCAAGGTCGTCAACATCTCATTCGTTCATGGCGTGATTTTGCCCTCAAACTTCGACCTTCTCCTTAGTTTCGCAAGGAGCGGTAGCCATACACTTGTTGTAGAATTCCAAAACCTTCTTACTCCAAACATGTTTGCCTTTGTACTCGCTCACATGGTCAGGCCAACTCTTCATCTCGGTAACGAGATTCTCCAGTTCTTGCATGGGAAGCTGGTCAAGCGGAGTAAGATATGTCTTGACCCCGAAGACTATGGCATTGGTACGAGGAAGTCGGCGGAAAGTCTGTCTCTCTCGACGAATAATGATTTCTTCGGGCAACGGGTTATCCAGTTCCTTCTCACAGAGAGATCCGGGGCGGTATAAGATTTCGAAGAGATTCTCATCGGGTCGCTTGATTTCCACGAAATAATTGGAGCGCTCCATGGGCGAAGCTGGAGTGAGGCGTACCAGAAATCTGTATCCGGGATTAGTTGATAATTTTCGAAAGTTTCGGTTGACGGAGTTTCGTACTTGCTGACGGAATTGGCAACCTGTTGATGCCACAATGGTACAGGCTCGTGCATTCGAGAAATTGTCCATCCGATTCGTTCTTGAACCGTCCAGCCCGTAGGAAATAAGCTAGCACTGGCAGCCCTATAAAAAAGGTTAGACGGCGAGATAGATTGCTGTAATCGAGCAAGTAATACGTACAAATAGTATTCACCTTCTTCGTTGAGCATCAGAATACTCAGATCTTCCATCGTGAGTCGCACAGCTGCCTCCAGGGCGTCTGTGTCGATTCCACTTGGGGCTGATCTACCGAGATCAAACTTTTCTCCGGTCATGCAGTTTTGAATGAATTTTTGGTCGTTTTCGGAGCTCTTTTCGAACATATTTGGAAATCGCTGGCAGAGAAAGTCGGATACATCCTCTAGTGCTTCCTGACAGGCCTCGAGTGACTCGGGCAAGCATCGCAGGACTTCGGACTTTTTCTCGCGTAGTAGGTGGTCTCGTACGCGGTGCTCTTCCATGTAGTGCTTGTCGAGAGTGAGCCAGTTCTGGGAGTCCATCCTGCGAACATCCATCATGACGCGGTATTGCTTTCTACCTCGAATAGGTTGTGCCGGGTACGGCGCGAGGCGCTTAACATTTGACGGGTCGTCGGCGGCGTCATTTTTCAAGAGCCCTTTCTGTCTTAATATCGTCTTAGACCAATTGGTGATCTCTTTTTGATATCGCACAACGATCAAAAGTGCGACAATAGAAAGCGTCACCAGCGAGAAGGTTGTCATTCTTTTTCCATGCGGCCTCCGTTCCACGTCTATACTTTTGTCGTGCTGGGTTTAGATAGTTGGAATGAAGTTGATAGATCGCAAAGGGAATATTCAAAGAAAGGAATCCAAAAGGGGGACGAAGAAGCTTTTTCAAAAAAAAAGTAAAGAGATCTGAATACCAAATGAGTGCTGGAAGGAGGCTCCATAAATAACATGCCTCCCACGGTCGATGATATGATCCCGTTTGGGCCCAGGCAACAAACTGCACCAAGATCACCGGACGGTAAAGGTCAGCCACGCTAGCTCAGTCAAAAAATGGATACTTAACCCAAGAGACTAAGCAGATACATTCCACATTCCGGATTGAGTGCGACTGAGTCTGCGGGCCTGCCGTGATACGCTCAGGGATTCCCCGCAAAAGAAAATTCAAATTCAAATCCATTTTATTTTTTATTTTTATTTTTTAGGGAGAAAAAGCCTCTTTAGTTCATCGCTCGGCAGGTATTGACAGCAGCCCCATGATCGGGACTGACCTCAGCTTTGGACTGGGCGGGTCGAGGCCAGGCTGTGTTTTTCGGTATGAAGATTCGTACATCTGCCACCCCCTAGCTCCACTGCTACCTCTCGGTGGAGTTAAGACAACACGAGACGATTCACAACACGGCGCGGGGCAAGCCGATCGGTTTTCCAAGACGGATTATCGGCGCTTGGAGAGGGAAAGAAAAGAGCAGGTCGCACCATCCGGTGGATTGACCCAGTCGCTAGGCACGATCTAGGCACAACGACCGTGTTAGGTTCGAGGAATCGTCAAGCTCGCGTATCCCAGGTCCGTGCACGCGCCCCTCGTGAACGAACCTGGGTGTGCCTCAGGGATCTTTCGATCGTTGGGGAAATATATCTTGAGACCAGCCATGCACCCCGACGGATAGCGTCGGGGTGCATACATTGCCTCGGTAGCCTCGCAACCTTCAGCTAGGGATGGATTGCATGATGACCAGGTGATTCATCGCGGGAGGCGAACCGACATCAGCAATAATGTACGTACACCTCCGCTCAAACTCGGGGGTGGAGGCAATGTTTGACTCGGCCCCAGTTCTCTTGACCAAGCGCAGGGTTCTTGTTCTAACACGCCCAATCCGACTGGCCAGGGACCTCGATCCAGTCCAGGCGTACATCACACCGTCACCGGCCTAGCACGATAGGGACAAGACTAAGCCTGACGTATCAGAACCCCAAGGTACATAGCCCCTAAAGCGTGTGTGGGAGGGGATCCCCCCAGCGGGACCAGTGTCCTTTCTTCCGCGGCCCCGGTCCTGGTCCTAGTTTTAGTTCCAGCCCTGGCTTACCGGCATGGCTGTTTCGCCCTGTGGATCTTGGCTGTCGCAGGACCGTCCTGCCAGCTGGGGTATTCATACCCCTGGTCAGATATAGGGCAGAAGTGCAGGGAGAAGTACAGTATGTACCGAAAAAGCCACGACATTCACAACACTGCTTACCCCATTTCTTGCTGCATCTGTAGCAAAATCTGGACAAAAGATGACCAGGTCCAGATCTGCGCCCCAATGAAGCACCCCCCCGTTTGTGCTGTGTTCCACGGTCTCCACTGTGACTCCACCAGGTCCATCTGGGGTTCCCGCTGCAACCGCTCTCTCCCCTCTCGCGCTTTGCGCGCTTGCCGCAGTCTTTAAGTCGGGCTGGACAAGTCCACCGAAAGGGATTATTGAATTCTGCCTTTTTCCAATTTGGTTCTATGTTTTTTTGCTAATTTGCAATTCATTTTTCGTTTCTGGTATATCTGTTGGGGGTGGTTCTATGACTTTCTATCCAGGGTGGCGGCGTCATAGCTCCATTTTGAAGATGCCCGAATGGATCTCTCATTTCTTTTTCACAGAACGGCGTGGTACCCTGGCGGAAACTCTTTTCGTTAGCAGTGTTTGCTTTTTCTTGCCGTTGTAATTCCTTCCCCTCGCATTGGCCCTTCGACGAGACACAAACAACAGGGAAACATGAGGTCATATCGATGCAAGTGTATGCTCTCGACATGATCTGCTTTTTCTTGCTCATCTCTGTCATATCGGATTGATTCCTGTGGACCTGAGAGCCTCGCTGATATTTAAAGCCTGTATACACAGCCCACGGCGTATCCGGGCAGTGTGCAATGAGCGCACAATGAGGATGCCGGTTGTATACGCTAAGTATGTCACCATATCTCGAAAATGATTTTTTTTTAGTGAAAATTCAAGACCGCACTGACAGGTTGATGTGGAGGCTGATGCATGTCAAATCCATCAGCGAGACTCAAATATCGCCGCCACACGCCACAGGAACACACATTTGATGCCCCCGCACTCATACGCACAGACAATATGTCATCAAACTGACCTGTTAGATCTGGTTAATTGATCCCTGTCTGTCGTACGCCTGGTTCTCAGCGGAAAAGGCGGTTCCTATCGACCGAGTATTTTCAGTCGTTGGGAGTATGTCGAATCCAGGCATCCCCATGGATCAGCACGAGGGCCGTGCTTGAATGCTTTGCATTAGTTCCTCTAGTAGGCATATCACTGGAGACATCGGAAAAGTATATTTGTAATAAAATGTCGCGGGGATATAAGGGCTAATTTAACGTCTGGGATTGGTTTCCAGCAAGTATATCCATGGATCCTGAAAGCATTTGTAGCGTGGTCCCATATACACGCATTGGTCAAAATATAATTCCAATGAAAAATGGAAGGTACTACTAGTGCAAATACTAGTTAAATGGGTTTCTTCAAGGTTTGGATTGGATAGATGTTATTGAGACATGACTTAATTTCCTCCCGGTCTTCAGTGGATTCACGCTGAGCAGCACAAAAGTCAATGTATAACTTTTAAAAGTCGGCTAGACAAAGTACTAGTACATTTGTACCCGGAAATTTGATTTTTCTAGTCAATCATTCATTTGATAATTATTTTAATGTTTCAATAGACCTGATCTAGAATGAGATCTTAATTTGCTCTACGTCACTTTGGCCTAGGTCCTTGTCAGTTTCTAGCCACCGTGACACGCAGCCCAACGCTATAAAATATGAGTATCTCGTGACCTCACACGCCCTATGGCTTGAAAATAGCACTTGGAGGAAGGTAATACTATTCTCGCCACAGCCAGCTAGCTCTATCTAAATTGACGTGCAGCCCCAAATAAAATACCATGCTTGACAACAGCTTTCTTCAACTTATTACTTCATAGAAACTACTGGTGGTGGCCTTTACGGCGACCATGTCTACTACCCAATTGATCTCATAAACTCCCAGTAAGCGCAGTGTACTACGTACGACTAAGAGACACTCGAATAAGTGAAGTGACATGGAGATGGCTACGGGACGGCGAGGTTAATATAGGCCAATCTATCCACTAAAACTTGAACATCTACGAATGACATTGGTGTTGGTATGACTATGGTTTATTTTAAGAAATTCATCGAATTGCTTAGGTTGCCACCAGTGAAGCATGAAAAGGCAATCAGTAGGTAGAGAGGTCTCATCAGCTTCGTTTCGGTTTACGTAAGGTTTTGCTATCATCCGCATGGCATGCAGATTTATTAGCTTGGTTGACTTTTATATGGCTCGAGGTTCCCTAGCCTGAAAGATTTTCCCAAGATTGTAGGGTGCCATCCTGCTCCTCGCCCGTTAAGAGATCTCTCTTTTTTTTATTGCGTCATCTCGGAGTCGTGCATTCACAATTGCCTTGTCAATAGTATTCCTGAATGCCGAGTCAATGCTTTTGGTGATTCCGTGAAGTGGGTAAGCCACCAATCCAATGCCAGCTGCGATAAAGAGGATCAGTCAAACCTTTGCCACTTCAGAAAACGACACTCCTTACCTGAAGGTACTTTCGTTGCCAGCCCGATGGTACCCTTGGCGAGACCTTTGACAGCCCCCAAAGCTCCTTCTTCCTTGCCACCCTTGATAGGCTGCGTAATTAATCCCGAGAAGCCTTCGCTCATTCCATCCACAAAGTTCTTACCGCCAAATACTGCGCCACTTTTCCAATTCTTTACAGGCTCATATTCCTTGGGCTTGTCTCCATATAGCCGAGTCACCTGTCGAAATCCCTCCGCAGCCGCATGGGGAATATCGACTACCACCCCTTTGAAGTATCCCCCTGTAAATTTGCCGAAGCCTTGTAATGTTGCACCCAGAATTTTGCCAGCAGTGACTACTCTGGCTCTTTCCCATCATTGCTGGTAGATATACCGGAGCCAAGTTGCGATGAGCGGGCCGAAGACCCAGATGGCATGGGAGACCGAGAGCGTGCATATTGTTTATACGGGCTATAGAAGATCTCGCCAATGGATCGCACCATTTTGGAGCCGGTGGCTGTGGCCGCAGAGAGAATACCCGTGGCCTTATTATTTTCAATCAAAGTCAATGCTGCAGCCGTGGAGAGGTTGAGTGGTTGCTTGCCCTGGGAATATTTCAAAACTGCAGGCTGGCCAGGTATCATACCACACCGCATTCTATCTGACGGTAGATTGCGATGAAACGAGTTGACGGCAGCCTTGACTCCCGATTCCATCCGCATCTTATAAGAAATTGATTCCGCAGCCACTTTTGATTTCTTTGTGAGACAAAATTTAATACCCTCCGCTAGATTTTGGACGGTGAGAGAGGCGTATGGAATGGGTCTAGGACCAGCACCGGATCTGACGACCATGTTACCCCAGAATGGCTGGCTTGAATTGTGTCAGTAAAGGAGAATTCAAGCCGCAAATTGCCATACTTACTCCCCAAAAAAGGGCACAATCACCGAAGGTCGACTGTTCGATAAACCACGAGCGGTGGTGCCAGCGCCTCCATGGTGAACGACAGCTGACACATGCTGGAAGAGCCACTCGTGTGGACAATCTTCGATGTAATAGATGTTGGTATCTGGTGGCCCTACAATCTGACTCCAGCCCTTCGAGATGATAGCTCGCACACCAGCTTGTGCCACCGCCAAAACGACTATATTGATGAGTTTCTGGGGGGTTTGAGACCACGATACTACCAAAGCCGATGTACACAGGAGGTTCACCAGAGTGCAAGAACTTCTCTAAATCCACAGGCGGGTAGTACGTAGGAGTGTCTTGAATTAGGAAGCCACAAATATCTGAATAAGTTAGTTCAACATTCCCTGAATCTGACGTTGCTTCATAGCGTACCGATATGTGATGGCCAATCTTGCGGTTTTGGGATCAGAGATGGAGACCAGCGATAAGTAAAAGGCACGTTTAACGCTTCCGCCAAGCTGGGGCCTTCCATATTGGGGACGGGATCTAGATTAATCGATTCTCGCCAGCGGTTAATAACATGTCCCAATCTAAGGTACGACATAGATTAGTTAGTTATTACCGGAGACAAGTACCGACAAGACAAATTCAACATACCCTTGCCAAGTGAGCCACTCCACCACACCATATGACACCCAATTCGCTGTCCGAGGGTGCATAGACGTTGAGCTGAGGTTAGCTAGAGGGTGTGGAAATGCTCTAGTACTTGTCCAAGGCATAGTGAACATCAGATGAACAGGGACACCTAGTGCCTGGGCACAGTGAATATGTGCAAAGCTAGGGGGGGGTTAGCGATAATGGCGTCAGCCACAAAAGGATCATTCGTTACTGGATCATCTTCTATACATGATTTCCAGCAGCCATCGAGCATTTTTGCAACCATGACTTGCTTCTTCTTCACGTCGCCATCACGCAATGGCTGTTGGTCAGGAGAAGATCCCAACCGGTGAGGGCGACTCATATTCGGACATATTTGACGATCCATTTCATTCCCGATATTTAACTAAGGACTTCTTCTATATACAAGTCGATACTGGAAGATCCGATTCTGACACTTGGTGTAGCTGGCTGATTCCAAATGCGACGCACCTGACCATAGTCACACGACAAAGATCACCTTGGTCGGCCTTGCCTGCAAGAGTACTATCTCACCACAAACGGAACAAATAAGCTGCTGCTACCTGTAAACTGCGCAAAGTCCAACCTATCCTATAGGATAATCTGATGCCCCAAACAGAGAGTGCAAACAGAAGTCCAAGTCCAGATCTGCCCCACACCAAAATGACTAATTCCCCCGGCTTGACCGTTTCCCGTCTCTCACTCTCGGGGAGCTCCAAACTGAGCAGATTCCGAAATTCATCTTCTGCAAGTGAATCGACGTCTTATTTTCGGAGTTAGTTTCCTCGACAATAGCGGATAGTCTGCCTCGTTTGCGCAATGGCAACCACCGTGCTCACCCAGAGTCCGATTCAGCCCATGGAGGTAGATGACTCACGCCAAGCGTCCACACTACGATTGTCATCTCAAAATTCCCAAGATTCGCGGACTCGTGGTCTTTTCTCTCACGATAATGGCTCCGGCGAAGGTGCTTCCGTCTCTCAGGATGCGCAACTATCGAGGGCGAGGGCTGTTATTCTCATTGCCACCCTTACGGGCATTACATTCGTGGGCAGTATGAGCGGGGGCCTTTTGACTGTTGGTCTGCCATCAATCGCGAAGGACTTGCAGCTTCCAGAAAACCTGCTGCTGTGGTAAGTCATCATCAAAACGCTCACCGCATAGGTTCACACCAAACTAACAATGACTTGGGGGTGAAGGCCTGTTTCGGTCTATTCGTACGTATCTCATGTTCGACACTGTACCTTGACCAGTTCACTGATCCGAATTCCAGTCTTTCCAATGGATGCTGTCTTCTCTTGGCAGGCTCACTTGCCGACTTTATTGGAAACAGACCCATCAATCTCATCGGTTGTTTCTTGATGGGTGTCTTCATCCTGGCCTGCAGTGTCGCCAAAACCGGTATCCAGCTCATCTTATTTCGCACATTTCAAGGAGTTGGAACTTCCATGTGTCTACCAACGGCATTCAGCATTTTGACGGATACTATGCCCATCGGTAAACGACGCAATATCGGGTTTGCCTGCATAGGACTCGGGCAGCCCCTCGGCTTTTCGGTTGGTCTTGTTTTTGGAGGCGTTTTTCAAGCATCTGCTACCCTGGGCTGGAGATTTGGATATTATCTCTGCGCCGGTGCATCCTTTATCCTGATGGCAGTCAACTATTTCAAACTTCCCAACGACAAACCGAGAGAGCCTATTACGTTCCATCGCCTCCGGACAGAAATTGACTGGATCGGTATCATTCTGTCCAGTGCCTGTCTAGGAATAATCTCCTACGTTTTCTCGTGAATTTTTCCATCCATATCATATCTCAGAATCATACGTTGACTTACAATCTAGTGCAATTACCGATAAGCCGTCGAACATTCGTCACCCAGACAACATTGCGCTTCTCTGCATCTCAGGTGCCATGATTCCCGCGTTTTGGTATTGGATGAGATGGAGAGAAGAGTCTGGAAAGTCGGCACTGATTCCAAATTCGCTATGGAAAAACACTGCCTTTGCTTCCATCTGCGTCATGGTTCTATTCTCCTGGGCTGTTTTGAATGGCATGGAAACAATATTGAGTCTTTTGTAAGCTTTCAATCACCATAGGGCCGAATAATGCTAATCGATCGAAAAGCTTCCAAGAAGTTCAGAATCTATCTGCTTTCGAAGCCGCTATCCGTTTCATGCCCAACGTCATAATCGGTATCGTTCTCAATATTGCGACCGGACTTCTCGTGCATCGCCTTCGCGCCAATTGGCTTGTCCTGGTCACAACGATTTTGAGTGCTGGATCGCCTTTGTTGCTGGCCATAATTGATCCAAAGTGGTCTTGGTGGTACTGCGCTTTCTGGGCGGTTCTTCTGGCCCCTCTCTCGGCGGATGGTAAGATAAACAGTTTACTCGATGGTTTGAGATTGCTAATGGAGTTGTCTTATAGTGATTTTCACGGTCGCAAATCTTATTATCGCGGACTCGTTCAGCCCCAAAACGCAAGGACTCGCAGGCGCCGTATTCAATACTATTGCGCAGTTCGGTACCTCTATCGGACTGACTATCTTCGCCATAATCTCAGCTGGTGTCACACAAGGATCATCTTACACCGACAAGAGCTCCCCTGGCGCTCTTATGGTTGGATACAGAGCTGTTTTCTGGACCTGTTTCGGCTTGATGGTTGCTGCATCTGCGATCGGGGCTTGGGGATTGCGCAAGGCCGGAAAAGTCGGGTTGAAGAAGGACTAAATTGGTCCGCGCACTAAATTGTATCTACTTTCGTCATAGTTTACGCCATGCTTTTGCAATGAAAATTCAGTCTCGAACCTATTAAAGCTACATCAATCTCAAACCACCAGAGACTCGGGTCTGGTACAACCGACCACTCTACCGCTTCAACAAAGGTATGTGTCTAGTGTCTGTGGAATATCGAAGGACCAGAATGATTGAAAACTAGTAAAAATAATAATCAATTTTCCTGGATCGCGGAATCAAGACTACCATCCGATGCAGGTAAGTCATCCTGGTTTATGCATTAAAATTAAGACGATGTGTAGAAGGCATAACTCATGGACATCGCTGAGAGGTAAGAAAAATGAAATGGAACTTTTGAGCCTGTGAGCCAAAGCGGAGATCAGCTTGTTCAGGCAGATGCGGGTCATAAGATCGTGTCGTGGTGTGTAGCGTCAACTTAGCCGCAAATGATCGAGGCCTTCTCCGCATGGCTTCGAGCCGTCTCGATTCTGGAGAGGTGTCCAGTGCCATTCGACTGTACGGGCTCAAGGTTACTTGGAACTTCACCGCGTTCTTCCCTCTCCAATTCGAGCTTCTCTTCTTCCTTGATACGCTTGAGCTCCTGGCAGAACTTGCTGTTGTTTCTGATACGGTCGCCATACCGAATGAAGGCAAAGGGGATGATGGAGACACCCAGACTGAGGAATGCAATGAGACTGCAGGCCCAGTTTACACCGAGTCGATTGAACATTGGCTTCGCGGCGAGTGGCAAAACAGCACCGAATATGCTTCGGGTACAGCTAGCAGCCGATTGAGCACTGGCAGACAATGTCTCGTAGGCATCGGTGAGGTAGTTGAGCATGGCCATAAAGATCAAAAGGTATCCCGCACCAAATGGAATGCCAGAAAGGAATGGCACCACCCAGTGAATATTCGGCGACGCCGTCCATCCTACCCAGAAGAGGGAAATCACGTAAAGTGGCCCTCCAATGCAAGCAAGAGGGAGTCTTCGATATTCTTCGATAAATGCCCACTCAGCATTGCGGGCTTTAGCGCGGGCGAGGTAGCCGTCGTACCACAGGAAGATAACGCATGCAAGTGCTGCACCAATTCCGACTACAAGATATGCGTCAGCAAAAGAGATCCAAGTATACAAGTCTGGGATCGATCAGTACTCACTGGGTAAGAACATTAGGCCTGAAACTCCAGCATTCATACCATAGATTCCTTGGGGTTTCGTTAGTATATGAAGTGTTAGAGAGGTGAATCGCGTCCTACTTACCCTGGAAGATTATTGGATATGCCTCAAAATAGAGATAGAAGATCGCATATGCAAGTGCAAGGTACAGCGACGTCAATGAGACAATCGACTCGTGGATTATCATGCGGAAAGGTCGCGAAATTGTGGTGATAAATTTCTCGCGGAGGTTTCGACTTTCCAGTTCCAAGGGCGATATGATGGTCGAGTTTCCAGTATCTTTTCTCAGCTTCCGGGCACGATTCTTCAAGACGACGGGGCCATAGGTTTCCGGCATAAAGATCACCAATGGCATGGATACACCGGTGCAGATCAAGCCAATCCAGAAGCACCACCGCCAGCTGACAACAGCCACGAACCCAGAAATCCATGGTCCCATTATAGGTCCGCATGTTGTGCATGCCATGAAATAAGCCATCAAGCGGCCTCGTCGAGTGGGATCATCGTGAACATCGGCAAAGAGTCCACCGACAGTAGCAATCGGTGCTGAAGCCATCATGCCATTCAAAAGTCGAAATACCAGTAAAGATGCATATGAGTCGGCCACGGCGCACGCTAAGGTGAAGATTGCGAACCCACAATACGCAACTAGTAATGGCTTCCTGCGTCCGAAATACTCGGAGCTAGGTCCCCACAATAAGGGGCCCAGGATGTAGCCGACCAGGAAGATAGAGATTGGAAGGACAAGGGCTTGCTGGTTCTTGATATTAAATTCTTCTGCAATCTGAGGGATGGCGTTGGAACAGATGCTGGACCCAATGGTGCTGTTCATGACCTGCATGACACCCGACCCTAGGACTAGGAACTTCCTTGGCTGTACTGCGTTAGTATGGCACAAGACCTCCAGTGTGCTCACGTTACCTTGCGCCAGTTCACGGGGTTTTCCGGATCGTTTGCACCAAATGAGACGACTGTCTTCGAGGCCACCCGGCGGAAACGCGAATATGATGGATTGTCATAGCGCTCCTGGATGGGCTCATGGGCGACTTCTGATTCTTGATCTGAGGAATCACGATGCGAGTCATGTGAGTCATGAGGCGAAATAGCTACTTCCTCTATGTAATATGAGGTTAGAGCCAGCAGGAGGTACACATTGTATCACAAGTCGTACCTGTAGCGGACATGACCTTTTCGAGGTTCTCCTCCGTGGGGAAATGGGTTGACATCATGCACAAGTTGGGTCACCCATTCAACCAGCAAGAGAGCGATAGATGATGATCAAAAGGTGGGATGGCGGCTTATAAAGGGCATTGTAACATCGAAAATTCAGGAAAGCAATTCCGGCTCCACTCTCGCAGGGTCCCGAATCCACTCTATAAATGCGGAGGAGTAAGCAAATGAAAATTCAATGTTTTTGTGGTTCGAGCTCCACCCCCGTCTGCCAAATTTTGCATTTTCTACGCCCTAGGGCTTGACATCGATATCTTCAGGTGATAATTCTCAGTGCTATGGCGAGGAATTCTTGCATAATGAGCTCCAATCAGGTAATTAGACTTGTTGATCAAAGATACGACCAGGGTTTTCTCGGTTAGCACGGCTTCTGGGAAACTCTGGTTTACGGGGCAGGACCCAAGATTTGAAAGATTTTCAAGTGGCAATCTTCAGTCTAGTGCTTTCATTGTTTAGTGGAATTTCATATGAGATGTTCTATGAAATTCCAATTGGTCACCGTTCTGAGAAGCTATAATCATCGTGGCATGGCGAAATACAATTCTACAATTTGTACAAACAAGAATGGTATACAGATACATCGACCGCATGCATCCCAGTCTTTGGGCAGTCAGTTCTCCAACACGAAAAAGAGGGGTCAATGTCATGCAGATCAACCCAACGACCTAGCCTGGCAATGTACCCAGTGGCTGTGGTAGTTTGCTTTCAAGGATCAACGCTCCAGATCGGTCTGAAGGTTGAGCAACATGTTCTCATGATCAAAAGCATCCACCACTCACCCTAGATCCGATCCCTCCCAAAGTCTTAGCAGTGACAGGGCCCCTGGCGCGGGAAGGGCCTGGAGAGGGCCACCAAAGCCTGGCTGCCGAGGTGGTGGGTTTGACTCATTCCATCGGGGCCCTTGGCCGAATGCGACTCCACCTGTCAACATCGAACCGGCGTTATAAAAGTTGGGCGGTTATCATCCCGATCTAGACCTGCTGAGATCTGCCTTTCTCCTGTTTCGGTGTGTGTTCGATAACGGCAAATGTGAGGTCTCGATGTTTGTTTGCGTGCGAAAATTCCTGTGTCAGGGGCGTTAAATTCCCGACGTCGAACCGGATGCGTCCCGAATTATGGTCGGACTTCTGTCCGACTCGCGCTGACCGCCCGCGAACAGACTTCTAGAAAGCGTTGAGGGGAGAACAGCAGAACACTCGTTTTGGGGACGGGTCTTTGACCATACCCAACATTGCATTTGAAATGGCGACGATTTTAAAGTGCCGCGGGAGGGTTCCACGAACGATGCAGATGGCCTTGACTCAACATCGTCGTCCTTCAGCAAAATGGAAGGTATCACGTGACATCTAACAAACAGCAGCACAACAAAGGAATATATTAACCTTAGAATCAGATATAAACTATACAGAGATCAATGCCGATTTTTTGCCAATATCCTAGGCGGGTTTACAGAAACATAACCTTTCGGCTCAAGTACTTCGATCGCGATAGATGGCTTGTGCGCTGGCAGCAAGATTCCTCAAGTCTATCAAGCCACTGGGAATCCCGGATAGCTTGATTGGATCTGAACTAACGCGATATGGCCATATTATGAATAATGTAGATTCATAGACGCTACGAATTATCGGATCGTTAATAAGACTGGGCCTCTTAAGTCAATTGGTTTTGATAAACTTGAATCTTTCATGTTTACATATCTTCGGTAATTAGTAGGGACAAAATATACAAAAAAGCTGACGCCTGGGTCACGAACGACAGTCAGAAACGCCAATAATGAACTCTCCAGGTGATTCGGTGTTTGATTATCGGTATCGCATATGTATATTTCAAAGCAAGATGCAGGTCTTGATTACAATGACGTCGATGTGCCGATCACTAGCATGCAATCGATAAAGTGACAAACAACCATGGAATGAATATAACGGGAAGCATTTCTAATCGCCATAATTTTGTTTCTGAGGTTAAATTTCATCTAAAAGCGACAACGGGTAGAAGTTGTTTGATATTTTTGCCATAGTTATGGGCTGTACCATGCGTAACTTGCCGCTAGGGGCGCTAGTTACGCGTCAGTTGCGTGGAGCCCTGCACCACTTGGCAGCCTTTTTCGCCGTTGCTGAGCCAGATTTTCATGCTCGGTCTAACACAGGACAATTCAAAGTCCAAAAATATTTCAACGCTTTCCGCGCATCGCCGGGGTGGCGTTTTTTGGATAGGGATATAGAATAGTACAAGTTGCGACGATACGACGGATGGCACTGGTACGTACCCATTTCTCAACATGGATATACCCCGGGGCTAATCATACTATAAAAACAATACTGAATTGCTTCAGCCTAATCTTAGTGATCCAGAGACATAACATAAAATTGAGGAAGCTTAGATATAAAATCCTGAAAGTGGGGTTCTTGGCGCAGAGCGGTTACGCGGCGCGCCGGGCATACAATACCGAAGCAGATACGAGCGACCAGTGATTTCTCTGAAATACATTAAGCACTGTAATTATTTCACTGCGTAGAACTTGTTTTTTTTTTTCGTTCCTGAACCCAAATATTTGACGTACCATCTTGCGATATCCCAGCGTGCAGTCCCTTTCAAGTTTTTTTCCGTCCCTGAGTCCGAGTCTCCCCCCCAAGGTCCTTTTGATATATAGAGACCTCGAGTCGGGAATACTACTATTTTATCTCCTCCGAGTCTCGCCAAGAGGCCGCATCATAATAATGAGGTCCCCAGATGCTTATTCAGGATCCGCGGGTGACTACAGTCGCTATGGAGATGCAACTTCCCAGTTTCCTTCATTCGACGACCCAAGCCACACACCATATGGCTACCCATCGCAGGCACCACCTCGCTATTCAGAAGTCGTCGCAAGACCTCCAACTGAGAGACCCTGGTATGACGTTTGCGGCTGGTCTTTACGAAGAAAATTGATCGTAGCAGCTTGCATTGTGGTCATCATAATAGCAGTGGTTGTGGGGGCGGTTGAGGGGACCAAGGCAGCAGCATATCCAAACTACTCCCAATTGAATTATACGCTCAAGGATACCTTTTCAGGGTCATCCTTCTTCGATAACTTTGACTACTATTCAACCACTGATCCAACCAATGGATTTGTCCAATATGTCAACTCAGAGACTGCATCGCAGATGAATTTGACGTACGCCTCTGAATCATCTGCTGTGATCAGGGTTGATACAAGTACACAAAACCAGACAAACGGCCGCAGCTCTGTTCGTATTACATCCACCAATACATATGACAGTGGTTTGTTCATCTTCGACGTCACCCATACACCGTATGGATGTGCGACCTGGCCGGCACTGTGGCTTACAGACCCAAATAATTGGCCAGAACACGGGGAGATCGATGTGATGGAGTCAAACAACAATGGCACCAATGGCAATGCAATGACACTGCATACAAGTAGTGGGTGCAAAATGAACGTCCGAAGAAAGGAAACTGGAACTGCGCAGTACACCAATTGTCTTAATACCGCAAATGACAACGCGGGCTGTGGCGTTGAAGGGAAAAAAGCGACTTACGGCGAAACCTTCAATGATAATGGCGGAGGAGTAAGTTGACCATGGGCCCAAGATCTATATAGCCATTCTCGTCGGTATTAATGAAATTTGATCAGGTATACGCAATGGAGCTACGCGACGCGGGTATTCGTATGTGGATGTTCTCGCGCGACGACATCCCATCCGACATTTCAAACACGACTAGTACCCCAGACCCATCTACCTGGGGTGAAGCTCTGGCGGACTTCCCAAGCACAGGATGCGATATCGGTTCGCATTTCAAGAACCAAAGCATCATCGCAAATATCGACATTTGCGGTGACCTCGCCGGTGCATCGTCATATTACAAAACGCTTTACCAATGCCCAGATTCATGTGAAAAGTATGCAGCAGAAAATGGGGCTGCCTTCGAAGATGCTTACTGGGAGTTTAATAGCTTCAGGGTATACACTACGTCTTAGACAGTTCTACTTATTATACCCAGACTCATTGTCTACCGAAAGTTGTCTCTTCTAGATCGGAATTGAGGCATCTAGCCATTCACATATCACCACTTGGGAAATAGACCTTAGAATTCGTTCTTCGACAACAAGAACGCACATGTTCCACAATTTAGAGCTCTCATCTGTTGGCAACTTATGAATAACAAGTTCGCACACTTTGATCATTGATCGGATCCCTAGTATCAGCAAGAAGAGTAATCATAATAAGCTTTTGAATAAGCTTATCATCCAGCACTTGGACCTAGCGAGTACCCAACTAGGAGTGGAGCTTGTTAGCGGGTGATTGATCTTTTCCCAAATTAATGCACGCCTTTTGAAACAAAATAAACCGCATTTATTTTCGTTGACAGGTTCGTGCGGAATTGTGCCTTTGTGTACGGAGTAAGCGCGTCCGTCTTCGTGCGCTCGGTTGAACGCGGGAAAACACGCGACGAAACGCGGCTTTTTTGCTCAGCTTCTGTGTAAAGCCTCAATAACTATGTATTAGAGCTATAGCACTTGCCGAAGAGATCGAATTGGGCAGCATCGCAGATCTCTTACTACTATTGTTTGTTTGGGGGCCAAATCGCGACTTAAAAAACTTGCGACCCGGCCCGAACAAAACTAACGATCACCACTAGATCGAGTCAATGACTGCAAGCGAAAAAATGTCCTTCGTTTTATGCCCCTCGGAGATTCTTTCCCACATCATCTCATATGTATATTCCCCTCGTGATGTGGCCGCCCTTGCGCTCTCATGCCGAGCGGTCCACCCCTTGTGCAACTTAGAGCTGCAAAGGAAGAAGATATTTCATCTCATTCGTATTCGACCTGATAATGATGGTATCGAGGAGATCTTTCAGCTCCTGATGGTAATCCTAAAGCAACCTAGCTTGGGGCGACATGTGCACGAAATACGATATTATGGGCGGGCGCACGCAAGCAGAGATTGGAGGCACTACGGTCATGGGCAGTTGTATCCTCGGGATTTAAAGGAATCAGAAAGGGAACTTCTTAGGTCCCATATCCAGCGGGCGGGCTTTTCTAGCTCTTGGGAAGATAGTATTCTTGAGATGCTGACGCAGAAAAAGACGGGGGATTGGGAAGGAGAACAGCCCTATGTCGACGGTCCCGATTTTTCGTAAGATTTTCTCAGGACCAATATTATGATGATGTCTAACTTTTTCCTCAGCCGGAGGAATTCTGAGCGTGGTGTTTTTATAGCACAGGCATTGGCGACGATTTTAATTTCGGTTACACCTAGCCTCGTGTCGCTCGCCATGATGCTGCCGTGGGCAACTTGGTCTAGCAGAGACGGGGACTATTATCCCCTTGAGCAATTCTTGCTTGAAGCCAACTCTAGCTCGGTCGCCAAACCATATCTCCAGAACTTACGCGAGGTATACATCATGACTGATGAAAGCGATTATGATGAATATCAGGAGACTGTCGATGATAGATACTATGTACGCACTGGATTTCTCGACTGCTTCCAAATGTTTGACAAGCTTCCTTCAATTGAGTCCGTGGGTATCGATGGGATCACAGATGACGATCATGCAGATGAGCCGAATATTAAGGAAGCAGCATCGAAATTGACCAAGCTTCACATCAATCACTCAGCGCTGGATGACATATATTTAGCTCGTGTAATCTTAGCATGCAAATCCTTGAAAGAGCTCCAATATTCAATTGGAGGCAGAGGAACGGGTCTTGAGGACAAAGGACACCTCAATAATAAAACCTTCAGTAAAGCCATACTGAAACACAAGAACTCGCTTCAAGTCCTCGATATTGACTCCGGAAAAGATTTTTATTATCACAATATCAGCGAAACAAACACTGGCTACGATAATGAGGGAGGGGACCAGCTTCGCCTATATCGTCTAGTTGGTGAAACTGAGATCAGTGACTTTCTTTGCTCGTTTTGGGACAACCATGGCTCTCTCAAGGATTTCCCCAACCTCAAGTCTCTGAGCTTGGGAATTGGCCTGTTGATGTATCTGGTCTGTGGGGGAAATGGTACACGAGATGGCACGGAATCCAAATTGGTTGATAGTATCCCCAAGAACCTGGAATATCTCTGCGTGCGAGGATACCAGAGGGCTGAGGTTCCAAAACATGATGTACAGATTGATGCTTTAATGGGTGCCTTCAATTCTGGATCCCTTGGATTGAAAGAGATCAGGGGTATCGAAACTATTATTCCATTTACCGATCACTACGATGTGTCTAATAGTCGAAAGTCCGATCGATGGTGTCTACAAAGCTCCCGGTACAGCCTTCAAAAACAATCTTAAGTCTTTTACGGTATCAAATCCATTATAAGTTTCACAGCCATTCAATCAATCTCAGGTCTTGTCAAATTCATAATCATGATCTATTGGTTGTCGTCTAGTATATGCTACTAGTAGTATCTAAATAGCGACTCCGGGGATGATAGCAATGGGGATGTAGTATATAAAATGATGCCCAGAAAAAGCTCCAACGATGCTAGTACTAGTAGTAAGAGTGAATAAGAAGCTTTTATAGTCCACTAAGGCCATGGGCCATTAAACGAATGTCAGATAAACAATAAATATGCCACATCCAAGGTTGTATTAACTAAACTATTGTTGGTAAATATTTCCGTTGCTATGGTTGTATTTTTATCAGTTTGAAGCTCAATATCTTATCGAGCGATGGAGGCAACCACATCAATTTTGGTGCTGTAATACTCACAAGGGTCGAGTAAGGCTCTTTCTTTCCCAGGCTTTTTCATGTACCCACACGCTAACGCTCTTCGCAGCCACAGGGAATACCCCATAGCCTCGATTATCGATGATGACTGTTTCTGCACACAATTCCAGTATGTCTGTCCATTCCTCTCCTTCGTGCCGTCTCCCCACATACATCTTCTTGTAGGCTGCAACCGTGTTGCTGACGATGCAAGCAATACCATAAGGGTACATCACATTTCCATATCGCACGAACCCTAGGTAATATTAAGAATATGATCCAGTGGTTATCCATTGTGTACTCACCTATACAATTTCTTTTGTCGAAGTAATCGCGCTGCTCGCCGTAAGCATATAACTTTCTCGCGCGCATCAATACTGCGAGCTTTCTCTGGCAAGATGGAGAGTTCAAAGAATTTGGTCCGCCTTGAAGTCCGTATAGATCACCATAAAAAACGCACGGTTGGCCTTGACTTCTCAGAAGAATTAAAGCATAAGCAATCTCTTTGAAAAATGGCACGACTATTGTCTAGCATTTCTATCAGTACAAGCAGCACTTCAGTGGGGGTTCAATATCCATATCCATATGCCAGTACCATACCTCTAATGACTGGCCGGGTTGCTTGGAGAGGTCAATACAACTTCAGAGCGGGCCAATAAATAAAAACTTACAGTATCATGGTTTCCCACAAATGTCTGACGGTGACACCCGAGATCAGCAAAAGTCAATCGCCTAACTCGATTGCACATATTCTTACCACGGCGTGGCCAGGGCTGTGTTCCACCAATGTGCCTTTAAATATCTTCCGCAAATCACCACCTTCTGTTTGAGAAATTTCTGAAATCCGCCCCAGCAGTGGCACGTCAAATAGCGAAACGCGACCTTCCATTATTTTGAGGTAATTCAGAAGATACTCCACCTCTCCTCGCCAGTACTCGCCCACCAAGAGATAGTTTCCTCCCACCGTTTTTCGAAGATGATCCACAAAGTCTCTCTGGAATACAGCAGAGTAATGCTTGGCTGCGTCGATTCGCATACCGCTGAGGGCGAACTCGGTTCCAATCCATTCCGCCCAATTAAAGAGGTCTGCACGCACCGCGGGGTGGCTTTGGTCCAGATTGGCAAACATCAGATAATCATAGTTGCCGTGTTCACTGCTGACATCCTGGGACCACTTCTTCTGGGGACCGGCAATCTTGTATATGGCATTTTGTTTTCGAGATTCATCCCAGTCCACGCCATTAAAATGTCGATAATGATACTTCATAGAGCTGTACTTCCCCTTGCGACCTGGAAAGTCAAATCCCACCCAAGCCGTAATTTCCTCCGGCTTCGAAATCACAGTGTTTCTGTCTATATTATGTAAATTCTTTGCCAAACCCATCCTAGCTCAAGACAAGGTACATACTTTTAGGGTCTACTTTCACGGCCGGGAATTTCTCGGTGAAATCGGCCCCGGCTTTATGGTTCAAGACAGTATCCCAGATGATTCCAATATCGAGATCTTGTGCAGATTGTACAAGTTCATGCAAGTCCTCTTTAGAGCCCCATCTTGTCGCTCGGCAGCCTTTCTGGTAGAACTCACCCACGTCATAGAGGTCATAAACGTCGTATCCTGTTCCGTTCGATTCCATGCCTTTGCATCCCGGGGGTATCCAGATATTATCGACTCCGATGTCTTTCAGATTTGGGAGGACCCTTTGTAGGCGCTTCCAATGGTTCTGGTCAGCTGGCACGTGCCATTCGAAACCCTGAAGCATGATAGGATTTAAGGGAAGGGTCCATTCCGGTTTCTTCTCGGAATTCTCTTCGGCCTCTAAAAACATGCAAAATTAGTACTCGGTATCAACAATTCAATCTTGTTAGGGGGAAAAACCTACCCTTAATTTCTTTCCACTCCTCCGCTTTCCGCCTCGTCTTCAGACAACAGCTCAGTAAGGACGACATCTGGCCGACTACCACGTGCCTGGGGAACAACTAAAATAAAGTGTGTCGGCCAGGCTCGTGAGTAGTGAGGGAACAAGATCAGGACATTCTTGAAGCGGTCGCGATTTAATCAATGTGAGATTGGAGTTTCGAGAAGCAGGCCCGCGGAGGTGGAAGAAGTGACACGGAAACCCCTGCTGTACGATCTACCTTGACGGGTATGTAGTATGCAAGGATTTCTTAGTAATGGCTCAACAATTGGTCATTGTCCGAGCTGTGATTTTAGGAGAGAAAATTCAAACTTCGAAATGGATCCATCAAGGTTCATCAATTTGTAATATTATGCCTAGTACTAGTATTAGATCCATGATATCCGCTATAGACTTCGGCATCGCTAATTTTGGCCTCTCCACGAACATAGGATATAAAATCTCCGGAGTCAGCGGACTTCGTTATCGCCAGCCACTCATAAAGGGGGTTGTGCCCAAGCAGACTACAAAATTGTCAAAGCTTTAAGACAATGTCACTAAGAATGGCCCTCTCAAGGTTGGCGGACCCAGCCATTTATCTACCACTGAGGAACCTTTGCAACCGAGTCAATATTTGCTGTTTTGAACTCGTAGCGATTCTACTTTGTGCTGAAAGGGGGGGGTTCCTACTATCCTTTTACACTATTTCCTATCTGTAAAATTTGTTCCTATCGCGCAGAAGTCTACAAGGCGTAGTAACATTATAGTCTACTCTACTTGCAAGATGGTTAACTCCAGACTTGGACAAGTATACAGACTAACCAATCCGGCGTTCCGAGACCTCGCGTGGCCAATCACAGGGCTCGGAGAAGGGCTCTGATTTGTGGAAACGGTCCTTTCCAAGGTTGGTGCCCCCGAAAAATTGGTGGCCACCAGTTGGGCCCCATCGTTGCCGCCAGGTGTCCACTTGTGACGTCGAGTTTTTTGAATGGCTTGAAGGCCGTGCCTCTCGCAGTATTACGAGTACTACGAGTACTACTTGCGAGGATTGATTGTTTGAAGCTGTCGAGTAGTATGAATTTTAAATGATTTTCTAAATAAATAATTTAATCGACCTAGGATATAGCCAGCTATAGCGCATGCTCTTTTAAATTAAATAGATTACCTGCTAAGAGCACTTATGGGATTACTGCCATCAATCTTAGATACAATCTGACAGAGTTCAAAGACAAAAAAATAATGCGTGCTTTTTATGTTGCGCTCGGTGCTCACCGGCAAACATCCCGATCGAATTTTTCTACAACCACCTGCTGGGCAATGGAATGGGGGAATGGGGGGGGGTAATAAATAGTAATAAATTCTAATAAATATCCGAGAATTATTTTCTACAATATGTGCCTATAACCATAGTATACTCACAGTGCAGGGCTATAGTATACTCTCCCGTTGACCCGGCGATGGTGGACACAAGCCGTGCTGAGCCGATGCCTCCGGATTGGCCCGAGCCCAGCCTCCGGGACCCATCCCTGCCTTCAAATCTTTTTCTCCTTTCCCTCTTCCACCTCTACGTCTTCGAAATCTCCCCTCAACTACCCCCATCTCCCTCCACATCTTTACAATGGCCACTCCCACCGCTGAATCGCCCAAGGGCGTTGACCTTTACGCTCGGTTCGTCTCGACCTGGCCGCTTCCATGTGGTCCCCCTCCGGCTTAACCCATATGCCAGACATCCCATCAATCCGAATTCCGACTAACCATCTTCGCAAAATAGCTTCGCTTTCGCTGGCGCTGTCTGCTGCTCCGTTACCCACGGTGCTGCCACTCCCCTCGATGTGTAAGTTGAATGACTCCCAATCCACCCGTCAATGGGCCAGTCGCCCCCCGGCGAGACAAGACCGCATCAAGACAGGATCAATTTGCTGATCGCGCATTGTTTCTTGAATATAGTGTCAAGACCCGTATCCAGCTTGACCCTGTCACCTACAACCGTGGCATGATCGGTGGTTTCCGCCAGGTCATCCAGAAGGAGGGTGCTGGCGCTCTCCTGACTGGTTTCGGTCCTACCGCCGCCGGTTACTTCCTCCAGGGTGCCTTCAAGTTCGGTGGTTACGAGTTCTTCAAGCAGCAGGCTATCACTCAGCTCGGCTACGAGACCGCTGCCAACAACCGTACCGCTGTCTACCTCGCCTCCTCCGCCTGCGCTGAGTTCATGGCCGACATTGCCCTGTGCCCTCTCGAGGCCACCCGTATCCGTCTCGTCTCCCAGCCTACCTTCGCCTCCGGCCTGCTCGGCGGTTTCAGCCGTATCGCTAAGGAGGAGGGTATCGGTGCCTTCTACTCCGGATTCGGACCCATCCTGTTCAAGCAGTAAGTTCACCATTTCGCACCATTGCGCACCAATTCGTGTGATGAAAGTCGTGCGCCCGCCATACCCTGGTTTCTAACAGGTTCTTCCACCAGGGTCCCCTACACCATGGCCAAGTTCGTCGTTTTCGAGAAGGTCTCCGAGGCCGTCTACAAGTCCGTTGACAAGAGCACCCTCTCCACTGGTGGCCAGACCGCCGTCAACCTGGGCTCCGGTCTTATCGCCGGTCTCGCCGCCGCCATCATCTCCCAGCCCGCCGACACCATGCTGTCCAAGATCAACAAGACCCAGGGCGCTCCCGGTGAGGGCACTGTCTCCCGCCTCGTCAAGATCGCCAAGGAGCTCGGCCTCCGTGGCTCTTACTCCGGTATCGGTGCCCGTCTCTTCATGGTCGGTGGTATCACTGCCGGTCAGTTCGCCATCTACGGTGACATCAAGCGTGTCCTCGGTGCCACTGGTGGTGTTGAGATCTCCAAATAGAGATCTCGCCTTGTCTAGATGTTGGAGGATAATAGAGACTACCCTTAGAACTTTTTTTTCTTTTTTCGCGGCTTGTCCATCCCTCAAATACGATGTACAATACTTTGTCTCCATTTTCTTCAAAAACAAGCTCAGTTTCTTTTGTTTCAATTTTTTCTGCCGTAAACTTATGTTCGTATTTACATGGACGTGGCTTGGACCGAGAACCTACCTATTCTTGCCGGGGCGATCGGTTTAGCCCGATCTCGACTATCTCATGACCAGACTAGAAGCTCAGGCGAGTTCTACTTCTAGCATCAAGTCTACCACCAAGCACAGTATGGATATGAAGTTCCTCACTTGGATTGGAATACTAATACTATGCAGAAATTGAAATGCTTCTAGACGAATTCCCGTGAGCTGAAGGTTGCTCAAAGTACGTATCGGAAGTTTGGGTTCTAGGAAATGGTTAGTTAGCATGGTTCTGCTTCGACTATCTAACCGGTATCTCACCTCGAAATCGGTCAGATCAGCCAGCTCATCTAGTACCGCCATGCCTGCAGCTCCCTCATTTTCGGATGCGGCATCTCTTTGTTTGTTGCGGTTGGTCAGTAACCAGCGAAGGCAGAGTGCCAGCACAAGTTGCGATGTGGAACAAGCCAGAATCACTTTGCAGCCAGTTTGGTACAGGGGGGGCCTCTTTGGCGAGGAATGCATGGGGACCAATGATATTTCCTGCACAGTAGGCCAGAAAGACCAGTGCAACGCCAGTACTGCGCTTGGTATAGCCTCCCAGGTTTGTAGCAGGCATCTGCAGTGCCAGTACTAAGGAGCAAACGTAAGCCCCAATGAGATAGTAGCTGAATAGAATTCCAATCTTGTGGCTGTCATGATCTAGCTTCCACATCAAGCAGATACCTATAATTGTTGGGATTAGGTAGATGGCCATGACGATGGTACGCAGGTTGCGAACACGAGATGCAAGAAAGGTTCCTGTTAGGATCCAAAACACTTGAAAACCACCCTGGGGAATTCCAAGTGCAACCGTGGTGAGCGGGTCTTTGGTTAGCCCTTTGATGATGAGCTTTCCGAAGTTTGCGTATCCACCGTTGATTGTTTCATTCAATAAAGTGAAGAAAAACAATATCCAAATTTGAGGATCCACAAGTGCTTCTCGGATCTGGTACCATTTGATGTGGTGGTTGATCACGCCGGTTCGACCAAGTCGACTGCGAGCAATCAAGAGAGCCTTCTCGTCCAGTTTGAACCGCTTAGCCGATATGATGTCGTCCGGAAGAAAGAATAACATCAGGACCCCCCAGCAGATTGTGATTCCGCCGAGAATGAGGTATATGGCTCTCCATACCGCAATGGTTTTGATCTGTCCAATTCCGAAAGTCAAGAGACTACCAATCATGGCGCCCACTCCGTTGCAACTATAGAATACTCCAGCACGGAATGGCTGTTGTGCACGCGTATACCACATGCCAACAATCATCATAAAGCACGGTGTGATAGGCGCCTCGAAAATGCCGAGAAGAAAGCGGCAGATTGCCATGCCGGTGAAAGAGGAGCAAGCAGCGGTAATCATAAGCATCGAGCCCCATGCCACAATATTGCCCGATACAACTTTCCCCAGCCTTGTTCTCTGGGCGAGAAGATTCCAAGGGTATTCGGCGATAAGATACGCGAAGTAAAAGATACTAGCTAACCAGCTGTACTCATTACTGGACATATTCGTCGTTGTCAGGAGGTCGAATACTGCTGAGTAGGCTAGCGCTGACTTATCGATGTACTGTAGTGTATAGGTACCAGCAAGAAGTGGCAAAAGAATGAGATCGACTCTGCGGACTAAGGCTTTATTTCGTGGTTCATCCTCGAGCATTTCTTGAAGGGTCTCTTGGGAGAATCCATGCTCATGGAGAAACAACTCTCCCTCGTCAAGATCGGTGACCGTGCCGGCTTGTACATCCTTCAATTTTTCAGGAGATTCCTCATCAAGGACAGGCTTTTTTGAAATTTCAGCCATTATGGAAGATTAAAATGGGTAGTAAAAGACTATAATTTACGCAGAAAAGGGAAAGGGGTACAAGATAAGTCTGCCCCAATGGCTCTTTTAAAGCGAAGCTGGCCATTCGCGCGTTATCTCCGCCCAGAACTGCCCCAACTTTTAGCTCAAACCATGAATGCGGAGTAGTGAGTGACTTCGGATTCTCGCCGAGATCAACCGATTTGATAGTAGTGGCCAAGGGCTCCGAAACATCACATATCTAAGCCTTAAGCTGTACGGAGTAGATACGAGGGAAAATTCTAATTGAAACTCTAGAGCCGGAAACTGTACCATGGGCCACATGGTTATTCAGTAAAAGTGTCAATTGAAATATAGTTTAGCTCTTCTTCCCCGCTCCATCTGGGCATCAAGGACTCCCGTATCAATGAGGAAATTTTGACTATCGATCGGGTGGGATTTGTTTAGTAGGGTCGTCGACGACTTGATTATGACTCCAATATTCGGGCCAATATAGCGCCAGACCCCAATTGATATGTTTCTCATTGCCAGCCTGCGAAAGGAGATAAAACTTCCTGGTCTGACCCGGCTCGCTATCGACCTGTCGTAGGTGGCCCCACAGGATAAAGGAACCAACTGTCATGACTCCTCCTATCTTCGCACCATCGAGTGATAAACCGTGTCTCCACTTCACCTTCCACAAAGACGGGCTCTATCTCCCCCGCACGGAGCTACTTCTGTCCCCCGGAGAGAAAAGCGCACATCCCTATATCTGACTCCAGCGCCTGCCCCTGTGACAGATCGAACACCACGCTAAATACAGACAAGGCGAATCATGACGAGCGGCTCATCTGATCATCCTACAGTCACCCTTGCCCAAGGCAAGGTGATTGGAACCATTCGTGAGGAAGCAGCTCCTCAATCTGTCGAGGCGTTCCTGGGCGTGCCCTATGCCCTCCCTCCTGTCGGCGAAAGGCGATTCAAGCCTGCCGAGAGAGTTCCCGCCTCTTCGCAAAGCATTGACGCCACCAGATTTGGACCAGCAGCCCCTGGCAAAGCATTACTGGCTGGTGGTCCGAAGCTAGAGCAGAGTGAAGACTGTCTGACTGCTAACATTTTCCGACCGACTGGGACTGGCGAAAAAGACAGACTGCCTGTTGCTATCTATATCCATGGAGGCGCCTTCAACCGAGGTGCCGCTGTCATGCACGACACTGGATCGATGGTGGCATGGTCTGAAGAGCCATTTATCGGTGTTAGCTTCGGTTATCGTATCGGGGCATTGGGCTTTTTACCATCGGCCTTGTCCAAGAAAGAGGGCGTTCTGAATCTTGGTCTTCGTGACCAGGTTCACCTATTCGAATGGGTGCAGGAAAATATCAAGAAATTTGGTGGCGATCCTGAAAACGTTACTCTTTTCGGCCTGTCCGCAGGAGCGCATTCGGTGAGATGAATTCTTCTGGTCGAAGATTATGATTGCTAACAGAAGGTCAGATTGGACACCATTTGCTGAAGTATGATGCCCAAGCCTCACCATTATTCCATCGTGTGATTCTAGAGTCTGGATCGCCAACATCCCGGGCAGTGCGTCCCTATGATGCGAAAGTTCATGAGCAACAGTTTCAAGATTACCTCCAAGAAGTTGGTTGTCCATCAGACATCTCTGAATCTGAGATCTTCCCGTTTCTACGCTCATTGCCTAGCTCAACGGTTACGAACGCGCAAACAAAGGTTTTCGATAAATACAATCCATCGCTTAGATGGGCATTCCAACCTGTGATTGATGAAGACATCATTCCACGCAAGCCGCTAGACGCATGGAGCTCTCTTCTCTGGAATAAGGTTCCCATAATGACAGGCTTCAACAGCAACGAAGGAACAATGTATGTGGACAAAAAAATGTCTAATCCGGGACAATTCCGAAAATTCTGGCAGGATCTACTCCCTGAGTTATCCAAGGATGATCTTGATACAATCGACCGCCTATATCCTGACCCTAGTGTGAGCTCCAGCTCGCCGTATGTGGAAAGAAGAGAGGGTCATGGCCTTGGTCCACAATATAAGCGAATTGAAGCTGCATATGGTCACTATGCCTATGTGGCGCCAGTGCGACAAACAGCACATTTTGCTGCTTCCCAGGGTGTCCCGGCCTACCTATACAACTGGGCACTTCCAAGAACGGTGGTTGGCCGTGCGAATCATGGTGACAACATGTATTACGAGACATACAATAACTCTATTACCGGGATATCTGAGTCTCAAAAAGAACTGTCTGGAACTTATCATGCCTATGTCACCAGCTTCATCACGAAAGGGGATCCGAATGCCATCTCGGGCCGCCATGGAGAACGCCCTAAATGGGAGCCGTATGTGCCAGACAATAGGCGGATTCTGATTTTTGGGGAAGGAAATGAGGAGCTGATTGGAGGGTCTACTGCCCCTGCAGCCAAATTCGTGAAAGATGAATGGGCAAGCGAGGAGACAGAATTCTGGTGGTCGAAAGTACCGATATCGCAGCTTGCATGAGAGAGAGGTTATTTTCATCTCGTAGATACCTAGACCACTGCAATTGAGAGGAATTCATACAGTTGCTTTATCTTTTTCTAGCGACTTTCCATACTCATAGAAGCCATTTCATGGGTTTTGAAGGATCAAATCAACTTCTGCATCCGCCATTTCCAGGATATGCTCCGCTGAATATTGAGGAGTCCACCCAATCTCCCGGCCATGCTTGGCTTGCAATGTGCATTTTCCACCCAGAAACAATGAAACCATGTCCTTGGGGCATCCAAGCGCTGCTCCCATGCTTTCCAAGGCTTGGTCATCAGCTAGCGCAACCTTGTCATTGTCGATAATATTTTGTGCAGCAAGGCGCTTGGCCATCGCGGTGTAAAGACTGTTCCAAGACACGTTGCCACTAGAGGCAAGATAGTACCCATTTATGCCATGGTCTATTTCCTTACCAGACAAGCTGCTCCAAATGATTTCCAGGTATAACCCTGCGGTGTCACTGACATGGCTCACAGGCCAGGTCTTGAAATATCAGTAATTGAACGGATGTGAAAAGGAAATAGTGAAGCCTACATAATAACCAGGGTCGGGTCGGCAAACTCGTCGAAGTTTTTTGGCCGCATTTACTATAGCGACCGTTTGAATGGAGGTTTTATTTCCAAATCCTTCGCCCTTGCCATATACAACACATGGCACAAATAAGTAGCTCTTCACATCATATTCCAATGCAGTTTCGATGATTGTATTATTGGCCATCACTGCCTTTTCAACAAATAAGTACCGAGCATAGGTAATTTTCGAGAGGTAATAGAGAGCTGGATCATTATCGGGGATCGGAGAATTTGTCGGAAGACCTGCATGGCTACTGAATAGCTTTGCGCCAGAGGTATGGAGAAAGTGTACATCCTGTCCAGTTTGTTTCTTCACTTCTGCCAGGGCTTTGATCATCTGCACCTGAGTTTAAGAGGCAGTAGCATCAATCAGAAAGTAGATAATGGAAATTTTGTTTTCGATGATGGTGGTGGTTACGCTGGCTTGATCTTTAATATTGAATTTGATCGGTTCTGCGCCATATTTCTTGACTGCCTCGCTTTGTTCGTCCGTGCGTACGAGAGCGAAGTGCCTCTGGTATGTAGGGAGCTTGGCGCTGGCCCATCGGGCGAGGAGCGTTCCCCCGAGGTATCCGGATGCGCCGGTAACAAGGATATTGTGCGACATTCGGAACTGCAATTGTAGATGAAATTGCTGCCGCTATTAGACCTTGATACTTAAAGTAGCCCAGCGTCGCGGGGTATTCGGCTCTCGTCGGAAAGTGAAATACATAGTTTGTGCATTTTTAATCAGATTAGGTATCGAGGCGACGATCAACACTCCTCTGAGAGAGGAATGAAGCTGGGCAATTGTGACTGGCCAGACGCAGGCGGGTCTAATTAAAGCGTCGTCGGCAAGGAGCAGTTTGGATCGGTAGAGCTTTAAACATCACCCAAAGTTTGATCAACTTCAAGCTGGTTCGATATATACAGTGCTTAACTGAAACTCTGAATTTTAAGCCAACCTTGAATCTTTTTGATCGAAGTAACGTCTCGTCAAGTAAGAATGTCTCTGTTAACAGGACCTATTATCATCAAGCAAAACTGCTCAGCTAAAGTCTGTGAGTATCGATTAATCAAGGTGGAGCAGCTGTTGTCTTGTGAAATAGAGTATGTTTGTAGTAAATATGTCGAATTATTGTACATTTGCATCAGCATCGTCGTGAAAAATTGTTGTTCCCCAGTTTGGCCGATTGAATCTCTTGCCTCCGAGAGACGTGACAAGCTCGTCAATCTTAACTGTTTCGTTGTCATCCATAACGAAACATTGCTGAAGGTTTTTGGCAATTCTTGACGGATTGGTGCTCTTTGGAATGACACTCCAACCCTTCTCTACTCCCCAACTCAGCAACACGTTGCCCGAGCTGCAGCCCCTCTTTTGCGCTATGGAGTTAATTATAGGGTCCTCGTGCAGAGTGCTTCCACTCCCTCCCAAGGGCCCGAATGCTGTCTGGTGAACACCATGCTTTATGCAAAGAGCATTGAGTTTCTTTTGAGGGAGCAAAGGTTGAATCTCGGTTTGGTTGACTGCGGGCACGACAGAGCAGCTCTTCAGCAGCTTTTCCAGGTTGACGGTTGAAAAGTTTGCAACGCCTATGGCGCGTACTTTTCCTGTCTGCAGGAGTTTTTCCATCTCACGCCAAGTGTCCCTAAAGTCCCAGTCGGGGTCGTGAGCCGTACGATCCTCCTTCCCGTATGTCTCCGGGGATGAAGCGGGCAGAGTAACAGGCCAATGCATGAGATACAGATCGACGTAATCGAGGCGCAAATCATCAAGTGATTTTTGAAGGGCAGGGATAATTCGACGATGGTCGGATGACCAACTAGGAAAATTATAAGATTAGTTGACTTCACCACTTCTCGCGGGGCTCGAGGGGCGTACAGCTTGGTAGTCACAAAATAATCATTTCGTGGCACTGGAATGGTTTCAAATACTTGTCCAATCTCAGCTTCATTTCCATCTATAATAAAGCGTCAGTGTTTTGTTTCCAACTGAAGTTTGACGCCAACGTACAAAGAGGAGCACAATCCTATTCAATATATTAGTGGAGACGTCAAACAAATAAGGAGCATGTTGAGGACTTGCAAAATGTCTATACCCCACGTCAAATGCCGATTTAACGGCAGCAGCGGCTTCTCCAGGCCCAGCTTTCCAAGTGCCAAATCCAATTGCGGGGATTTTGGCACCAGTGTTAAGAGTAAAGGTTTTGTGTTCCAATGTGTCAGCCATTTCGTTGGAGTGAGTTTAATGAGAATGATTCATAATATAGCTGAATGCTCTCTTGTTATAACAATTGAATATTTATCACATAAGAACAATTCAAGTTGGTATAAAACGCGTTACGAAGAGTCGGAGAGAACCCCGTAGAGAACTCCAGGCCGACTACCCCTCATTTACCAAGCCGGGTCTACCCCGATCGCCATTTAGATTCAATAATAATATTTACCAAATCATTTCGGAAATTATTAGCACCTGCTAGTTCGCGATCAGGCTCCACTGTTAAAAAGGAACAGGAGTCGAGGTTCTCCTCGGGGTCGAACGGCAATCAGCGCTGACCATTCATATTCAGTATCTGGTTTTTCTCCATGTACTTAGTTTCCTTGATTATCCCTCTTGAGAAACTTGTCACTCCTAGCTGATGCTGATTGCTAAGATCCTGCCATGGCTTTTGTATTTTGCAAAATTATAGATCGAGGGTATGGTATGTTATGGTGTGGGGTTCTATGTGAGAGCAGGTGTAATCTCCTTGCTTTACATTGGGGTTTAATAATATTCTCATTGCGGCTTTCAATTGTCCAATCTAACTTCGAGCCTTAAGGTAGATCGATCCGCTACTACTTCATTCCATCGTATGCAACGTCGTACTTTGATCTGTGAGTATCTGAGCATCCTCACATTCCAGTTCACTCAGCCTGGGACTCAAGGCTGGTGTCTTGTATATAAGGCACCAATATGCCAACATCAAGCCTATGGCCACCTTGCCTACTAGCTCCCTCTTCTGCCTTCTATACTTTCTTATTATAACATTAACAATTCAAGTTAACTAGTATACAACGCATTGCGGAGAGTCAGAGAGAACCCTATAGACAACTCTAGGCTGAGTACCCCTTATTTACAAAGCCGGGGCAGTTCAAAGAGCTGCTCACGATATCGCAATCGTATTGCAGAGGAAACTTTTTGGCGATACGATAATGATACAGTGCCCCGGGGTTGCGATCCGATGTTCGTTACGATAACTAACTAACTTAGTTAATGCCAAGCTTAATCACGGGACTTTAGTCATAGGCACTGGCCAATGAGAGGCCTCTATTTGCGGCACCATCATGACACTATACCTCTATGATCAATAGACATAACTATCTGGTGGTGCGAGTCAGTGTATCCTTACAATATATTTTGATCGTAGCCAACATGCGACCGTGGGTGTCATTAGAGCTAGTCCTAGATAGGAAACAGAGTCTGCTTTATTTTTATTACGTTTTTGAGCAATTCAGCGTGTCGTAGCGACGTTGGACAGCTATTGTCGTGGTGACCGTGGCCGAATGCTAGTACTATTTGACGATATCGTTTTATCGTACGATATCGTCACCCAAAAATTATTGCGATATCGTATCATGAGCAGCTCTACCGGGGCTACCCTGATTGCCATTTAGATTCAATAATAATATTTACTAAATCATTTCGGAAATCATTGGCACCTGCTAGTTTGTCTCTGGTAAAGCTAAGCTACCGGTTCACATCCTCCAGTCCAGGCCCTTTAGGCGTTTTCCACATGCTCTGCACGATCTTTCTGCCTCTCATCATCATTGTCCAGTTTCCCAGCAACAATGTTCTCACGAACATCAGATCGAATCTTTTCTTCCTCGGTGGGATAGGCATGTCGCCACATCAGCCACAGCGGTCTTTCGAAGAGATTGTCCATACTCTCGATCGAGCGGCCCTTCATCTCAGGGAGGCAGAAGTAGATAAAAATCACCCCAAGGTATGTCAGCATCGCATAGAGCAGAAACACCCCCCATCCCATTTCAGTAATCATATTTGGGGTCGCTCGGGTTATGCCGTAGTCCACGATCCAGTTAATAAAAAAACAAATAGACATGCAAAATGATCGCTAGAATTTTGTTAGGCTTATTCGGTCAGATCGGGACAATTTGCAGAAACTTACAATTCTGGTAGGGAATATCTCTGCCGCAACAACGTAGCATGCGACTGAATGTCCAAATGACCATCCAAATGCGTAGATATAGATCCATATAATACCGACGATTCCTCCCGCTGGTGTTCCTCCCACATTGTCCGTATTGGTTCCTGCAAATCGCAGGTATAGAGCGAGATATAGCATTGCAGTAGCTTGCATTGTGGCACCTACAAGAAGGGGAAGACGACGACCAACTCGGTCAACCAAGAAGCCCACATAAAATATAGTTGTCACTGTCTTGACAACGCCGTATATACCGGTTGTAAGCAGGCTAGACGAGCCAGAATTGACACCAATCAAGGCAAATATTTCGGGGGCGTAGTACTATTAACTTGTTAATAAAATTCATGGAATATAAGCCGGATAAAATTGACTCACGTTCAGAGAGTCTGTTCCCGTAAATTTATGGAACAAGAAAAGCATGACAGCCAGGAAGAAACGCTGAAAGTTGCTTCTGGACGTGAATATATCTTTCACGACAACCCAATAGTTGTGTCCTGCATAAGATTCCTGCTCTTGCCTTACCTGCGCTTCGATCTCGCGATATTCAGTCTGCACGTACTCATGATCCGCTGGCAACTTTCTGAGCTGGCAGATATTCTTGAGGCCCTGCTCAGACTTTCCATGGTTGATCAACCACCGCGGGGTTTCGGATAAAAATGGAATCATCAAACACAGAAGGACACCAGGAATTATTTGAATACCCATTGAGACACGCCACTGGGTGTTGTCAAACTCAACACCCGGGAAGGACCACTTGGAGACTCCATAATTCACCCAAAAAGCCAACATAAGTGATGTCACGATCATCAGGTTATATGTCGCTGTCATCGACCCGCGGACAGATTTGGGGGAATTCTCGGCGAGGAATTGAGGCGTGAGCATTGATGACGCGCCAACACCCATACCAGCAATGAAGCGACCGGCCAGAAGGACATCATAGTCTGCAATCATCTGCATCGCAGCGCCCACGACAAAAACTAATCCCCAGCTGAACACGGACCATTTACGGCCAAAATAATCGGATGTGGGCGCTGCTAGCAAGGCCCCGACCGAGCCACCAGCTGCGAGCATGGATGCGATCGTTCCCTTGCAAAGGTTAGAGAAAATACAAAGCTTTCTGGACTTGAAAAACAAACTTGACGATTGTCTTGCTCTGCTTGGGAAACATCGTTAAGGCCGAATGCGCTTTTGAACGACGGAAGAGTAAGGATTCCCCCAATATTCCCAGTATCAAAACCGTAAAAAGAGCCAGCCCAAGACACAGCAACCAGCAGATAGAGAAGGCGAAGATTGAAGATAGCTCTCGGATCAGTTTTGGCCTCGCTGCTGACCCAGATACTGGTTCCACCAGCCATTATTTCTCACTGGCAAGATCGTAGGTTATGAATCGGTATTTCGATGATCCCGTTCGATTAGAAATCATTCATAACTGAATGGCTCCGGGGACAAATAGACAATAAATAGGCTTCCCTATGGTGAAATAAAGAATGCAGGGCAGCATACACTATCTGTCGCAAATAAAGCTAAATGTGATTAGCTTTCCTGTGCACACCCCGTGGGGAAGTGGGGAAGCGGAGCACCTCGCCATCTGAATACGGTTTTTCTTCCGTCCTCTGGCACTACGCAGGCAACACCGGGGACCAAGCCGATAATTTTGAGAAGCGACTTATTCAGCCACTTGTGATTCATTCTTATCTCAAGAAATGGTGGACTTGTTATCGATAAGACAATTCTTTTAAATCCAACCCTTCTTGAACGCCTCGAGCTTTCCCACGATTCTCATATTGTGATACGAAACCCAAACGATCATCCTCTCACAATGTTTACCACGGCGATCACAGAAGCACCAGAATTCATTGCAAAGCTTCAATCCACTTCTCAAAGAGATTTCAAGTACTCAGAAGCCTATATACCCGCTCTCACCCAGCAATGCCACGCCTCCAACCTTCTCCTTCTACCAAATGGCGATCTGCTCTGTGTCTGGTTCGGGGGAAGTATTGAAGGCCGACCTGATATATGCATCTATATGTCTCGTATTCCATCTGGACAAGATGCATGGACAGATGCCGTCAAAATGACACACGATCATACCCGCAGCGAGCAAAACCCCGTCCTCTTCCGCGTTCCCTCCACGGGTGAAATCCGATTACTTTACACATCGCAAGATGCGGGAAATCAGGATTCCGCAATTGTGAAGCAATTGGCATCAACAGATAACGGAATTACTTGGTCCGATCCAACGATTTTGTTTGGAGATGCAGGTACCTTTATTCGACAGCCTATTGTTGTTCTGAAGGATGGTGCTTGGGTGATCCCCATTTTCAAATGCCGCGCAGAGCCCGGTGAACGCTGGCTGGGAAGCGATGATATTTCTTGTATTCGGATCTCAAAAGACGAAGGGACTACGTGGACCGAAACGGAGATACCAAGAAGCTACGGGTGTGTGCATATGAATATCCAACAGTTGAGGAATAGAAGTTATCTCGGGCTATACCGAAGTCGGTGGGCAGATAACATCTACCTATCGACATCACCAGACGGGGTTGACTGGAGTGAACCGCAGCCGACAATCTTGCCAAACCCCAACGCAGGCATTTGCTTCGATGTTCTACCCTCAGGTCGTGTTGTACTAATTTATAATCACTCCTCGAAAAAGGATGCTATCGGACGCCGGGATGGCTTATACGACGATATAAGCGATGGCACAGATACTCGCGCCAAACAAGCAAACAAGCATGGAAAAGAAGCCTTCTGGGGTGCTCCGAGAGCCCCATTGAACGTGGCTTGGAGTGATGATAATGGGAACTCTTGGAAATGGAAGACCCTTGAAGAAGGAGATGGCTATTGCCTGACAAATAACAGCGAAAAGAAACTCAACCGCGAGCTGTCGTACCCAAGTATCTTAATTGAGCGTGATGGGTCGATTCATATTGCATTCACATTCTGGAGGCAGCGAATCAAGTATATTAGACTAGCGGAAGATTTCTTCTCATAGATATGAAAAAATTGTTTTCAAGTTTGTATTTAGCACGGTCATATCCAAATTGACGATCAGTACTCTTAATGTAAGTGTGTTTGATTTGAATTTCAATAAAAGAGACTGGCTACCTCAAGCACAGACAGCATAAAGCCCTGAATGGCTACTATGACGCATTTTGATAATTACGGGGGGATATGTATAGCTCGCCATTTCAAGAGTAGAGCAGGGGTAATTGAGATTTGAAATTCCTCAGTCCCAATCAGAGGACCCTTCGGGCTTAGTCCACCAGCCATTTTCTGTGGTTTTAGGCTTACAGTCTTGCTTCTGATATTTAGCTTCGATCCTCTCGTATATCTTTTTCCAAAGTTCAAAATTCTTTTCCTCCTCTATGTTCCCGCTGTCCTCCTCGTCCGAATCACCGAATTCGGGATCCGCAGTTGCCTTATGAAGCACAAGGCCAACATCTAGGTTGCGGTGTAGCAATTTTTGAAGCGTCTCAAGTTTCCGCGACATTGTAGGTGAGAAGCTGCCCCACCAAGTGGCTTGCGGGTCTTCGAAACGGAAATCTGGATTGATAAATATTTCTTCAAAAACGTCCTCCATGCGGATACCTTTTTTTATTCTGTTCAAGTCACCCTATCATATAAAGAAACATTTAAGCTTGCTCACTAACTAATAGTTACGCGATTCCCAACCCGCGATTCCCAACCTTGGAACTTACCGGAATCTCATAATATTTGACTAGATTAATTTGATGACAAATACTCTCGATCATGAGGCCGATTCTATATATTGGCGGCTGTTGGACTAACATATGACGCCAACTTGCCTCAGGTCGCAGATATGCCAATTGCTTTTCGGGATATTTGGCTAGGTCCCAAGAGGATAGTGTGAGCTTGGATTGAAAATAGTCCTCATCTGTCTCATGTTTGAGGAAAAGGGACGGGAAAGCGTCGGATAGAAGCAAATTGTGAGTTTTATCAACTCTCTGGATTTGGCTCTCTGGTGCAAAAAATAGAAATTGTTGTAGCGCAGTAGAGTCTTGAATCAGGGTAGCCCAAGCATGGCAGACTCATGTAGCAGATGTGAGGAGCGTCCGGAGATCTAGTTGTAGTAATGTCAATTCCCACAGCTCTACCGGTAGTCGTCCAACGGCCTTATTCGATTGAGAGGCGCTCATTGTAATATTGAATGTCGAATTGAATCTTGAAATTGAGAATGAGTTGGCAGGTAAGAAGGGAGGGTGGGTTCGCAGAATAGCAGTAAAAATCTTGTCTTGGCCCCCATTCTAGTGGTGGGTCCTATCCTACCCACTCGCAAGGAGGTGGTCACCTGGTGTAAGACAGATGTGACAGGGAGAGGGAATATAATTGAAAAGTGTGGAAAATCTGACGTCGGGTCTTTTCTGACGAGAAGGCGGTTACGAAATCACGTATGAGACCTCCAAACCGTAAGTGGTAAAACTAGACAGGGAATTCACATGTGCCAGTTTTACGAAGGAGATAGCTATCAATTCGATATGCATGTCTAATATTTGCTGAATCTATCTTCACGATTGAAATTTATACAGCATCGGGCAAGCTCTGCTCAATTTGAACCAAATGTTGCATGGCCTTTTCCACCCAGGCTGCCTTCACTCCATCTACGGGAAGATAGGGCTTACGCGGCCAAAATGTCTTTGGATCGGCAATACCAGCAGCCGAACCAGCGAAGTGTCCAACAGCATACTTTGTGGGCGCAATCCCTTCTTTACAGGCTTTTTCAGCCTGTGCCACCAAGCCCTGAAGCTCTTGAGCTTCTTTGATTTTGCCATCATTCCACAAAGCATAGAGTCTGGAAACGGATTTCGGAAACACGTTGGCAATTCCAGTCACGCATCCACCGCCGCTTCCTACCAAACAAGGCAGTAACCAGTCCGAGGAACCTGCATATACCGCAAATTGCTCGTGCTTATATTCCTGGGTGAGTCTTGTCACTTTTCCGGCGTTACCGCACGTCAACTTGACGCCAACTATATTCGGATGTTGTGCGAGTTCGGAGAGGGTATCGGAGTTCATGTCGACGCCATTGCACATAGCTGGGAACTAGAAAGTTTCAGCTTTATTTTCTCGACGCGGTGTGGACTCAAAATACTCACGCTGTAAATAACGATCGGGAGAGTAGTCTCATCCGCAACATCGCGGTAAAATCCGAGCAAAGCATCTTTAGTCACGGCCTTTGCCCAATAATTCGGTGGTAATAATAAGCCAAAATCAGCGCCTGCACTCGACGCATCCTCAGCAAGGCGAATTGATTCATTCGTTGACTGCCCACTGATCCCAGCGACGATGGGGAAATTTGGACGTCCAAGATCCACTGCAGCTTTGCGCGCAATTCTAACCAATTCCTTGCGCTCTTCGGCAGAGAGCAAAACGGCTTCCGCATTGGTTCCTGCGAGTACCAGCCCATCCAATCCCCCCACGGATTAGATGGCAGAATAACTTGTAGGATGCATCGTAGTCGACTTCCTGTCGTTTGGTGGGCTTGTATAGTGAGACCACGGGAACGTAAATCCCACGTGGTATAACCTTTGCCTTATTCGCGATGGTAGATGTCATGGTGCTGAGCTTGTCTCGTAGAAGAGATCGTAAACCCAAATTCATCTGGATTACCCCTCATCCTCGCCTTATACCATCGCTTCGAGCTGCCTGCCGGCATTCCTCCCTCACGGAGACAGTCCGACATCTCCGCCCCGGATTCTTCTCCATCGGCGCGGGGAGATTGCACCAATGAACCCCGGGCTGTGGAGAAACCTCCGGGGATGGGCTGATCAATGCCAGATCTGCTGAGTACGAGGTCATGCTCAAAGAATTAGCTCTGGACGGTATCGACGAATCGCACGGTCGCATTTCGTCATGTCGGGGGTACTCGTTTGCCCCTCAAGCCTAGATAAACCCCCTCGGAGTACTCTCCGGAGCCCTATCGTCCTGGTTTCCGTCACATCGAACGTCTCGAATATCCTTGCGGCTCCATCTTATCAAGTCATGGCTAAAAGAAAGCGGACTTTGACCGATGATGCTTCGGAGGCCTTGCCGGAGTCGAGTTCTCAGCCTCATCCCAGTGAAGGGAAAGACGCCAGCGTATTGGATGTTCTGCCGGGGATTACCCGGAAGATCACTGCCTGTGGAGCGTGTAGGAAACAGAAGGTAGGAGACAGGGTTGTGTTCTGCTCCATTGGCTAGAATCTGACAGCATTCCAGATTAAATGTGATATGACAAATGGTCCACCTTGCACGCGATGTCGTCGACGCGGTCTCTCTTGCGTGTTAAACAAGAGCTTGCAATCCTTAGTAGAGGAAGTCAAGTGGGTCCTTGATGCTCAACTAACCCTGTCCTGATAAAACTGACAGGTGATAGAAATACCGAACAATTGCAAAATGATATCCAAGGAATTCACGAGGTCGTTGATAACATCTGTCAACATTTGAGTCTCCCACGGCCAAGGCCTCTTCTCACAGCCGAGGAATCTGCCCAGGAAGAGATCAAGGTTTCCCAAGATGATGAGCTAGATGGGGACCATGAAGATCTTGATGGATGTGAAATATCACCGCCAGACACACCTTCCGCACTCCAAGCCCCCATCGACACATTTTTAGACATCGCTAAACTTGGAAGCCCTGGATCTTCCGACAATACCCCGGGGAGCACCACGCGCCAGAAACAAAATCCAATGAACCAAGACCTCATTGGCAAAGGAATCATCACAACGGAAGCGGCAGAGGAACTCGTAGATCGGTACTTCACTCGACTTGATCCGTATCTATACGGGATCTGCAGTGGCTATCACAGCCTTCAGCAAATCAGAAGCACATCACCGGTGCTATTTGCTGCAATCTGCACGGTTTCATCACTCCAGGATCCCAATGGCCAGAAGACCTACGAAGCATGCAATCGCGAGTTTCGCCGCTTGGTATCGAGGTCAATATTTGAGAAGCATAACTTAGAATACGTCCGAGCTTTGTGTATAAGTTCATTCTGGCTTTCTGACGCATCGAGAATCTTGGCCAGCGATGCCATTAGACGGGCGGCTGACATGCGCCTTCATCGTGGCTTCGACCATCTTGCGAAACCAATAGACCCGCGACTCTTATCAACTGAGAATGTACCTACCTCAGCACCAGAGATAGATGCGCTCAAGGACCGCGTCAGATTGTGGTATCTTATCTTCATTACAGATCAACACCTTTCCATTCTTCACAACCGCGATCCCCTGCTACGCAGTGACAAAGAGATTGCTCTTGGCTGGGAAACATTCCTAGCCCGAGAGGATACCACAGACTCAGACGTCCGAATCATATCCCAAGTGGCTCTTTTGGTCATAATGAGTCAAGTCCGTGATCTGCTAGGCTCTGACCAAGAGTCTCGTGTTCCACAATCACTCTCAAATCAGATCATTCACTATTCTCGCCAACTCGATCGATGGTTCACCAAATTCTCCGCCTTGTTCAAGCCTGATCCTTATATCGGAGACTTCCCAAAATGCGGCTTACAGTTGCATTATCACTTTGGTAAATTATATCTAGGTCACCAAGTGTTCAAAGGGCTCAACGGAGAGGTCATCCCATCTCATTTCGTCACAGCAGCGGGCATGGCACATGGAGCTGCAGTTGCAATTTTCGAGATGATCCTTCATGAGCACAACCTTCAACACAGTCTTGTTGGAATGCCACATTACTTTCACATCATGATTGCTTTTGCGGGTCATTTCTTGCTGGAAGTTACGAGAAACTATCACGTTCAGCTGTCAATCTCGCCTGATCAAGACTTTGAGTTGATCCGGAGAGTATTGGAGCTTTTTGAAGCGACGCCCTCCATTCAACAGCATCCAATATGCCGAATGACACCAGGATTGACGCGAAAGTTGCGCGAGTGTGTTGGAATGCTACAAAGGGATGGGCAACAGACCATCTCCACGCTAGCCGTTGGCGCCGGTGCGATCGATTACCAGGCACAAAATGATCATGCTCAGATGGATCCTCCAGCAGGACCGTTCTCATTTGGAGAAGATACCCTGACTGCGGACGACTTTTTATTTGCGGATTTTGGGGAATTTACCTTCCCCGGCATGATGTCAAACGGGACCGGCTAAATAGTAAAGAGCTTAATCGGAAATTCAAACAGTACAAACGTTTAAAATATGACGGACGATAAATTCACTCTGTACAAGTCGATTTTCTAATTCATAATCAACATCTAAAGCCTCATAGCATGCTGGCCGGATTTTCGGTAATGGACACGGAGAGATCCCCGAGGAACTCGCCGGTTCGCAACCGCTCGCAAAACATAAAGCCACCAGGTATCCAGATCAACGACCTCTTTTTCAGCAAGTTAAAATAACAAAATGCAAAATGCCAAAATGCATACACAGCTATATTCTAATGCTCAAAGCACCCCGAATACCCCCCGGTATCCGAAAATGCAATACCAAAGACTGGGCAGTAGCGGGCTCAAAGTGTCTCGCATAATCCTAGGCTGCATGAGCTACGGAAATCCGAATTGGGAGGGATCTCCTTGGATTCTCGGTGAAGAAGAGTCTCTCCCACTCCTCAAACGAGCCTATGACTTGGGAATTAACACCTTCGATACGGCCAATACATATTCCAACGGAAATTCTGAAACTATCATTGGAAAGGCCCTGGTGAAATACTCTATCCCACGCAGCAGGGTGGTTATCATGACAAAACTCTACTACCCTGTTCTCGAAGGTGATCCTGACTCGCGACCGAATCCTGCTCTCAATGACGGCCCTCTCGTGAATCAGATGGGATTAAGTCGCAAGCATATATTTGATGCTGTGGAAGGCTCCCTGCGTCGATTGAGCACAGATTATATCGATGTCTTACAACTACATCGTCTGGATCGTGAGACTTCCCCGGAAGAGATAATGCGGGCACTTCATGATCTTGTTCAAATGGGCAAGGTCCGTTACTTGGGGGCGTCCAGTATGCATTGTTGGGAATTTGCACGATTGCAATACACAGCGAAAATGAATAACTGGACTCCTTTCGTTAGTATGCAGGGACTGTATAATCTGCTTTATCGCGAAGAGGAACGTGAGATGAATCCATTCTGTGAAGCGGACGGCGTTGGGCTGATACCCTGGAGTCCGTTGGCGCGTGGCCTCTTGGCGCGTCCCTGGGAGGAGAAGTCGTCGCGGGCAGAACAAGATCAGAAGACCAAGCGGTGGTTTGTGGGGAATCAGAACGAGGTCATTGTGAATAGAGTGTGTGATTTAGCCACCCGCAAGGATTGCACAATGAGTTCGGTGGCGATGGCATGGCTGCTGAGGAAAGGTGCTTGTCCTATCGTAGGATTAAACAGCATTCACCGAATCGAAGCAGCACTGAAGGCACTGGAGGTAGATTTGACAGACGAGGAAGTGGCCTATTTAGAAGAGCCATATCAACCTCTGGCCGTGCAAGCAATTTAATACCAGATTGGCACAGCTTCTCAAGATAAGCATGAATCATAGCTATGTTAGTATGTACCGACGGAGAGATACATTTGCGAGGAGATGTAGATCGAAAGACTAGTTAGCTGAGGCTCAAGAAGTAGATAGTTATAGCGGTGTGGACTTACTAAGCCTCTGTGCGACATGAGGCTTCAAATCAGTCAGGATGTATGTCTTCAAATCGAGCATTTTCATTCGCCGCTTCGTGATACGAGTCATGCAGAGTGCACATGAAACTATGAGCTACAACTCATCTTTGCGGGTACTAGTAGCATTATGAGCCATCTAGTGCTGCAGTTAAGTTTCCCAGTCCGCTCTATTCGGAATTGATTTCGCAACAAGATCCGGCTGGCCCTTCAATTGGCCCCCAAATTTGACCAGAGCTGAAGACCATATAAGAGCTCTTACCACCCCTTCGATAGTAGCAGTTGCCAAGATGGCTTCCACTCCTGGACTCAGTCTTCACGTTACCGTGCACATCGATCCCGCCAATGTCCCCCGGTTCTTCGAACTCTTCAACCCCGTTCTATGAAGCCGTGATAGCCGAGCCCGAATGTCACTTCTTTGAAGTCTACCAGTCACCTACTGAGCCAGGTACCGTGCGTTGGGTTGAAAACCGGTAAGGAAGAGCCACTTTTTTTTCCCCTCGATTCTGATGCTTATTGTTTTTTTTTTTAGGGCTGCATCCACCGAGTGGTTTGAAACTGTGAGTAGGCTGCAGAAAATCGATGAAAGCCCAGCGTGCACTAACCTATAGACAGCAACAAATGACAAAGGAGTACTATAATGAATACCTAGCTGAAACCAAGGCCATGTACGTGAAGCCGGGTGAATTCAAGATCTTCAATCGTCTTGGAGCTCCGTATTATATGGCGAAGGACATTAAATGAGGCGAGGCAAAAATGACAATTTTTATTTCATGTATCCATGTCGGTGATTGCTCATATAGCAATCAATTATAAGCTTGAACTTTATGGGTTTAAAGTAATTATGTGATAAGACCATGCGTACGGAAAAAGTATCTTCGATTGGACTACCCTAGCTAAGCTATGTGGAAGATAAACGAACGAAAACCACCAGACGGCTCAAGTTAACGCACCGAGAAGAGCAGACTACATCGGTGTTGATAATGTGACAACAGAAAGAAACCCCAAATTTGTAGATGTGGGTATCAGGGCGGATCGAGACGCTCGGAAATTTTGTTCCCGAGGAAAGAGAGCCTCTAATCTAATCGCCGGCCCTGCAATGGCATCATAGAAAGGGTAAGTAGAAGAAAGAAAGAAACCAACCTTGTGCTCCGTGGGTTGCTCATTGCGGCGGTAGCCGTTGATCGGGAGGATTTTAGTGTTCGGATTCACAGGCGATTTCGATATATTACAGACTAGGAACCTGCTGGTTACGCATGTGCGCAGACCGAGGTTCCTGTTTCAATTTTGGTGGGGACCAGCCCCGACGTGAGAGAGTGGAATCAGGTTGTGACTTTTGTTCAAGCAGGGGCGGCGACATTCGAAGTAACTTGACGCTTCGCTGCGCTTTGAGCCGAATCCTATGGTGAGTCAAAAGTTAGTAATTCTGACCGCTGGTTCCGTGCAATCCGTTGCGTAGGATATGGGCGGACGAGTTCGAGTATCGGTGGCTTGCCGAGTCAGGTCCTCCTCGCTCTTTTCCGTTGACTTACGTCCAGCTCGCTGATATTGCGCTTCTGACCGGCAGCCTCGGCACTCTTCTTGACAACCTTCTTCTTTGTTTTCACTGGTCGGGAGGGCCGGACTTCGCCAGGCTGGAACACATCATCGGGCAACTCGAAGCTAGAAACGGTCAGAGTGAATAGCGCTATCTGATGCAGGCTTGAATACGTACCTGCGGACATGGGTGATCGACAGGTCGTGGGTATCCTGCAAGTAGCCAGGCCACGAGGTGCAAGTCGATTTGAAGATATTAGCATCTGTCGAAATATCCAGGGAACGCGGAGCACCTATGACGATTAGAATTTAATAATATGAAGGATGATGGTGGAATCATACCTGGTTCAAGCTGGTTGAGCTCTAGACCGATATAATAGCTAGTTGTGTAAACATTCTGGGGTTCGGTCTCAGGCTTTTGCTCTGCGGGGGCCGGCGCTTGGGCATTTCCAGCTCCATTCTCTGCCGCAGCTTGGTGGGCGGCATCTTTGGTCTCATCAGTGGTTTCGGTCGTCGTTCCTTTAGCCTGGTATTGAGTAGATCCATTTTTGACAGCTTCCATCTCCTGTGGGCTTGAAACGAGATGAATTCTTTCGAATCCCTTGGGGAAGGGATGTGCAACAGCGATGATTGCTTTGCGGTCAAGAGCGCCGATAAGGTGACGTAGCTTAGATTCAACAAGACCAGACCAGACCGCTTCCGCTTCCTTTGTCTTACTTGTGGCTGTGATGTTCAAGTAATACTTATAGGCTTGGGTGAAGAAGGAATGCCGAGTGAACAGATCGTTCCAAGAATTTTGCTTGGTAAAGATCTTGTCCACAATATCGCCACCTCTTGCAAGCTCGCGCAGAATGACAGCCTTTGTTGACATGGAAATATTATGTGTTGCGCACATCGAAGGGTAGGCAGGGGTGATAATGGGCATCAGGTGGAATCGGTCGCCGTGATAAATCTGAACGTTTCGGTCAGTACGAGTAGCACACGAAGGGGCATGGGCATTCCTACTTTCGGATTCCAAACTTTCATCTGCAAAGGACCATCTTCAATCTGCTTCAGTAAAACTGGTTGTGGCCATGCCCACTTGTTCATGATTCTGAAGAACTTTCCAACAATGACAGAGCCGGTCGCTTGAGGGTACAGCTGGCAGACTCGGGCCACGAGCATTGCCCATGCAACACCTCCGGGGAAACCAACGATATTTGAGTAGATTGCGCGGCCTATTCAAAGAAGAAGGGATTAGATCTTGACCAGCTTGTGAGTAAGAGGAAATTCCACATACGTTGAGCCCAAAGCTTAATCGCGCGTAAAGCAAGACGGAAAGTCTTTTGCTGGGGAACAAGTTCCAAGATTTCGTCAGTGACACGCGTTCCATTCAGCGATCGTACCTCGAACTCATCCAGGCCTCTAAGGTAGTCATTGTTCTTGAGATCTAGGTTCATTGGCACGGAGGAGACGACCAGTCGTGCGAAAATCAGATCAATGCTGATGCCAGATATCTCCAGCTTGATGATAGGAACGAAGGCATCGGGGACCGGGGTCATTTTCTCGATGGACCCTTTAGGTGCGATCTGTTGGAGAACTGGAGGGAAGTCGGAAAAGAAATCGTCTCGAACGACGTGCTTCGGGCCGACGACTAGGGTATCGATATCCGATCCTATGATCAACCGTGGTTAGCAATCAATTTACGTTGGCGAAAGAGGCCAAGTGAACTTACCTGGGCCATAAACACCAAGCCGATAACTTCCATAGGCAAAGACTTTACCTCCTGCGGCCTCTACGGCAGCTTGGGAAAGCCCTTTCTTTCGACTAACGCCCTTGACGAACTCGAGCGCGACGCGCTGGAGAAGTTGAAGAATTTGCTTTCTGTACTCTCATTGTCAGCGCCTTGCTCCGAGACTTCCCCCAGGTCCATCTCTTCGATCTCAGTCACGCACCTTCGTTCCGTCTCTGAGGGTAATTCGAAGTTGTTCTGTGCTTTCAGTTCAGCAATGAGATCATCGTTAGCGGCCAGCTCATCCTGGGTTGGAAGAATGGTCGAAATGGGAGGGGTAACACCCCACTGTCGAGCGGGTGGTGTGGCCATTATGATCGTATGAAGGAAGAGTGGAGTTGCTCAAAGATGGTCGCTGTGTAGCTTTGCGACGAAGATAGGGATTAGATAACGGCAGAATCTAAGCGACGTCACGATCGCGTGATGTGAAGAGCACCGAAGTAAGAGGAAGATGGTGAAGATGGAGGAAATAGAAACAAAAGAAACCGAGGGTTGCAATGCGACGAGAAAAGAGTGGCAAGTCAAGGAGTTGGTTGGTGTTGGTGATTCGGCGACACACGATTATACGCGGCGCTTCCATGCGGGCGCTAACCCGGTGATCACATGATCATATATGGCCTGACTGCCTGATTTACCTCACACTTTCAATATTCGTATATGATGTGCTCTCGAAATCATTGTCTACCTCTTTCCGTCTCAATTCAGGCAATCTATTAGGTGGCTGGTGTCACGCTCAAACGTTCTCCATCTGTTAGAACACAGTTTCCATTGCAATAAGCTTCGGCTCGAGATGCCAAATACAGTAAAGATCCCATTACATCTTCTGGTGTTCCTGCTCGCTCGGCTGGGATTTGATCGAGTGGGAAAGGGCCCTCTATCGTAGGATCTGTGCCGTGGATAAGATTCGTGGTAAGGTCTGTCGGAAACACTGGAAACTTGCCTGGTATTAATAGGGTGTTCTTGCTCTCTCGGTTCAGAACATCATCCCAAGTAGCAGCTATCTGGGCTTATATAGCTTCAAGTTAAAGGATCAGAATATAATTCAAGTTGGCACCCCAATCTATGGAATCTAACAGTAGTCGATCAATCCATGCGTCCGCATGTAAACAGTTTCTATTACCCACGCCTACAATATCGGACGTCCTCGATCACATATATCCGTAATTTACTTCGTGAAATTAGATCCTGACGGAGCTTTCGATGCCTCGGCTGCTGATACTTGGGCCGTACTGTTATTATAATAGATTGACTACCATTATTCATCCCGCATCTCACAAAGCTACAGCGCCTCAGTCAGCTTCTGGGCCAGAGCAGCAACACGATCTGGTTTATTCTCGGCAAAGAAGCCTGCCAACTGTCTGTCCAACCATTCGACATCTTCTTTGCTATCCCCAGGTCCTCCTGCCCAGTCTACATTTCAATGTTAGATTAGAACGCCAAAACAGTGAAAATGGATAAAACAAGGTACTCACGACCCCAAATCGATGGAAAGACATCCAGCTTTCCAATACCTGGCTTCATGGAAGCAACTTCATACTCCGAATCCTCCGGTCTATACATCCACTTGATCAGCAACTGTATCCTAGAAGAAGAAAACCTTGTCGAAGTCGTCTTACGGGAAATATAAATCCGTCTTGGCAGGCAAAACCAATGTTTTCGCTTTGATTGATGCCAAGGCCTTCTCAAAGTCCCCGTTATATGGCTCTTGTTTAGAGACATCGCCGTTCTGCCATGTCTGAATCATGACGAGCAGGTTTTCAGGGTCTAGCCGATTAGTCAAGGTCCGTCGAGTAAACCACCGATAGACTCGGACTCTACTGGTTACTCACCCTTTGAGCAAGCCCACTTCTCCCAGAAATTCTGCATAAAGTCCTCGAGTCCCTTGTACCCGAGCACAGTCTCGTATAACTTGTGTCTGTAGAATGCCTGACTGAATCCCCTATTCATCAAGCCAATACTGTTAGCAAAATTCTTCTCAAAGTATTATCAATAATGCGCGACTAATTTGATAGTTCTTACCAGCCAGCGTATACTCTGCCCAGCGCTTTAAGACCAACATCCTTCTCACGAGCAGACCAAACCCGAACATCCGGCTGTCCTTCCTTCACACCAATCGCGCCAGAACCAGCAGACCTCGTATCCTTCACAGCAATCAGGGCACTCTTAACGCCTTCCAAAAAGACCTGATTATGCAAGGAAGTCTTTGCCGATCCACAAAATGGAACCGCAATGTCCATAAACTCGGGATACTGAGTTGCCCACTGGAAAGTCTGCGCAGCTCCCATGGACCATCCGACCACGGCTCGTGCATGGGTGATACCTAGGTGTTTAGTGACGAGCTCATGCTGGGCACGCACATTATCATAGAAAGAGCATTTGGGGAAGGGTGCAGGGGTGGGCTGATTTGAAGGCGAAGACGATTGTCCATTTCCAAAGAGTGCGGGGACGATGATGAAGAATTTCTCTGGGTTGAGGGTTTTATCTTCTCCGATGAGCCAGAAATTATCAGAAATCACTGGAGTTAATAATTATTAGCTTACACCAGAGCAGTAGTATTCAGGGTTGGATCAAGCGTACTGCCAGAGAACCAGCTGGGATAAATGATTGCTGGTGATTTGGGATCACCAAAGGTTTTGTATGCGATGTGAGCATCCGGGATCTTTTCTCCACTCTGGAGCTCCCAGTCTCCAAGCTTGAAGGTTTCATAATCTTCTCCGGGCATGTTTTCGTGGAATTTATCGAAATCTTAGGTGAATTGGGGGTTCGGTATCACCCGATGGATGTATTTATAGTTTCCGTTGATAGCAGCGACCCCGCCTCTCCGCACGCGGGGCGCTTTGCGTCGGTTGCACCGACCCCCCCCCCGTACTACCACATGAAGGTGAAACTGCTAGATATACTAGCATGACTTGCATACTAATAGTAGAGAGCATCTGGCAAGGTACTAGTAGTCTCGATAGCAAGAATCGTTTCGAAGTATACACCTCCACCGGTCTAATATGCATGGCGAATTCCCCCCCAGTTTGGAATAGAAAGCATCGAAACTGAGTGTATTTTCTCTAAAAGATTCGTTATGGTTGGTCTATGTACAATCCCCATAATAATAATTGCAGCGCTGGGGTGTATGCTCAAAACTGGGGCCTGGGGATCTCAATGGCATCTGTAGTACGACCATACGAGATCCCACCCAACCGACTAATAGGCTTCAGCACCTCCAAATCAATAAGGCTCTTATCCTCATCGATAGCATCCTCGCGCGCCCAGAAGCGCACGCCCTCAACGATCGCCAAAACACTAGACATCTTCCCGGGCACGGAACGGCTCTCAAACTCCTTGGTCTCGACCAGTTTCGCCTCGACAGAGAGAATCGATTCCTTCACGCGAGCGGGTTTCACGACGGATGTCGGGGCCTGGGTAAGACCGGAGGTTTCCCACTCGGATACACCGTAGGGCGCGTTGATGGCCGTTGCGTTGGCGGCTTCGACGAAGTGCTCGGAGATAATGTTGATGACGCACTCGCCTGTTTCGTTGAGATTCTTCAGTGTATCCTTGGCCTTTTCGAGGGATCCGACAAAGCCCACGACAAAGAGCGGGGGATCGTGGTTGATGACTTGGGAGTAGCTGAAGGGGGCGAGGTTGGTTGTTTTGCCGTCGAGGGACTTTGTGCTGATAAGGGCGATGGGCCTCGGCACCATGCCGGAGATGAGAAGCTTGTAGTTGGAAGCGACGGGGCGACCGTCTTCATTGGGGTCGATCTCGACATGGTCTTTCTTCAGACTCTCGCCGCCGTCATTGGCGCCGTCGCCTTGCTTCCAGGTTGGGTTGGGGGGCTTGGTGAAGGTGACTTGGGCGTCGTGATTGAAGTCCGGGCGGGATGCCTGGAGCTGGTCAAAGTCGGGACGGACTTTGAACATGGTGGAAGTGTGGCTGAGAGATCGACGGGTTGGAAGGAAGAAGGATGCAGAGTAACGGTGACTAGGGATGTACATGTACCTTATTAGTTGTTCACCCCTCCCAATGTGTTAATGTGCCCCGCAGGCAGCACGATGGATGGCGCGATCTCGCCACTGAAACGGTGAGACTCACGATGGTTGTACAAGAAATTGAGATAGGCGGAGAGGCAGTCGAGGCATGAAGAGGGGAGCAGACTCGAAATCTAGTTATAAAAGGCTCTAATCTGGATGATGTGCTAGGTATAGGGTTCAAGGGTTGTATGAAAATCAATGGAGGAGCTTTCCCAAAGCGGGTCCAGCTTATCGCGTTGGAGCTATCCATATAAAGACACGCACTTTATGCTATCAAGGGACGCACCACTGCAGTGATATTCGCAGAATACCTGCTGAGTGGTGCGTGTACATAGTGCGTGGCATCAAACCCGGCATTCGGGCCGAGGACCGGGACAGGGACCAGACAGGCACAGGCACGGAGGCGGAGAGGGAGACGGAGTGCCTGACGGATCTCGCTAATTCGGCCTCCCACCGTTTAAGCGGAGCCGATCTGTTTCAGCTTGTCGGGTAAAAGACGTCAGAGGTCTGTTGTATATGTATGCTAGTGTATGTACAGTGCGTTGTATAAACCTAGGGTGTCCGAGTCGGTGTGATCGGGGGGACCTTTGTGTACTTCTCGCCCGACAAGTCACGGCTAATTTACCGGTAAAAGAAAAAGAAAAAGAAAAAGGAAGAGTGAGCAAGTGGATCTGATCCAACCAGGTCCATGGGAGTCAGAGATTTTTTGTGGGATGTGGCAGTGAATGTGGACGAGGGGAAAGATTGTCCCAGTCCCGCATTGTGGAGGAAGTTGGAGTTGGAGAAAGTCTGGAGTCGTTAGCCCTGATAGTAGCGTTAGTTGTATACTACTAGTACTACAGAGAAAATAACTATTAACTCTCGTACTTGTATATCTTTATTATAGTTACTAGTTACTCAAGAATAGTATACTCTTTTAATATACTGGGCCTATAACTATTATTACACCGAGTATAACTTGAATAACTAGTGCAATGACTATACTCATTGTACTTCTCCCACATTAACACGCCCCACCGATCCCATGACCATCAGATCGTGAAATCACACTTCACTGCGTTGTTCCGATTCCTCCTCCATTCCTTCCTTTTTTTCCCTCTTGTCTTTTCTCCCTCCCTTCCCTCCTTGAATTCTCCCCTAACTCTGTTCCTTTTTACATGGGCGGTCAAGCTCCCTTCCTACTCCCTCATTGTTATCCCTTCCTATTGGGCTCTAGGACCACCCCCTCCCCCGGTCTCTTTCTCTCTTTCCCCCCTCAACTCCTCCGAAACATCGTCAAGTATTCTATTTGTCTGCGCCCTAGCACCCCCCCACACACTGCTCCTCATGAAGTGGTTTCCTTCCAGAGTCGATTCTCCTCTCCCACAACCCCCCCCTATAGCTTCCTCGACCCTAGATCCGCCTAGCTCTGAGCTTCCGTCGAATCGCCCTATCCCGCCATTTCAACCTCGCCCGCCTCTCAATAACCGTGCCCCAATGGGTCGTGACCACGGATAATCACTGTTGCTCGTCATGAGCCCCCCCCATCTCCGAAAAAGAAAAATAGCGGCAGCTCCTCGGGCCCTAGGCAGATCCGTTTCGTCGCCACAGATGGCCAGCCCCAGAGCAAACGCCGCCGAGTCAACGCCGCGTACGTCTGGCGCATATCCGCCCCAAACTTGCGCAAGAAAATACTAGGAATATTAGGAATGCTAACGGATCCCCGTCGCCTTTAGATGTTTGACCTGTCGCCGTCGCAAAATTCGCTGTTCCGGCGAGCAACCAGGTACATCGCGCCCATCCCCGACATTCGACGTCATACCCCTTCACTTGCTAACCCGCATGCTCCTAGTCTGCAAGACATGCTCCGATTATAAACACGTTTGTCTGGGCTACAGCGAGTCGACCGCCCACTTGCGATCACACTCCGATTCCGCGTCACGGGCCCCGCCGATTTCCTCCATCGTGAACGGCAATGACCCCAGTCAACAGAGCTCTCGCGCTGTGGAGAGCTGTTCGCCAGAGCCCTCGCATGCCCCAGTACGACAGAACAAAATCGAAAAGTCTCCGCAAGATTTCAAACGCACCGATTCCAAAGATGCGCCTTCCAGAGATACCTCGGCACGTACAAATAAAGAAGCGGACTCGCAGCAGGCGTTCGACAGTCCGGAGAGTAGTAAGTCCAGGAGACCCTGGCAAGTTGTGTCATACAGCTCTGCCGAATCCTTGCTGCAATCATCATACTAAGCTTGATTCGCTGTTCAGGTCGCACCTCCATGAGCTCCAATAGTCGCACCCATGTCCCGTATTTTCGATACTTCGGCCCAACTGCCATTGTCCCGGGCTTCAAACAAATGGTTGGCCGTTCTCGGAGTCATCGACGCACACAATATCTAACTGGTTCCAAGGTTGTACAAGTTCGTGGATCGCGCAAAAGCAACCCATCTATATCATCGGGTGAGTACAATACCGCGACCCGCTCCTAAAGGCCACGTCAACTCATCCTCTCTTCATTCGTGTCCGCAGAGTCACTCTCTCCACTGAGAAGCCCTAGACCTTCAGATACTCCCGCTCGAATCCCACCCCCTACAGAAAACCGCTACAATCGCGATGCCAGTACGATTCCATTTTACGACCGTGACGATACCCTCCCCGTTTCCAAATTAGTGTCTCATCTTAGCGAACTATTTTTTGTCCATCTGGGCTGCAGCTTTCCCTTCCTTCAACGTGATCGCTTTCTTCAAGATCTAAATGAGAAGAAGGTGGATACGATGCTGGTGGATGCAGTATGCGCCTTGTCGGCCAGATTCTCTCCACATCCGCTTTTAGCTCCACCCCAGGCACCTCCAATCGATCATTCCCAGCCGCCTGCTGATGTCAATCTCTGGGATCGAGGGCTACCTTTTGCTCAGCGAGCAAGCAGTGCCCTAGTGGACGTTTTATCATGCCCGACTCTCTCCGCCGTCCAAGCATGTTTGCTGCTAGCCTATGAGCAATTCGGATCCAATCATGACAGTGGTCTCTGGATGTATCTGGGTATTTCAATTCGCATGGCCCAGGATCTTGGCTTGCAAAAGCATCAAGGCTTGAAACACAATTACGGCCGAAAGGGCGTCACGCCGAAGGAAGTCATGACTGGACAAGCCGGGAAGTTGAGAGAGGACCAGTATGACGACTTTGACATCTATCAGAGTCCGAAGGGCCCGCCTCCTGCCTCTGATTCAGAACGGGCCAGAGAGCGAGAGCAGGTAGATTCTTTCTGGAGTATCTTCTTCTTGGATCGCGTCATCTCGTCGGGTACGGGGCGACCGGTTACCCTGCGAGATGAAGACATCGAGCTCTGCTTTCCTCTTCAATCCGAGTCTCAACTACCAAACGGATGGCCCGCGCCTTTCCCACCCTTAATACGGATAATCCATCTCTACGGGCGCGTGACCGATCTCATCAACGGCATCCAGGACGTGAATCACGTTACCCCGGATACACTCAAGCAACTCGCCGGGATGGAGAGTGATTTGACTGGAATCTACCAACGACTCTCCCCGAGGCTCTACTTCAACGCAGCAAACTTTCAAGCTTACGTGAAGGCCAAGGAGGGGACTAACTTCATTCTCCTCCATTTCTGGTTCCACACTCTGATCGTCCTTCTTCACCAGCCTACGCTGCTCAACTCGTTCGGTGGAACAATACAACATCTTTATCCCAATAGTCGCGAGCTATCCATGTCCTCGGCCAAGACAATCGCTGACATACTCTCCTTTTCCGAGCTCGTGGACGGGAAGAGCTTCATCGGTAACCCCTTTACTAGTCAGCCTATGTACATCGCTGCCTGCGCATTTCTCATGGAAAGTGCACATTATTCCATGCCTTCTTCAAGCTCGACTTCGCACCCACCGCCACAAGCCCTGTTAGCCAATGAATCGAGTGGCTTCGTGATGCCTACAATGGAGTCTTCGAGTGGATCAGAGCGGAAGTCGACTGCCAAGCATATCCTACTGGCTTCAGCCGCCCGGGAGAACTACCAGCGTTGCTATAAGGCTTTGAAAGCACTGGATTCATACTGGGAGGGAACAAGGTACATCTTGACTGTGCTCGATCAGAAGGCCAAAGGAATTGTCGACCCCCTTCTCTACACCGCTGAAGACATGGAGAATACTACGGAAAATACACCAAATCAGGCATTTACACCAGGAGGCTGGCAGGGCCAGAGGCCGACGGATCAAAGTTCTGATGCAGAGAGAACGCCCGGGGTGGCTGACATTCCGTCAGATGGAAAGTGGTCTCCAAAGATTGATCCTAGCCAAGGTGCGCTCATCTCGTTATAATTGTTGGAGCCTTGCAACTAACCTTCTCGTTCTAGCCATTGGATGGGCACTCGCCGGAGCCACCAACTCTTCACAGCCTAATCTCAGCTTGTTGTACCAAATGCCTACGGCCCAACATGAACCTCCCCCTCCCGTCAGCAAAACCACCCATCCGTCCCAGTACAGTCACAGCTACCCGACTCTCCCAGTACAACCAAATTCTGCACAGGGAGCAACATCTTCTTTCTCGGCCATTGCCCCACCCCATACCCACGGCGAGACAGGTGCACCCTCATTGGCCTCGAACAATCCCAAGTACACTACAGTCCCTCGGACGGTCGGTGCCAGCCCGCCATACTTTATGAGTATGAACTCTCCCTTCCCAGAATCAACCTCTCGCGCCGTCGCCCCCGGAGGATACGCTCCCAATCTCCCGTCTACTCAGATGGAAGGTGGACCAGCCTACAGCTATGGGGTCACTTCCGCAGCGCCGGAGCACCACAGCCATGCGCACATCGGTCCACAAAACGCCGGTACTGGGGGCATGATGATCGAAAGTCACGATGTAGACATGAATACTCTCCAACAACAAGAAGCATTCCCCTTTTCGAACGGGGAAATCATCCCCTGGCTCGAATACCTCCCGCAAGATGTGCTCAGCTTTTTCGGTGAAAATCACAGTTTTCCGCTCATGAGTCCTGATGACAGGACGCCTCACCCTCCACCTCCACCATAACGAGTCTTCTTCTTCTTTTCGCCCTCTCTTGGGCCTTTTTTTCCCCTTCTGGTACATATGTATTTATTGAACGGACTTTTGCATTGGTGTTTAGCGATGACTTTTGACTTTTTATCTTTGGGTCCGATCTCTGATTGGATGGCGTCGGTGGGGACTTTGTTTACGTGCTTTTTTTTTATAGATCGGCCCTGGGTCTTTGGATCGGACCTTTTTATCTGGCCTGTTCGTATGAGTGAGCGAGTGATTGTACGTTTGATCCGGTTTGGATAATGGCACCATGACAATCTTGAATAATTATGACATGGAGATAGCTTTGAATGTGGAGTGAGTGGACCGGGTGTCCACCGGATATCCCATCTAGTGAGCCCCGGAGCCGTTAGACAGCCGAGTGCTAAGATCAAGCAATTCAACGGGTAACGAGCTTAGAGAGTCGATAACTTGAACATTCATGGCACGTCTCCAGTTTGAACTGGGTTTCAAATATAAACATTAATTAATTAAACTAATATCTGCTCGATCTATTTTCTACCGTCCTGTAGTGTCAATGCTCGAGTCAATGGTTGCCCGGCACAACCAAAGCGGTGAGCCACGTCAACATTGATCAACAGGTGTGAAGATCACACCAGCCTCACAATCTCTCTCCTCGAGGTACGAGTACTACTACATAACATATGTTAACCCAATGGCCCGACTCAATGATGAGAGTCATTTCATTCCGGAGGGCCATCGCCACCCATCCGACCAAATCCTAAGTCCACAACCCTGCGCCCCTCCCACCAAGGAACACCATCTACTATCCTCATACGAGACATCCCACCACCACAATCTCCACGACACCTCCGACACACTCACAGATGACGGTCAAATGTCACGAGACTACAACTACCCCTCATCCTCATCCCCCTCAACCAGAAACTCAACCAGCGACATCTTCAGCCAAGACATGGCCGACAACGAACTAGACCTCTCCCAACTGAAATCAAGAGCATCAAGTCGCTCCTCTTTCTCCTCAATCCCAGCTTCAGTCCTAATCCACCCACTGGAAAATCTCCCCTCAATGCGCTCCATGAATCCCCACGAGAAAATGGTCGCAGCATACACCCTCGAAGAAGACGACGAAGCGCGCTTCGGCGGCTTCGACGACCACCCATCCCCAAGAACCATGAACATGAACATGCACAACATCCGCACAATCCGCCAGCGCGAGGGAGCCTTCCGAAAACCCAGTTCCGTCCGCGCTATGCAAATGCACACAGAAGACGAAGCCGACGATGACGAGTATCTTACCCCACCGCGCCGACGCGGGGGTCTACGATCACCGGGGTCATCTCCCATAAAGCGATCACCATACTACTCGCCAACGGCCGCGGCAAAACTTCCACCAAAACCGAAGAAGGAATATCCTCTCGTTCTGCTGCATTGTAATTTACTTGCGCCGTCGCTGCCTGTGGCGGGCGCGTCTTTGTTACGGAATCAGGGTATTGTTGAGGAGACGTTGCCGGTGGAGTATTGGAAGCGGTGGCGTCGGTTGCAGGAGAAGGTTGGGTCTGGAGTTACGCGGGATCGGGGAGTTTTGATTTCGCATCCGGAGGATTTGTATGATTTGCTTGAGGAGCGATTGTTGGAGAGTCTTGAGTTGCAGCGGGCGCGGCTTCATCAGGGGCATTTCTTGGGGCGGGAGGAGAGACATCATGGTGGTGATGATGATGATGATGATGATGGGGATGAGGGGGATGGAAATGGGTCTGAGAGAGAGGATTATGACGACTATTACTCTGATCGGGAGGAGAGTGAGACAGATGGGGAGCAAGGGGATGAATGTCCTGATTGTGGGGGTCGAGTGCAGAAGCATAGTGATAGTAACCGCAAGTGGGAGATTCGTGTTTTTGCGGCGAATGGGCTTATGCGTGCGGGTGCTTGGGCGGCGGCTTGGAAGGAGATGGAGAAGGTTGATGTTGAGGTTGGGCTTTGGTTACCGTCTGATGTGCGGAGGTCGTTGGAGAAGAGACTTGCTGAAGAACAGGCCGTTCCGAAGGAAGAGTTTGGTTCTTTTTCGACCTATGACCTGACGCAGAGTGATATCGATCCCAGACGGTTGTCTATTCAGAGCCATTCGAGGGCTGGAAGCGATCCCAGATCTTTCCAGGTTAGTCCGCCGGCTAAACATGTGCCAGTGACTATGCCCGTGGACGCGAAGTCCGATGAAACGACATCACAGCCTCAAGAACAAGCTGGAAAGGTTGACGGGCCTCAGGAGGAGACGAAACAGCCTCAAATCGCTCTGCAGACTCTACTTATCAACTACTTCCGCGTGTTGGCCGGTGACAGGCGGAACATTGCGCTTGTCTTGATGAGTATACTGATGGTATTCCTCGCCATTGGTCGCCCAGAACTGCCTCAATCGATTCTGCACATATTCCCGTCCGACAGCGTTGCCTTTGATAATGCACCAGTTGTGATAGTTGAGAGTCCAGTGATCTCGGCTACTTCTTCCATCTTTTCTGAAGAGGCTGGCTTCACTTCAGTGCCAGCTGTCTCGGTATCGGTGCCTGAATCGATTATCGCATCTGCTGAAGCCTCGCTTTCATCGCAGGTAGAGGAAGTTCCAGCCCCCTCTCTAGCTGACTCTGGAGAAACCCCAGTCGAGTCTGAGCCTATTGCTTCAGAAGCAGTGGCACCACCTGCAGAGGCTGAAGAAGGCTCTGCCATCGAAGACGATATCTCAGCTACCTCAACATCTGAGGTTAAAGAAGCTTCTACCAGTCCGGAGTCCCCTCCGTCCGAATCAGCACCATCGGGCTCCCCGGGAGACGATCCCACCCCCTCTTCTACCTCAGTTCCGGAGGATGAATCGATCGATTCCGAGTCTGCATCACCTCCCGCAGCCACGGAAGATGCCAACCTCGAACATTCCGGGGATCAGCAGGAATCCGGCCTTGAGACTCAAGTCGAGACTGAGCAGGATTAAGGAGCCTTCCCCCGGGTGGGTGTATCTTTTTCTTTTCTTATTTACTTTTTGTTGCAGACGGACAGGTGGAAACACGATCTGACTTGGAAATTTATGATATGACCGGAATGATATGAGTTGAAACGTTTTGATTATATTTGCTACTAGATATTCGCGATTTGGACATCATTTGTTTTCAAGTTCTTTAGCCATTTAGCCCGTCTTCTCTTACGTCAACTGATGATTATACTACTATCTTTAAATGAAATAAAATTAGCCTTGAACGATGAAAGTAGTAACTAAACACCCACTTGTTATTTTAAATTAAGCGTAATAAAACACAATCCACCCATAGCTACCCCTGACGTTCATCTTTCATATCGTATCATAATCCACGAACTTGGCGGTCTCTCCTAACGTACTTGGAACTTGCTTCTGCAGCATGGTCAAGGCCACGCAGATACCATTCCAGATTCTCTCCCCTGAGAACTTGTATTATCGACCGTATTCAATCCTCTTCGTCTTTCTAATTATCTTCCTGTAGTTGTCCTGAACCCGTATGCCATATGATCCGGGAATGGGCACTCTTGCGCTCAGTCTGGGTGCATCCTCTTTCGCTTCATTCCGGTCTTCTGCTGACTTGCCATTGTGGTCGCAGTATGAGCATCAATTGAATTTGAAGTCTTTGATCTAAGAGTTTGTTGGCCTCAAGCTGCGCTCGAGGGGTTGTTGTTTGAGATGTGTCGATCTGCATTTTTGATCACTGCGATATCGTCAGCTTTGCTCAATGGTGCAGGCTCTTGACTGGGATTTCTTGAGTCGGGAAATTTGAGCTTACGCCTGGTTTTTACCGGTGTCTCGGTCGAATATTCTTTCATGTTGGTAGACATTTTTGAGGGATGGATTGGAGGGGTGGCTGGAGGGTGCGCTGTGCCGCTTCGGAAAGTGTCGAGAGAAGTATAAGGTGCTGCCTGTCTTTGCCTATTCCCGTCTCTGTTTACTTTGGCTCTCCCATTTCATTTCTACTACCAGCAGATTGATACTAGTATTTGACGAATCGAAACAGGTGTGGAAGGCCAATTAATAAATTAAGGGTTGTCTTATATTTCATCATCTTATTTCTGTAGTAACTGCTATTTTGCAGTAAATTAATTAAGCAGGCCGTTATTCTGCTATGATGAACCAGCCATCTCATACGGGCAATCCACTCTCCTGGTCCACTTGCGGACTTCCAATCACCTGCATTGGCTGACAATGCAATCTCCTAAAAGCATCCAACCACTCCGAATTATCTGCGATACTCTGATTCCACGAATCCTCGGTATCATAAACAATGCGCCGCGATTCCCGCTGGAACATCTCATCCGTCGGGACTATCCCCAACTTCATCTGCCGCTGTGCATACTGACTAAGATGCTTTGTCAAAACCTCCGTGAAGGAACTCAACTGTGATCTTGGCGGAATCTCATCTAGAGCAGGGAGATCGGTCTGCTCCGTGAGAGTCTCTTCACCATGTACCCGCGCAGAGATCTGGTTCAAGTGATCCTGAACATTATAATCCGTTGCAGAAAATGGAATCAGACTATGCGACTCGGATCCAATCATATACGGCGGCATCCAGTTCTTAACCTGTGCAGCAATAAATGGCGCAAAGCCATGATCGCCGCGCCATTCCTTCATTGTGGTGCCCTCGCGGAAGTGTCCAGCCAAATGTTCGATCCGCTCGGTCCAGGTACCCATTGTGGTATCGCACAATCCACAGCGTGATGATACAGCCGGTCCAGCTATTTTCCAGTCATCGATCAAAGGCATGACTTCGAGCTTATGTGTATGGCGCAGATGTTGGGTGAGGTGATCCTTGCGGCGGAATTCGGGATTATTTCCTTGGCACGCGAGATGATTATGTAGCGAAAGGTGTTCGGAACTAGGTTCAAGAGCATGACAGTATGCACAGTGTGTTCTGTTGGTGGTGGGTGAGAAGACAACGCCGCCAAATGGGGTGCAGATCCATTTTTCCAGGTTCAAATGGAGCGATTTCTCATGCCGAGCCCAGTCATATTTGCTCTTGAAGCGATCGCAGCAGAATGTACAGCAGAATCTTCTTCGCATATCTAGACTTGCCTTCGTCTGTCCCTTGGTCTGCCCCTTAGTCTGCCGTGACTTGCCTACTCGCGATTGTGACTTATGGCTCAAGGAGCCGGACGGTGAAACCCCCGAGCCTGCAGAACGGTGCGAGGCACCCGAGAACTTGGACGAGATGCTGGTACCGCTGTCACCACTTGCCGATGAAGGGCGTCCACGATGGTGACGGAAAGCATCTAGCGACCCACGGCTATTCGTTTCTGAGGCCGTGTCAGGGTAATCGGACAGTCGGGCGTTATCCTGGATGACTGCGTTGTTGACTGCATCCATGATAGCGGACATGGAGGCCGGTTCGTCTTCTGGCGGTGACTCTTGCCATCTCTGCATCGGGTCGAGAGACTGTTCTGTCGGAGGAGCACTTGGTATCATTATCGGATTGCTCCTCTGCCTGGATGCTGATTGTGGCATGAAATAGCGACTTCGTCGTCTGGGGAGACCCCGTGGCGGGGTATTCACCCCAGACGGCGGTTGAGATACTGGGAGATTCCTTGGAGTTCCATGTCGCATATATGGACCGACATATCCCATCGATGGACTAGGAGTTCCAGAGTGAAGAGGTGACAGTGGACTATTTCCAGCTGATGTTGACAGGCCGATCTCGGGCCCGTCCAGATTCACATCGGATGTTGATACCGAGCCCAAAAACCCAGTGTCAGGGCTCAGATAACCAAAGGGTGAGTATATAGGCTGTATGTGTGTTTGTTCATTTGTAATTTCATCCACTGGGGCTTGGTTTGCCTGGGAGCAGTATAAGGGATCGTTATTGAGCCAACTCCAGTCCGAATCAAAAACTGCGGTATCAATATGTCAGTGCGGGGACCCCATATTACAACAGACCCGATGACGAACCTCCAAGATCCGAGCTATCGATAATCTGATGCTCCTCGGCCATACTCGTCTTATTGAAAGTGCGATTGGACGGCAGGTAGCCTCGGTTCTAGCGGGCTGAGGCTGCTTGCTGCTCTCTCAGAAAGAAGCGGGATTTGCGTTCATCGGCGACTTCGCCGATCTTATGTAATACACCAAAAAATCTAAAGAAAATTGTCTTGGCTCCTCGGTGGCAACCTTAAAAAAAGACATTATCTTATGATACACGAAAGCAAATAGTAGTACATTTCCGATGCATTCGAAAAGAGACAGTATACAGTTGGAATTTATGACTCACAATTGTCCGCATAATGTAGTGTTTCGCTGAATTTTGGGTCTCTCTTTGACCCCGCGATCGGCATGATGCATCTATACTCCGTATATCTGCAGGTAACGATGCACTTAGCAAATAGAATCCATTTTGCCCAATAGACTTTCTGGCCTAGAAGCTGCCTTTTGGCTATGTACATCCAAGTTATCCTATGACCATGTCGGCGCTTATAGCCGTCAGTCCCGATCCAACTGTACCCGGAAGAAGGCCGAACTAGGGCGGGGAGTAGGGCGTGCTGTGGGGCATAGACAGGGCGTGTGGTGGCCCTTGGTGGGGCATTACTTTAACAGCGAGTGATGGGTCATGATGAAGAAATTTTGATGAAAATCAGTGCTATCTAATTGTTCTGTGGCGTCACAAGAGTCATACAATTTCCATGTCAAAAAAGCTCTAGCGTTCGTCGATTTTCCTGTCAAAACCTTCTCCCAAAGATCAACATAATACCAGCGATCATCTAAAAAGTATCTACTTCTATGCCTGAGAAGAAAGAGCTCTCCGTGGCTGTGGGCCATGGCTCTTCACGGGAAATGGGCCAGCCTAATACTTATTTCCAACATCCTTTTACTTTCTCGCGGGTGAGTTGATATGTCGCCATATGGAGCCAAGATGTTCTAAGCAACGCTACTTAGAGTACTAACCAATCAATTGTAACAGGGCAAGAAACTACACATTGTTGCCGCTGGCATTTTATTTATTTTCAATGCTGCCTTTGGTTCCTCGCTTCCTTCTGGCGCGAAAGATGAAATTGCAGCTTATTTCAACATTCCAGTTGACAGCACTTTGCTCGTTCTACCAACATCATTGTATCTCGTTGGATTTGCTCTCGGTCCTCTCATCTTTGGCCCTCTGAGTGAACATGTCGGCCGCAAACCTGTCCTCGTTGGAACCTTCTCTGGCTACATTGTCTTCACGCTCGGTTGCGCACTTTCACCTAATTTTGCTTCGCTGCTTATATTCCGCCTTTTGACTGGATTGAATGCAGCATCTCCAAATGCTGTTCTCGGTGGGCTGTATGCAGATATCCTTGAGAGCCCCCAGACTCGTGGAACTGCAATGGCACTTTTCATGGTCGTCACTGCATTTGGTCCTCAGATGGCGCCTCTCGTCTCAGGCTTCATTTCCACTGTCTCGTGGCGCTGGACCTTCTGGGTCGGCCTGATTCTAGGTGCTGTTTGTTTCCCTCTCATGGTGTTCATCCCAGAGACATATGTCCCGGTCCTCAAGAAAAGAGCATTACAGAAGCAGGTCAAAGAAGAAAGTGACTCGGACGATGATGCTGCCAATATCTTGAACTCGATGCCTAAAGGCGATGGAATCTTGACTGTTTTCACACGACCTTTTGTGATGACTGTTCAAGAGCCCATTCTCCTTTTCTCCTCTCTTTTCATGGGTTTCACATATGCTGTGTTCTATCTGTACTTTCAGGCCTATCCCCTGGTTTTCCAAGGTGAGTGGCGGAGAAGACTCGAAAACTACCCAAATAAAGCCGCAACTAACTCGATTTATAGATTTATATGGACTTTCGGCCGGTATTGCTGGACTTGCTTTCCTGCCAAGTAAGTTCAAGCAAACAATATGACCTATGTATATGGATCTCCAAAGCTAACTATATAACAGTCTCGGTTGGTGCCGTTATCGCCTTCATAATTTTCATGTGCTACGGCATGTTCCACACCAAAGCCAATAAAGCGGGCAAGAAGTGGACAACAGTCGAGGAGTATCGCCGTCTTCCACTCGCTGCTATTGGTGCACCACTGTAAGTCTACCTTTGTTATTCAACACTTTATTGAGGAATAATCTTGAGATACTGACATATTCAGACTCCCCGTCGCCATGTTCTGGCTCGCCTGGACGGCAAAAACATCCATCCACCCAATCACCCCCATTATGTCTGGACTTTTCTTCGGTCTAGGATACATTCTTATTTTCATGGCTATGATCAACTATTTGACCGACGCCTACAAGCAGTACTCGGCTTCTGCCCAAGCCGCTGCCAGCACCATCCGATCTACCATGGCTGTTTGTCTGCCTTTGGCGACCAACCCTATGTATAGCAAACTGGGCATCAATTGGGCAACCTCTCTGCTGGCATTTATCTCTTTGTCTCTGGCAATTATTCCATTCGCATTTATGCGATATGGTGAGTGGATTCGGGGTCGGAGTCCATTCGCTCAGAGAGTCATGAAGGGAGAGGTATCTGAGGACAGAGCCACGGGTGATGAGATGGCTTAAAAGTTATACTGATTGATTTTCTGGTGGTTTATCTTCTTAATTTTGCATTTCCGGCGTTGAACGCATCATAGAACAATATATAGTGTTCGTTTGAGAATAATCACATATTTGAATTGATCTTGGTTACATAATCTTCTCACACTTTGTAGCTTCCACCTGACCCTAATATAGTATTCACTGGTTATATTAACTCATCTGATGGCACAGGTGGACGTAATCACCTGCCAGTGCGTGTCCGATCAAAAGAATCCCGAATCAAGACGATATGAAGCAGGGATGGTGGGCCATTTGTCAACACCATCCAAGATAGCTAATGCCATTCCGCCGCTTTGGTGAACCTGTACATGACAATGCAACAAGAAAGCACCCGGGTTAATGACATGATATCGTATGGCCAACCACGACGGTCCAAAAAGCGCAATGGGTGTATCACTCGTATCTCTATACTGGGGATTGACGAGATTGAAGGACCCGGGAATGGCTTGAATAGCCTCTGCAACGTTGGTGTAGTTAAAGGCCCCTGTTCCTTGGCCGATGATGAAGTGCTTGTTTGAATGTTTGTGAATCGGATGAGGAGGCGAGATTGGTGGGGACTCGATTTGGATTATCAAATCTACCCAAGTGTTGTTTTGTGTGCGGATAACTAGGTCACTTGGGATGGAGTTCTGATTGAAGAGAAGAGGTTTGGCCTCTTCTAAAGCAAGGCTGTAACTATCGTTTCCGAGGGTCCACAAATATGATGCGTTGAAGTGCTGAATGGTCAATTTGTAGGTTGCATCCGCAGTAGCTGCTGGAACGATGACAGGGAATGGAATGATCAGTGACTCGTTCAAAAAGACAGTGTTTGCAGTCGCATTGAGACCATTCAGCAAAACCCAAGGGTTGGAAGGCCTATTGAGTTGAGGTGTGCCTTGGTATCTGAGAATCCCAGTGGTGTTAAGGATTTGTTGTCCACTGCCACTGACTAGACGAATCGAGTAGTCTCCTCGAGGCCTGTTTAGAGGGACTAGAACTGAGTATCGATTCGCATTGGAAATATTGATTGCATTGGCACGGATGGGCCTGATGTAACGGCCATCAACAGCATAGACCCACATGTCATGCTCATCTACCGAGAAAATGAGCTGAAGATGCCCAGAGGCACTAGTCAAATCCCAGCTAACGAATTGCTGTCCATTCACTGTAATGACTTCCTGTTCCCCCTGAGTGGGCGTGCATCCACTAAACATTGTCGGTGGAATAGCGTTAAGGTTATGAGGATAGTCTCCCTGCAAAAGAGAAATATCTGGTGGGAAGCAGCTGTATTATGTCAGTATAGCTTCTCTTTGTTTCTGTCGGCCACTTTGCTTACGCTATATCGGTTAGAGTCTCATTGCCCAGCACTGCTTGCGTGTTTGGTGTGATCAATGACTCTATCAGGGCTCGAGATAGACAAGACACTGCACCCTTGCCATTGATAAGCAGCGCATTGACGCAATAAGAGTCGATACCAGAGGCAACCTCGGCAGCCCAAATTTGCTCCGAAGTCAGCAGACGCCAGTCGGACAGCAAAAGGGGGGAGGTGTTCTTTTCAGCTGCCAGCATGCCCTGAATCTGAGTATTATTTGTTGTTATAAGACTGAAAGGTCTGGGCTCACTAGCCCGCGGGATGATGTAAATTGGCCCGTAAAGACCATCTTCCAGTTGGCCCCGATGATGAGCATGATAAAAGTATGCGCCGTAGTCAGTGGCAGTCCATCGGTAAAGGAAAGATTGTCCCCTAACGATTGGTCGCTGTGAGACTCCAGGGACTCCATCAGACCAAGGGGTTCCAAGCTGTTCAATTCCTTTGGATACTTCGTTAGCTCACCGATTCACTCCATTCGCACCAAGGGTCTTACCATGGAAATGCACAGTAACGTTAAAAGGACACAAATTTGTGACAGCAAATTGAACATTATCACCCTGATTGACTTGAAGCTCGGGTCCAGGAAACTGAAAGTTTGAGTGAATAACAGGTCTAATATTCCCCGCAACGCTAGTGTTCTGCCAAGTCAAAACAAGGGGGAAAAAGACCGTCGCTGCTTCGACCCAATTTCCCAGGTATAAACTCATCAGGAAGAAAGCTCCGATTGTGAACTTCATGGTTATATTCAGTAGATATGGTGTAAATATTTAGACTAAGCTTGTCGCACCAAAAATACTTCTGGTAGAATCACCTTTCCATCCCATTTTATATAGAATCGGATACTTCAAGTTAGATGTTCAGAATATATAACTCTCTAGGTATCCTTGTTGCGAGTCCTCGTGCCTACGCCCTATTGACCTTAGCAAAACGGGTTATAGGAGAGGCTTTTGGTATTCAGTCTCAAGATTTGAGGTACCTGTGCAGCTCCGTGAAGCGAGGCAGTAAGTACATATACATTGCAGTTCTGTTCACGGCTCACATTATCCTGACGTCAGTGACAAAGACAGATGTTCCTGTCTCGTAGAGTTCCTAAAGGAGTATACCGCGGGGGAAAAGACTGCCTGTTGATTTGAAAGCAAAAGCACCTTTAGTGTCTTGAGTATTGAACAGGGATTCTGGGTATTGGTCTATAAGCAAGCCAATAAAATCATCCACATTTTTGTGGCGTCGGCATGGGACCTCACTCTTTGACAAGAAAGCCCCAATATAGAAATAGGCAAATCCATGAACAAGTACGCGGCCCAAATCTCGGAGTGACTATCAGCCCGAGGCTAAAATTCTTGCAAAGTGCAAGAAGTGATTGATGCAATGTGATAACAACTAGGACCCTTGCATACTTTGCGTGGGTAAAAGAAAGAAAGAACTTTAAGACAGGGCTTGCCTGGACCACGGCATAATAATGCGGGTAGATGGGTCGGTGTGCTGGTGCTAAGGGCGAATAGTGCAGCCGCATTCAAGTTGCAGATACATCATACGGCTGCGTATGCCTAGCTGGGACATCTGACTCAATTTCAAGATTAAGTGTTCCGGCAATCGACCGAGAAGAAACCCACCATCCAGTATCTTGGGTCTGAAGAAATGATGTATGAAGAGCGGTGTTGCTAATCAGTTCGTGGCCTAAGGTATGAGTCAAGCTATGCGGACGGCACGGAGCCTGGCAAAGACAGCCCAATTCGATTTAAATCCCGGGTCCCCACGTGTGTAGTGGGTGGATCAGGTACGCAATCATTGGAATGCATAGGTCAGATTAGAAGCAATAGGAGAGGCTCCGATCGTAGAAAGGCCTTAGTTGGGCTTGGCCTTGGTGGGGTTTGATTGTCAATCGGGCCACCCACCACGAGGTAGAAAGGTGAGAAGGGGAAAATGAGGGAAAAAATTTAAAACGCCAATTGATTTCTAACAATGTAGAGAAAATAAACTAATATTCTGAGCTATTCATACTGTTGCTTTGCTTTCCGTCGCATAATCATTCCAGCACATTATTAACTTTTAACCAACTCCGCTCAAGCCGAAATGCATCAAATTCCATCACAACATTCAAAAGTGTCCAATATTATCGTGAAATGCAGGCATACCAGGCTGGGCCACATTTGACGCAGGAGGGCCGCCTTCTTCGGAACGGGTGATTAGAATAGGATCTGAGGCAGGAACCATACCAGGCTGGATCTGCGATGCTGGATCCACCCAAGGCTGTTTTCCCTTGTCATCATAATCACCTGGCTCGACCAAGTTCATGCTATCCATATCAGGCGGCGTGAGCTCACTGTAGTTATCGTTCAAGCGCTGCAGGAAGGCTGGGTCGAATCCCATCTGCACGAGTGGATCAGGTGCTCCCCCATCTGCGGGTGCTGAGGATGAGGCTTGGCCACCAGTCATGCTGCTGCCCCAATCAGAAGCAAAGGCTGGGACCCCAGCCGAGATCATCCCTGAACTGCCAGCATAACTCCCTGAAAGACTTCCCGGTCGACTGGCCGCCGCGGATGAAAAGCCTGTTCCAGGGTAGGCGGGGCTTCGGATGCCAGGACTTGACACCGCGGGACTGGGAAGTGCACCCGGGAAGACTGTTGTTGCCAGTGGTTTGGCTTCTTGTGCAGGCTCTCGCAAGCCACTTTGAACAGTGGCGAATGGAGGCTGAAGGCCCAAGTCGGCAAAGTGAATGGTCTCGTCGTTCACAGCGACCTCGAGGCCCGTCTCGCGCTTTAGGACCTTCAACCAGATAGGGTTGTCTGCACAGGTTTGATTCCAAGGATCTTCCGAGCAGTAAATTACCCGACGAGCCTCGGCTTGTAGCATCTGATCTGTCGGGACAATTCCTTGCGCTGTTTGGTTGTGGATGTAAGCCGTGAGTTCGCGTGACAGGCGATGATAGCAGTTGGCATCGTTCGGGACAGGCAGCGCTGGTGGGTTGCCATCAGTCGTCCAAGGGTTGGGAGATCGCCATTCATAACCAATCATATACGGAGGGATTGCATTCTCCACACGCTCTTGGATCCAGGGCTCAAAGCCCCAATCGCCCTGCCATTGGGCCATGTTCGCTCCATTCTTAAAATGGCCAGCAAGGTGATCAACTCGATCCTTCCAGGTAAGCAGAACAGTTCCACAGAATCCACAGCGGGATTTCACGTTGGTGATGCTGCTGTTCCATTTGTCCATACATCGTTGAAACTTCGCATTGTGCATGAGTCGGAGGTGTTGGTTCAGATGATCCTTTCGGAAGAAGGTTCTCTCTTGCGGTGACTTTTCTTGACAGCTGATGTAGTTGTGTGTCTCTAGATGATCTTTGTCTGGATTGGCAATGGAGCAGAAAACACAACGAAGTATACCATTCTCCTCTGTTACGCCGCCGTGAGGAGAACAGGTCCATTGGTCCAGGATGAGATGCATTGATTTTTCATGACGTTGCCAATCGTACTTAGCCGTGAATGAATCGGTACAGAAAGTACATTGGAAGGGACGAGATGCTCGAGCCTTCTGGTGGTTGAAAGTATTGACAGGCACCGAGGTCTTGCGGCGACGACGACGTTCTTTGCGATCCATTGAGCCGAATGAGCCCAAGGAGGACCGGTGGGAAAAGGCAGATGCAAAAGAGAGGTCTGAGAGGGAAGACCGACTAGTATCCAAACTGCTACCCGAGGCGGTATATCTTTTATGTTCGGAACTGGCGTGGCTTGAGTCATTGGTACTCGACCCCGGGCGACCCCTCACGTGACCAGATTTCTGACGTTGACGCGCGGGATCGAAAGGTGGATTGGCCAAGGCACGGTTAATATCGCTGATCGTGGCCGGTTCGTTCTCAGGAGGGGAGTATTTCCAACGTTCCAAAGGAGTCATGAGAGACACATCCCTAGGGTGCTGCTGTCCGGGGATATTGACAGCTCCCGAACCGGTAGACTCGGCCCCGGCTGGGGGAACCTTGCCTCGACGACGAGCGTTGGCAAGCCAGTTGGCAATCTGGGTTCTTGTCAAGCCCGTGTTCTCCTTGAGTTGATCTTTCTCGGGTTCGGTAGGGTAAGGGTTGTCGTTATGCTCGCGAAGCCAACTTTTCAAGATATTGATCGCCTTGCGAGAAAATCGAGCACTGGACTTGCGAGAGCGACCATCAGGGTCGTCGCCAAATGTATTGTACGAGACCGACTTCAATGCTTTGAGTCCAGTTAAGCCACCTTTGGAAGTGTAGGTGTGCTCGTTCACTGGATGCAAAGTCTGGAGGAAGCGGCCAGGAACTCTGGCGTGTGTGAAGCTGCATTCGCGCCAGAGGGAGATGCAACAGGTACAACCTGCTTTTTGCATCACACCTCTCGTTGCAATAAAGCAGTCAAGGCCCATGCGGCGGCAAAAGTCACAGGGTTCATGGGCTCGGAACATGGGGTAGACTCCGGTGTCTTGATCGGGGCCGACAGGAACATCCACATTTTGCTCGGCCGACTCCGGGACGGGCGGGTCAATAGGAAAAGAGAGAGGTAGGTCTTTCTGGTCATGGAGCAGCGAGTCGAATCTGTCCTCCTGCTCTTCAGGCTCGTCGAACTCAAGATCAACCGAGGCGATATCATCGCTTTGATGGTTTGACTCATGGGCTGACGAAGCACCTTCAAAGTCGAAGTACTCCATTGTGGAGAAGAAGCGACTACTCTTTTTCTTGTCCCTGGATAATCAATTTCACCTGAACAGCCCTCGGAGACAAGTAATACAAGAACGGGGGATGGCAGAGCAAAGAGTCGGTCTGCGAGGGGGGGTATCCTTGGTCTGGGGTAGAGGGCAGGGTGAATAATCAACAGTGGAGTCTGGGTTCCTATGGGCTGGGGCCACATGCGGCACTAAGAGGGGCCTGTCAATCGAATCGGGTCCTTGTAAGTTGGCCGGTCCCAGGGCTTCTTCTCTGCCGTGGGCCGATAAAGGCATCAGTCATAGCAGAATGTCATGAGACGGCGGGGCCGAACAGGTGAGGCTGAGGGTTAAGGCTAGGTAAGCCCATTCAAGCCATGGAGCGCACGAGAGGAGAACATTCTCGTATAGAAGGACGTCATGGTTCAATGACCATCAATGTCAATGTCAACTTGGTACTCCGTACTCCATAGGGAATCATGCCAATAGCAGTGCCAACCGGAGAGGAGAGTGGAGGTCCGAGGAATGCAAATTGCATGCTGCACGCCCTTCCATGTCAACGCTAGTCCTATTCGGGTTAAGCGCGTCTGCGAGGACCCCCCCGCGATATCGGACTGCCTGGATTGACTGTGAACTCTACAGTGCCTCGGACTTGCTCTTCTCGCATGGGACTCCCTTTTAGCCCTTCTAGAAGCGACCCGTAAACAAATCCACCTCTCGGAGTTCGAGCTTCCTCCCGGCTTCAACGGGTAAAGCCGATAGGCGCCCGACTCCGACTCGGCGACCACTCGGAGGTAGCGCCTTAATCGTCTGGAATAAGGGCTAGGCCATTTCGAGCACGGTTTGCATTTAAGCAGAGATCAAAGGCATTATGCGAGATTCCAAGGTTCCCAACCATATAATTTAAGTTTAAATACTACGATCAGTACGATATACCGTATCTCCTCTTGGTTGCAGAATAAGCACGGCTATACTTGTACTCCCTACGATCTGATCTCCAAAAACAGGCAACTAAGAAAAATAAATATTTTCATAGCAATGCTACGAGTATGAAGACAATACTTCAAGTTCTCACCACTCTGTATGCTCCCACACTCCATCATTCTCTCCTAGGTTGAATATAGTTTCTCTAATATCTGAAACATCCTGGGACACCTATGATAGCTAGAGTTTGTATTACTACTAGTCAGAGTAAGAATTAGCAGTCCTGTTGGTAAAAAAGGCACGTGATCCACGCTTTCTCCTCACTTTTTCCCTGCAATCTTCTTTGATCGTTTTGAAAATATAGCAACCCGAAAACGTGAGCCTCAAAGTTAGACACTCTAACCCCCCCTTATCACAAAAGAATTCATTCTAGCTTCTACCATGGATAGCAACGACGACCAAGGATTCCCATTATTTACCCGCCTTCCCTCCAAGCTGAGATGCATCATCTGGCGCGAATGTCTCCCACACCCAGTGGTGGAATTAGACCACCTGCTTGACTCGGGGCTGTGTGATGAGCAACAGGTCTGTAAGTGGCGGCCAACGATTCAACGACCAATCTTAACCGGCGCCCTCCCGTCATTACTCGAGTATGTCACGAATCCCACCTAAGTAGTTGCTCGGGGAGCTGGCCATTATCGCGATGAAGACGCACCTCCCGATTAGGCTTGGAAATCCAGCCTCAAGGTCAGACAACCTGGTCTGATCTTTCTCGAGACTCGATCCACTTGAATCGGGCTCCTCGTGGCGGTTTGTTGGGTGACTACTTTAAGACGCAAAATCTGCTTAGGTATCTTGCATTGGAACTCGTCCCAAACTCCGGGAGGCTTCTTATAATCTGCTATTTTTCTTAATTGCGGCAAATGAATCCTGAAATTTGTAAGGACATTCCACCCGGATTACCAAATGTTGGGCCTGTTATCATGCGCGATATCGTGGTCCAATATCGTGGTCCATACTACAGTTCAAAATACCGCCAAACCCGGGTTGTTTTGACTGCTTGGCAATGCCTCCGATTACCAAAGGCTAGATTATTTCCTTCCATTTGCCAAGAATCGCGAGTCTGCTCCTAAGTTTACAACAAAGGGGTACATCTTCTTTAGAGATTCCGCTGGGAAAAGCGCATGATGAAGGTTGGGCTCCTCAGCGCATTGAGTTCGAAATATGTCCAGACTTTATCGGGTTTATATCCCGCTAATATTTTCAGACTATGTCTGGGCAGATATGTGCTACCATCCTTACTTGGACCTTGAACACACAGAAGATAGCATGATGGCCAAAGGTGATGCCAAAAGTGGGAGGAAGCCAAAGTCGAAAGGTCACCAGAATTTCGGATTTTTTATGGTATCCTTGAACAAGTGTCCAAATTGAAAAAATAACGAGGACTGAAGAAATTTCTAAAGCTCGGTTTTTCTGGGGATAACATCAAAGCTGACCAACACGCCCACTGACATTTTGGTTAAACTTCAAGTTCTCTTCGGTCCGCGATGAATATGATTCTCTTGCAGCGATATCGGAATATATTTCCCCTTCAATCCATAGATGCCCATTCAAGTTTTCGCTGGATTTTAGAAATAAGCAAGCGACAGATCCGAGGTTCGCGGAATACCACTATATCAAGGCCAACTAACCCTCGCAAGTTCCGGGACCATACTACCCACTAGGAGCAGCTCCTCGTGTCCATTTTGGGAACGGATCAGACGACCACCAATCGGCCCAATGATCATTGTTCGTTCCTCGTGTTTTTTTCTCGTATATATGATCGACCACACAATATAGTATATCGCTATGAGACCTTCGTATACGAAGCCCAGTTCATACAGTTTGTCTGGGCGATTCCAAATTATAAATTCACTTGCCAAGAAAATCACAATATTGAGATGTACCAGCGATCCTTTGACCGCTATGGTGTGGAAAGGTATATGATTCTCTTGCATTAGGACTTATTTCGTAATGCAAAACGCTCTCCTAGTTTATGGCTGGGGTCGACCCTCAAGTTAAGGCACCAAATGTGTCACTTAAGGCGTTCTTTTTCATTCCAAAACTATCTAGATTTGCATTTCGACTTTACCAAATGTTGCTTTCAGGGCCACTTTGCTCTTTACCTATATGACCCTGTCAATTGGAAATCGAGATGGTTTTCTGACCCATGGTTTAGCCATGGCATGTCCGTAACTAGTTCATGGTTTTCTCCGAGTCTCTCTAAACAAAGGTGTCACAAAAATATGTCAGCATCAATAGTAAGGACCTCCGAGTTTGAGGTTGGCATAGATTCGGTTACGAATGTCAAAATTTGCAAGGTTCTCAATGATCGCAAGAAATCCGAGCACCTGGGCAGTGGTCAAACCCAGTAGTAACTTGTATGTTCCTTGCTCATGTTGAAATACCTCAAATATTATTGACCTTCACCAAACGACAATTTTATGAATAGTGACTAGTTGTCGCATGCTTCATAACTTGAATTGAATATTTTGAAATAAAATTACTGGTATTATTACCCAAGGCGTGGGCCAGTTTGACATCCTGTCAGTGAGTAGACGTCTAGACCATGTCGGGCCCACCGGTCATTCAAGCGACTAAGGAGCCACTAGCCAGTGCTCAATTTTCGCTCATGGTTAAAAAGTGACGATGGGTGGAGAGAGAGAATATCCAGGAATGAAAGCCTGACATTGCCGGGAAGTGTCGCCTTCCCAATGGTAGTTTCTCTGACGTGGAAACCCATATCTTGGAAGTAGTACTAAGAGAGGCTCCAGTGACTCTGGGGCTGTCAATGGAGGATCTGACCCCACAAATCGGTCTACTCACGCTCCAGTTTTACAATTGCCCATGGTGAGACACTGTTGAACGGTGCTACCTTTGGAAAGGCTCTAGCCTACTTGTTTGCCGACCTTCCTACGGGGATTCGTACAAACTGGAAAACGTGACTGATGGCGTTCCTACATTTCTCTAGATATCAAGGCACCAGCGTGTACGTCAATTGCAGACTCTTGCGTCGATCCAGCTTCAGTGAATCGAGCATGTCCCTCAGCACAGTTTCTACCCAGGTTACCATAGCCACTATACCAAACAACCGTGACACCTTGTCGGCACGATAGTCGGAGGAAGAGATGGGTATGGCTCTGTAAATATTGACACCGAATGGAAGAAGAACGATATTTTTTCATTTTTCATTGACCGTAATGCGCCTGATTTCGGAATGATTGGTTAACCCTCTTTTTTTCGAGGGCTCCTTAAACAAACTTGCGCTATTACCGCCATTGCAAAATAGACCTAAACCCCATGCATCGTGAATCCCTTAGGCGGACTTGTTCTGGACGGCCTCACGGCCCTTGGCAATGCGGGCGAGGATGTTCTCACGGTCCTTGTCCATGTGCAGCTTGGTGATGACGACGTTGGAGGGGGCGATAGGGATAGGGACGCTCTGGCCGTTGCTCTTGTCGCGGGAGACCTTCTCAATGTAGATGACGAACTTGAGACGGTAGGAGGAGGTGACCTTGCCCTCACGGCCCTTCTGGGAACCGCGGGTGATGGTAACGTAGTCGCCGACACGGATGGGGATGGAGCGAACCTGTTGGGGGCAGATTGTGTTAGATTTCGATCGTTCGTTCAAGATTTTTCTTCCTCTTCTTATTTTTCCTCATTGGATTCGTGGGTATATCGGCTTGGTGGGAAAACGTACGTTCTTCTCCTGGCGCAGCTCAGTGGAGAGAGCAGCGGACATCAGAACACGACGCTGGCTGGAAGGCGCAGAGAAGTGAGCCTGTAAATATTGTGAGTCGATTGTCTTCGGTCGGTCGGTGGTTGATCGATAATTACCTTGCGGGACTTGCTCCGCGAAGAGGCGATACCTATAGCACAAATCCGTCAGTATTTTTGAATCGGGGGAATTCGATAGAATAGCGCAGGGCGCAGGGCGATTGTGAGTACACACCGTGGTTGCGAACAGTCATCTTGAACGGTGCCTCCTTCAGGGTCGTATGGATGGGGTTGTCGTTGGTCGGGGATGAGAATTCGTGGTTTGAATATTGCAGCATGCGGGTCGGTTGTGCGTCACATGATGTGCTGCTCACGTAAGTCGGCTAGGGCTCGCTATGGGAGTGTGATTGGTTGGAGAAGTGGATCCGTAATCACCACCGCTATGTCCGAATGGGACTAGCGTGAACCAAACTATGTGGCACTCGTTACTCGTAGTTAACTCCGAGTATAGATGCACGTGAACACTTTTAAGGACACTCGAGCAGACAATTTTCAAGAACTTCTGTTTTATTTTAAACAATTGCCTAGTCATTCAGTGATGCTTTTGCTTCCTTGCCTTCATCGAAGTCCAGAATTGTTCCACAATAGTCTTTCCATCAATCTTTTCCGATCTTGTTTCCTCGAAGTCTATTCCTTCCACTGCTTGTTTGATCTTTTGGACCGACATTTCCATTGTATTAACAAGCTTGGCAAGCCAACTCATTCGTCTTTCATACCAACCCGCTTTGAAAAGAATGTCTTCCAGGTGGTCAAGCTTTCGCAAATATTCGTGCTGAAGCCAGAAGACGTATTCTGACACTTCTCGTAGCAGATCATGCTGGTCGAATGTTACATTTGGGTCCCAGCCCACGCTCATACAGTGGCTGTAGGTATCGTTTTTGTAATCGATATAATATCGAGGGCCGATTGACTATTCTCATATCAGCTCTGGCACACAGCATAATCCATCTATAGGCCAAGTTCGGCAACTCACCGTCTTTTTTGGCTCTTTTCCTTTTCTTTCGAGTTTTTCCTGGGCTTTTTCAAGGGCCTCTTTGTACTTTTTCTTGAGTAACTGCGACCAAATACATTCGAGTGTCTCCAAGCTTTCTCGGGTATATCCTCGCATCTCTTCCTCTAGTATCTCGATCATGTCCTCTTCCTCATTCAACAAACCTTGGACATCTCCGATGGCATCCTGGTAGTCAAATATTCCGAGTCGTTTTCGACCTATACCTTCACCCTTGTGACAGCATACATGTGTTATCTTGAGCATATCAAAGCGCGTCCGGCGAATGAATGAGAGAAGAAGCGTTTTTGCTGCCTCGTGGCCGTGGAACTCTTCAACAATTGAGAGCCATTCAAAGGCCCAGATAAAACTGACGATAGATCCACGAGCGAAGATTGTTGATTTGAATGCGATATTGAATCCAGCAGAGATATGGCAGCCATTAATAGAGCAGGCGCACCTGCAGCTATCGGTATGGAAGATATCGATCCCCCGGTGTAAACAGAGCTTGATTGACTCAATAGTATCCCAGGTCGTATATTGAAGCCTGCCAAGACACTCTATCAGTTTGAATATGACAGTACGGTTGCTGTGGTTTATATGATTGACATCTGTCCCATGATCAAGACAGCCCCGAAACAAGTTGAAATCCGCGATCTGACACACAATCGACGAAACTGCAAGTTCGCCATCGCTATTGGGCTGGTTAAACCCATTGAACCCGCAGCGAACAAGGGCGTGGAGCTCTTCTTCCGTTTGAACATAATGCAACAAGTTGTTAGATCTCTCCCCCCGATGGGAATCTGTGAATGTAAAATTCACATCATCGAAAAGCTCTAGAAGGGTTTCGAAGACTTTCGTTCTTCGATCACCAAGCCAAGTATCCTCAGACACAAGACGCATAATTGCCATGCCAACATAATATTGGAAAGCCTCTTCACCGTAGCACTGACGTATGGTGTGGAGTGATTCAAGGATCAAATCCCAGTGTCCACGAACAGACGCGTAGTTCATGAAATTCCGATTCCAACGGGTATCACACATCACTATTCTTGCACCTTCCACAATAAGCAAACGCACGATATCGCTTAGTCCCAGTGCAGCTGCGTACATTAGCGGGGTGATACCCCACCTATCTGTAGCGTCCAGGTCATGCCCGGCATCCAGAATCATTCTGAATATTTTGGGGTTATAGACTGCCAAGTGCAGAGGTGTCTGTCCTAGAAAGTTTCGATGATCTTCCCAGTTTGTCACATTGTAAGCCAAAGACCGGAGAGTCTCCATTCGTCCACATAGAACAGCATCTTGAAGAGGAGTCGATCCTCCAAATCCTGGGGGGAATATAGTCATAAGTAACTGTTACGATTGTAGAAATAAACACACTCACCCGGATTATCTATTGCAAGTATTTTCAGAAATTCAATAAAGAAAGGATCTGGTGTTAGCTCTTCAGAAATCCAATTAGGCGAACAAGGAGAGGGCCATTTTTGAAAGAGCGGCGAATTAGTTCCACTGGGATCGAATCCACAGTAGAGAATAATTTCAAGTAGATTGAGATGGCTGCCTTCCCCAATCCACGAAGCGCACTTTAGAAGTAATCTAATATGTAGTCTCCGTCAGTATAATCATCACCCAATATTTGATGGGAAACGCACTCATTTCCTTCATCCTCGAGATTCATATCCAGCTCGTTAGCGAATAGGTGAAGAAGAGCAAATTGATTCATCTGATTATTCCATGGGCCATAACAAAGCAGTTCCTTGAAGTTCATTAGCTGAGCTCCACTCAAGTGTCTTTATAAGAAAATTCACCCGAACGTAGTTGTCTCCTCCCGGATTGATGTGTTGTCGCAGAGGAGACGACGATCTGTTCAATTCACGGAATTGAGTCTGGGCGTCGGGAAATGAAAGAAGACCATTTCGACATCTCCACAGAATCTCAAATCCTGGAGATGTATATGCTATCACGCGTTGTACGCTAAGGGCAGGCCGTAGAGAATACTTTCCCATGCCAAGGATGAATTCAAAATCCATGAGAAGTGCCAACGGAACACCGAGATCATTGAAAGAAAATCGAAATTTCCAGCGAACGCCTTTCATGTCACATAGGTGGTTGTCACATTTCCCAAACATTATTGAAAGCGGCGTGTATTCCAATCCCCAGTGGCGACCAAAGCTATTTTCCGTCATGTGGCATGAGCAGTGGCAGTGTCTTGTTGTGCAAGATTTTCGCCGGATGGGATGATCTCGGGGTCGCGCGAGAGCTGTATTTCTTCCGCCAGAGATAGCATTGCTGTCATCAGGTACGTCTTTCACAGTATTTGGCAGTGTATTAGGTGAGCTGGACAAATTCATGGAGTTTGGCTCGATGCTCTTGGGGGGAATCGGTATCAAAAGGAGTATAGAGCTTCAGTTCAATGTGAGTACTAATTCCCCGCTTACTTCGAGAGGTCGGGACTTACGTATTCAGCATTTGAATAACTTGTGAAATCTTATTTCCAATTTCCTCGATCTGTTTGCGAATTTTCGGAGATAGACCGAATTTCCAGTTGGCTTTTTTGCTAGATTGACTTCGGTGCATCTTCTCTAGAAGTGATTTCAAAGCTTTGTTCACGTCGTTATACATTGATTGACAATTTCGAATTGCATGGTTAACGAGCGGATTTCCCTCAAAGGGCTGGAGGCTTTCCAAACATAATTTCAAGAATTCAAGGTTGCTGGTAAGATCATGAAGCTCTCTTGGTGCCTGTTCTCGGTTATACTGATGAGTAGCTTTCAAGGCACTAATGCTGGTGAAAACTTGGACAACAAAGGACGCAATTCCAACACCAGCGGACGCAAACCCAATAGCCTCTGCCATTCTGAGCAAATATATCCTGGGTACAATGGAGAGGTAAGTATAGGAAGGGAGAAGGCGGTTAGGGGTCTATCAAGAATTGCAGTGAGGCTGAATTGCCACGTCATAACTTTCAGCTACCCTGCCTCTTGCATCAACTAAGGATGGGGAAGGGAGCCTCGCCAGTCTCTCATGCCCAATAGTTGGACAGAGAGAAGCGGACGCATTGTCTTTTTGGACGCGTGGGGGCGCTTGCAGATGCGAAATGATTGGACCCTAACATGATACCTCCATGTATCTTTCAGTCCACACCAATCAATCATGACACTAACAGGAATTAATAAATAGGAGCCTAAGGGCTCAGGTCCATCCCTTTCGGTCTCATACTGTGGCGCCGCAAAGGTTTCCAGCCCCTTGTTGGTAAGACGGAATAGATTGGTCTATCTATTTCATATTAGTAGGTACTAGTTGGAAACTTTGGCGGCGCCACTGTGATATAACAAGTAAATACATTGGCATAGTTTGGTATCGTACACCGTGAAAGCAGTCCGCTATAATAGATAATAATCAAGATACGCCCGACGGAAAACCTGATACAGTTCGAGCAGCATACGAGAGCTAACAGGTCTCCCGAATTAACTATGTGGAAGTCCTGTCCCTTCATTACCCAGCAATACATGCTGTCCTAACAATGACACTCACTCAAGAACTTCCGAGCCCCGTCCCCACGAAAACAACCATGACCGCCGAAAATCTAGACTCACATAATTAGTCTCCATGTAGAGGAAGTTCGAGTAATTGTTACTTGCGCTGCAGTTCCCCCAAATATCTCCGAGCTGTTGGCTTTCGTGAATATGCAAAGAGAGGTCGAGAAGGCAAGAGTGAATAGGACGATGCTGACTAGCCGATATGCCGAAGTGTGAACAAAATATAACACAATAATTGGAATTAAGAGTGAAAATGACGCCGCGACCACTGTCGTCAATCTCATTGCTCGGTAGATGCGATTGTCTGATGCATAGACGATTTGTCTGGGGTCCCATTGATGCTTGGTCTATCGTGAGAGAAAATAAGACACCACATAAAGCCTTGCGTAGCAAGAAAGAGAACATACATTCGCTTTAAATATCTAGACCCAATTGAAATTAGCGGATCTCACAGCAATGTCATAAAATTCGAGGCAATTACCTTGCCGAACCATTTGCTCCTGATAAATTTCGCCACTAACCCTTTGACTAGAGTTTCTAGGAAGGCAAAATCTGAGACTTGAGAGCTCAAGGAGCAGAGATCCTTAGTATTCTGGAACGCGCCAGTCTCCTCTTCGACAAGGGGATTCATAGCATGGAACCATCGACGGAAATTCTGTAAATCCCCCTTCGAGGGGGATTTGAGATTAAATATGGAATGGTATGCAACAAGCAAATCATCTAAGGTTTGGTCCCAGAGTTAGTACTATTAGATCGTGATCTCAGCAATATAGTTCACCTGGGCAGAACTGTACCGTATTCTCTGAGCTTTACTCGAATCTCCGTCATCAAATTTATCCTGTCTATATTTCCATCGGCCTTTCGGGTCATATTGTTGAGCTCATCTGTCTCCGAAGTATCGATCTCATATAGACGTCGGTCCATGGATGTGAGTTCTTCTTGCATGTACAAGAGATTTCGTAGGTGCAGATGGTTGAAACGACGCAGTATACCAAATCCTGGATCGCTCTCCATAAATGCTGCCAACTCGGGATACCCCTTCGGGTAACATTCTGCATTTCGGTTATATGAACATATAGACCCTATAATCAGGAAGTACTGGGATTGAACTCACTTATTCTGCTATCGGATATTCTGGTGTCTAGAGTCTCTTCGCTTTTAGACAACATTGTCATATCGATGGTGCTAGACATCGTGAAGCCTTCGCTGGACTGACTTTATCTGGGTACAGAAAATCGGGAGGGAGTTTGATTTTAAGCCAAGCCACGGCCCTTCCTTGACCTTTATTCTCAGGGCTTTGGAGCATTGGGCCTCAGCCTATTAATTATGCCATCGTGCCGCGCGCCACTGTATCGGCAAGGCTTTGCGTCAGGCACTGCCATCGTTCTCAGCCAATCATGTCCCAAGGCCCAGCGGAAACCTGCCGCGCGCTACAACTCTACGCTTAATTGAACCACTTTTATAGGCTGAAAACATGTATATGTTTCGAAACGACTGAGCCTCTGCCAGCGCAGTACCCCGCACAGCCCGGCTCAGGGTAAAATCTATCAGCAGTGATTTTAATTTCATGAATGACAAGCTGGGTGGCTTCCATCGACCTTGTGTTCTTTGATCCGGTGGTTTACCCCCTTCTCTCGCTTGGACCGAAGAACTGACATTATTCCAATGGACTTTACCATGAATTGGTGTTGCAAATTTTGTACCATATAGGGATAATACGAGATCCTTGAGGCTCAGAAATTCGATCCCGAGACTTTCATCTTGGTATGTCTCCCGTATCATTCTTCTTCATGCTGCAAAGCAACTAACCAGGTTGTATTAGACAAATGCCCAGCTGCCTCTACAAACTCGAGAAACCACGGACATTGATGGGATTCCCTGGTTGTATAAGAGAGACAAATTTTACGAACTATTTGAATCTCATAGGACTTACGCGGATATCGATTTCTATCCGGGCTTTCCGAAGCGACCTCTGCGAAGTCTTGCGGAGAGAGAAGCAGGTTCCAGTGGTCAAAACAATACCCCGGTCCAAGGCGCAGCTAGTTCAAGCAGAAACGGTCAGGCTGCTGGTCAGTCAGGCAGCAAAAGCAATACTTCGTCCAATGGAGCGGCGGGTTCAGCTAGTACGAAGAAGTGATGGGAGTGATCATCGTATCATGACTGCTTGTTGCGTTATATGAAGGCGGATGGGAACAGCTTCAAGTATTAGTTTCTTATGGCTCAAGATACAGATGGTTAATGAAGCCAAAACTTCACCTATCTTTCAACAAAGTCCGATATGGTGTAGTGGCTAACATCGCCGTCTCTCACACGGCAGCCGGGGGTTCGATTCCCCCTATCGGAGTTGTCTTTTTGCATTTCAAGGAGTGGCTCCTTGATTGATTTTTTTGGGGGGTGGTGGGTGGATCTTTAAATATGTATGATTGGGCCGTGGGGGCGGAAAATGGAGGTTGGTGGGGGCGGTGAGCGTTTGGGTTACCCACGAGTATACTACATTGAATTATTGACGAGCAGATGGTCCAATTTAATGGTTTTGCGGGTTTGGGGGATTGAAATTATTTGATTTTGATTTAAATATCATAAAGGTCACTTGAATGTCGAGAATATGTGGACTTTGAGATGTTATTCTAACAATTTTGAAATTTTGAGATGCCATGATGGCATATATATATCGTACCTTAGTATAGGAAGTGACCCTACTACTCTACAACTCGGATTACAGTTATTACCAAACTTCGGGCCATAGACTAAAATTTGAACTCGAGACTAATCCATCATGGATTGATTGAACCTATTCCCTATAAAAATCTTAGAATCAATGGGGTTTGTCGAATTTGAATGGGTCCAAGACGAGGCCGGGGATAGGAGCATGAACGAAGCAGTCACTGAGCCCAGGAAGAACTTGGAATAGTACCAGTGAAATACCTAGGTATATAAAATCAAACAACAAAATAATGAATTCATCCTAAACGCCATAACAATTCGGGAATAGTCAACCAGCCTTGGAAGCTAACAAGCCAAGTACCTATGCAAAGAGACAAGGAAGAAGGAATACTTTATAAGAAAGGGGGACAAAAACAGTGACCAACTCAAAAGCTCTAAGCACCCTGAACCCTCTTCAAGGCAGCATTAACATCAACCAACAACGTAATCAACTCCTTCGCACTATCGGCCCCCTGCCCCTCAATCTCAATCCCCTTATTCAAAAACCCCTTCGCCTCCTCATACCTCGTCATCTCCGCCAAACATTTCCCAACCCGCCACCAAGCCTTAACATTCCCCAACGGCTTCGAATCAACACTCAACTTAGCATCCACCAATCCCTCCGGCCACGCCTGAAGCGCCATCTGCGCCTGTGCCCGATTCCCATACAACCCGGCCAATTCCTCGCGCGCAAGGGTAACGGGTTCCCAGCCCGGCCGAGTAACGCCCATATCGATGGCGAATGTGTAGAGGCGGACGGCCTCGGCGTAGTTGTTCTTGCGGAAGGCGGCGTTGGCGCTTTCGCGGAGCTTGGTGATTTGGGCGCTGCGCTTTGGGTTTACGGGGGGGGGGGTGGGGGGGGATGTTGGGCGGGTCGAGGGAGAGGAGGGCGCGGTGTAAGGCGTTTAGTTCGTTTAGTTCATTGGTGACTGTGTTTTGTTGGGTTGTGGTGTAGGCGGAGGATTGGGGGAGGGTGATGGCTTTTGTGGCTGGGTCCATGTGTAGTGGGTATTGGTTGTAAAGGTCGATTTCGCTGGCCATTTTGGTGGTGTTTGGACTGTAGGAGTCCTGGTTTGCTTCTTTAAAGAGATGTGTATGTGTGTGTGTGTGTGCTTTTGTTTTTGGTAGTGGTTACTATGTTAGTGCTGTGAGGATGTAGATGGTGGATGGAAATGGAATGTGGGATTGGCGGGAAAGGGTTATGTGAATAGTCAAAGTGAGCTAGATTCATACCAGGGAGAGGAAAAATATGCGACTTTTCGTATCATGCAATGTACCTCTGAGAAATGGAGTGGTATTTCAACTTGAAGGTGATCGCTGCGGCGAGTTGCGGCGAGCTGTCCTCCAAAAGCCCGAGGCGGTGGACATTCTGCCAATCTGGGGCAGGTACAGGCACAAGCACCATGTTTGGTGTAGCCCGGTTTAGTTGAAGGTTACTGAGTCTACGGAGTCTACGGACGATACAGACGAATAATTGAAAACCACAATTCACATCAATATGATCTATTTGCTACATCCAGAAAGTACAATCGTTGCCCGAGGGCCTGAATCATGACGGCAGCCAATGCCAACGCTCCTCGATGAAGGTAAAACAACACAACAAAAGCAAAAAAAAACAATGCGCCTGCCAACTCCACTCCGTGGTCATGTTATGTCAAGACACAAAAAAAAACAAGCAGAGCGACGTGATGATATCGGGGTATTCATTGCGAGCATTCCATGCCATCCAGGGCGCTTCTTCCCACTACCTCCCACAGGAACTTTTTTTTTTTACCGCGGGTATGCGCTCATTGTTGTGCTATATTCGGAGGGAGAATAAGGCATGTGCTGCGGCGCCTGAGGTCCGCTACCGTAACTGGTATTGCGGTCACCGTAGCTAGTGTTGGAACCGCCGTAGCTGGTTTCCGCACCGGTATAGCTAGTTTCCGCACCGGTGTAGCTAGTGTTGCCGTAGTCGTGGAGAACGCTGCTAGGCGCGGGTGCGGTGGGATCGTACGCGCCGTGCATTGCAGATCGGCCCAGATCATCGGCCTCGTTTTGTTGCAGGAGGGCGTAGTCTTCGTCTTGGTCGCCGCGCGAGGAGGCAGCCATGCCACCGCCCCGGCCGGAACGGAAGTCTTCCTCGTCTTCCTCGAAGTCGTGGGGTGGATTGTTGGAGAAGGCGGCCTTGGATTGAGCGGCAAAGGTCGGGTCGGACACGGCGTCGGGGAGGGTACCGGTGCGACGGAAGTGCATAACGTTGCGGATGGACATCCATGCGGTGATGCCGAAGAGAATGCTGCAGAGGAAAATGACCAATTAGTGTTGGATTATCTCGCTGTCCAAAAGTAACCATATAACCTACAAGATCACAACGCCAATAATGGTCGTGGCAGTGCTGACATTGCACTTGCTGGAATTGCCGTATGCCCAGTTATCGCAGCCTTTCTTGGTGCTGCTGGCTCGCTTGTTTTTATCCTGATCGGAACTGCTATCGCTGTCGTTGGACTTGCCGATACTTTTTCCCTGTGCGACGTAGGAAGCGAGACACACCCACGCGCTGAACCAGAAGAGCGCATAAAGCCCATCGACCGTGGCGAAGGCGTAGACATTTCCGAAGCGACGGGCCCGGGGCCACATGGGGACGGCAGCGAGGTAAACCAAAGCGGGGATACTGATCCAGCACTATACACCAAGGGCTGTCAGCTGCAAGGTTCAATTCGAGGTGGGGGAGGTGGAGGAGGTGGAAGGATAGCAAGACTGGCAACTTACCAAGATCCAATACCAGACGGTACGGCCGTCGATGCCATCGCCCTTGGTCCAGATGGCGATGGTCATGGCCCAGGCCACGAAGATAATAAGGGCCTGTGTGAAATGAAGCAAGTTCTTTGTCCTCCCCAGGTTACCACCGGAGGGCCGGGGGATCCGGAATTTGGCCATGGTTGTAGAAAGTGAAGGCGACGGACTGCAAGGGAGTCTCAACCCTTTCCAAAGTCACCCACGGGAAAGGAAGGGTGTCAAATCAAGCTCGGTATGATTGACAGGTAGGGGGGGGTTATAAAAGACCCAAAGACAGTTGGAGGTCAAGAATGTTGGAACTTGAGGAAATAATAAGAATGGGGCGGCTTGGGGGACGCGCAACGCCTTAGGCTCTTGGCTGTCGTGGGTAACCCGGTGGAGATGCGGGATGGTCGTAGTTAGATGGTGGTTATTACTCCGTAGTACTAGTTAAAGTATGGAGTATGGGGATGTAGTCGGGTAATGTAATGGGGATAGGGGGGATCGACGAGGTGAGGGGGAGGGAGAAGTAATCTCTTCGATCAGAGCTGATGTCAAGGACTCGGACTGTTTTATCGCGGGCGAGTCTCAGGACGATCGCCCAGGCGACAGCCCGTGGTTTTCTATTTTGGGGCCTTCAGCCACACCAAAGTGGAGACGCGGCGCGGTCGGTACGGCAGTGCTGGTAGTGTTCGCCCTGTATGCTACTTGTGTAGTGGAGTATCCTCAGGTTACGGCCGTACTAACTAGTATACAAATATGTACACTGGTATACGAGTAATGACCACATGGCAAAGGTTGGAGTGGACCATGGTTAGTATGAAGTATAGTCAGCTACGGTTAGAGTGCTGCTGTACTGAATTCATTGCTGATAAGTTATATTCAATCCCGAAATACTGAGCTGCGCTCTCATCATTCATACATTCATAATTCATAATTCCATCCCATCACCCACACAATGGCCCATTGGCAAGCCCGGTCTCCCGCATCTGCTTCATCAACAACCATATCGCCCGCAATGGTTGGTACACATGCACATGCCACCACCAAGGGAAAGGATCCCGAAAGGAGAACAATGGATCTCTCCAAAAGATAAAAGGTATCGCTTCCGCCTCAACGAGGGCCTTGGCTCGCCTGGCCAGCTTCAAAGGGAAAAAAGGTAAAGATAAGCCGGTGATCAGCCCACTCTCACTCTCACTCCCAATCAATACCGATCTAGGGCGAGGAGTCGGGGATAGTGTCGCCACCACCTCCCAACTACCCTGATTCGCAGGCTCGGGTGCCAGTACAGCAAGATAGCCGGCAACAGGGCAGGTCGCATCGCGAACAAGATTCTCCGCAGCCGTAGCGCCCGGAATACAGTCCGCAATATGAATGGTATGGCGAACGGAAGAGTGGTCGAACTCTTCATCCACTAGAAGTCGAACGGAAAGGTGCCCGGTCATACGCGCTCCCCCTTCACGGCAAAGCTTTGCATGAGACGATGGATGGCCGTCGCCAGTGCCTCGTCCACCGGGGATGCACCCCAGTGTGATTTCTGAGTCTCCGCAAGCCGAACTTTGATGGCATGGACATGGCCCCGTACCACTAGTATATCTGCATAGAACTCCCCTAGTCGACTCTGCTGCTGAAGGATCCAGGGATAGTCTTGGTTGATCTGAATCTCGCTGACTTCCGAGTAAGTCCTGCTTAAAGTGCGCTTTGGTAGAAGTAGAGCGGTGTCGTTCGAACTGGAGCCTAGCCGCTGGATCTGATATGACTTGCTGGGCGACCGATGCAAGATTTTGTGGATCGAGTCACGCGAGTGTACCTGATGGCGCTCGAGCACAGGGAGATCCCTCTCAGTGAGAAACTGGGCGAAGGAGTCGGTGTGAAGGAACCGCGTGGCCAAATCGGTGTCAAAAGCGATGCATTTGCAGCTAGTCCGACTCTCGATCACTTGTCTGGCGGTCGCATCTTCAATGGCGGTTGCCTTGGGAGAGCAAGGGACCCACACATCCACTTTCTCGCGATGGATAATGTCCAGGATGCGGGAAATGTAATGATCTTTGGGGACACGGTAGAAGACGAGAAGAGTACGGGACATACTTCCACCCGATCGGACGGGGAGATCGAGGTCGGCGACGTCTGCCCCGACCACATGGTGTCCCCCCGCAGCCCAAGCTCGGGCGAGAGCTAAACCGTGGGGGGGTACCGATACCCGTGATCAACACGGTTTTGGGATAAAACGGTAGATCATGTCGTGGTCTCTGATACCGATCAACCACAGATTGAAGACGCGCAAGAAGCAGCGCGGTGATGAGGATGGTGTTGTCCACAGATAAGAGGGCAAAGGAGACGGAAATGCGGAAGATATGCCAGAATGCGTTAGACAGGACCTCGATCGGGGAGGGAGCCTGGACCGTCTTCATGGGGAGGCGCGACCTCTGCTTGGATGCCATTCCGAAGCATCAGGGAGATGCAGTGAGATGCAGTGAGATGCAGTGACCCGGTGAAGTTGGAAGTTGAAGTGCGAAGTGCTGGGAGTGGTGACGTGAAGAATGCAGAAAGTGGGTGGTTGGAGGAGGAGGGGCGATCGGCACATGCAGATCGAGATCGCACGATTTCAATGTCAGTGTCATTGTCATTGTCAATGCTCAAGTACTGGCCTATAGCAGTTAGACCCGGTCGGCCCATTGCATTGTCTTGGGTCGGATTCTGTTTGGTGGAGGAACTCAGTTTCCGACTGTGAAGAAGAATGTACCCGCGACCACAGAGTAGTTGATTCACTACCTCACCTTCAGTATAGGTAACAGTTGAAGGTGTGACAGTGACTTGTGTAACTCTATAAAATGATTGTAGTAGTACTAGTACTAGTATAACTAGTTAGTAACTAAGTAACTAACTACTAGATTACCACTTACATGTTTTGATCTACTGTCACCTACCTTGCTGAATATGGAGAGATCTAGAGATTACAAACTTGAAGATACTACTAGTATGATAGAATGCCAACTTGTGTACATGTTTCCCTCCAGTTCTCCCGTACTCGTATACAGAGTAGATCGCCTTGGCTTACCCGTTCAGGGCTAATCGTCCGAAGCAGTTCCATGTGGTAGCTAAGATCACGCACTACTCTAGCACCTCCGAACAGAGCTCCGACGAACCCATTTTAAGGTTATCTCCATCTCGGAGGACGGATTTAGTCGGCTCCCAGACTCGGAGAAAAGCTATCGACTCCTTGAGTAGTTATTCCCGAGACGAGGCGGGTCCGCAATCGGGACCACATCCACTTGTACTTATATGCCATAGTTATTCGCCGGCCTGCGTCACGAAACATGCGGGGAGGAAAGTTTCGGACGATTTCGAATTCGACCAGATTTCCTTTTAATACATCAAGATCTCCTCAACGGGTTACTGCTCACAGCTTGCCCTACATCTCGCCATACATCCACTACAGCTTTATCCATTCCTCTATACATTCCCAGATGTCGACCACGCAACAGTCTGCCCCTTCGCCGCCCGATATGGGTGGGCGCTTGGTAAGTGAATTGTTAAGGCATACTATCGACCGGATGGCCACCTACAGAGCACCAACGTACTAATGGTAATCAATGAATACAGAGCGGAAAAGGCCGAGAGATGAAGCTCCTCCATTTCATCTACGAACAGCCAAATTTGGACGACATCCGAGGAAATCCACAGAAAGTACTCGACCTGATGAACAAATTTGAAGAAGAATACTACATGATGACCGTTGGTGTACCCAAGGGTAAAATTGTAACACAGTTAATCGACGAAATCAAGCCCAAGATCATGATCGAACTCGGGTGCTATACGGGCTACTCGGCTATCCTATTCGGCGAGGCTGCACGCCGAAATGGTGGAGAGAAATACCTCAGTCTGGAACTGAACCCAGAGTATGCCGCTATTGCGAACATGCTGATCGAACTGGCCGGACTTCGCGACTTTGTGCGTGTCATTGTGGGCCGGAGTGACCTCTCCCTGGACAAATTGTACCGTAGCGGAGAGGTCAAAAACATCGAGCTCTTGTTTATCGACCACTACAAGCCCGCGTACACTACCGACCTCAAGCTGCTTGAGCACCATGGAATGATCGTTCCTGGATCGGTCTTAGCGGCAGACAATGTGTTGTTCCCAGGGAACCCGCCGTATCTGGAATATGTCCGCAGCACGGTTGAGCAGAAGCGAGAGCTGGCCAAGGATGGACCTAACAAGGGATATGATACCAAGGGGATTCTTGAGCGCACTGTCAATTCCTTCATGCCACAGGGTGATGTGCCGAGTTTTGAGGTGGTGGGGAATCCCAATATCGTGTACCAGACCGAGCTGCATCAGCCGGAGGGAGAAGAAGTGAGTCCGAGTCGTTTCCCAAATATGTCATGGTGGCGATCAGGCATGAGATTTTCTGCAATTGCTAATCAAAGTCACATCTACTAGGATGCCATTGAAGTGACGCGATGTGTCGGGGTCCAAGAATAGGCAAGGCATAGGTGATAGAGTGGGATGGTGGGGTTTGCAGAACGGGGCTCAACCACAATTGAATGAATTTGATTATCAAGCATAGTCTTGCGTACGGAGTAGAGAACAGTAGACTGGGGTGACAGAAGTCCGGAGGAACCGCTAGTACTAGTATGGTACTATATTATAGTGTACTACTGTAGTAACAAGGCAAGCCGAGTGGCAACTTCCGGCAGGCCGACTCGTCGGTGACTGCTTTTTGCCCCGCCGGATCCAAAGGTTGCCGTCGCCAGGACCTTCCCCCGCGTTCGGCCTCGAAAATCCGTGGGGGGGTATAAGTTCTGCCATTGCCCCTCTGCCCCTACGGTACCTCTACTTGTATCATATCACCTCCAATTATCTCCCCTACCATTCATCATGGCCTCCAAGACTTACAACGTCGGTGTCGTCGGCTACGGCTTCAGCGCCAAGATCTTCCACATTCCCTTCGTCTCACAGATCCCCGAGCTCAAGCTCCATGCTGTTGTGCAGCGCACCCCCAAGCCCGATGATGATGCTGAGAAGGACCACCCGGGCGTCAAGTCCTACCGTACCACTGAGGAAATGGTCCAAGACCCCGCGCTGGATATCGTGATCATCACCACTGCCCCAGACTCTCACTTCGACCTGGCCAAGCTGTCTCTCGAGGCCGGCAAGCACGGTTAGTCTCGGAAACCATTTATCTGCTTTGAATTCCACTGATGCGTTGGTAATTTTAGTTGTCTGCGAGAAGCCCTTCACCCCTACCTTCAAGGAGGCCGCCGAACTGGTCCAGATTGCCGAGAAGAACAAGAAGCAGCTTGCCGTTTACCAGAGTACGTCATACCCTCAATCTCCCAAGCAAGCCAAATTGCTTTTCAGTTCCTCCCTCTAACAGTATCACTACTAGACCGCCGCTGGGATGCCGACTTCGTCACCCTCTCCAAGCTCATCAAGAACGGTTCTCTCGGCCGCATCTCCGAATTCGAAACCCACTTCGACCGCCACCGTCCCGAGGAACCCGCCGCTGATGGCCACAAGTGGAAGAACAAGGTCATGCCCGGTGGCTCGGCCGTCTATGATCTGGGCACCCATCTGCTCGATCAGGCCGTCCACCTGCTTGGTCTCCCCAAGCGCGTGACCGGCTTCATCGGTTCCGCCCGCGCCGTCAACACCAATGGCTTCGAGGATTCCTTCACTGTTCTGCTGCACTATGCCAATGGCACCCTGGTGACCGCCAAGGCCACCGTTGTCAGTCCTGAGGAGGAGCAGCTGCGCTTCTGGGTGCGCGGTGACAAGGGAAGCTTCAAGAAGTACCACCTGGATATCCAGGAGGACCAATTAAAGGCCGGAATTAAGCCCGAGGACAACGGCTACGGCCGTGAGCCCAGCGAGCGCTATGGTATGTTTTCAATACCTCTTTATCCACTTTCATGAACATCTGCTAACGGGGTATTAGGTACTCTGACCACCATCCAGAATGGCAAGACCGTCAAGGAGGTTTTTCCCACCGTCGAGCCCCCCACCTACACCGAGTACTACCGCAAGCTTGTTCGCGCTCTCGGTGGCGAGGGTGATCTGCCTGCTAGCGGTGCTGAGGCCAGCCAGGTTATTCGCCTGATTGAGTTGGCTCGCGAGAGCTCTGCCACCGGCCGTACTCTGGATGTCTAGATTTAGTGGTGTAATGTATATGAAAAGCAATGAATATTACGATTAGAAGACGCTCTGAAGACTGAAAATCAAAGTTTTTTGGGCCGTGCTACTTACTTGATTTAAAGTTTTGCAATTATTTACAACCCGTAGATACTTTTGTTGTAGAGAGTAGCTACTACTGTACAGAAGTGATTTGCAGAATGATCACTGGCAGCCGAGAGTATTCAGAGAAGCAGCCGTTCCGACATGGACTTACTAGTAGTCAGAGTTTGTAGAAAATAACCCGAGATGTCGCTGTACTAGTAGTTCTGGGTGTCAAAGTTGAAACACTCCGCTAAGCCGCCCGAGATCTTCTCCCCTCCCCACCGGACCCAACCACTGGAACTACTGGAACTTGCTGCCCGATTCGTTGGTTCCACAGGATTCCTGACATCTCACCTGTGTCCATGAAACCAGACAACGTGGCTGGCCACGTTATTCCCTTACGTCTCAAACGATCTTGTCACATGGGGGCCATGCAGAAAGGATGGGACTAGAGAAAAGGCTAGGGGGGCTCGAGCATTGCAGCCTGCCAACCCTGTCATCCACCGAGCAGACAGCCACGGAATTTATATCGTGGATCAAGACAGCTCGATCCCTTCTCAATATCGCAAGATTGGCCAAATGGAGGAATTAAAAAGGGGCTTCTGCAGCATGGACGCTGACTCACTCTCCGATTTCCAGCTCCTCCCCTATCCATCTCAGCACCGCGACTCCAACGGCGGCGGGGAGTCGGAATCGCTGTCGCCAACATCAGATAACTCACTCACACTCAATGTGTCTTCATCATGGACATACTGCGGTCCCCTCCTAACCCTGGAAGAGAATAGCCTCCCATCCTCCTTCCACACTTGGGCCCAAGCTACCGTCAACGGCTCCCTGCTGACCCCCCTCTTCTCGTTCCTGGCCTATGTGCACGAATTTCTCGCAGCGAACAATCTCGCGCACTACTGGTTGACCGTACGGGCTACGCAAGGATCGACAGAGTTCGATATTCCACGATGGCACACAGACGATCTATTCTTCTCTCCGCTGGCCACGAAAAAGCCACAGCCAAAGCCGAAGTCATCGTCCTTTTCGAGAAAGCTCAAGTTCACCACACGAAACTATTACACCCTGCGTCCTCAAGAGCAAACACAAACACAACGAAGAAATAATACCCAGCATGCCACGATACCAGATTACGATGCCCTAAACCCATTTATCCACCCACAACCAACTCACACCCAACCCCAACCAAAAAACGCCCAAATAATAACCCCCAACTCCAACCCCCCAGACTGGAAACTCTGCACAACACTGCTAGGCCCAGGAACAATCTTCATAAACGAAAAAAGAAACCTCGCCCGCTCAATCCAGCGCACCACAAAAATAGCCGTTCAAAACGAAAACCCAGGCCACATCTGTCTCTCAATCCGGTGCGTAGGTTGTGCCTCCGCGGCCGAGGCAGTCCGAACCCGTCTAGCGACGGATCTAAAACCGCACCAAACCGTGCAGTCTCAACAGGGCGAGTGTGTCTTTTTTCGCGTCGGTGAGGAGGAGGGTGCTGTTCATTCGGAACCGAGGTCTCATGGGGATCGGATCTTTGTTAATGTTGTTCCTGGGGATGAGCGGGATTTGAGGTGTTTGATGGCGAAGTGGGGGATGGAGTTTCCTAGGGCTTGGTGTGTTGGATTACCGCTTCAGATTGAGGGGGAGGAGGTTTATAGAAATGTCGGTGAGATTTGAGGTGGAGAAGGTTGGGAGGACCTCTTAAGGTTGAGGGGTTTTGACGATTCGCTTGTCTCGTTTTTTGGATGGCCTCCAGGGAAGATTGATGCCACTGGCAGATGAAGCATGTCTACATATGGTCTACTCCGTGCATATCTCCACGGCTTGTTTTGATGATAAAATGGTCTATACTAGGCTTTGTTTCAATTTGATTGATCAGATGTTCACCGAAGTACCTAGGTACCAGTAGCTATGTATTGTATGTTAGGCAGGAAGCTTCTAGAACAGTGGAAGTATGTAGAGAACATTCTTGGAATTATTTTATGCATTGACAAACTTCAGCCCTACAAATTCAGCACAGATGGGCTATCCATGCTGGTCGTTAATATTCCCAGTTAGATATACATATGGGAATGCTCTACAAATCTTCAGCTGAATGTGATAGATTTCCTAGATCATCACCGATCATCATGATCATTCAGGGGTATTCCCTGTTACTAGTATAGATACGGAGTATGTATGTAGGGTGCATCCACATACTCCATATGTAGGTCGGGTTGTCAATAGATGATCTCGGCAACCCATAGTTGACATCATCAATGCCAAGCCGCTAAGTCCAAAAGGGGAATTTCTCTTACTCAATATAAATTCGCTGAGTGGTAGACCGGCCGCAACCAGACGGAGTTGGGACCCAGTCCGACTGAGGGAAGACGGTCATGGTACCTCTTTCACTACGGATGTTTATACAAGCCCGCGGAGATATCTGAAAGAGGTGACGCGGAGCATTTACGACCGTCGTACCCACGCGGTAAAATGCTCTTTTATAGACTCTTCATAGGGCTGGACCTCCCCCCAGAGCTGTGAAAGTTAGTCCCCGGGGTCTCACGGACGGATACAGACCTGCTGGTAGGAGTCTGTTTAGTACTCGCTCATGCCTGAATCATTCCAGCAGAGAAAGGGCTCCTCTTCCAATGCCATCTCCGACATCTCATCCTGGAACTTTGACATCGATCGGTTCTTGAACCCACTCATCCCAGTGCCAAGATGGAATCTCATTCCACAGCCCATCGCTCACTTCCTGGGGTATCGAAGTCGAGCCCCGAAGCCACTTGGCAATGTTATGGTTGCTTTCTGGTCCATGGTGGGAGCCTTTGTTGGCGTGGCCTTGGTGGCCAGTGTCTCCAAGAGAGTACCTTCGTTTGAGGATCGAAATGCACCAGCCATCATCGGAAGTTTTGTAAGTGCAGCGTCTTCCTTATCGCCGTGCATACAGTGCATGTCGTGCATGTCCACCTTTCCAGACAAGCAATGGCTAACCAATATCAACCAGGGTGCCGCCGCCGTGATCGAATTCTGCGTCGTTGAGTCTCCGCTCGCACAGCCACGAAATGCATTCTTCAGCCAGCTCATCGCCTGTGTCGTCGGAGTCGGAATCTCAAAGCTCTTTGCCCTCAATCCGAATGCTGAACACTACATCGAGCTCGGCGGCGCGTTGGCCTGCGGTGTGACTACCGCTCTCATGGTGCTGACGGGTACGGTGCACCCGCCAGCAGGCGCAACGGCACTCCTGGCCGTGACGAATGAGCAGACGGTGGGATTGGGGTGGTTCCTGTTCCCGGTGATGATCCTGGGGATCACCCTGATGCAGTCTGCTGCCTTGGTGGTCAACAATATCCAGCGACGATATCCGATGTATTGGTGGACCTCACAACCTCTTTCCCGAGCCTGGGATGCAGATGTTGAATCGGATCGGGAGAAGAGAACCCAAACCGGTAGTCAGTATGAGGAGAGCCTGACGGATCTTCCTCGGCGACTGGTGGTGGAGCGAGGCGACATCTGGGTACCCAACGGGGTATTTGTGTCTGCTGAGGAGAGGCAGGTCCTGGATCGGATCAGTGCGAGGTTGTAAATATCATGAATGTGCATATCGGGAGTATGAGTTAGTCTGTAAATACCACAGCTCCCAATCACCATTCTCGTCGGCTTATGTATGGAGTAGACTACTCCGTATGAGTAGCGTACGAGTAAACACGACAGCGTTGAAGTGGCAAACTTGAGCCTGGCCTTTCAGGCCACCAAACTGCGGTGACGTCGCCAGATCCAATCAGCGGGCAGGTCCACCAAATCTGAATTTTTTTTTTTTTGGTCTGCTCTGCTTTGCTGTGTTATACACCGCGTCCAGACGAATTTCTCCAGCTGAACCTCCAAGTGGTTTCACTTTGATCCCAAGCCAAGGCCCACAATTCGCGCTCCGAATTTTTTTTTTTTCACTCTCTGACGTCGGAGCTTAGAGATCCCAGCCATTTCTATCGATAAGGGCTTGCCAACAATCCCCCCCACTTCAACTTCTCAAATTTCGCCCCCTCTCTCTCTCCTTCTCTCCGCCCCGCCAAACCCGCTCCACTCAATCTTTTTGCATTTCTTTTGCCTTCAATCTCTTCGTTCCTGAGATACCTGGCCGTTCTCTCTCTCCCCCCCTCCCCCCTCCCCTCCCAAACCACACCCCCTACTCCTTTCTCAACTCGTTTTTCACGCTCTCTACATCCGCCATCATGGTTTCCGCCTCCAAGGCCGCCCGTATGGCCAAGCGTGCCGACGACAAGAAGGCCAAGAAGGGCTCCAATGAGGAGGCCACCGAAGAGGCCGGCGCAGAGCAGCCCGCAACCAACGATGAGAAGATGAAGGAAGTCGAGAAGCTCACATCCCAGATGGATAAGCACGGTCTGTCTGATCGTGTCACCACCGGTGTGCTCTCCTCCATTCCTTCCTCCCGCGATGTTAAGATCACCTCTGCCTCTCTGGTGTTCCACGGCAAGGTCCTCATCACCGACTCCACCCTCGAGCTCAACTTCGGCCGTCGTTACGGTCTGCTCGGTGAGAACGGTTGCGGAAAGTCCACCCTTCTCAAGTCCATCGCTACCCGCGAGTACCCCATCCCCGAGCACATCGATATCTACCTTCTGAACGAGGGTGCTCCTCCCAGTGAATACGGTGCCCTGGAGTGGGTTGTTCGTGAGGCTCAAAACCAGCTGGACAGCATGGAGAAGCGTGCCGAGGAGATTCTCGAGCACGATGGCCCCGAGAGCCCTATCCTCGAGGATCTGTACGACGTGAGTGACCTCAATATCTTCGTATCTCTTTTCTTCCATCCGAAAATAAACTAACACCCTTCACAGCGTATGGACAAGATGGACCCCTCCACCTTCCACACCCGTGCTTCCCTGATCCTGACTGGTCTGGGTTTCAACAAGGTCACCATTAACAAGAAGACCAAGGATATGTCCGGTGGATGGCGTATGCGTGTTGCCCTCGCCAAGGCTCTGTTCGTCAAGCCTTCGCTGCTTCTGCTCGATGACCCCACTGCCCATTTGGATCTCGAGGCCTGTGTGTGGCTGGAGGAGTACATGAAGAAGTGGGAGCGTACCCTGATTCTGGTTTCCCACTCCATGGATTTCCTGAACGGTGTCTGCACCACCATGCTGGACATGCGCGGCCAGAAGCTCCTTTACTATGGTGGTAACTACGACTCTTACCACAAGACCCGTAGTGAGCAGGAGACCAACCAAATGAAGGCCTACGCCAAGCAACAGGAGGAAATCACCCACATCAAGAAGTTCATTGCCTCCGCTGGTACCTACGCCAACTTGGTCCGTCAGGCCAAGTCCCGCCAAAAGATTCTCGACAAGATGGAGGCCGACGGTTTCATCCAGCCCGTCGTCTCCGACCGTGTCTTCACTTTCCGCTTCGCTGATGTCGAGAAGCTGCCTCCTCCTGTCCTGTCCTTCGACGACGTCAGCTTCTCCTACTCTGGTGAGTGGGCCGACACTCTGTACGAGCACCTCGACTTGGGTGTCGACATGGACTCCCGTACCGCCTTGGTCGGCCCCAACGGTGTCGGAAAGTCCACCTTGCTCCGTCTCATGACTGGCAAGCTGAGCCCCATCGGTGGCCGTGTCTCCCGTCACACCCACTTGAAGCTCGGTGTTTACAGCCAGCACTCCGCCGAGCAGCTCGACCTGACCAAGTCCTCGCTCGAGTTCGTCCGTGACAAGTTCCCCGAGAAGTCCCAGGACTACCAGTACTGGCGCCAGCAGCTGGGCCGCTACGGTCTCAGCGGTGAGTCCCAGACCGCCATCATGGGTACTCTGTCCGAGGGCCAGAAGTCCCGTATCGTCTTCGCCCTGCTGGCCATCGAGTCTCCCAACATGATTCTGCTCGACGAGCCTACCAACGGTCTCGATATCCCCACTATTGACTCCCTGGCCGATGCCATCAACGCCTACGCGGGTGGTGTTGTCGTCGTTTCTCACGATTTCCGTCTCCTCGACAAGATCGCTAAGGACATCATGGTCTGCGAGCACAAGACTGTCCGTCGCTGGGATGGCACCATCGGCGCTTACAAGAACCACCTGCGCAAGAAGATGCTGGATGCCGGTGCCGTCTAAAAGTCGTTATACTACTGTGTGGTATACTATTTGTGCATGCTTTGAAACGGTTTATATATATCTTCTCAACGGTTGTTTTCTTTTTAACTGTTTCCCCTGATGACGACGAAATGCTAGACGAGAATTCGAAGGAATTGCAATGTCAGAAAAGTTCAGCCTCGCGCACCGAGAATATCCCACCCAGGAGGACCGGCTGGCCTGCCACAGATACAGATTCTGCGAGCTGGGTCTCGGACTAGGTCTTGCTGTGGGTGTTTTTTTTTTCTCTTCTCATGATGGGTGCGGCGCTTGATTTTTTGTTTCATGTTCTTAGATCGGTGGTCTCCCTGTTCCCTGCCCTTACTAGAGGATTTGTTTGGACTTGGGGAGCAATATTTGCTTTGTTTTGTTTTTAGGTACTGGTCATGAACTCATTCCCCCTCAGCGCAAGGTCATTCTGCCTGTGCTGGTTTTTCTTTTCATTGTCGTCTCCTGCAACTGCATTCTGGATAGAGTAGATTTGAAGAAAGGAAAGAATGGATTATGGAAGGTTGTCTAGTCAATTGATGGTTTGCACTGGCTGTCATTCTGTCTTTCATCTCCACATCAAATGTACATCACTGGGTAAATTCAAGTTTGTAGACCGCATCTGGTATTAAGGTCACTGCTGATTCAAGTTCAACTTGTACTAGTAGATCCCCATCTAAGCCCTGGAGTCCTTGGGAGAATTTCCAGTCTTACCTGACTATCGAGATAGAAATGGAACTTGCTCACTGTCAGCCTTGGAACCTTGGTAGAACGGCAAATACGAAATATTTCCAAGGTTATCATCTACTACTACCATTACTACTAATAGCTTTGGTAGGTCCTAAAAGTGTCTTTGATACATATATATATTCACCGGACCTCGGGAAGCAAAATTGCTCAGTAAAGAGGCCTCGGAGAGCAACAAGTGCAGCAGTTTGATATGGCTGTGGACTCGCATATTATTCATATTCATTTAAGTTTCCCGTCCAAAGAGAGATCAAATGGATGTATCTTTCTACTAGAACAGAGCGCTAGAAAGATGCAGACATCGCAAACCTAGTCAACTCATCCCTCACTGCCCTTTCGTCCTATCAGGAACAAGTTCCCCGCCAAACATGTCCTTTGCCCCATTCTGTTTCTGCTCCTCCAATTTCCTCTTCTTGGCCTGTCTCTCCGTCTCGCTTTCTGAAGTTACCTGGCCAGAATCGGTGGCAGCAGCCGCCGAGACCGCCCGGGACGGGGCAGAGTCGCGTTTCTGCGACATGTTGGCGCCCTCGGGATTCTGGCATTTATAATGTTTCTTCGCGATGCGCTTGAGGTTTTTTATTTGGGCTGCATCTGCGGAGAGAGGGGTGTAAGCTTGGAGGAGGGCTGCACAGTCGGAAAGGACTTTGAACAGCTTGGTGCGGATTTCGTTGAGAGGGTTGGATGGGTCTGTATTAGCTGGAGTAGATGTTATGGGACCGCCAAGCTTGGTTTCCAGATAATATTCGGCCAAGGGTCTGTCGGCGAGGAGGAGGCCTGAGAGCCAGATTTGTGAGGGCGTGTAGAGGAAGTACACGTCTGTCATCTGTGCTGCGGTCTTGAGCAGCTCGCGTGTTGCGTTGTGTGCGCGTCCAATCCGGTCGGCTATGGATGATGAGGGCGTGGGAGGTGGTGCTATGGAGAGAATCCCTTGTTTGAGAGATTCTGCTGTTTGGTGTGGGAGGAGGGGGGTTGGTTGGCCCTGGCCTTGGGCAATGGCTGAGAGCTCCATGACGCCACCTTCCAGTCCGCGGAATGGGTGTCGGACATCGAATGTGAAGCGGAGACCTTGCATGAGCAGGAACTCGGGTGCGACCACTTCGTCTGGTGATGGGTTCCCGGGGATTGCTTCTGCGAATGACCGTAGAGACATATAGTAGTTATCGGTTTTGGTGGCGACGAAGAGAGCGGTTGCCATGATCTTTTTGGGATGATAAGTCATGGGGGAGTTGGTCAAGTAAAACCGGCGAAGGTATTGGATCGCGGTGGCCTAGTAGAAGAGCAAGCTGTTAGATATTGTCTCTTTTCTGTGTTGGTGTGATTCCAACTTACTCGGACGGTGGTGGGCAATGGTGGTTTATACTCATCACCCAGTTCCAAAAGCGACTCGCAGTAGTACCGAACAAACACCAGCTCCTCTTCGGGAGTCAGGCAGTCTATGGGCTTTTCGTCAGAAGCTTTACTTTCGACATCGCTGCCCGGCTGTGGAGTGCCTGTCGCAGAAGGTGTGGCGGACTGTTGAGCTTCGGGAGCCCGGCGAAGCGCGGTCCTTACCCGGTCGCTGGCAATGACATTTGTCGTAGCGCGAAGCGACTGTAGAGATTGCTCGGTGTATGACCAAAGTCGAAACTGAGAGGAGGTGCGGTAGATGTCGTCTTCAATCATGATGAAAGAAGGCCTGTCGCTGGGAATTGTTGAAGGGAGATGATGAAGGTGCCGATGATGGTGAGGTGGATGTGATAAAGTCAATCGGAAGAGGGCTTGGGAGAGCTACACGTGATTAAAGAAATGATACTTTCTTCGCGAGATTCACTCGTCGAACGAGCAGCTGCGGAAGATCCAACAGCGGAGGTTGATGCGGCGAGCTTTGGCCCGACTTATCGATAGCACTGTCCCGCCGTCTCCGCCTGTCATCTGCCTAACATGCTACTACTACTACTTGGTAGTTTAAAAAGACTTGCCTAGTAGCTACTGCTACTGCCCGATATATTAATATTTATTAATTATTGATCAACACTGAACAGTCAGTAAATAAATCAGTCCAATGTTAGATGAGCCAGAGCTTTGAACAGGGTTTCAAGGCTGCCCCGTGGAGCCCAAGCTGGGCAGATACAACATACTACCAACTTGAACTCGGGTGGTTGAACAATCTCAAATTAACTAGCATTTTCAAGTCTGGAGTGACTTAGAATATCTAGTAGCACTCGTAGGTGTTTAATAAAATTTGATCCATTCCAACCATGGAAGGTTGTCAGGTGTTCAGGTTTGTTCTTCTATATACATCTATTTCGTTTCAGACAATTTCCAAGATTCAAGAAAAATCCACGGATGGGCATGACCAACATATCATTCCCCAAGTAGCCGTGCGGTGATATCTCCCATGAGGCCAGGTCCTAGATCATAATCGTCGCCCCCATTTTGATTGACTCCCACACGTTCAAAGACATCTACTACCTGTTCGACCTCGAATCCCATACCGCCAAAGCGGTCGACAAGGTCCTTGTTGTATCCGTTGTACCTAGATGGAAGCAATGAGCACATGCACCGTCATCTTTTTCTTTTCCACCGATTGTCATAAGTGTCTTACCGAGCGAGATTATCTTCTTCGGTTGGCTCTTGCCCGGCCGAAATGTCTTGGTTGTCCTCATCAGGCTTTGGCGGAGCACCAGCATAACGAACAGCCCATTGACGAGCCACACGCGCAAATTCAGCAGGCTGCCGCATCATCATCTTTGCAACTTCCGCATCTTGAGGATCCTTGGGCTCTGGCGTGCTGAGCAATTGTTGCAAGGAGAGAAGAGCAGACTTGACAGTCAATACAGGAGACCAGGCGCTAGAGAGGGTATCAAGACAGATAGCGCCCTGCGAATCGTCCGATATCAGTAAGTGAGACAACGCGGTTCCACAGAGGTGAGGTACTTACGGTCTGACTGCTGATATTCGGATGCCATACTTTGGTCTCAAACTTCATGACCGGTGGCGTGAAGGGGTAATCGGTAGGGATCTTCACATCTACCGCATATGATCCGCCTTCATACGGGGTTCCAGGAGGACCTGGAAAAGAGCCGCGGAGATGAGTGACATCATCCTGCTCGCCGAAGGGTTCGATGCTGATCTGCGAGTGGGTGTCTGCGCGGATATCCGCGATTTCTTTGCCAATCCGACGGATTCGATGGCTAGACATGATGAATATATCGATGTAACGGAGCTAAGGCTCAATTCAGGGAGACACAAGCGAATGCTTTGTTCTAAGCAATACGAAGCGTCACTTGGCCTTGGGGAGGTTGGATAGTGACGGTGGATGGTGATCGCGTGCTTGGTATCGGACCACCAATTGGACGCTGAATTATGAACCAACAAGTTAGACAATGATTCGGGGAATTTGATCCATCAGAAATTGGCGGTCATGAAGAAATCTTTCCTAACACAAGAGAATATCATAAAACAAGGGCGGATGTCGGAATCTTACCAGGGAGGGGAAGTGTACGGGAAGTTTATGGGATTAGTTAGCAGCCCGGAAGTGGGAGCTGGAAGCTGGGAGCTGCAATCTGCCTCGGATGGGGGTATTTGAACAATCGAGTTCAAGAGTATCACAGTTTCTCGAAATAGAATAGTTTGCCGAATACCAGGAGCTGCCTCCACCCGAGGAATCAAAAAAGGTGCGGGACACCACAGCGGACAGTTGTGATTCAGGCATTCAGGCAGAAATGGGGACTCATGACGCATTTTGGCCTGAGGCGACAGTATATCACGTGATGGCGGCAACAGCTCCCAGCGCCAGCTCGTCGCTCCCCCGAGAGATCAGAGCAACATCACTTGCATTGGTCATCCCTTCCACCCTTTCGAATTACCATCCTCGTTATTCTTTGCCGAGGCCAGAGGCTACTCCTATTTGAGATCTATCTCAGTTCAGCTCTTTGGGCTCTGACAGCGATCCTGTCGCTGGCTTACAAACATGGTGAGTTGCCCTACCTGACACCCGGCTTTGGGCTTGCATGAAGCATGAACTGATGATCCATCATGACAGGGTAACCAGCAGTCTAATATGGGCGGCGGCCAAGGAGGAGATGGTCGTGATGATAAGGATAAGAAGGTATGATTGATTCACGTTCGATTTCATCTGGTTACTCGATCAGCACTGACACCGCGTCTCGCAGAAGGACAAGCCTAGATACGAGCCCCCTCCACCTCCAACCACTCGCATTGGAAAGAAGAAGCGCAAGGCCGCTGGTCCCAGCACTGCCGCCAAGCTTCCCGATATCTATCCAACATCGCGATGCAAGCTACGATACCTCCGAATGCAACGAGTTCACGATCACCTGCTGCTCGAGGAGGAATACGTCGAGAACATGGAGCGATTGCGCAAGGCCAAGGCCCAGGCTACCCAGGGTACCGTCGACCGAGGTGACTTGGATGTGATGGACCGCAACGCTGATGAGCGGAGTCGAGTCGATGATATGCGTGGCAGCCCGATGGGCGTCGGTAACCTGGAGGAGCTGATCGACGATGACCATGCTATTGTTTCTAGTGCAACTGGCCCAGAGTACTACGTCTCAATCATGTCTTTTGTCGACAAGGATCTTCTCGAGCCTGGTGCCAGCATCCTGCTGCATCACAAGTCCGTGTCGGTCGTTGGTGTCTTGACGGAAGAGTCTGACCCTCTCGTGTCCGTCATGAAGCTCGACAAGGCCCCAACCGAGTCATATGCTGACATTGGTGGTCTGGAACAACAAATTCAAGAAGTCCGAGAGTCCGTCGAGCTGCCGTTACTACACCCCGAACTGTATGAGGAGATGGGCATCAAGCCACCCAAGGGTGTCATTCTCTACGGTGCCCCCGGAACGGGAAAGACACTTCTTGCGAAGGCTGTCGCCAACCAAACAAGCGCTACCTTCCTGCGTATTGTCGGTAGTGAGCTGATCCAGAAGTATCTGGGTGATGGCCCGCGTTTGGTTCGCCAGATCTTCTCAGTCGCTGCTGATCATGCTCCTTCGATTGTGTTTATTGACGAGATTGATGCCATCGGTACTAAGCGTTACGAATCGACATCTGGTGGTGAGCGAGAGATCCAGCGTACCATGCTGGAACTGCTTAACCAACTGGATGGTTTCGATGACCGCGGTGACGTGAAGGTCATCATGGCCACTAACAAGATCGAAACCCTGGATCCGGCTCTGATCCGACCCGGTCGTATTGATCGTAAGATCTTGTTCGAGAACCCTGACCGTAAGTTTAGCCACCCATTGATTATTGCCTTCCACTTGACTAACCTGCCTTCCTCTTCCAGAAACCACCAAGAAGAAGATTTTCACCTTGCACACCTCAAAGATGTCCCTGGGTGATGACGTTGACCTGGATGAGTTCATCAACCAGAAGGATGACCTATCCGGTGCCGATATCCGTGCCATCTGTACCGAAGCTGGTCTGATGGCCCTGAGAGAGCGTCGCATGAGGGTGCAGATGGATGACTTCCGTTCCGCCCGGGAACGCATTATGAAGAACAAGCAGGATGGTGGCCCTGTGGAGGGACTGTACTTGTAAACATGACCAGTACTCGGTGGAGAATGGTCATGTTGGAGACCCTTCAGGGCTAGATCTGTATTTTAATGGAACCCAAGCGATTTACGGAGATTTTATACCTTGATATACTTCCCTGTTTGTGATTTTCTTCAACATTAAACTAGTTTTCATTGTAGAATAGTAGGTCACGCTACTAGTATCCGAAAGCAACCAGCCTATCACGTAGGGGATATCAAGTTCAATGGCTCAAATTGTTCAAATTATTCACATTGTTGAAGTTGTTCTGAAGTGAGCATCTTTGTCGAACACGGACTAACCCTAGATTGGTTAGTATCGAGTGCAAACGATGCAAACCAGCTCCCCGGCTCCACGCAAATTCATCCACCGCGCATCGCATCGGCCCAGTCTAATGTCACACATCTTCAAATATGGACGGTTTCGACGAGGAAGCATTCAAGCAGTTCTTCCCTTCTAGCTTTGGCAAGCAGGAGAAATCCGTCGACGTTGATACCCAGATCAATCGCTCCAAGCGTGCAGAGGTCTCGGCGAAACCACTCGCCAATGATGAAGGGACTCGGAGTGAACTAACTGCAACCTCCGAAGCTACTGCTGCTGGCACATCGACCCAAAAAGACATTCCCAAGCGTGAAGATGATTTGGATGAGGACGATGATGACTCGGATGACTCGGACGATTCCGACGACGAAGATGAATTCCCCGTGTCGCATGAGATGGTCCTCAAGACCCATGAACGCGCCGTGACGACCATGACCGTGGATCCTTCGGGAGCGCGACTAATTACAGGTTCTACCGATTGCACACTGAAGTTCCATGATTTTGCCTCCATGACACCTTCCACCATTCGCGCCTTCAAATCCGTTGATCCCTCGTTGAAGAAACAGTCTGCGGCACAAGACACCCATTCCGTCCACTACGTCGCATTCAACCCTATTACCCCGGGCTACGTCCTCGCTGTACCGGCATCATCTCAATCAAGGATTCTCGATCGTGATGGTGAAACGCTACTTGAATTCGTCAAGGGTGATATGTACTTGCGGGATCTTCACAATACAAAAGGGCATGTTTCAGAAGTTACTACTGGAGTTTGGTGCCCGTCGGATGAAAACCTCTGTGCTACTGCCGGCTCTGACGGCACGGTGCGTATCTGGGATGCCAATGTCGCTCGTTCACAAAAGGAGGTGATCGTACATAAATCACGAGTCGCTGGATCCGCTGGCCGGACCAAGATGACGGCCGTCGCCTGGGGCTCTCCGAAACAGGGAGGTTCTGATGTTTTGGTTACTGCGGCTCTTGATGGTAGCTTGGTGATGTACAGTGGAAAGGGGCCCTTCACTCGACCAGCGGCCGAGGTACGAGATGCTCATACTCGCGATACCTGGACCAGCGGCCTGGATATAAGCTCCGACGGGCGGCTTGTCGTCAGCCGAGGTGGCGATGATACGATCAAGCTATGGGACACGAGGAAATTCAAGACTCCTGTCAACACCGTTACACATACTTCAACATCTTCTCGCTATCCTACATCGAACATTCAGTTCTCCCCGTCGTCGGCAAATGTGATCACTGGCTCGGAAACCGGCCACCTGCACATTCTCAACCCTGCCACTCTGAAGCCTGAACTCGTCACTCCTGTTACGCCCGGGTCCCCACTGATCACTGTCTTGTGGCATGAAAAGTTGAATCAGATTCTGACCGGCTCCGCCAACGCCGAAACGCATGTTCTCTACAACCCTAACATGTCGACTAAGGGTGCCGCGCTGGTCATGTCTCGCGCACCTAAGCGTCGCCACTTCGATGACAATGCCACTCTTACAACTGATCTGACCCAGGGTATTTCTGGAGACTCGGTGGTTGTTGGATCCAACGGTGTGCCCCACTATAGTTCATCAACCTTCTCTTCCCGTCACCCAACGGTGGGCATGACAGCTTCTGGGCGTTCTCGAGACCCGCGCCGCCCACATTTACCGGCTGTTACTCCCTTTGCCAAGGGTCAGTCGGACGAGAAATTCATCCGAGACTATATTCCTCTCAGTTCCATGCGTGATGAGGATCCTCGCGAGGCGCTTTTGAAATATGCCGATAAAGCCGAGAAGGACCCGGTTTTCACCAAGGCATACAAGGAAACTCAACCTAATGCGATCTATGCCGAGCTGAGCGATGACGAAGAGGAGGGCCCAGAGAAAAAGAAGGCTCGACAATGATTATTTTCCAACCATGTATAATAAAATTTATGAATCCTGATGATTGACTATCACTTTCCATGGTGCTGCTCTTGAATTGTAGAAACTAAACTCCACACCCAGTCTCGACCCAGCCACAACAAAAAGTACTAGTATAACTTGAACATGAAACAAAGGGCGCATGGAGGCCCTCCTTGCTGGGACAGCTCAGGAATGTGAAGGACCCATCAATCTCCCCTCTTTTCTTGGCTGCCAGATGACGTCCCCAGAGACCCGGCGATCGCCAATGCACTCTTTTGCCCGCCCGAATTACCAATGACACACACAAAACAGAACCAGCGCGAGCTTGGACCTCATATGCACGGCTTAGGGCGCGATTCCTGGTTGCAAAGTAGTGTGTGAGGCACGTTTAACAGTAGTATGGAGCAAGGAGTGAGCGTTACGGTTTATACGAGGTACCAACAACCAACTACAAACTGCTGACATAGCAATCTCTCTCCTCTTCTCTCTCCGCTCCGAACCTCGTCGACTCTAAACTTCTGCCTTCAAACGCGACGAGGCAGCGTCGAAGGTGACAATCAAACGGACCTTGCGGGATGCTGCCGATTCTTTTCTTGTGAAATGCTCCCCCATCGATCCTAACCTTTTTCCACGTCGACTTGTCGACTACCGCTATTGAAGAGCTCGGGCCCGAAGATCCCCCCCCCCCCCAGTCGGCACCCCGATTCGATTCCGGACCTTTCAGTCTATGCGATCAAAGACTTGTGCTTGCGTATCTCGCCCTTAAACTTACGCGCCCGCATGGAATCTCCCCAGGAGCCCCTGTTCGCAGGGCTGCTCACCTCTCTCGTTACGTCGGTGATCGCACCTTCATCGGCCACGGCCACGGCCACGGCCACGGCCACGGCCATTTTGTACCCGGCCTCCTATTCGCATCATTCCTACGCTACATCACCTCCTGTCCCCTCATTACCACCGAATAATAATGGACAGTGGGACAATGAGGGGAAAATGAGACAGTGGTCATCTACCATCGGTATTATCACCGCTCTTGTCGGCAACGTCTTGATCTCCGTCGCTCTCAACATCCAGCGCTATGCGCATCTCCGGATCGCGCGGGAATGGGAGCAGGACAAGGTTAAGAAAGAAGCAAACTGGAGGCGATCCCAATCAGACACTCGATCAGCAACCCAATATGGCGCCGTAGGAGGCGAACGTTCTCGCGGTGATGATCAGCCGGAGAGGCCGAGGAAAGAGCAACGGCACGCGCCACACCGTATTTTTGAAGAGTACAGAGATGATGTCGATGACCCTCCGCGAGGAAGGAGGGGTTCCTCGGAATCACCGCAGTCTATGCGCAACTCCTTTACGTCTGATCGTACAGCTCGGCCCGGAGACAAGGATGATGAGTTCGGAGACCGCAAGTCTTACCTCCAATCTCCGTACTGGTGGGCTGGAATCATTCTGATGTGTCTTGGTGAAACGGGCAACTTCATGGCTTATGGATTTGCACCGGCTTCTATCGTCTCGCCCCTCGGCGTGGTGGCGTTGATATCGAATTGCGTCATTGCGCCTTGTTTGTTGAAGGAGAGGTTCCGACAACGCGACTTCTGGGGTGTCTTGATTGCCATCGCAGGTGCTGTGGTCGTTGTTCTCAGCGCAAAGTCGTCGGAAGAGAAGATTGGCCCTGACGAAATTTGGGCGATGATTACCACTTGGGAATTCGAGACCTATCTCGGGTTGACCTGTGGGTTGATAATTGCTTTCATGTGGGCTAGTTTCAGATATGGATCTCGCTCAATCCTGATCGATGTCGGCCTGGTTGCACTATTTGGTGAGTCCCCTATACCTGTACTCGCTTTTATGCGACTTAGAGACATACTAACAAGATGATATAGGCGGATATACAGCTCTCTCCACCAAGGGTGTTTCCTCGCTTCTGTCATATACATTGTGGCACGCCATTACCTTCCCCATCACCTATCTACTGGTCTTTGTTCTCGTCTTCAGCGCTCTGATGCAGATCCGCTATATTAATCGGGCCCTCCAGCGATTCGACTCTACGCAAGTGATTCCAACACAATTTGTCCTCTTCACACTTTCTGTCATTATTGGGAGTGCAGTTCTATATCGTGACTTTGAGTCAATGTCGGCCAGACGCGCTGGAGAGTTTGTTGGAGGCTGTTTCCTGACTTTCTTGGGTGTATATTGCATCACGAGCGGCAGAGTTCGATCTGATGATGAGTCTACATTTTCAACTGACGACGAAGAAGAGGCTATTGGCCTGCTAAATGGTGAACGCTATCAAGATCGAGTTGATCTTTCACCCCCGAACCAGCAATTACGAGCACCGAACGGCCCTCGTACTGCCATCGATTATACCGACGATGCTCCACAGTCTCCGTCAGGATCTCTACTAAGCCGAGGGATAGATGGAGTTGATGAAAGCCAGCTTACTCCGCGGGGTGTCCTTTCGGCCGCCCCATCTTCTCCAAGCAGCTCGTTGCCTATGGATTCTCCCCTTTCAGGCCCGTCGTTCGAAGGCCCGTCTCCATTGCGACCCCCGTCTCGTATGTCGAACCCCTGGGCGGACAGCAACGAGCAGATATCCGCTGCTTCTAGACCCGATTCCGACATTCGTCCTGTCACTCCCCCGTCCGACGGTAGTACTGTCCAAGAATCTACAGTGCTTCTCCGCTTCCCCCCGGCACCCGGAATGGAGGGCTCTCCATCAAATGGAAATGCTACGACTGCTCGACGTGCCTCGACACCAGCCGGGGGCAACCAGATTCAGCTTCCAGACCGAAGCCACACGACACTCGAGACACCTACACGTCGAACGCTTCGCAATTCTATCTCCAACCGATTCTCACCAGGGCCCCTTCTCCCCGCATTATCAGGTGGTTTCAGTGCTGTAGTAGCCGAGTCCCTCCGACGCGGCGAGAACAGCCCTTTCAAAGATCGCTCCAAGCGCAGGTCAGGCCGTCGCAAGCAGCTGGATGGCGCCTTCGATGAACCTGAGTACTTTGACGGCGAAGGAGGTCATGACAGTTCTATCACAATTGCCAATGCTCGACTTCAGTCGGCTACTAGTCTCGTCGCCCCAGGTGTGGAGGGCGGCCGATCCACCCCTGCCCTCGCAACCGATATCTATAACACACCGACTCAGAAGCCCAGCGAAGATGTGACTCGACTTCGCAGTTTCAGCGACTCGTGGAGCGGTGGCCTGGCGTGGCTGGGTGGTGCGCTGCGAAGTAGCAACGTCGAACATGCAATTGCTAGCGGCGCGGTGACACAGGAGACTGCGACACCGCAAAACAATGAGACACCGAGTGCCGATCACTCGAATGACGATGCTAATACCTCTACCGCATCTCGATAAGCGAAGCACAACGCAGTGCCGCGCAGCACAGCAAGGGGGGACGAACGAACTCCTTAGTCTCCCCTTTGCTTGCAGGGGCTGTACATGACGAGTGGCTGGGTCACTCCAAATCATACATACATCCTCTCTCACCTCTTCCTTTTTTTTCTCTCTTATTTTCATTATTTTCTGTAAGCTTCTTCATGGCGGGGATCGGTGTATATCTTTTCTTGTGGACATTTACTGGGCTGTATTGACATTGCATTCTGCGGGGTAACTTAATTTCTTTTAATGCATTTAATATCCTCCACTTGTTCATTATCTTAAATTACCATACCCGAATTATTCTCTCTATTCAAAAGGGCAAATTATTTCGTCGCAAGTTACTTTTGTGTTTATTCTTCCTACTTGGTCTCGAACGATCACAATCTCTAGCAATTCAATTTGAGTGTGGAGTAAACACGAAATTGTAGGATGATTTGGCTTTTTCATCTAGACTGAATAAGATTACATCCTGCAAGTCCTAGGGGGCCTTTCTTCTCTGATAGGTGGAAAAAGAACATGCGTGAAATTAGTTAAGAGTTAGAGCTACATACTAACCACTACTGACCACCTCCAGCACTACGCCTAACTACTTACCATTGAAGTACTAGTAGTCCCCGGCCAAAGCATTGAGTTTGCCACACCAAGTACCTAGATGTATTTATCCGGTGCTTTTGACCCGAGGGTCTCGGAGGTTCGCCTTTTACCTGCGGCCTGCAGAAGCGAACGTCCAAGCTTCAAACAAACTAAATCAACACCAAGAAGCGGGGGAGGTTGCTCCGTTTCATGATAGTTCTAGCGCACGAAATAAGTTCTTAGCGACTGCTCTTTACAAGACTAGCTGCTTGACCCGTGACCATTTCATCTCCGAAGTAATCCCAGATCAAGCCAAAGCTGCATGTTCAAGGTCGATCTAATATCCACCTTACTATAACGGTTCAAGTTTGTGGTGAAACGACCTCGGGGAGACAAGCCGCAGCGTACCCCAGCGGACATTTTCCCCGCGGGGTCGAGAAGATTAATTTGAGGTCTTTGGTATTGCATGATTTCTATGCATGATGACCGCCATTTAATAGTCCTGAATTACTTTTTTTTTTTTCTTTCCAGGATTTGGATTTTCTCTCTGTCTTCTTCAAAACTGTTTTCTGGAATGAGAGCTGATTGACGCGTCTCTTTTTCTCGAGATGATGCTCAAAGGATTTACCAAGGGGCTGTTGCTCACGCAGCTCCCCGCCCTGGTTGCTGGAGCAAGTACTCCTGCTTACAAGGATGCGAGTGCACCCGTTGAAAAGAGAGTGAAGGACCTGCTGAGTAGAATGACGATCGAAGATAAGATGGCTCAGTTGATGCAAGGTATTCTTCCTATTTTCCACTGGAATATTTGTCTGGATGGCTCACCAATTCTTCTCAAGGCGATATCACCAACTGGATGAACCAAACATCCGGCGAATTCAATTATACAGGGCTAGTGACGAATATGGAGATGAAGGCGGGCAGCTTCTATGGTACTGACAGGCAAAAGACTTCATGAAATCAGGATGAATACTAATTGTCATCTAGTTGGATACCCTGTTGCTTGGGACTGGATCGCGGACAACATTAAGCGCGCTCAGGACTACCTTGTGCAGAATACCACGCTGGGTATTCCTGCAATCACTCAGACTGAGGGTGAGTGCTCATAAATAGTCCTTGGACTGTCAAAAAAAGCTGACGCCCCATTTTAAAGGAATCCATGGCTTTCTGATCGGCAATGCCACCATTTTCAATTCCCCCATTGCATACGGATGTTCTTGGAATATGGACGTAAGAGGAATATACGTGATTCTAGTACCGCATCGAGGCTGACAAGACTTCTACAGCTGATTCAAGAAATGGGGAAAATCATTGGACAGGAAGCTAAGGCCCTGGGTGTGAACCAGCTCTTCGCGCCTGTGGTCGACCTGGCACGAGAACTCCGATATGGTCGTGTAGGTTTGCAAGGCCTCGAACGAGACTAGGGTTGAATTCTCTACAGATATCTGACTTATATTTCCTTTAGGTTGAAGAAACGTTCTCCGAGGACCCTTTCCTGGCCGGCGAGGTTGGATATAACTATGTCAAGGGCCTGCAGAGCAAGAAAGTTTCCGGAATGGTCAAACACTTTGCTGGATTCAGCAGTCCGGAGCAAGGCTTGAACACTGGACCCGTGCACGGTGGTGAGAGAGAGTTACGAACAACGTAAGTTTGAATTCTCTTCTGTTCGATTCAGTAACAAACTAACATGGATTTTAGCTGGCTTCCTTCTTTCAAACGAGCTATCATTGACGCGGGCGCGTGGTCTATCATGGCTGCTTACCATTCGTGAGATTCAATCCGGAACTCTGACAATGACCCATGGCTGATGACTTTTCTAGATATGATGGAATTCCGGCTGTTTCGGATTACCATACTCTCACCGAGATCCTGAGAAACGAATGGGGCTATGAATACTTTGTCATGACTGACGCTGGCGGCAGCGACAGAGTCTGCAGCTATTTCAAGCTCTGTGAAAGTGATCCTATTGACAAAGAGTCAGTGACTACGCAGCTAATCACTGCCGGAATCGATGTTGAGATGGGCGGTGGCTCCTTGTAAGCATCATGATGCCCTTCACCGGGTTACCGTTATACTTTTGAAAGATTCAGGCTCACACTAGGTAGTAACTTCCAAAAAATCCCCGAACTCGTCAAGTCCGGCAAGCTTGATATTGCTACTGTCAACACCGCCGTGTCCAGACTGCTTCGCGTGAAGTTCGAGATGGGCCTTTTCGAAAATCCATATACCGCCGCCCCAGAGAACAAATGGAAGAAGCTCATCAATAGCCCCGAGGCTGTGAAGCTTGCAAGAAACCTAGACAAGGAGTCTATCGTTTTGCTTGAGAACCACAACACAACTCTTCCTTTGTCCAAGTCCGGTAGCATTGCTGTCATCGGGCCTATGGCGCACGGATTCATGAACGTCTGTATACTCCGCCCTCAATTCGGCTCTGCAAAGGCCTAAATACTGACTCTTTTTCTAGTATGGCGATTATGTTGTTTACAAAAGCCAATACCGAGGTGTTACCCCACTGGACGGAATTAAGGCGGCGGTTGGGGATAAGGCCCAGATCAACTACGCCCAAGGATGCGAAAGGTGGAGCAACGATCAATCCGGATTCGACGAAGCGGTCGAAGCCGCAAAGAAATCCGACATTGCCGTTGTCGTTGTTGGCACCTGGTCGCGAGATCAGGTAGAACTCTGGCAGGGCTTGAACGCAACGTGAGTGGCGCACTGTTTAATTACTTCAAATTGATCGGCGGTGTCAGAATGCGGATCAGTCTGGGTACTGACTAAATATAGGACCGGTGAGCACGTCGATGTAGATGATCTCTCTCTAGTTGGCGCGCAGGGCCCGCTGATCAAAGCAATTGCGGATACTGGCGTCCCCACTGTCGTTGTTCTCTCGAGCGGAAAACCTGTTACTGATACTTGGCTATCTAACTCCACCTCCGCTCTTGTCCAGCAATTCTATCCGTCAGAGCAAGGAGGTAATGCTCTTGCGGACGTTCTATTTGGTGATTATAACCCGTCTGGAAAGCTATCCGTCAGCTTCCCCCGCTATGTTGGAGACCTGCCTGTCTTCTATGATTACTTGAACTCTGGCCGTTCGATTGGTGACTCGGGACGGGAACTCAGCAATGGATCCCTTGTTTTCGGTCACCAGTATGTCCTCGGCAACCCCCTGCCATGGTACCCCTTCGGATACGGCAAAAGTTACTCCACCTTCGAGTATGGATCCGTCAGTGTCGACCGGAGCAAAGTGTCGGCTTCTGATAGCAAGATAACCGTCAGTGTTGATGTAAAGAATACCGACACAAAGCGTGATGGCACAGAAGTGGTCCAAGTCTACATCTCCGACAACATTGCTTCAGTTGTTGTTCCCAATCGACAACTCAAGGGCTTTAAGAAGGTTGTCATTCCCGCTGGGAAAACTAAGACTGTCAAGATCCCCATCAAAATTGAGGATCTCGGACTCTGGAATACTCGCATGAAGTATGTTGTTGAGCCAGGCACATTTACTGCCCTCGTCGGTAGTAGCTCAGAAGATATCAAGGGCAACGCGACTTTCACTGTACAGTAATCATATTATTGATCAATAAATTAGTGAACAGCTCAGGGCTTAATACCATAAATGGTGTCTTTTGATTCAACTCCGCTATTTCCATTATTCTCCTTCCTCAATGTGGATATGTCATTATGTATAAAAAGGCGCCCAACTATGTAAAACGAATATGCAAATAAAAAGAACCCCGGACTCCATGAGCGCATGACCTATACTTTTAACCTCAGCATGGGGATCTGGGTGAATCTTGGTGCGTTTCCAACGCCCCGAATGTAGATAGCGCTGCCTGGTCCGCCTTGACCCGAGTCAAAGTCAATCTCTTTAGGCTCTTAGCGGTGGCAGGATGATTTTCGGTCTCAACGAGAGATGTAGTAGATGAGCCGAGATCTTTCTCAAGACTGAGAACAACCCCAATAGCTTGTTCGTCTTCAATGACCTTTGGGTGGCGCATGGCAAAATAACGAGCATATTTGTACAAAGACCAGTAGCAACTGATGACGTTGATGATTGTCAGTGCGATCTTGTAGATTGTGTAGTAAATGAGTAGAACGGTCCAGCTGATGCGCTCTTTCTTCAGTCGAAGGTGGATTTCGTTGAAGATGATGACATTGACAATATACATGCCAATGGTGGCACCGAGAAGAATACCGCAAAATTCGGGGCGGACGATAAAGGAAATCGGAAGGACGAAGGGTGCGAGAAGATAGATCAGTGTCTCATAGACCTATAGGAATATCATGTTAGTTTATTGTTCACCTCAAAGATGACGGAAATAGTGTTCATACCTCTTGGAAAACACAGATCTTAGCTCCAATTTCCCACCATCCCAGCTTCCAGCTAGTGAAAATATACTTCAGGTCATAATACATTCCAATGACAAAGAAGAAGTTCCAACGCTTAAATCTTTGCTGGAAGATTGTCATCTCACCAAATCCACCGCGGCTGCCTTTGCCACTGAAGAACACAGAAGCTGGGGTCTCGGTTTCAACAAAAACAGCCGAGCACATGGTAATGCGACCTCCGAGACGACGGCAACTGTCTCCGAAGAACCAATCTTCCGAAACAGAAAACCCGGGATGCTCGTTGAAAGTCTGCTTGAGAAATTCCGTATTCCAAATTGAAATCGCGCCGTGGGGGGAACGTAGCGCTGCCAAGTTTACCAAAGAAAGCACGTTGCAGTCCAGACATCTTGTACTCCAGGTCTTGAGCTTGCTGGCACCATGTACCCTTTGACGATTCCGGCCCGACACTCTTGATCGTGTATCCGACGCATTGGACCTTTCCCTTAAGTTGGTCACTAACGATGGGGAAGTTGGGAGGCAATGCGCAGTCATCATCAATCAGGAGAACGTTTTCGAACTCACTGGCAGCGTAGCAGCCAGCGAATTGCGCCACGATTTTCGACCCGACAGGCACCCAGAGGTGATTAACACCAAAGGGCTTGCATACCTCCTCTGTATTATCCAAAGGTGTTTCCGAATTTCCATTGGCAATGACAAAAATATTCCCCGGCGGGAAGATTTCCAGGGCGGCTTTTAGTGTTGGGCCGATAATCTCAGCGGATTTGTAGCAGGGGATGAGCAGGGCCGTCGATTTGACATTTGAGGAGTTTTGTTCCAGGTCGAAGTTCTCAGTCATCTCCTTAGGTGGCGGGTCTTTGTCGAATAGAATTAACAGGGGCAAAAAGGCGTATCTAATTGATCGGCTTGATTAGCATATACGTTGACGACGGGGGGTTTCTTATGGGCTCTCACAGTGCAGCCAAGCCGATAGTAATAGCAAAGCCTCCTTGGAAAACAAATTTGTTTCTAACGACCCAGTAGAGCCACCAGACAGCTCCTTTCCATAAGGGCACGCCGACGAGGACGAAGTAGACGAAAAGCACAAGAAGAAGGTATAGTCCCCACTCGAATAAAAGTCGGACCCAATACTTTCTCTGTAGTGCTACTCCCCTCAATTTGGCTTTTTCATAAGTATCATGCATACTACTTTGATGGCTTGCATGGCTTTGGTGGCTATCCTCAGTGCGAGAACTGACTCGGCTGAGTTGAGTTGGACTGAAAGCCACTTGCTTGACTGGTGTGATGGGCTCATCTTCTGAATCGGAGTTTAGAGGCTTCAGAGAGTTGGGACTCTTCAAACTCTCTTCCCAATCTAAAACATAAGTGAGTAAAAATCGAGTTGTATGAGCTTTTTAGCCACATACCTATCAATGCGGGTGGGTTGGTGAGTGGCCGGGTGGTGCGAGGGGGGCTTTGAGATTTTTAAGGCCGAAAGACTCGATGAGCGATTGAGACCGCTCTTATCTTTCCGATTGAGTGAAGTTGAAAGACTGCGTTGAACACGTTCATTCTTAGGAAGAGATTTCTCCCATTTGACCTTTTCCCATGGCGAGTCGAACTTAGCAGTCGAGAAAAGATGCTTAGGGATCGGCACGTCCTCCACAACGGAGCGACGCTTATCTTTCTTTTCCGACATTTAGCGTTTATAAAGTATTAAAATAAAAAGAGTGTGAGTGTGAATAAACGAATGGAAGATTGAACGAGGGTATAATGAATGGACAGCAACCAATTGTCGCTGGATAAATGAATGTATTTGCCGGTCACGAAGCGAGGAGAGAGAAAAATATACCTACCAGCATGAGTGCAAATTTATAAAAACTTGGCTTTCCACGGTGTATGACCTAGCCTCACTGAGTGGACCATGTGCTGGCAAGGCCCCATACTCGTCGTCTAGATCTAGATGGATGGGTTATGGGGCCGGTCAAGGCCGGATATGAGCCGCGGAGTATGAATCCTATGACATGATGAGACCCAGGATTTGAACTTGGGTTCAAAAAACCTGATCCAGGAAACATAACAATGGAAAGCTATCCACCCAAAACATTCGAAAGAACAAAGCATTTATTTCCCATGGCAGTGAAACAATATCAACATCTTCTGAACTTTTTTACAACCCACTTCTTTCTCTCAGCCTCAATGCCATCTAGAAGAGGCATTGATTGACAGTATAGCTACTAGGTGTTAGCGCGATACGTACGCTTGTGAGCTCGGGACAGCTCCAATAATAACCTAGGAGCATCAGCCTTACCGCATATGCGGTGGATCATCCAATCCATGTGCCCCATCCCATGTGCCTAATGCCTATCCAGCCGACATTCCCACGTTCGCTACCAAGGGTAGAAAGGATCTTCCTTGAAACCCTTCAAATTGCAAGCATGGCAGTGGGTTCCCAAGAAGATTGATCCTTCGCAAAAATAGGGACCAGCAAATTTCTTCGCATCCACTTCCGACTCCAAAGTGATAGTGTTCCAGCGCACTGTTGCATTGTCTTGACCGGTTAATCGGTTTCGCAGATTTTAGCGTCGCTGCAAGATGTGGCCAGATGGATATACCAACTAAACTTGGCCAGTGAAAAGAAAGCCACATTCAATCTGATCCAATTTTACCCACTGATCTTTACCATTTAGGCCGCAGAAAACCGTGGCTCCCGAACGAGTTATCTGAATCAATCGATGCCATTGGTTGTGGTGGAGATCTTCTACCACGCTTCGTCATCTGCCGGTTCAGGTACGGAATACTTTACACTCGGGAGGTCTTGCCGAGCTACCCCTGCACCCTGTTTTAATTCATAAAAAAGATACCATCGGCCTTGATCAATTATGTTCTCCGCTATCTAAGAAGATATGTACGCCTGGCAATCCTTTTGTACATTTGGGGCTGTGAGAGACAAGCGGAGTACGCGGAGGTAAGCATCATATCAAAGCCACAAGCGAAGCCACAGCGGGCCTAAAAATAGCGTGACCGAAACATGAAACACCGGCCATGGAATAAAAATGAACAAGGTTTTACACATGAAAATATGAGGACCTGTGAAATCGACGCCGAAAATGACAGCCCCTGGCGCCAGAAACGGCTCCCTTTCCACCCGTAACTTTGGACGGTGAAGGACGACTTATAGGAGGCTCTGCGCACTCCAGATCTTCTCGGCAAAACTTTTCAGCTCTTGCTCGGATATCCTTAAGTCTTTTTCCAAGGGCTGATGAGGAGGACGGCCAACAACCTTGTCGAAGGATAGATTCAGCTGTGTAGTCGCCGTATTTGTGCCATTCATGTAGGACTCTCCGGTAACAATTGTTGCATCATTCGTTCGAGATAATTTGAGGAATGCAGTATGACACGCTGAAAGAGGGGATGATCTTGTCAGGATGCCATAACCTCGTGAAACAAGTTCCCATCGGTGCAAGACGATCTCAGGGGTGTTGGGTTTGATGCTGATCGTAACCACAAGCTTCACAGATGAAGAAGGGGTCTCAAGCCAGCCACGCGCATCAAGAGCAAGTCGTCGCGCAGACTCTGACAGTCCTACTTCCATCACAAAACTCGGCCTTGCATTTGTCGAAGCCGGAGCCCAGCAGCAGTCAGCCTCCTTTTTCCAATTTCCAACGGTAACTGTAGTCGAACCGAAAGGCAACACGTCATTATGGACGTTCATCGCACGCAGCTCGAGAAAGATCAGTAAATCAAATGATCTGATTGCAAGTTCGTGTGCAGGATTTGGCATGACTTTCGCAATCAAGATTCGCGTTTCTGTATTATACAGTAACCGACTGTACTTGCTTGTTCGCGACCGATCATCACTCAGTCTAGAATGTTGCGCCGCGGGAACAGACGTGAAGACGAGGTACTGATCCCAAGTTTGGTCTTGCTGAAGCGCTCGTTGACGGTGTTCTAAGGACTTTTGTAAGCTCTCCTTGGTGGTGAACGGCTGCTGCTTCGCTTCCCTCGCCAGTTGCGCAAGAGGGTCCTCAGATTCGGATTCAACGGACGAGAACTCAGAAGGTGAAGACTGAAAGTCCATGGTGGATGAGAAGGTAAGATGGGAAGTGGGAAAGAAATGAGAAGACAGGCAGGTAAAATAGGCAATCAGCACCGATGAAAAATCGAAGGCGGCAAAGTCGTTTGCTTGTGTTATCATTGATCGCTGCAAGGCTAAGTATGAAGGTGGAGGTGTCATGACGGGTAATGGGGCGCTAACCGGATATAGTAATCCACAAGTCCAGGAATTACAACTTCCTCACAGCCTCGTGGGGATAGATTTTTTATCACTGCCCTAAAGATCCCACAGGGCCAGTATAACCGAGCTACAGTCTTTACTTAAGCCCATTTTAGAGTTGGTATGTTCAGCGTTCGGGCCAGAATATTGAGACTCGGTCATTAGGCCCCATTCTATCACATTTCATCGCAGCCGTAGGTGTCCTCTCTATCTTCCAAGGTTAGGTAGTAAACAACAGTCTACTAATTGTTCTAATTTCCGTCATGCCTAGAAGATCGAGCAAAAAGATAGAGAAGTGCCGCTATACAATCAGTTTGCATTTTATATCAGAAGGCTATGTTTTTGCAGTAGATGAGAGCTCGATATTCTCGAAAGTGCCACCAGATGCCCACTAAGCATCGTGGTTGCCCACTTTCAAGTTCCCTTCGGCTTCAGATCGATTGGGCGAGTCCGAGTCTACTAACTGCGGAGACGCCGGGTTGTCTGCCTTTTTACTACTACCACCATTCTCACCATCGGTGGCACGACTTTCGCGCCGGGTCTTAGCACCTTCTTTAAGCTTTTCCCATCGATCCCGATATCGTCCCAAAACGTTCTTCAATTTGTCGTTTTCGCGTCCAATGCGTTCCAATTCTTGCTCGCCCCGTCGGACAATGTCCTCTAGTTCTTTGACTCGGGGGTCGGACTCGGACATGGACGGTCCTGCTATAGAAGTAGCACCCGAGAGGGCTGGGGGTACATGATCCGAGGACCCGGTGTTATGGTGGTGCATTGCCCTCAACGACTGCTGTAGCGCCATCGAGGAGGACTGCGCATTGACCTCCCACATATGTAGGCGTTTGGAGAGGGTGTCCGATAATTGCTTCAATGCTTGGTTTTCCATCTGTAGCTCTTCCATTGTTTTGGGGTTCTGCAGGGCGTTTAATTTGCCCGGGGGCTCATTACGCGTACGTCGCGGGGATGTTTTCTTGGCTGAGCTCTGCAGCATTTCTGGAGAGGATGGCATTTCCCGCGCATCAACAAAATCGTCTTCGCCGTCATCCAGGCTGTTTCGACGGGCCTCCTTCTCGGCCCGTGTCAAAATGCCAGCGTAAGACATGGTTCCACCTGTTGTGGGAACCACATAGAACGACTCAGCTGCGTTGCCAGGGCTGGCACCGGGCGTGTCTTGGATGGATCGCAGCGCTGCTCGAGAGAAGAGCCGACTCACGTCGAGATTCTGCAACGAAGATCTCCGGTCATGAGTAGCATGGTGACGATCTAACTTGGCCTCGGCGGGGGATTTGCGATTGGCAGCCCCCGTTCCTGCCGGGTCCTCGGAAGCAAGAGGTAGGCCTGCAAATGCGAGAGGTGCCGAAATTTTAGATACCAGTCCTTCAAAGGTCGAGTAAAATCGCTGGAACCGCTCATCAGTAACAGAGGGTTTGGTGATTGGCTGCGAAGGTTCTGTAGTGTCTCGGGGTACAACTTGATGGGAACCAATTTCAGGGCCGCTGGGTAAAGGAGGGGACCAGGGCTGTCTCGGGGCCGATGCACGACTCTGGCGATTCTTGTTCGGCACGTCTCGAAGTCGAGATTCGCCGGTCTTGAGCCTCGACGGCGGCTCGGTCATCTTCGCCCCGGCTTGGTGTGCGGAAAGCGTGGGTGACACCGGTGAGCCCCGACGAGGCTGAGACGGGATACCTCGAGCCGATGCTAGATTACTGGCAATCGATGATGATTCGCGACTAGCCAGTCGGGGTGGTCGTGAAGGTTGCGCCTGGGCATCTTGGCTTGCATTCTGGTTATGAGTGGAATCCGACGCGGCAGGTTGAGTTGCTGGATTGGGAGAGGCAGCGGTCGACGACCTGACTGTAGTCGCGGTAGTCGTATGGTTTTCATGCTGGAATCTCAAGATTTCGGCGAGTTTCTTGTGGTGAACCTCGAGAAGCTTGAGGGTCCGGAGAGCCTGGTGGGTCGTGACACAATGAGGTCAGCGCCTGCGCCCGGAACAGGGAGAACGAGGTCTAGGTCAAGGTCGTTTCCGTACTTACCTCATGGTCCGAGCTATTCTGAAGGGCAGATGCAAACTCGCCGGCGGCCAAGTCGTGTTCCTCGCTGGCGGCGACGGGGTTTGACTTGCGGGTCTCGAGGACAGCATTTCGCGCATGGGTGTGGGCCTAGAGAGGTTAGAGCGGGGAAGCTCGGGAAGCTTGGGCGGCATTGGAGGGGTTTGACGTTGACTTACCAGGCTCAGCGGAGCAGTCTCCATGGTTATGTGCAAGGTATAGGACCCCTCGCCCTACCTATATCGTGGGTGGTAGGGAGCAGAGAGTGGTTGTGCTTGTGGGGGAGAAGAGGTAGTAGGGAAGAAGGAAGAGGGAAGAGGAAGAGAGAAGAGGGTGAAGGAGGGAGCGGATCTATCCGTGACCAGCAGTACAAGTATAAGCTACCAATGAACACACGTAAGTAGTAGTAGTAGTTAACTGTTACTTATAGTAGATAGTATAATATAGTAGTACAACTTGAATATTGCAGTAAATACACAATTTAATCCATGATTTTACCAAGTATCCTCTACCAAGTTAACCTTCTAGCATGCCGAATGCGGCCAGTCCCGTCGCAATGGGCTGTGACAGCGAAGATCGGTCAGTATAGACATGGATGCAATGAATTTTAGGTATTAGACTATTAGTACTTTAATAGAGTCTACCTAGATATTTGCTAATTCCTCCAGGACTATGTACTATACTATTTAGTTTATAGTAGAGTACACTATATACTAAGGTCACGGGCTTCCTCGGTCTGGGCGTCTGACTAAGAAATTCGCCCTTCCCCCCTCAACTCCAACTCCAACCAGGAGAAAGCTACTCCACACTACATTGATACTCGTACGAAACTCCATGCGTGAACTCCCCACCCTTCTCTCTCGCCTCCGAGTCTATTTAGCTCCAGGCTTGATTCTCTGTTCGCCTCATGGCGGACTCTGAATCCTCCAGCCTGCATAGCAGGTCGCGCCGCGCCTGGACCGTCTCCGCCGAGTCCGATGCCATGGAGAGCTCCGGGAGAAGCAATGGCCGCTCCTCCATTGAATCCTCTGAACGTCCCAAAACCCAGGCAGGAGAGGACCCCGATTCCGTCAAGGCTGGTTCCAGCGGTTTCTCTAAACTCCTCAATGCCCGTCGCCGCCGGAAGAAGAAGAACAACCGGGATCCATCGGAGGAGCCTCAGGTGCCAGGTGTGATCACCGAGCAGGACCTGCAGCTCAGCCGATCGAATGAATCTCGCGAAGGTCCCTCGGACGGCCCTTCATCCAACAACAGCTCCGCTCCCCCGGAAAGCGAGGCCATCACCCTCCTCACCGATGATTCTGAACCAGACAGGTACGAATGAGCTCGGTCCTAATGTGCCCTCTTTGCTTGATTTTCCATAAAATCTCGAAGTTCCAGACCCTAGACTAACCTTGACATTTGCGCATCGCATGTAGGACACCCCCACTTACCTCTCACAACTCCCATACCGGCTTTTATACCTCCTCATCCCCCCTCATCAAAACAGCCTCCGTCGATGGTGCCGACAACGAAGGGACACAAAGAGACCCCGAGTCGACAACAAGTGGCCCAAGTGCGACAAGTTCAGACAAATCACTTTCCGACGAACGTGTACCAAGACAGGGGATCCAGTCAAGCATGACACTCGATATACCGGGAGACTCCAACAGCAAGCGACGAAGCGCCTCTCCAGGCAGACGCTTCAAGGACGCCTTTAGCACATCAGACAAGAAGGAAAAGGAAAAGGAAAAGGAACAAGAAGACCAAAATGAGGACAAAAAGGATGTGACCGATGACCAGGATCGCGTGTCATCGAAATCAGGCGCCAGCAAGAGCAGTCGGAGTATATTTGGAGGCAGCCGACGGAGCAGTCTATCGTCGAAACGGGCAAAGGCAGCCCAGGAAACCGTTCCACCTATGCCTGTCCCAGCTCCCATACGTACCGATTTGGCTGAATCAAGACCTCGCGCTCTGGAAGCCAGCCCCCTTCCAAACACTCCACCCCACACAGCCATTCCCGCCCCGGCGACCACAGTGACCCCCCCAACGCCGACAGAGCACCGCCCACTCAATCCACAGATATTTGCCGAGGGGGTCACGGGCTCGCCGGAGTCCATCAAGTCTCGGAACTCCATTTCTTCGCCCGGAGTCACCACCGTGAGTCCCTCCGGAAATATGATTTCACATCGGCGGGTGCGGTCTGCTTCAGCAGCTCATGGCCCGAGCAAGTTGTCCAATGTCACGGCATTGAGTCCGCTGGATGAGAACAAAATCCTCCCCAAAAGTGCATCCAATCAACAAAATGGTTTCTTTTCATCCGTCTTTTCAGCCGCCCAAAATGCCGCCTCCTCATTTAGCAACCTAACTCAGCAAAAGAACCGTCCGCCCTCCCAACCTGCGCCCACCGACTTTGATAACCCATCGATGGAAGCCAGCACCGAAGAACTCAGCAAAAGTCCGGCCAAGGACAGCAGTCCTGAAATCGCGAAGCCAACGACCGTTGAAACGATGGGTACCGGAGATTTGAACTTCGGACATCTGGATATGGATGGGCCTTCTGGCGAGGTGATCTCCACTGCTGACGGAGTGGTTGTGACGAAGCCATCAACACCAATTGACAAGCGCAAGAATACCGCTGTCTATCAGCGGGATGAAGCAGCCGCCAAACTGGAAGACAAACGCGCGGCACGGGCTGTTACTATGGCTTACGAAAAACCAACCGAGTCGTCCGCCCTGGGATCTCCTGGCGACGAAGCATTGGAGCTTCAGTCCACCATTTCACTACCCAGAGAGGGCACCATCACGGGTGATCACACTCCGCCAACAGGCAGTATCATTGACGGTGACATTGGCAGTGGCATTAAACGAAGTGGCAGTGTTCGCAGCCGGCTTGCACGCCGTCACAGAGGCTCGTCCGGAGCCACAACATCAACAATTGGCGCTATTGGTGCTATTGGAGGTGGCGCTTTGGCTCTTGGTGTCCCTGGTGTTAATTCAAGCGTGCCCCGGTTGACTGGATTCGCTGTAGCAAGCAAGAAACGCAACAGGGACTTCCATCAATTGTTCCGGAGTGTCCCCGAAGATGATTATCTAATTGAAGATTACAGCTGTGCTCTCCAGCGTGAGATCATTCTCGCTGGTCGTATCTACATCTCTGAAGGTCACATCTGTTTCTCAAGCAATATTCTCGGATGGGTGACGACCCTCGTTATTAGCTTTGATGAGGTTGTGGCGATTGAGAAGGAGAACACTGCAATGGTCTTCCCCAACGCGATTGCTATTCAGACTCTGCATGCTCGTCACACTTTCCGCAGTCTCCTCAGTCGTGAGTCGACATATGACCTGATGGTCAACATCTGGAAGATCAATCATCCATCTTTGAAGAGCTCTGTTAATGGAACCCGAGTTACAAATGGCACTGGTGACAAGACAGAGAAGGTTGGAGATGAAGAAAGCGAATTGGAGAGTGAGGTCTCTGACGAAGATGAGATCTACGATGAAGATGAGGAAGGCGATCACGCTGATAGCTTCTTTGAGGCTGGAGCCAGCGCCAACGCAAGTGAGCGATCACTGCCGGCGCGAGGGTTGAGTCGTCAGCCCTCCGGCTTATCTACAAACGGGGTGACCAATGGAGCTCCACAGAATGCCAGCGGTGAACCTAAGAATGGTGACAAGCCCGGTGCTTCAAAGGAGCCTGATTTCCCCGGTCCAGCTACGCATGCACCAACCGAATACGTAGATCCCAACGGGCAATATGAGAAGGTCATCAAGGATGAGACGATCCCGGCACCCCTCGGAAAGGTCTACTCTCTTGTTTTTGGTCCGGCTTCTGGAGAATTCATGACAAAATTCCTTGTCGAGAATCAGAAATCAGGCGAGTTGCAGTTTGAAGGAACGGCAAAGGGCTTGACCAATGACAGTCGGATCAGGAAGTATTCCTACATCAAGCCCCTCTATGGATCCATTGGTCCAAAACAAACCAAGTGCATAAGCACTGAAAACCTGGAGTATCTAGACCTGGAAAAGGCCGTTCTCGTCACACTAAGCACCCAGACTCCCGATGTCCCCAGTGGTAATGTTTTCGCTGTGAAGACCAAATATCTTTTTACCTGGGCCGCTGGCAACCAAACTCGCTTCCTCATGACATGCAACATTGAATGGTCCGGCAAGAGTTGGCTGAAAGGTGAGCAAATTCTCCCATGGCAAATGAGGTTTTTAAAACTAACAACTCTCCATAGGTCCTATTGAAAAGGGTGCTATTGATGGTCAAATGACTTTTGGAAATGAATTGGTCAAGGCCCTGAAGGTTGGCGTTGTTCCCCGCGGACGCGGGAACGGAGGCGGGCGGACCAAGGGTCGACGCAAGAAGGGCGACCTAGCTGCCCCTGCAGCAGCATCGCTGCACGCTGCAGCGGATGCAGGCTCTGGCCAGAATGAGTCCTGGAGTCTCCTCGAACCGATCCGTCCAATTCTGGAACCTATCACCAGTATGCTCAAACCGCTTTGGAGTGGCAACATTGTCATTCTCCTCGTTGGAGTACTTTTGTATATGGTATTTTTCCGGTCATCCTCGCCTTCTTCCATGCACGCACACGATGCCGCTTACCCGGGCTTCAGCCTACCACAGCGACTGGCTGCGTACGAGGAGATGTGGCGTCGCGAAGAGAGCGAGCTCTGGAATTGGTTAGAAGATCGGACTGGGATGGATGGAATGGTCTTCCCGAGTCTTCATCACAGAATGGCCGAACCTGAAGCAAGTCGCCGGGCACCTCGTCTCAGTCCCTCGGAAGAACGTGACCTGGCCGCGCGGTTACGCGAGGAAAAAGTGTCAGATCGTGAAATGGACCACGCCATCCGAACTACCCGCCAACGCCTTGATGTTCTCGAGGAAATGATGAATAAGCGTAAGACTCAGCAGTCTGCAGATGAGTCTATCCGGGTTGAGTTGTAGGAACCACTCAGTTGCCTCCCTCATAACTACTAGCCAACATCCGATTCAAGTATCGACGGCCCCAAAGTCACCTTCACCTCTACCTCAAAAACTTCTCTACCTCATCACAAACCCCCTTCTCACCATTCACGAACAAGCACCCTCGAAAAAGAGCTTGTATCCACTCTTTATACCTACTTTTCCTTTCTCATTATTTTTTTTGTGGACAGTGATTGCCCATGTCCTCTCTCTCGACAGATACTTTCTTTCCACTGCTCTCTCTGCCAGGAATGCAGACTTACATGAGCCTTTCATTCTTGTACATGCACACCAATTGCTTTGCTGATACTGTTCAACAGTATCCTGTGTTTTCTCCCTTTGTTTAAGCGATCCGCTGTCTCATCTTACCTGGTTCTTCCTGTATATTGTCCGAAAATATTTTCTTCGGCGTTTCGCAAACCCCCTGAGCACTCCGGGCGTCTTATGAGCACCTTTCTTTTTATCTTCTTATACTTTTGTTGGGTTTTTTCGATGTTGATATGTTCAATGAACGCCAGCTAGTTAGCGTACATAGAGATACAATATCCATGTATTGGATCTTGCTTTTGAAAGTCTTTTCCCAAACTTTGGAACCGTAAGACTTCGTGGTTGATGTCGGTTAGAATCAAGAATTTACTAGTACATTATGATTTAGTCATACCACTGTCATTATATCCTTATTATTCATGGTAATTAATTACAGATAACTGAAGCGAGCGCAGACCCGTCACTCAGGTGACTCCAGGGCTACTCCCCATTCAGTGCTTGAATCCTCGCTCTAGCGATAGCCCTGTTCTCCGCCATGGATGTCTTCCACGGCCGAACACCCGAGTTGAATACATCATCGATCTGCTCTAACGTCAACGCCGCAGTCTCAGGGACGAGAACAAACACCAAGCAAGCAATCATCACAGTGACCGCAGCATAGAAATAGCCGACATTTGCTCCCATATTCCCATGGTCTGGATCCAACATGTATGGCGTCCAAAAGGTTGCGCCGAAGGAGAAAAGGCCGTACAAAACTGTTGTGTTAGCTTGACCGTATGTCCGCAGCGATACACTGTGCATCTCAACCGAGGCCAGGCCTGCAGTAGGGGCGATGGTTCCGCCAAAAACGAATGACCAGAGAGAAAGTAAAATGACAATGACCATCTTTGAAACGCCGACTCCTCCGAATGCAGTACTGACTGAAGATAAGACGAGCATGCAAGCTGCCATGGCGCTGTATCCCCAAAGAATTGCGAATCGCCGTCCACCGTATTCGACGACGAAGGGACCGAGACATGCCCCGCCGAGAATACAGAGGCCAATGATCACATTAATCAGGTATGGGTTGCTGATACCAACACCTTTGAGGAAAGTCGTTGCGTAGGGTTGGACAAACTGGATGCCAGTAATGGACATTCCAACCATAATCAACGCAGACGTGGTTGTACGGCGAATCTGACTTTTCTGATATATCTGGAGCCACGACGTTGACGCCGCGACCATGCGTTCGGCTTTGATGTGATTCTTGACTTCTTCGATCTGAGCTGTGATGGTGGGCGAGCTCGGAGGAATTCGGTAGAGGATACTAAATGCTCGCCGCGCATCTTCTTCTCTTCCGCCACGGTTCAACAACCACCGCGGGGATTCAGGGAACATCAGAATCCCAGCACCGAGGAAAATACCCAGTGGAATCTGACACAAAATCGGTGTTTTCCACTGCCAATTATTGTGCGGCTCCAGCTGAGCAGATCCTGCGCAGACTGCCGACGAGGCAACGTTTCCCAGTGCCAATCCAACGTTGTATAGACCCAGCGCAATCCCACGCTTGCTGGCGACAATGCACTCCGAACTGTATGTGAGGCTTGATGCAATGAGCTGACCAAGACCAATAGCACTAATGCATTTACACACCATATAATGTGTGAAACTCCCCGCTTGTCCAGCACCAGTCCCTAACATTCCCGCCGCTCCAATGATGGCCAGAATACAGCCGATCTGGATATTGCCGCGGCGACCGGTATATCTTCCTGTCAAACCAGATAGACCTCCGCCGATACCGGTGAATAGATAATTCAAACTGATTAAAGATTGTTGAATCGGAGCAATGGAGCAGTGCTCAACGGTCGCGCCGGTTGTGGGATTGAGGAGATGCGTGCAAGTTCCAAATGCCTTTCTATAAGACGGCATGATAAGAACTGTCCCGGTATATCCATGGTCGAAATTAAATATCCACGCCGCAAAGGCCATCCATAATGACAAACGCAGCATAGCCCCAGTGGAATCTAATTCGCTTCCTCGTGTGTCGCTGCCATCGTCGGAAGGTAGAGGCGTGATATCGATTTTCTCGGGCTCCTCGTCGTCGTGATACTTGCCGAGTGCCATTATCACGGCAGTGACTAGAGTAGGTCTAATACAGGCGAACAATTTCTCGAATGCTTTGCCCTACTATTTCCCTGTGTCAATTTTCCGAGTTTTGGGGTATATAAGGCTTATCCCAGTTGCTCGGTCCTTCTCACATACCAATGATGCGCCCACACATATCTAGCTTGCTCATCAAGAATTCCAACCCTGAATCCAACCAATGGCAATAAAACTTCGACCTCAAATGACCGATAAGGTCATAAAATGTTCCTTATTGTGGAGCACATGTCTAACCGTATCCAGTTTAGGTTCCTTGAGTTACTGAATCATGGTGGAAAATTAAACAGGCCAAGCATCTCAGGGCTGTTTCAAGGTTTGCTGCCTATCTCTTTTGGGAATCTGAATGTCAATCCCCCGGATCCCTTTTTCCACCACGGCTTTTCTTGCGCTTTTCTTGCGCAATTGAATAGGACGGGGCCTTCCCATGCAATAGCCCCCGAAGCCTCGTGCCATGCTACGCAGTCCAGGTCATTTGAGACATACAAGTTTTCCAAGCCGGTTTCTCAAAAAACGAGTATCAGTCTTGATTCTCTTCTTTTACTTTGCGCATATACCCCTTGGATTATGACGTAGACTTGGGGGGGAAATGCAGATATGGCAGATTGTCCAACCTTGTTCCTTAGTCGTGGATGTGACAGATTTGAGAAAATCATCAAAGTCTAATCCATGTCACAATTCTCTATAGCATGCGAGGAGAACCAAGACAATTCTTCTTTTGGTAAAAAAAAAGGCAATATAATTCTTTCTAGTAGTGTATACAGCAATCGGAGCTTTTCTCATAGCAAGAAGTCTGAAATTAGACGAGAACTAAACTCATATGAGAAGACATTGTCAATACTATTCATATTAGCTGACGATGATACGGAAGAACGAATATTGAAACTAGTCACTTCGGCATATTATCACTTCGGCGCATTATGGTGACGAAAAAAAGATAATTTCATTATTGGTTCTTGCTCAACTAACACCGTGCAATAATTATTTCAACAGCTATTCCCAATCCTGTATAGAGACGATATCCTTATATCGAGGGTGAACGAGCAGCCTTGATATCTTCCCTGTTATCTGCATCTAGCGTAGCTACATACTCGAGCGCATCACTTCCTTCAACGGCTAATCTCTCATAAGCGTTTTCATCCTCTGACAATTTCCACTCCGGCAAAATTTGATACTCGGATCTCCCAGGGTATTTGAATCGATATTCATAGTCCCCGCCATTCTTCTTTCGACGCTCATAATTATCCCCGGTCAGCGAAATGGGATGATACTTCTTTCCTTCGGTCGTTTTTTCGACCCGGTATCCTACCACAGGATGAATCTGCTCGAATGTTTCCCCTAGCTTCTGGCCTTGTTTATTCAATGCATAGCGGCCTGGTGTACGTGGACGAGACCCATTGGCAACATAAACAACTCCAAAGTTATCTGGTAGATCCCCAAGCCCCCATGTATAGATACGCTGGTCCATATACGCGGGCTTCTCTCCTGGCGTAAGAGGATGCAAGATGGAAGAGGCGATCCACTGGCCCCCTCGTTGAAACCACTTCCCCCATGATTCTGTGTTGCGTTTGTTCATCCTTTCGTTGTACCAGTCAAGGGCATTGTTGATCTTGGCGAGTCTGACTTGCCGTGATAGCTGATCCTTCTTCAGAGTCTCCTCATTGAGTGAAATGAATCCTTTGATTTGGTCAAGCATCCAGGCGAAAGCGATATTCGACATCTCCTCCATGTTTCCCTTATTTTCTAATGTCAAGGTAGAACCACCTCCGACATTGATATGGACACCTGGAAACCATACTTGCAGCAGTTTAGAGCGATCTTTCTGGCTGTCAATCATGTCCAATAGTTTTCGTTCAGCCTCGTTCTTAGTCTTGCTAACATCTTTCAGCTCCTCAACAGAAGGGCGATCGGACAATATAATATCCTTCCAGGCATGAGTTGCATCTTGGCACAGTTCTTGTTGCTTTTCGATCTCCTCGTCCGAGGCTCTTGTGACAGAAGAAACATAGAATAATGTCGGAGTAAAGGCGGCACGGTGCTCATCGAGGGCCAACGCCTGGAAGGCGTTCTTTATATCTGTTATTCTAGTTAGTAATATTCATAGAAATGGATATCTCTAAATGCGGAACATACTCGGAGAAAGCCCAACATTGTGCCATTCCGGTTTGTCAGTTCGCGTAAGCCATTGAGGCATCTCGTATCCAAACACTTCTGGGAAGCCCAGCGCACCAACTGTTTCGAAAACCCCCACGACCTCGATCTGTCTTGATTCCGGAGTACGAGCCCATTCACCCCGGCCCAGCGACTCCCACACAACGCGGTCATTCTGGCGCTCTTCTGGTTGAGGATCAACTGGCCTTCCATCGTGCCAGTCAAAGTAGGCATCGCTGCCATAGAATCTCTCGCCAGTAATAGCTGTGTGACTCTTCTTGTAGAGTTTCCACATTTCGGGGAAATCCTGGATATCGACCTTGGAGCAAATTCCTATGTCTGAAATCAAGCCTGCAATTGCACGCGCTGTGTATGCTCCTCGTGAAAAGCCGAAGCACAAAATCTGGTCACCGGGGTTCCAATTCAATACACAGAAGTGGTAGGCCTCGATGACATTTCCTTCGAGGTCTCTGCCGACTGAGACTTGACCGGCTGAATTTGTCCCGACCCCAGAGTCGTACCAGACAACTTGTTGCCAATTTCCATTGTCATCGTTGTCAACTCCGACACTGTGGATTGCCCGACATAACCGGGTCACGTTGGATGGGACGCTCTCCTCGCCCGAGACCGCAGATTGCCCACTTCCATCACAGCAGATTATAATCCGCTTGCGAGATGGAGGAGGGACATATGTATGGGTAATCTCCCCCATTTCCAGGAGGTGGTGGGTAACTGATAATGCTAGACGGTGAAGGTTGAAAGAAAGAATAGAAAAGAATCGTCTACTTCATGGCGGCAAAAGGGAAACGAGGTCGCTTTTTATTTTTGTGTATCGTTTGAAGTGAATGAAGAAGTGTGTCCGGCTGAGCTGAATCTCATCACGCGGCGCTGTTTATTGGATGGGTTCTTGTCATCCTCGCTAGAAATGGCCAATTTCGATCTCGGCCTGTCCGATAGCGACAAGTGCAGGCGATCGGGAAAGATAGCCGATTTGGCTCTGCAGAAGACACAACCACCGAACTAGTCGGCTTTTTAACACTGTATGCGAGGAGCGGGCAAAGGGAAGACGAAACTAGAAAGTGGCAATTTTGGTGTCCTTTCGGGGGATGGTCCAGTGCCTGAGGCACAATAAAGCACCACTCCCCACAGTTTACACGAACCAATCCCAGTCGTACATTTTGGACCTTTAAAGTATGTAGACTTGTCCAGAATCATAGATGGTTGTTCTTTGACCCATATGTGATCTCCACAATGGACAAATGAAAGTTGTGCACGATATACAGTGCGCCTTTTTCATTCTTGGGCCCATTTGTCAACCGAGATTGCCATTTCATATTGGCATTACTAGTACAAGACTAAGCCACATGTCAAAATATTGTACATAAATCATCGTATTCAGATAGATTCGGGAATACTAAACTATAAACTAATCCTACTATTAGTACCTCACACTAACAACTTGCCAGTGAACTTGTATTGGCCAAAGTCTATCAGTAAAATCAACGATTACAATTGGCTACTAGGCTCGATATTTTTTACAATTTTTTTCTCATCCCTATGCACGCAGAGTGGGTTTGGTGATTTACACAGGCGCAGTTGTATAGTCCGCACGTGACACCGGCGATAGTTGGTTCACTCCGACCGGTGGCAACCTCCACGGAATCCACCGGCAACCCAAAATGGAGCTACCGACTCTGCTGATCCTCGCAGCACTTTTCCTCGGTGAGTACCACTGCGAGCATAGTCGCATAATCACACATCTTGCGGTGTCGCATTCCTCTCCGAAAGAGCATCGTGACTGTCGTCCGCTACTACATGCGCAACACCCCCTCAGTTCAAGACCTCCAACTGACCATTTCCCCGCCAGTTTTCCGCTTCGTACAATCGCGACGAGCTGCAGCAACGCCAATGGAGTCCCACGGAAAGGTTGCTAACATCGACAAGTAAGGAACACATCCTTGTGCGATCGACAACATAACTGGGGAAAATGGGTTCTAACAAGACCACCAATGAAACAGCGATGTCATCTTCAAGGCTCTAGTCCACTCGGGCGCCGCCGTTGTCGACTTCTACGCCACTTGGTGTGGTCCCTGCCGCGCCGTTGCTCCCAAGGTCGGTGAGCTGAGTGAGAAGTACCAGAACGTTCGCTTCGTGCAGGTTGATGTGGATAAGCTGCGTGGTGTGGCTTCCGAGTTCAATGTCACTGCCATGCCCACTTTCGTTCTCATGAAGGATGGTAAGGAGGTGCAGCGCATTCGTGGTGCCGACATTCGGGCTCTGGAGGCTGGTATCCAGGCTATTTCGGCTTGATTGATTCCCCTCGTGGAAGCTACGAAGGGAAGAGCGAATAAAAGTTTTCATGCATGCCCGAGAAAATGTCAATAGTGATAACCAAAGTGGAATATCTACCACTCAATGAACACACCTAGTCAGGTACACGAGAGTTGTCCATTGCCGCACATAATGACGGAGGTCAGAATTATGGGTCCTTCTCACCAACGATACATGGCACATGGGGTACGAGTAGTTCCATGGAGTATCAGTCGTGAGACCGGTGTCAGGAATTGGCCATCAGAGAATAACATTACGATACAATAAGTCTTGTTACGGTGAATGCAGCTCTTCAGTGGAAAAAGGGTGTAAGAAAATTATGTATTATGCGGAGATATGATACCCGCTGTGTTTTGTCACAGAAGCAGCCAAGTCTCACAAAACAGAGAAAAGAAAGAAACGATAAAAGGTATATCACAGGACACCCGAAACTTCTAATCAAGACCAATAAACCTAGAAGCGAAGCACTTAGAGGATGGAGCCAAGAGCAACACAAGGAAGGCCGGCGCCAACCAGGTCGCTGGACTGTGAATCGTATTAGTTTTTGAAATGGACAAGATCTGATAGAGGAAACTCACGGCAGAGGAGGGAGAGTTAGCACAGCAGGCAATGTTTTGCTTGCAGCGCTGGTCAAGGACATCCTGGATAGGGATAGCAACGATAACAGGGACTGCGTAATAGTTAGTATGCAAGTCAATAGTATTGTGAATATGTGGAGCTTACTCTGAACATCCAGCTTGGAGCATTGGCGGAAGATACCAACACCGTCGGCACCGGAGCCAGTGCCGATCAGGTGTGACAGAAGACCAGCACCAAGGCCCTTGTTGACATTAGTGGTGTCATGGGCGTAGGTAGCCCGGTTACAGCAAGAGAGCTGGGCTTGGTCACCGCACTTGGACTGAGCCTCCTTGACGGTCATGCCCTTGGGGACGGGGAAGCGGACGTGGCCAGCCTCCTGGTCCTGCATGCCAGACTCAGTGGGCATGGCAGCGGCCAGAGAGGCGAAAGCGACGGCAATAGCGGCAATAGAGAACTGCATTATGACGATGATAAAGATTAAAGATTAAGGTCTTCAATAAAAGAGATAGGGTTTTTGGTTTTGGGGAAAGAGGTAAAAATGGAATGAGCAGAGAAGAGAAGATGCTTGGATAGGGAAAGTCTACGGACCATTGACCAGGCGCCTTTTATCTTAGAATATTTGTCTGTTTGGGGCTCGTGCTGGGTCCATGCTCCTGCAAAAACAACCCTCGAGTATTTCGGCCCGGAATGCCTCACGCAAGGGTGAATCCTTCTTGTGGCCTTGATCATCTAGGGCAGAGTGTTCCTCATCGGTAGGTTCTCTACTCCCGGGATTTTCAGTCAATCAGAGCGCCCCTTTGCCGGGAACAGACTCCTTCTACGCCCTACATTCCTTCGCCCAGTGGTATCTATGAGAGTTACCTTACAGACCTCTTACATCTTGAATGTCGTCGTCAGTCAACAGTCAGATCTCACGGAAAAGCAATAGCTCACAGACTAATAGGAATCTTAAATTTTATTGTTGTATCTAAATTCTCTTTGGCTGTGGTAAGTCTAGAATCCATCATCCTTCTGGACCTTCTCTAGTATGTGATGGCCTATCCAGCCCCCGAAGAATGCAACAGAATCAAGTTTAGTATGCCTTCACATGGAGATGGCCACTCCCTATGCAGTGTGTTTTTCAATTTGAAATGGGATTAAATAACATTTGTGGCGTTCGGCAATTTTCCTGCAGCCAGCCGTAAGCCGCAGGTGCATGTCTCTTATGCACCAAGACTATATTTTACCCAAGATAAGTCTAATCTCAATGTCTCGATGTCTCGATGCCTCAATTCCACCTCAATAGTAAGATACACCCTCAACCCGAAATCTCTTCTCTAAGCGGAGACAGTAATTCACTCAACAGTGGGTCGACTACGATTCGGATCGGGTGCCCGATCGAATGTAGGGCTTTGATGGTAACAGGACCCTGTCGATCTCCCCTCCCGGTTTACTCGTGAAAATCCGAATGCTCGGGGTTACGATAGGCGACCGTGATGATCGACAGGGCCGTTCCTGAGCGGTGTATCCACCGTGTATATGAGAGGAATGGATTGTCGGGCACTAAAGAGTCGAGGTCGGCGGAGGCCCATACTTTGAATGCACCTTGCTGGGGCCTTGATAGAGATTTGATATTCGAGGTATCTGGTTTCAAGGCACAAGGATAAATTCAAATGTTCCTGCCATTCGAGTCATTGAGGAATTACGATGTTTGCGATCACAATGAGAAATGGGAGCGACTCTCTGCTGGGAGGGCGGAGCAGACAATACTGAGGGGTGTGAAACCCTTGATAGGATCATGGTGGCTGGGAGTGGACATGACGTCAAATCTCTGAATAAGGCCGTCACTTTCCCCTTTAGGAACCGCTACATCTAGCTTACAGGTTGTGTCTAATTCTGAAAAGAAAGCAAAGAAAAAAGAATAAGCCGGATTTTCCAATAAAAACAGAGTATTCATTAATAAAAAATGGCTGTGGGGGAAAGAAAGGAAGCAAAAGATAAATGCCGGGCCCCCGAGTCGAACGGGGATTACTTGACAGCACTCGAAGTCAGCAAGGGCACGACCAGCTTGTGGTGGATTTTGAAATTATGGGTCCAATTTACCCTCATCATCGAGCAAATCGCCGAATTGGGTGTCGGAGGGAGTACTAGGACAGGCCTTAGGTATCTACAGTAAGCATGGCTTGGAAGTAAACAACTTGAACTTGAAGGATGTCTGTTCATTCAGTGCGGTATCGATATGTATATACTACTTACTCAACCCGACCAAAATAGAAAAACTTCCATATAACGAGGCAAGATGAAGGATATCAGGATCACACTCCGCCAAGGCTAAGCGCCTCCAGTGCTCATGCATCTCATGCATCCTGCGCAGAATCATCCCAATAGGGCAATGCACTAACCATGTTGGGACAGCCGCTGTGGAGATGGGAACTTGAAGATGAGAAAGTAATCTCAGTAGTATAATATTGTTGTTTTCCAATATTTCCACGAGATGCTAGTAGTTAGTATATTTTGGCTTGGATTGTCTACTAGTACAGTATTGCCTAGGTGTACATATCCATTAGACTGTCGGTGGGGCAGTAATGGCTTTTTGTGCAATGTATAGGGCATATAGCTACCACTGTCATGCATCTATATATCCAGCCCTACTACCACTCTACAAATTACCACCAAGCCACTCATCTGTGCCGCCTGGCGCCTAGAACCTCCAGGGCTTGGAACCTTGGAAGACGGGGATTACCTACATGGGCCTGGGAGGCTATGCACAGTTAATCTTACGACAGGTAAGCTTCAATTCTAAGGTTACTTCGGAGCTCACAGCCCTGAAGGAGCTCAAGTTGGTCCGCTGCGGGATGTTATCCCACCGACGCTAAACCCGATACAGAGATGATCTACGCTATAGTTGTCCCGAACAGGTGCAAAATGCGCTGCAGTCTGCCCGGCACGGACAGATTGAGTATCGACCTTTGTAAACGAACAGCTAAAAATCTAAAATATGAGAGCAATAGAAAATTGAAGAGGCTGTGGCTGTGTCCCAGAAAAGCAAATGATATATAAAGTTAGGTGACCCTGTTCCAGATTCCTTTTCCTCATCTACATCACAATCCACCATTTCTCTTCACCCAGCTCTATCTATATAATATCTATATAATCCAGAGTCATCACCACCACAACCACCACCTCATCATGTCAACAATCGCATTCTTCGGCGCAACCGGCGGCTGTGCAAACGCCTGCCTAGCCCTGACCCTACGCAACGGCCACAAAGCCATAGCGATGGCCCGCAACCCCTCAAAACTAAACACCCAACTCCTCGAACAACCAGGCCTAACGCAAAAAATCCTGGACAAAAATCTCCGCATCCAACAAGGAGACGCCACAAACATCGAAGGCGTCATGAAAACCCTCATCGTCTCCACCACCACCAGCGCACATGGCGACAGCCAATGCGAGCTCGTTTCAACCATCGTCTCAGGAATCGGCGGCGCACCAACAATGTCCTGGACCAAGGCGAACCCCTGCGACAAGATGACTATGCGAATCCCAACACTGCCACACATCGAGCTAAACAATCCGCACATCACGGAGGAAAGTACCCGCACGCTCCTGGAAGCGCTACGACGCATTGCGACGGAGTATTTCCCTTCTTTCGGGACATATGCCGTCGCGGCACCGCGGGTGGCAATTATCTCCGGGACGGGGATTGGGTCGAAGAATGGGATGAATGATGTTCCATTACTTTTTCGACCGATGTATTGGACGCTTTTGCCTGAGCCGCATGCTGATAAATCGCGGATGGAGGCATTGTTTAATGAGGAGCGGGGGAAGAAGGAGTCGTTGCTTGTGGGTGGGTTGGTTGTTGTTCGGCCTAGTTTTTTGAGGGGTGATCATCGGGTTGCGGCGCCTGGGGAGGATTCTGGGTATGATAAGTTGCGGGTGGGTACGGATGAGAGTCCGGCTGCTGGTGTTGGGTATTTGGTGGATAGGGCTTTGATTGGGGAGTGGATTTTTGAGGAGGTTGTTAAGACTGGTGGGGATAGATGGGTTGGTGAAGGTGTTATTTTGACTTGTTAAGAGTTCAAGTTCGATCTGGGGGGTTGCTTTTGTTTTTACTTTTGCTTTTGCACATTTGATTTTGGCGATAAGGCATTTTTGGGTTAGGGGGATACCCTGCGCAGTCGGATTTGTGTTTTCAATGATTTGGTTAGATCGTTTATTTCTTTTATTATTATAATCAAAGTCCACATGCTTAACAACTTTCCAAATGCTTCAAGTAATGAAGGTCGATCAAAATAAATACACATCAAAGCAATAAGAAATGAAAAATCTCAATCAAAGGACACACGGTCTAGATCCGAGGTGGGGGAATCATAGTACAAGTCAGCTATTAAAAAGCAATATGTAGTGGTAACAAAAGCCAGATACCGAGCAATGATATGCTCCAGGCAACGACAGGGAAATTTATGTGATTTTCTGACCAAGAAATGATGAGCGAAGGTCAGGGAGGAGGACTGTACAGTCGGCAAAGACATCAAGCTCGAGTATACAAGGTGAGCAAAATCTTCATGACAGAATTCGTGAAGGTCATGGTCATGGGACGATCGTGAAGATGTGAACGACGAGGGGAAGGCTGTTCAGGTGCCCTCATATGCCGCCGGTCTGCTAATCTGCAAACTCTTGCGTTCCTCCTTGGCCTTGCGTCGCTCCATCTTTTGCATGGCCTCTTCAGTCAATTGCTGCCGGAAAAGCCTTTCCACAATCTCCTTCTTTCGCGTTCTTCGGTCACCAATCATGATTAGCACACCACCTGAGATATTGCAGACGATTGAGCAGCAAAGGATGACGGTAGTCAAAGCGAATGGTCGTTGGCCTGGGTCTTCCATACTCCAAGTGCAGGCACCAAGAGCCATCTGGAGCAGGGAGTGGCAATCAAGCAAGACCACGATAGCGACAAGAATCCGGAGAGGGAAGGCATGGTGGGTGAAAGTTTCATGGGGTTTGTAGAAAGTGTGTGATTTGGCAAACTTGTTCTGGTGGTGCATCAGGCGGAGTTGTTGCCGGGCGTCGAGGACCGAATATTCGTGCTCGTCTTCCTGAGGGGTATCTCCAAAATCAACATCCAGGTCCTTCTCACGTTGTGACGGAAGGTCGTTTTTGTCCTTCAGATTGGGGAGTTGCCGCTTGCCGCGAATTTTCCAGGTGAGGTGTGTATAGTGCGCGATGAAAATCATATGGTAAGTGTCGACGGCTCGGAAAGGGGCGAGGCCATCACCCATGATAGCGAACAAGCCGACAAGGATATTGTCAATGATGTTAACGACTTGTATCTGCTTGCCACCGACGTTGATCCAACCTGGAATTTATGTCAGTCGTGTTACCCATGAGTTTGAAGGAGATAAGAAGAGCCGAGAAGACATACCAATCAAGAAAAGTACCCAGGCCAAACCGAACAAAGTGATCAATGTGGCGTACAGAGTGATAAAAAATCCAAGGGCTAAAAAGACGACGTAGGTCAGTTTGATGTCCTAGTATGGAGAGACTTGCAATACTTACGCTTCCGGACATATTGCCCGAATCCCTTCATCGCTCTCTTAAACTTTGAACGGCGAGAGTGAAGCATGTGGCGAACATGATCGTTGAGCTCCATGAAATCCTCTCTCGTCCAGCCTTCCAATGCGTGTCCTTCAGGCAGAACAGCATACCGAGGGCCGACTAATACTGAGGACATGCTAGTGAATGGACGGAGTTGGTCAAGGGTCGGCCGTTCTTTGAGCTTATCACCATCCGACTCCCCTTCGTCCGTAGAGCTCGTTTGTTCTTCATCTGAGATTGGACGCGTAATGGTATAAGTTGGCATTCGATTGATGAAGCCACCCAGATTCGGCACAAAGAGGGAGTTCTGGACATTGGTCAGGGTAGATAGGGCCGAAACCTCCGGGTCTATGATAATGATTGTCAGTAAACAGCGTCAGCTACGCTATTTCGGGCAACTTACCGATCACGTCCAACACGTCAACCACATGAGATCCATATTCATTTATCTTGGCGTCCTGGTTGTTGCCGGTGTTATTGAGAGTTGGTACGCCCGTCACAGTCGATGCGCGGTTGCGAGAGAAACGGTTGAGAGCAGCTTGACTGGTTCGCCGGAGTCTTCCCGGTTGTGTCACGGGCGGGCGGCTCTCGGAAGGTTCAAGGCCATTTTCGGGGACGGTATCTTGAGCTTCGCTTGAACCGGGAAGCGGAGTCGTAGAGTTGTGACGAGATTCCTCTGCCAAAGGCATCATACGCATGGGAGTCGCCACTCGCGATAAGACATCGGGCGGAGGGGACGACCATCGTCCGGGTCGCGGCTCCGAGCTGCTGCGTCGTCGGCCAGTGTGCGGTGATTCATCCTCTTCTTGAACAGGAGACCGAACCTCGATAGGTCTGCTTCCGGAAGGTCCGGGCAGGATATCCGGCTGTGATTGTGGGAGGTCGGTATCCAAGGAGGAGAGCGAGGGCAGACGGGACAGGCGAATACTTGGCCGGCGAGACCGAGTAGATGGAGCTCGAGGCCGCACAGCCGCAGCTGGTGGTCTCTCAAGGGCCGTATTTACCGCGTGAGCGTCTGGAGCATTCCCGGAGAAGTAGTCCTGGATGGGCTCGATGCGATCGCGATCGCGATCGCGATTGTCGTCATCCATGGGAGGGGGCTGGGGATGTTTGGATGACTGATTTCGAAAACGTAGCGAAATATCAGAGCCAAAGATAAAGACCCAGAAGGTCTTGAAACGAATAAAGTAGCCCAGTAGCCCCTAAGGCATTGACGGGAATTCAAGGTTGACAGTTCCTGGGGGAGGGAGGGAGAGGATTGAATCGTCGGCGTACCTTTGCGGATGACTCAGCTTGCGTTTTTCTTGTTTTGGCCGTGACGATTTCGGTGGAGAAAACCGGAGTCAATGCGAGGCTAGTCTGTCGATCAGGCAGGATCTTCCTTTTTTCCTTCCTGCATGGTCGGCCTCGCGTGCATCCTAATGTGAAGTCGATCAAGTTTTGCGTGGCATCCTGGAGGCACCTGGAGGCAGCACTGAGAGAGACATTGTGGCGACACAGTGGAGACTATCATTGTCATAAATGGAGTACTCCGTACTCCGGACATGCGATAGGGAATCTTGGCTTATGGATCTAGCGCTGAGGCCAAGCCGCAGTGGAGTACCTACACTAGGCTAAGCTACAGGGTCCACGCTGGGGAGTAGTACATTATGGAGGATATGGATATGGGTGACAGGACAACTACCAGGTACCACTAGTCTCAGTACATACTAATATACTAATCATGGTGTTTCACTGGAAAATCCTCAAGGCTATTAGATCAGCAAAATAGCCAAGATCTATAAGCATTTACCTCTCAGATCTACCAAATTGACAGCAGAGCCAAGTCATCAGCCAAGACAACCTAATTTCAGTTGGTATAGTACATTATTAGTACTCCATATACTACTCTCGACATAGTAACAACTTGAAGTCTATACATATACAGGCTATTGGTCAAACATGGCTTCTAAATACCCAGTGAATACCAGTTGCTACTAGGTACCAGTACCAGTACCTTGCAAAATGCATTTTGTTTGCCTCCTGAGCTGGTGAAAGGAAACTCACAGACACCATCAACATACAAAGTACTGACTACTCCCTGGTTCTTTCCTTCCCAGGTGGTTCCTGCCATCACCGGTGCTCGACCAACTTCCCTACAAGTCAAAGGAGTATTTCTAGTCATACCCCAGACACACCCCAGACACACCCCAGACACACTCACACCTTCCAAGCAAAAGTCGGCCTCTTCCTCCTTTTTACAATTCCTCTACCAGATTTGAAATAACCCCAATGTTGAACACAGTGAGCAGAGAGTCAACTCCGCCAGAGCCAGACGTTGCCATACTAGGAGGCAGTCGAAAGCGATCCCTCCCCACTGAAAGTGACGATGAGTACCTCGAAGAGCGAGCACGAAAGCGCAAGTCACCAGAAGTACTTCTCTGGTGTCCATTCACCGACAATTTCTTCGACGACATGGCCACGATTATCGCACGAGATTTCCCAATTACCCAATTCGCCGAGAGACACAACTGCGAGAAAAGAGACGTCTTACACGCCCTACACGCGGTAGTCATGGATCCTCTCCGCAAAAGCCAGCCATGGTACGAAGGCATGTCTGTCTCCGAACACGCTCAAATTCTCATTTCAAATTGGCGTGCCCCTCCTTGCATCCCCTCCCCATCTGGACTCCCGGGAGTAGGCTCGCAGGACTTGCCTATTCTCATCGGCGATGATTCTCCTCAACCGTCGAGTCCGAGTGAAATTTCAGAAATATCTGGGGTTAGTCCTTGCAACACTAACCTCGATGGCTTTGAACGGAATTCTAAGGATCAGCTTGCCGCTGTTCTTCGCGCTTTCGCAAAGGAGAGCCCGGGTTGTAAGAAGGAAAGTTACGACTCGCCGACTCCTTCGGTGAATGGCTCTGCTCGCTCAGTCCCCGCTGCTTTAGGGACTGTCTCTCCGTCGAACAGCCCGAATCAGGATCAGGATCAAGGTCGGGGTCGGGATCCCATTCCCGGTGATTCGAGCGGCGAAAGTACCATCCTGGCTTCCTGTTCATCAAAGGCCAAGAGGTCAACGACTCAGCAGGAGAAAGGCCAAATCGCTCGGATTGTGTGCCGCAAGGGTGCCGATGGAACCTGGATCCCAGCTCACAAATGGATTAGAGGATATCATCGCCCGGCAGTACGGGGAGAGGATGATCTCTCTGAATAGTCCGGGGATACTGAAAGACTAGGCGGGGGAGCCGCGAGATGGCGGGCGATATGAATAGTTGTCTGCTATGTGACGGCGAATATGAATGCAGATTTAATGGGATCGCGATTCAGAGTAGCTAGTGAATAAGCAATGGTTATCTTTTATTATCTTTTACTTGCGACGCGATGCGGTGCAAGTTACTTGTACCAAGTAGGTTAGCTGTCCAACGGTGAACGATAGAGACCCACTGGGCGGATTTCACGTATAAGCCTGGAAGGAAAGGGATGTCATTTGCACTGTCAACCCTTACTATAGTCTAACCTTCTAGATATTGAGATTTAAATAACTTGAGGTTTCCTTCTTTAGCTGAAAGATTGCCTTAGGGTTCTGACAGCATAATACTAACAATAAGGCATCGACCCGGGACGTATATCATCCGCCATAGGTGGATAACTAGGATAGGGTTCGGCATAATTTGGTGTCACCTACCAGTGTCCTATCTCGCCGCCACTGGCGCTTATTTTTGGATTTTTGGAATTTATCCGAAGCGTGCAGCTCGGATAGGGTACATGTCTAATGCATGTCGGATCGGACTAGTATGCAGGTAGTGGTGAGTCCATTGCCATTGGAAACTAATCTCTGCTCTGCTCTACCTGCCCTGCTCTGCTCTACACTACATTACCAGAGGGCGGTGACGAACCATGGGCGAAACTTTTCAGCCTGAGCGACGTGGAGAAGGGAGAGACAGAGTGGATCCGGCTGAGGTGGAAGATCAACACAGCCGGAGAGAAGAGAGTGTGGCCAGAACCAGGTGCGTCTGAAGGCTGCAGGGGTGGGGGGCGAAATCATAGATTGGTTAGATTGGCAAGTTTCATAAGGGTGGAATCGGAATGGAATGGCATTGAATTGAAGTGAGAAAAATTTGAGTGTACACTAAAAAGGAATGGAGTCGGTGTAGAGAAGATGGATCGAAGATCATGGCACCTCACCGAATTGGAGGAGTTCCACTCTCAATGACATCAACTGGTGGTGGTACGTAGTGTGGTAGCTACCCTGCTTAATACAGTAGGTATGTCTACCCTAAACTGGGGGCTTGGCTAGCCCCGAGACGACCCCCAGTTTAGGGGCAACCGGGCTAGCCAAGCCGACACGGCCAACAGCAACCCATTGGGTTAGTGCTACACCGCCCTCTCCTAAGCAGGGTGAATGACAGATACTCCCTGCCTCGCTCTCTTACAACTTCTTCTCCTTCCTTAATCAACCTACTTTCTGAACCATCATCTCTTCTTTTCCGTTTCTCCTCCCCCCCCCCCCCTCTCCCCCCCAATTCCGGTATCTAGGGCACCAAGCTACCCTGCTCCTTCCACCTCAATCCTCCCCTCGTCAAGTTTATTCGCCTCCCCCACCCCACCCCAGGCCAATCCCAAAACAAACATCTTCTGTTTGTTTGACACTTAGAGCTTTTTCCATCTCTCATCTTTGTGTCCCGCCTTCAAGATGTCTGCCGTCGACAACCTCGCTGACAACGTGGCCGCTGCCACCATCAACGACACCCCCAACACCAACGGCGCTGCTGCTGCGACCTCGCAGTCTACCGACGCCGCGGCCGCCAGTGCCGATGAGGGTCGTCGTCTGTACATCGGCAACCTCGCTTATGCGACCACCGAGGAGGAGCTCAAGGAGTTCTTCAAAGGTTACACCATGTGAGTTCTGATGGCCGATCTTTACTGGAGCTCTCGTGGGCAAGCTGAAGATGGTTCCCTTCCCTTCTCCCTTTCCGTCCTACAGCTACAGCTACTGACTCATAGCTTCCAGCGAGAGCACCTCGATCCCAGTGAACCCCCGCACCAACCGCCCCGTTGGATACGCATTCGTTGACCTTGCCACTGCTGCCGAGGCAACCGCTGCTATCGAGGGACTTTCCGGCAAGGAGATCCTCGCTCGCAAGGTCTCGGTGCAGCTCGCTCGCAAGCCCGAGCCTGCGGAGGCTAAGGAAGGTGCTGCTAGTGGCGGCGAGGGCGCCAGCGGTAACGAGGGTCGCAAGCGCTCTGGTGGCCGTGGCCGTGGCCGTGGTCGCGCTCGTGGCCGTGGTGGCCGTCTTGGCCGTGGACGTGGTGTATGTTTTGACCCCTTTCCCCCCATGTTCCATCCCTACAGATGATCGAGAATGACGATACTGACGAATCTTTCTTTCGATTTCATAGGCTCAGGAAGGACAAGAAGCTACTGACGCCAACGCTGCTGGCCAGGCTCCTCTGACCGAGACTACCAACGAGAACGAGGCTGCTTCCGCCGACGGCGCTAAGCAGGCCAAGACCCCCCGTGCTGCTCGTCCCCAGAAGCAGCGTGGTCCCCCCCGAGGACGGCATCCCCTCCAAGACCAAGGTCATGGTTGCCAACCTCCCCTATGACCTGACCGAAGACAAGCTCAAGGAGATCTTCGTTGAATACTCCCCCGTGTCTGCCAAGGTCGCCCTTCGCCCCATCCCCCGCTTCATGATCAAGAAGCTCCAGGCCCGCAACGAGCGCCGCAAGACCCGCGGCTTCGGTTTCGTCAACCTGTCCACCGAGGAGCTCCAGGCCAAGGCTGTTAGCGAGATGAACGGCAAGGAGATTGACGGCCGTACCATTGCTGTCAAGGTTGCCATTGACAGCCCCGGCAAGGAGGACGATGTCGATGCTGCTGCCGACCAGTTCGAGGAGACCAACCCTCCCACTGAGGAGAACGCTGCCCCGGCTGCCGCGGCTGACTCTACCCCTGCCCCTGCCCCCGCTGAGACCACTGCCTAAATGCAGGCTTAAGGTCCCAAATCCCCACAGATACTGGCTTGCTAATTGGCTTGTTTTTGAGATGGAGCGTTAATCCTGAGATATGGATATGACCACAGTGATTTTCAAGTCATCTGCGAGTATTTCGTTTTGCTCGACAAGTGGTTTGAGAGCGATCTGTGGTGATGAGAGGGTGTGATGACTTGTTTCTTTTTTATGGATGTCATGGAGAACACGTCCATGGCTGGAGAGCTGTTTCTCTTTTTTTTTCTTTTGTTGCTTGACGCCTCCATCCTTAACGACCTTTGCCTTCTGTAATGTATCTTAGCACCCATTTAACTAACTGATGACGATCTGGCCCACTCCCACGTATCTATTGTATTGTGTTGTTGAGTTATCCACGTAGACCGAAACCGGGCCCCAACTCGGGCGATGACGCTAGGCTGGGGCGACCCTTGTCGATCAGCGGCCAAAACATACCAACTCCCCCCATCCGACTGGAAGAGGTTAAACTACACACCTGAGCACACACTCTTTTCCACCATCCTATCTATATTATTCCTTTCTCATCAAACCCCCTTTTTCTATACGATCCGTGTGGAGCAATCAACAAACGGGGGTAAGGCACCAAATTCGACATAGACTCCGAAATCAACGTGCGGCCCCGAGTCCCACGTCCGCTCCGCCTCCTACTAGCACACCCTTGGACCGCCCTGCGTGTCCGTCTCTTCTCTCCCAATTGTCCCATTTCACACCTTCTATATAACCCACTGCAATGTCTCGCATGTGGGAAGTCGACCCGGAGACGAGGACAAAGGTGCGCTCATGAATCCCCTCCCCTCCCCTCCATTGGCGCCCACCAGGAAGCACACCGCAAAACAGAACAGCGTGACTGACCACTCAATCATCCCAACAGCTCCTCCAAATCTCCAAGACCAACGGAAATGACAGGTGCTGCGATTGCGGAGCGCCTTCACCTCAATGGGTAAGTAAGAAGCCAGCCTCGAGCCCAGCTAGCAGTTACAACCATGACCCTCCCCCCCCCCCCTCCAATCGAAATGAAATTGGCCGCAACCCCCCCCTCCATCAACCCCGAAAACCCATGCAAAGCAGAACGAACAATAGACTAATCTCATAACCCTTTTCTTACTTTACAACAGGCCTCCCCCAAATTCGGAACCTTCATCTGCCTCAACTGTGCAGGCACACACCGCGGGCTCGGTGTACATATCTCCTTCGTCCGCTCAATCACCATGGACGCCTTCAAACACGCAGAGATCCAGCGCATGGAACTAGGAGGCAACGAGCCATGGAAATCCTTCTACGACGCCCACCCAGTCACCACCTCCGAGGGCCGCACATTCGAAGACTCAACCATCAAGGAGCGTTATGAAGGTGACGCGGGCGAGGAGTGGAAGGAGCGCCTTTCTTGTAAAGTTGAGGGCCGCGAGTATGTGCTCGGTCAGGAGAAGAAGAACAATAATGCCTCGTCGCGGTCTAGTACGCCGATGAGTGCTGCCGGCGCGGGCGCTGGTGCTGGTGTTGGCGCGAGGACAGGCTCGCCTGCTACGTCTATTCGCTCTGATAGTCTGCGCGGTGGTGCGGGTGTGGGTGCGTCCAAGAAGGAGCAGAATGAGGCTTACTTTGCCAAAATGGGTAATGATAATGCTACTCGCTCTGACGCGCTGCCTCCCTCGCAGGGTGGGAAATTCACCGGGTTCGGTGGTGGTGTGCCTCCACCCGCAGCGGGAGACCGTCGGTCTTCACCATTTGGAGGACTTGGGGGGTTGGGGTGCATTTGGTGGTGGAGGCGGAGGTGGAGGGCCGGCCTTGGATGATTTCCAGAAAGATCCCATGGGCAGTCTCACGAAGGGATTTGGCTGGTTCGCGTCGACGGTTGGAAAGGGTGCTAAACAAGTCAACGATTCATACCTCCAACCAACAGCGAAGCAACTCGCCGAGTCGGACTTCGCCGCTCAAGCCCGAGTGCAGGCAACCAACTGGGGTCAGAACTTTCAAACCGGAGCCCGCAGTGCGGCAGATCAATTCAACCGTTTCGTCGAGGGTGATGATGGGGGTCATGGTCGTGGCGGGAGCAGTGGTGGTGGTGGTAGCTCCGCTACTCGCTCCAATGTTGATCCCGAGCGTCGCGATTTCTGGGATGACTTTTCTTCTATCGGTGCGCAACAGCAACAGCAGCAGCAGCAGCAGCAGGAGATGTCGGGTCATCAGCGCAGTGGGTCACGGTCTGGCGTTATTGGTACTGCTGCTATGCGGAAGAGTCCTACGCCTGCGGCTTCTTCTTTGTCTAACGAGACTACTGCCCCGTCTGGTGTAGAGGGCGCCGAGGCGGGTCCCACGAAATCCAAGCCCAAGGAGAAGGATGACTGGGATGAAAGCTGGTAATTAGTATTAGTATATATTCGTGTTCCGCGTAGTACTGGTATGTGCTTATGAGGGCGGGTTTCTAGATGTCATGACTTTTGTATTTAGTCCTCATACTACCTCTTGTAGTACTAGTACCTTGAACCCATACTATTCCTAGCTGCATGAACGAAATGTCTCTCGCATGATATCCATGAGTGGGGAGTGAAATTGTGTTGATTGTCAAAATTGTGTGATGGTACATTCGCAGATGTAGAACTTAGTACTGGTATTAGATGAAATGTATTGTACAATGCCTTTGCTATACCAGGCATGGGGAGTGATAGTATCCAATGGCTATGCAAGATGAGCAGTATCCTCAACTCCAGGGCTCTTAGAAGCCACCTCTCAGCTCCGCAATGACAGCCTTCTGTCTCTGAGAAGACATATTTTCAAATCGATCAACACTCATGACGAACGTGCCCCGACCAGCAGTCAAACTGCGCAGATGCTTCAAGTACCCAACCATCTCCTTCAGAGGCACCTTGGCAGTGATATTACGTGGACGCGACGTTGAGACGGACATTTCCGCGCCAAGAGAGGGGGACTCGAATGGATCCAGAGGCGCATATACACGCTTGGGATCGATAGGAGGCAGGTCCTCCTGGCCCACGATGGGATCAGTAGGCGAGGCATCCGTCGCGGTGAGGGGAACTTCCTCATCCAGGGAAACGATATGACCACCTCGCGAAGAGGAGATATCATGGACGACTGAACCCAGGCTAGCTTCGTCCACGCTAATAATTACATTCATAACTGGCTCCATCATGACTGTTCCCGGGCCGGCGGGAAGTTCCCGCAGAGCAGCACTCGTAGCTTGTCGTGCTGCGGCGGAGAGCGCAGATGGAGTGGTATCGCTACCGAAGAGATGTTCGGTCGGGTTGATAGTCAGTGTGACTCGGGTGTTGTGCATTGGAAAGGTGAACTGAGGGCCACGAGCAAGAGCTGCCAGTGCGCCGTTTTGCAGCGCAGTGCGAAGAGTAACGGCATCCATACCTGGAGGTAGGAATGGGCTGGTCTCCTCTTCACCTCTGCCCGCACGCTCCATCTGGAGGCCTGGAGCACGAATGATGATCTGATTGCCTTCGATCGTCTCAGCGAGCAGGGTGTCTTCGTCCTCTGCTTCGGAAATTTCTTCGTCGCCGAACGGCTCCACGATGGCCGTGCAGCCTGCTTTGCCGCGGCGGCCGGCAATCTCCTTGTCAAAGATCTTGGTAATGGCTGAGGATGCCCCCAGCCCGGACTCGCGGTAACCAATCTCGATGCTTCCCATAGATGCCTTCGCCTTCAGGTCATTAATCAAACGATCGCGGGCGATCTCCAGATGCAACTCGCCCATGCCGCTTAGAAGAGTTTGGCCGGATTCTTCGTCCACACTGACATGCAAACTTGGATCCTCTCGTAATAGAAGCGCGAGGGATTCCTGCATCTTCTTCTCTTCACTCAGACTATGTGGCTCGACACTGGTGAAGAACACTGGCGGTGGCACATCGATTGGACGCAGCTGAAGACTGGTTAAGGGCTCTGGGGGTGTCGGTTTGTTTCCTGCATAGGTGACGAGGGTATCACCGGTACGAGCATGTTTGAGTCCAACCACGACACCAATGTGGCCGGCTGGGATTGTATCTACCTCTACCGCATCATTGGCGTGCATTTTCAGTAAGCGAGGCGCCCGCTCGGAGAGATGCAAGTTGGTGTTAAAAAGCAGGCTGTTCCGATCAAGAGAGCCGGAGTATACTCGCACGTAAACCAGTACGCCACGTTTGGGGTCGTTGACCACCTTGAATGCCAAGGCACAGCTCTGAAGTTTCCCAATTGCGTCCTTGGAGTTGGTTTGAAGTGCCACACTCTTCTTCTTTTTTCCTTTGGCAGGAGTAGCGGCCTTCTCGCTTTGCTCGACGATCAAATCCCCCGAGAGCAATCTTCTCAATCCTCCCTTAACTCCACCTATGCTGACCTCTGGGTCAGGCGCCTCGGGTGGGCTGGGTAGGAGGTTCACCACAGCATCTAGCAGCGGCTGAACACCCATGTTGCGGAAGCTTGCACCGGCGAAGAGGGGAACGATACGACTGGTAGGGTCAAGAACGCAGCGGCGGAGACTCTCAATGATATCCATCGAAGACACAGCCATATGGTCTTCATCGCACTCGAAGAACCTCTCCACTATGGTCTCGTCTTGCTCGCTGAGAAGTTCAACTAACGCAGCCCGGGCCTTTCTCAGCTCTTGTGCCAGAGCTGGCTCCTCTGCATCGAGCTGTTGGAGATTCATCATCTTTATAGTGCGTCCATCTTCGCCTTCTCTCCATCGAAGACCTTGCAAATTGATAGCGTCCGCGATGCCGACGAAAGGACCAGTTCCCGCTTCGAACCAAGGAATATGGCATACTGCTGGATAAACAGACAGGCGGGAGCTGACCTCTCGCACCGTGCGACCAAACGCGGCCCCATCACGATCTAGTTTGTTCACGTAGATCACTCGAGGGATCCGGTACGTACTAGCCTGATGCCAGACCTTTTCAGTCTGCGCCTCGACACCAGCCACACCGTCTAGGATGCAGACAGCGCCATCGAGAATACGCAGGGACCGCATAACCTCAAAAGTGAAGTCCGCATGGCCTGGCGTGTCGATGAGATTAATTGTATGCGAGACCGATGACCGCGGTAGAGACTGGTCGCGCGGTTTTGACTGAGCTGCCTCACTGCCACCCCCAGGAGGCCAATGGAAGGTGATGGCAGCCGACTGAATAGTGATTCCTCGTGCACGCTCGGCCGGTAAGAAATCAGTGACGGTGGATCCTTCATCAACATCACCGATGCGACGGGTGAAACCGCTGTAGAAAAGCATGCGCTCCGTAGTTGTCGTCTTTCCGGCATCAATGTGTGCGATGATGCCGATATTGCGTGTTCGGTCCAAGACCTCATCCTGCCACCTAGATAAGGAGGTTGAAAAGCATTGCGCTGAGGTGAGGCGTGGTTTGAAACTCTTGATATCGATGTTGCTCCTCAATGGGCTGATTGGAGTCCTATAAGAACGGGAACTCATACAACGCACCCCCGATTGGGGGACACGCAACAACAGAGTTGCTACCATTTCTCTCAAGAGTGCCCATGCAAGGTCGACCTCGTTAACAGAGACTGAGATACTCTTGTCGATGTACCCTAGAGCTCAAGGTGGATCGATTGGCTTGATTGGCTCGATTGGCTCGTACCTTGGGAAGGAAAATCGAACGGAGCTGGCAACTTCGGGCCTTGGCGCACGCATTCCATTTCCCTACGTAACTCTGTAACTCTCCAACTGCGGTCAACCTCACCTCTCCGCACTTCCTCCTCTTACCTCACCTCACCTCACCACTTGCTTGACTTATTGTATCTCTTTGCTATGCGCTCCATTTAGCGACCCCTCTCTTCTCCATCCCAAGTCACGCCAAGGTGAGTTCTTCCTACTTCTGCTTTGATCTACCTGGCCGCTATTGTGGGGTCCCGACTCCCGAACCCCCAGCCATAATACTGACGCCTGTCCATCACTAGCAGCTCCTCTTCCCCTTTGGCCTTCGTGACGATCCCCCTTACCTCCAATCCCAACCAAGATGGATTACTCAACCCTCACGAACGATCCAGACCAACCCGTCGAGTCCTCGCCTTGGGGTTCTCCGCGCGCCGACCGAAACACCTTCCCCACCTCCGGCAACAATGACATCCCATCTTCTCCATTGCCTGGACAGGGACAATCGGTAGAGAGCGCGGAGGGTGACCGCGAGGCAGGCAGTCAATCCCCGGACCTTTCTGCGCAACTCCAAAACGCACAACTGGGCGACCATGACTACCCCGAGCCCCAGTCACCGTTCGCGACTCAGCAATCCCCCAATGCAGACCAGCGGTCTCAGCTCCCCGCACGCTATCAGACTGGAGCACGCCAGAATTCCAGACCTCCAGCGCCAGCACCTACATACAAGATCCAGGGAAAGATCACTGGCCTCGAAAGGACCGGCAAGAAGGATCCTATTCTTCGATTTGACGTTCATGTGGGTTGATCCTCTCTACCTGGGCTCGACTAGGGTATGACGGTGCGCTCTGAAAATGGCTGACTAACTCCCTTTCTTCAATATAGACGAATATTCCCAAGTTCCGTACGACGCAGTACCGCGATGTTCGCCGGACTCACTCCGAATTCGCCAAACTCGCCGACCATTTAGTCTCGGCTTGCCCGGAAGCTCTTATCCCGGCTGTGCCTCCTCCAGTCACACCAGCCGGCGCAGGGACCGATGAGGACGAGATTCGGGTCAAGGCTGCCATGCAGCGGTGGCTCAATATCGTACTTAGCAATGAGGTCCTCATTCAGGATGATGAGATGGTTCTTTTCGTGGAAAGTGATTTCGGCTACAGCCCCGTCTTACGCATGAAACAGCCTGCCACTGGTGTACGGCGTAAGATGCTAAAGCAGTTTGCTCCGCCCCCAGATGATACTCCCGAGCTTCAAGGCGCTCGTCCTACTGTCAAAATGTTCTACTTGGGATCAATGGACGCTAGTCATAAGGTTGACCGTGTCGTCAAAGGCCGTCGAGGTATGCTTGTTTCAATGAGTCGACCTATCCCGAGTACATAACTAATTGGTATAGGTCTTGGATTGGCCGAGTCTGACTTCGGTGTCAAGATTGGCCAGCTGCACGTTCAGGAAACACACCCAGGCTTGAGCATGGCATACCGCAAGCTGGGCAAAGTAGTTCAGACAGTCGGTGACTATCACGCTATCCAGGCGACAGCCGAGGCTACAACACTAGGAGAGCCTTTGAGCTACCACTCCTCGGATGCGCTGATCGTGAAGGAGACTCTGACCAACCGACACATTCTGCTGCGCGAACTTCTTCAGGCCCAGCAGAGTGCCCAAAGCAAGCGTGCCGCGGCAGACCGATTGAAGGTCAGCTCTTCTGTTCGCCCGGACAAGGTGGATGAGGCAATTGGTGCCCTGGAAGAGGCTCAGACCCGTGAAGACTACCTGACCAAGCGCACGCACCGCGTGACGACGAATCTCCTCCACGAGAAGCGCCGCTGGTTTGACCGCACCACTGCGGACCTTCTATTCAGTCTGCGAGAGTACACTCTGCGCCAAATTGAGGCGGAGCGACGAACCTTGGCCACTCTGGAGAGTGTCCGACCTGATATACGTGCTATCGATGCCTCTGGTGGATTGAGTCGACTAGGTCGCGAGGCCCACCCCGCACAGCGCCGACCAAACGCTGTCTCGAGCCAGGGTCCTAAGGGTGATGCTTGGAGTGGTGTCCCCCGTCGTCCTGAAAGCATGGGCCGCAGTATGAGCGGCAGCTTCACTGCCCCTTCGATTGCACAAGAGGATGACGATGCGAGCCACCAGGAGACTGGACAGGGTCGGGCTCGATCTACCAGCCAAGCTGAGTCGATTGCGGAGGAGGACGATGATCGTCTAGATGCTCGCAACGCTGCCAGCCGGCTGGCCACCAGCACTTTTTAAACTGGACAGGATGCCGAATTGCATCAAGTGTGTTTGTGTTCGGCATCGAATGTGTACATGTAGCCTGGGCACGTTTCGTGATTCCCCTTTTGTTGCTTTTATAATTCGTTTCGTCTTTTTTTAGTATTAAATTCGTCATTCAGATTCCCACGGGTAGTGTGTACGAAGATGTTAACAATGCCACATCACAGAAAATCCTTATTCATTTGGTACATTAAATGATAATGGTTTCTATATCCAACCTTTACTCAAGAACAGTCTCAAACACAAACTTGCAATTCATTCACTGTACTACTACTCCTAGTAGATTCGAAGTACATTAGTCTACCGTATTTAAGTTTCAGTATCTCTCCAGCCAGCGAGCAACACTTACTCCATCCTCAAACAACCGTGACGCCTTCAAGCCAGTCTCACCATACTACCTCTGTTCGTTCACTGAGGCCACCCATCAAACCGTTCTGCACCATCTTCCGGTAGCTCGTACCATGAAGCCTTCTCCGCCAAAAATATATGAGCAGAGGGGGGCGGAATGCGACCTTTCACATCATCATCCAGCGTACCAGCTGCCACCTCCTCCACGTCAGGCATCGAATAAACTCTCATCGAGAGAACCGACCCACATCGAGGACAAAATGTCCGCGAAGCTGTGTCACTCGACTTCCATTCAGTAGGATTGGTCTGCCATTGGATCGAGCCTGTAGGGAAATGCACAAAGGCCAGGTAGGGGGCGCCGGACTGTTTGCGGCATGTAGTGCAGTGGCAGTTGGCCAGTCTGGTTGGAGGTACAGAGGTGGTGTACTTGATGTACTTGCATGCGCAACTTCCGGAGGCCATTGTAGTCTGATAATTGGAAGGGTTCAAGGATGTTGTTATACGAAAGTTACCCCACTCTATCGGCTGGTGACCTTTATACTCCAAGGCGCTCGTGCCACCGGTTTGTTTGATGGTGTGATTGGTTAATTTGGAGTCAGTATGGAACTTGATGTCATTGCCATGGTTCGGGTGGCAGGTAGTATTTTACAGAGAGGCGTTGGCTGGAAGTATTGGGAAGATTAATGTAGTAAGAAAATTCAACCTAAGAGATTTACCCGCTGATTCCGATATTCGAAATATGTAGGATGCCTTGAAGCTCGGGGATAAATGATTCTATCAAACCCCCCCCACCTTTGTGGTCCGACTCGGCCGAATTGCTTGATTTCAAAGCATGCAGAACATAAATGTAACAACACTCGGATTGGTCCTCTTTCGACCTCACAAGTCACAACCTCAAACTTACCACTCGTATCGTATCGTCTGATTTCCCACAACATGGCTCCAAAGGTCTTCCTGTGAGTACTCTTCCACCCCACTCGTCACCCTTGTCAATATCAAGCTAATCTGACCCTCTCCACAGCACTGGTGCTACTGGCTATATTGGTGGCGACGGCCTCTATGCTGTCTCCAACGCCCATCCCGACTGGGAGCTCTCAGCTCTCGTTCGTAGCCAGGAAAAGGCCGCTCAACTCAAGACCAAGTACCCCGATATTCGGGTAGTCCTCGGTGACCTCGATTCGTCTGATGTCATCGAAGAGGAGGTTAAAAATGCAGATATTGTCTTTCGTGAGCATACTACCTATTATTTTTCAGAATTATCATACAAAACTACATGTTCTTCCTAGCTAACTCTGGCCTAGACTTTGCTGACTGCGATCATGTCGCTGCGGCCAAGGCCATTGCCAAAGGAGCTCAACACCACACGCCCGAGCGCCCTCTCTGGGTGATTCACACCTCGGGAACCGGCATTTTGACTGTCGAAGATCAGCGAGCTCGAAGCTACGGAATCGAGCGTCCCAAGGAGTATAATGACTGGGAAGGGGTAGCCGAGCTTGTCAATCTTCCCGGAGATGCTTTCCACCGCAACGTGGACGAAATTATCATTGGAATTGGTCGACGGGATCCATTCAGTGCTCGCACTGCTGTTGTCTGCCCACCAACGATTTATGGACCCGGCCGTGGCCCCGGTAACACGAAGAGTTTCCAGGCCTACCTACTAAGTGCCGCGGTGCTCAAACGTGGCAAGGGCTTTCTGGTCGGCAAAGGCGAGAATGTCTGGCATCAGGTTCATGTCCAGGATCTAAGCAACGTCTATCTCGCACTAGGCGATGCCGCCGCTGAAGGTGGCGGCAAGGCTACCTGGAATGAAGAGGGCTATTATTTTGCAGAGAATGGATCCTTTGTTTGGGGGGATATTCAGCGAAAGGTGGCCGAGGAGGCATATGCTCAGAAATTTATCTCCTCGCCCGCTGTTGAGTCTCTGGATGAGAAAGAGACTACTGAAATCTTGTCTGCGGGAGTTTACGCTTGGGGATCTAACTCTCGCGGGCGTGCCCTTCGTGCACGGAATCTTTTCGGATGGGAGCCTAAGCAGCCAAAGCTGATTGATTTGATCCCGGAAATTGTGTCGCTGGAGGCGAAGGGACTTGGCCTCTGAGAGACATCCTGATTGCGTGGAAGAAGTGTGGCATTTTGGGTGAATGAAGGAGATATCACTTAATCAATGCACCTGCCAGCACTGGCAGAGCCAGATCCTCTCATCCACGCATAGTCAAGATTTAAATGACTGATCCTATCATTCTTTGTCCTCATTCTTAGGTTATCTACACCCCGGCCCATCGAGTCCTCATAGATCGGCGATGTGATAGCTTGGAGGCCACGACAACAGATAATATTAACATATTATCCGAGTACATAAAATAGAAATAATTCGCTAGTACCAGTAAGCTAAGATTTCTTTTGTAACTGAGCACAAGAGTAGTGAATTGAGACATATAAGTTACAGTACTACTAAACTACATAGTCCCCGGCGGTCTGGTGACTTGGTTACCTGATTTATCGCCTCAGGCAGCATTTTAGCCCCATCTTTGCTGCTCCGAGCTTCACTGCCACCATTCACCTCCATCCTCTACCTCTGCCTTCACTGCCCTCACTGCCTATCCCCTCAGCCACCGGAGGATACGGCATTCTAGTCGGTATGGCACTTCTTATTCTTCTTCGCTACACACGCGTTCTATCGCCATCTGTTCCCAATTGCTGACAATCGCCCTACCGCGTTTCTTTCAGCATCAAACCCATGACTTAAGATCATTTCCTATCCCTGAGAACGTCTGCTTTTTCCAAGCCGGCTACCCAACGGTCGTTAAGACCGCCATGGCCCCCGGTCAGGGTGGCAGCAAGCGCAAGCGCGGTGAGCGCTCCTACTCCGGTGACTCGGCGAGCAACGACACCTCGCGACCTTCTCCTCATCGCCCCGGCACTCTCAACATGGCGCATCACCCCTCGCCCCATGGGTATCAAGCCAGTCCACCCCGAGAGCCTCATGACATGCGCGACCGGTCTCGTCGCCAACCGTATCGTGGAAACGGGGGGCGAAATAACTTCCGCCGTGGGTCTTATGAACAACAGCAGAATTTTTCTAGTTCGCAGCAGAAAGAACCAAACGCAATGTCTCCGCCGCCGCCGACACAACCTCGAGAGGCCACCGAACATGCGCATGCATCCGAAGAGCCTTTGTCGCAACCTACGCCAACTCCCGCACCCAGCACCCCTGCCTCGCAGCCTCAGCAACGACCTCCCTCGAGAGCCAATTCAGACGCCATTCCGACCCAGGTCACTGGACCGCCTCCACCCTACGATTATGAATATGTCACAGATAGTTTAGTTGAGGAGTGGTCCTCGGGAGGAAAAGAAAAGCTCGTCGAACAAGGACGTGCCGCTCTCTCGCAACAGGACCTTCCCCGCTTGGCATCGGTCTACCAGGAACTTATTCGATCCGCAATCTATGGAAGACTTGTGCCATCCGGAGCAGGAAGTGCCGTGAAAGATATAGTTGGAGAGGAGGGTGCTTCTCGAGATGAGGACATGGAAGGTGCCGGATCGACGGCCTCGACTACTGAGCTGGACTCGCGTTCTTTGTTCCTTGACACGCTTTCGATTGTAACAGATACCGATACTTCTAACCCAACACTCAAACCCCTCGTTTTTGCAACCGCAATTTCTCCGAACCTCATGCGCCTCCAGCTCGATACGCCCCTCTTGCAATCGCTGGGTTTGGTTCGTGAAACCTTCGCGCGCATGGGGATTCGCAAACAGACCAATCTCCTTTACCGCCAATCGAACTACAACCTTCTCCGAGAAGAATCCGAAGGCTATTCAAAGCTTCTCACGGAACTGTTCACCACCAGCAACAATGAGCCACCGTCGAGTGAAGTGGTCGAAGATACATTTGAGAAAGTGAAGGGTATGATTGGCGCATTTGATATGGATGTTGGTCGAGTTCTGGATGTGACACTCGATGTGTTTGCCGCGGTCCTTGTCAAACAGTACCGTTTCTTCGTCAAGCTCCTCCGAGCCAGTTCTTGGTGGCCAAAGGAGGGCCAGTCTCCTAATGGCGAGCATTCCCAACGTGCTTCAGGGCTACCTAGCTGGGCACTTCCCGGATCATCAGGATGGGTTACAACTGACGAAGAGCGTGCAAACATTGTACAATCGAATGAGCATCGTGATCGAGAATTTTGGGATCGTGTAAGGCAGGTGGGCCTCCAAGCTTTTTTCGAGATCGGCCGTAAACCTATGTCTGAGGAGGAAAAACAAAACGCACTCCCGGCGGCTAACGGTGCTGCTGAGGACGATGCCACACGATCCTGGATTGAAGAAACTGGAACACTGCCACCTATGGGTAATAGGGTTGCCGCGCAGCTCCTTGGCTTCAAATTACGGTTCTACGCCTCTACAGCTCGGAGCAAGTCGGACACTTTGCCAGATAACCTCATCTATCTAGCTGCTCTTCTCATTAAAGTGGGCTTCATCTCTCTCCGTGACCTCTATGCTCATCTCTGGAGACCCGATGAATCTATGGATGAACTGAAGACAGAGAAAATGACCGAGAAAGCAGACAGAGAGAAGGCTGCTCGTCCTGGAGGTGGATCCAACGCTCTAATGATGGCCGGTGCCCTGTCAGATGACACGGTTCCTATTCCCCGACTCCGAGATATCGACTCTCGATTGGCCACTCCAGGAAAGGAGCAGGATTCTGACAAGCAGACCACTCCAAAGCCCGAAGACGAATTGCCGGACCCTTCAGACCAAAAGGTTCTGTTGCTTAAAAGCCTTCTCGCAATCGGCGCTATTCCCGAGTCATTGTTTATTATCAGCAAGTTCCCTTGGCTGATGGATGGCTATCCCGAACTTCCTGGATATTTTCATCGTATTCTCCACCATTCGTTGGACAAGGTTTACACCCGGCTTCGGCCTCTTTCAGAGAAACCCGACCTCCCCGGCGAGCACCAAATACTGAGCACTGATCAGACCGGTGTTGCCAAGGGCAATCTCCGACTCGCACAACCCCCCGCTCGCCGAATTCTGCGATGGGCACAACTCGATGCGGCGGACACGAATGAAGGCACTGACTACCGATTCTATTGGGATGATTGGGCCGATGATGTACCAATATGCCAGTCTGTTGACGATGTCTTTGCCTTGTGCTCGTCATTCCTCAATTTGTCGGGCCACAAGATCGGTCAAGACCCAGTCTTGCTCACCAAAATTGCAAGAATTGGAAAGGATAGTCTTGCTAAAGACAATTCCGACGGAAATAGAATACGCTGGCGCGATCTTTGCAAGCGTCTTTTGCTACCCGCCATCAGTTTGACCAATGCGAACCCTGGTGTTGTCAATGAAGTGTTCGGTCTTGTCAGTTTTTTCCCTCGCGATGTTCGCTACAACATGTACGCCGAGTGGAATTATGGACAGACATCTCGACTTCCAGATATCAAGTCTGCTTTCGACCAAGCAAGAGCAGAAACCAAAGACACCCTCAAGCGTCTCAGCAAAACTAATACTCGACCAATGGCCCGTGCTTTGGCCAAGATCGCCTACGCCAACCCCGGTGTTGTTATCAATGTTGCCGTTAGTCAAATTGAGTCTTATGAAAACCTGATCGAAGTTGTTGTCGAGTGTGCGCGCTATTTCACTGACCTGGGCTACGACATCCTGACCTGGTCGCTCATCAATTCACTTGGCCAGAAAGGAAGAAGCCGCGTGCAAGAAGGCGGTTTGCTCACTAGCCGATGGCTTAACGCGTTGTCAAACTTTGCTGGTCGAACTTTCAAACGATACTCCGTCATGGATCCTGCCCCCTTGCTACAATATGTGGTTGAACAACTTCGCCATAACAATTCAACGGACCTTATTGTTCTGGAGCAAATGATCAGCTCCATGGCGGGTATCATCACAGACACCAACTTCAACGAAGCCCAGATCCACGCCATGACTGGTGGCGAGGTCCTTCAAGCACAGACCATCCTGCAACTTCTGGACAAACGACACGATTCAAAGCTGACCTCAAAACGGCTGTTGAAGTCACTCACCCACACTCGCCTCGCCGGTCAACTGTTGGTTGCAATTGCGCAAGAGCGGCTTACATGTGTCTTTAACGAGTCATCATCAGAACTAAAGCTTCTCGGCAATATCTTCGATGAAATCCACCGCATCCTCACTCAATACCTCGATTTCCTCCGCTCAAACCTGTCCGTTGACGAGTTTGACTCTTTCGTTCCCGGCTTCGCTTCCCTGATACAAGACTTCGGTATTCAACCCGAAATCGCTTTCTGGATTCGGCGCGTCAGTGTGTCTCGGAAGATCGCCGATTTTGAGAACTCTAAGGCGGAGCTGGAGTCTTCAAGCAAGGACACTGCAGAGGTCTCGACGCCTGCGTCCAATAGTGAAGCTAAGATGGATATCAACGAGGATGGAGAAATTCTTGTCAAGGAAGGGGAGACTATGGACATCGATGCAGATGAGCAGTCTACACCTGCTCCGCCTGCGGTGCCACCTATGCCGCTGGCTGCTAATCCAGTTATGCAGGATTTGATTGATAATGTCAAGTCTTCGTTGCCAGCCGAGTCATGGGAAACAGTCGGTGCCTACTTCTATGCGACATTCTGGCAACTTTCTCCTCACGATATGCACATGCCTCAGAAGTCATACGAGGAAGAGATTGGAAGATTGAAGAAGAAGGTGCCGCGCATCGACCGTTCTGATGTTAGCATGGCTAGCATTCAACGGAAGGAGTGGGAGAAGAAACAAATCACCAATTTGCAAGAGCGCTTATTGGCAGAAAATAAGCATCATGTCAAAACCTATCAACAGACACGCAGTAGACTGCAATCCGAAAAGGATCGATGGTTCGGTGGCATGCGTCGCAAACATGATGCGCTGAATATAGCATTGCTAGAGCAGTGCTTTGTTCCCCGACTGCTTTTGTCTCCTATCGACGCTTTCTTCTGTTTCAAGATGTTGAAGTTCCTGCACAGCGCTGGAACCCCTAACGTCCGTACAGTCGGTCTTATTGATCAACTGTTCCGGGAACAACGCCTGACGTCGCTCATCTTCATGTGTACCTCAAAGGAAGCCGATAACCTTGGACTTTTCTTGAATGAGATCTTACGGGACCTTGCCCGTTGGCATGCCGACAAGGCTGTGTATGAGAAGGAAGCATTCGGTTCCAAGAGGGATCTCCCTGGTTTTGCGAAAAACGTTGATCCCGAGGGAGTCCCGGGCGCGTTCTTGGAATTTGAGGATTTCCGTCGTCTTCTTTACAAGTGGCACCGATTGTTTTCCAACGCCCTCAAAACTTGTCTCAATGGAGGCGAATACATGCACATTCGCAATGCCATCAGTATCCTCAAAGCAGTTGTTCAGCATTTCCCCGCCGTGAACTGGATTGGTCGTGAGATGCGCGCCTGCGTCGACACGCTCAGCAAGGAGGATGAACGAGATGATGTTAAGATCCCCGCTGCTTCCCTCATCGGTGATCTCAATCGACGAGAGAAGAATTGGATGCTCCCTCAAGCTTTCAACCTGATCAAGCACCCTGATGGTGGCCAGCCGAACACTGGATCTCATCCACCAGTCGATCATTCTGACAAGGCCGGTACTCCTGGCTCACAATCGCCCGCCCTGAATTCCACTGCACCTGAGTTCAAGCCCGAAACCCAAGAGTAAGTCGCCAATCCAATATAACAGCAAGAAAGAAACACTGACCCTTCCCTCAGCGCCGCAATCGCCACCAAGCAAGAATCCGCCACAGGTGAAGTTGAGGATGGTGAGATAGACGATACCAAGATGACCGATGCTACACCTGTCAAGGCGGATGAATCTCAGCCCACCACCAAATCTTCTACGGATATCGCTGCCATGGATACGAGTGCAGATCGTGAACAGGGAACCCGAGCCCGGTCTCGCGCAGGACGCCAGCCTGATATTCCGAAACGGCCGGAGCCCGCGATGAACCCGCGTGACGTGGCTCGTCTTCCTCGACATACCGAAGGTCGACTTCCTCCACGTCCCGACTTAATGGATGACCGACGAGGCAGGCACCCTGAATTCAACCCTCGCAACCGACAGGGAGCCGGTGCAGATCAAACTCGTTCTTTTGATGGCCCTGGTGCTACAGATCCCCGCGGTCATGGACGTGACCGTGAGTTTGGAATGCGACCTCCCTTAGACGATCCCATGCGTGGACCACCACATCGTGATGGTCGCCCTCAACGCGACGCAGAATGGGGATCTGATCGCAGTCGTCCCCGGCCTGATTCATTCCATGGTCGCGACGCCCCTGCGCGCGGGGAGATCCCCCCTGACATCCCAGATCGACCGGCTGATGGCCCTCGCCGTGGTGACCAGATGCGCCCCGAGAAAGAGGATCGACGCCCTCACCCACAACGTCCTCTATCGCCTCCCAGATCTGATTTGCCCAACCGCCCTGAACGCTTCCCCAACGATCGTCGATCGGGTAACTTCAACCCGGCAACTCGACATGACGAGTTTCCTAGGGGTCCTCGTGGTGACCGTTCTGGTGGTGAGCCTGATCTGCAACATGGCCGATTGCGCGGACCTGAACCCGCTCTTGACGTTCCATCTGGGCCTCGCGCCAGTGGAAAGGGCCGCAACGCACGCAATGCGTCAAGTCATGCTCCTCCCCCGAGCTCAAGCAATGGCAAGCTACCCACCCCTGAGCGCCAAATCCCCACCGGCCCTAGTCGCGCGAGTGGTCGCGGGCCCCCAGATCAGCAACCTCCTGCTACTCCATCCCAGAGTTCAGAGCCTGCTGAAAGTACAGGCATTCACCCGGATCGATTGAGGCAATTTGAAGCGGACTCACAGCAGTCACCTGCAACTACCATGACTCCCCCCGTCTGGACCTCGGGCCTCGAATCAGCAAGGTGGACGCGGACCTGGTGGTGACCGCAGTCGAAGTGATAAGCGATTCGCCGGTATCAACAACATGCTGCAACAGACCAATGGCGCTGTAGAGCGCGGTGTGGCCACGCCTCCTGTTCGTGGACGCGGCGGAAATCGACAATCGAGTGCAGCCATGCCTTCTCCTCAAACTGCGCCTCGGCCTCCTCAAGGTCCAGCTGGTGCCGACGAGTCCGGCTCTACTCGGAGCCGCCCAGAATCCCGCACCGAGTTGATTGGCGATGCCCCTACCCCAGATAATCGTCGCTCGGGCCGGAACCCTGATCGGGATAGGAACCGCGACAGGGATCGCGAGCGCCGAGGTGACGATGCCAGCACTGGTAACTCTCGACGAGAAGAGAGACGCGAGCGTGGCCGTGACTCTGATCGCGAACGCAGCCGTCGAAGCGACGTTGGTGGTAGCGGCGGCGGTTCCGGACGGGAAGACAAGGATCGTGATCGAGAGCGCCATGCGGAGCAACCCCGCGATACTTTGCGTAGGGTGCCAAGTTCGCGCGAGGAGATGCGACGCCGAGACCGACGTGATCGTGGCGATGACGGACCCCCAGACACGAGCGGACCTGCACCCAGCAGTGGCAGTGGAAATGCCAACGAGGCCGAAGGCCGTCTTCGCCCGCCATCATCAACGGGTGCACCACCGCCTCCTCCTCCCCCTCCTCCCCCGCCTCCTCTTCCAGCTGATGACAACTCTCCCCGTCGCTGGGGACCTGGTGGAGGCGGAGACCGAGGAAACCGTACCGAGCATCGGGATCGTGAGCGTGAGCGCCGTGGTGACCGTGGACGTGAACGAGACCACCACCGTGAGAGCGGCGGTGGACAGCGCAAGCGTGGACGTCCTAATCCTGAAGACAACGGTGGTGAAGGAGGTGGACGAGGTGCACGTATGGGTGGGGACAACAAGCGTCCTCGCCGCGGAGGAGCGTGATGTATCCCATACATAAAATGCGGTTGAAACTGTGGATTTTTCTTTATTTTGTCTTTCCTGATGGGATTCTTTACCTTCTTCTGATTCCCCTTTATCTTCTTTTCTATCATGTTACTATTACTCAAGTTGCATTTTGACCGGTGTTTGGGTCCTTCACTATACTCCTGTTTTCTCTTTTCTCATATCTCGCTTGATGTCAAAGAAGCCAATACAACCATCTCAATTTTCCAAGTCTTCCAAGGTTATTCTTCCAAGGTTCATGCTTGCATAAATCAACTACGTGTAGGAAAGTTATTCAAATAAGTACCTAGGTAGACAAGAAGAAAAAGGTGGTTTTGTGAAAAACAAAGTCTAGTGCTAATGGGTATATGCAACCCCTGCAAAATCAATATATCTATTACTTTGTGTTGGCCTTGGGCTTCTTAAGATAAAATATAATCCCAAGCACTCGTTCACGGCTAACTAGGCCACTAGAAACGAGCCAACTTCGATCTGCAACTAGACTCATCAAATTAAGCCTCGCTTTCCAGTCCACTGAAGAGGTATCTGTCGATTCCTCCAACTCAAAAAACAAACTTTCGTCTAATCGCACTCGCCAGAACCATGCAGGCAACTCCCATCCAAATCCCAAGAGCATATTTCCTAAATTCAGAATATTCTCTAGTGTGTAGTCTGTAATAGGGCAGACATACTCAGAGATCAAAACCACAAGCTCCAATGGAAGGATACTGAAGACAGAGGATGGATGATAGCATTCAGCCTTAGCGGAGTTGATAGCTTCTTGAATTGTGGGCACGACAAGCGGACTTTGAGAGACATCCAAGTCGCATCGTAAGCTTAATGTAAGCTCAGAAGGGCCAGTAAAATCAGGGGATATTCCCCACCAATAATTGTCCCGCCAGTAGTTTCGATAGTTTTGGACCAGCTTAGCGAGATTTATATTGTTGAGTCCTGGGCCTTCGACTTGACCGAACAGGGCCCAGCAATGGGCATGGATAAAATATCCGATAGTCTTATCTTTATATACTCTAGGCTGTCTTTCGATGTTTGCAGCATAGAATTGAGTAAACACCTGATTATGGTATTGGGGATTTTTCTTCCCGCTCATTCTCGCTTTTGTTGGGTCATCCACAGCATAGTAGGGCCCCTGGGTATTCCCAAGTGGTATCGAGTTAATGCCCGTTAGGCGGTACTTAGTACCAGAGTCCTTGATAAGTGAGCTAATTAGAAGACCTGGAATAATTTCACACTAATTTAACTTGGCAGAGGCTTACTAGCTCGATAAAGGCAGGACCATAGCCGAGGGAACTTGCCTACATAGTAGGCGTTTTCTACCTCATATGATGATACCATAAAATGTTCAGGACCGGGCTTCCAAAATTTTTTCCAAAATTGTTTGTCAAGTTTCGGATGTCCTTGAGGCATTCCCAACTCGTTTGGGTTTTGAATTTCCACTCCGCAGAAGAGACAAATTGGGATTGGTAAAACACCCGAAGTAGAAGCGCGTGGATGTGCCATAATGAAGAGAATGGTATGTGAACGTTCGAAGTTATTTAGAAATATGAAGTTGGCCTTTTCATAAATTGACATCATAGTGATTGCCTGATTATCAGATTATGTGAAGCTACATACATACGGGCTATCTGAGTGTCTGGACACGCTAGTCAATTAGCTACGGCGGACTATTGCGGCCTTCGGGCCATTCTGTTTACAAAGGGAAAGATTGTCAGTTAGTAGCAACTTTACAACACTAACTCTTATACAGTGGTCAAGCTAGCGTATCATGTTTAAATAAGCCCGCTTACTCAGGCTACCTGAGTTAACTAACTAGTTAGTTAACTACAGGAGCTTAGTAAGTAACCTAGGAATGATCAGGTTCAGGGTCAGTGATCAGATCATAGTGCTCAGGGCAGACTTACTGAGCAAATCAGGGTAACTAGTTACATCGATCAGGCTCAGTGAGTAATCAGCTTGGTTACATAATGATCACTGATCAGCTCAGGCCGGTCAAGGCCGTACTTAATTCTACTCCGGGAGCAAAAGCGGCGAGGGGGTGAGCATTAAAACGGAAAGGGAAAGCCAAGAATTGCCAGACATTATCCGGTATATATATACATGACAAAACAAACCATATCAAACAAAAGAAAACGCTAAAAGCAGCGAGTGGACATGTTAATCGTAGGCATCCAAGGTTCTCCTCTTCAGCCAGCAGCAACAACAGCTGTATGTATCCTTCTCCCTTCCATAGAAGGTTCCCTCTTCCGCATCCCCAGTCCGGTCAACTTCTTCAGCAAATGCGACGCCCGCTTACGCTTATGCCTTGGCTGAGCATCATCCGGCGACAATCCAACCGAATAAACCGTTTCTTGGTTTCGAGGCACAGGAGTCGCAGGGTTTGTAGTATCCGCTCCATCAAAACAGAGCTTATAAAAGCCGTGGTAAGACTTCTCCTCTCCATCACCATCTTCATCGAAAGAAGAGAAACTATGCACCGAGACACTGCCGCAGATACTAGAGTTCCGGCTACTAGTGACCTCGTATGCGGAAAAGTTGGCGAACTTCTTCTTCGTGGGCGCTTGGCGGGTACTGTAGAAACGGCGTGGTGCGGCCGGGGCTGGATGTAAGGAGTTCTTTTGAGTCGGGGGTGGGTTGGTTGGGGAGGAGTGGATGTCACGGCGTGTTTGCATGTCTAGACTTGCTCGGAGCCAGGTCATGCCTTCTACGCCGAGGGAGATGTCTCGCTCTGCGAGCGGTTGGTTCAGAGGTTTCAGGTCGTGTGTATCATCGTGGGCCCAAAGTGCATCTGTTTGAGGCGGGCTGTATGGGAAAAGGACAGGGCTTGAAGAACGAGAGCGGGAGAATGAGGGAGAGCGTGATCGAGATCGAGATTGTGGTGATGTTGTTTCTGTAGCGAAACTGCGGCCTCGGGCGCGGCCTCGGGATTCCTCTTCTTCGTGTGGAGAGGTTGATAGTCGGCCTCCGTAGAACCTGCCATTGCCATTGCCATTGCCTGTTGTTGTAGCAGTAGCAGTGGCAGTGGCAGATACATGTGCAGTCGGTGAGATGTTCTGATAGGCTCGGCCATAATATCTTGGCGATTGATTGCTAAAGGCCACGCCGGAATCATGCTCAGCCTTGGGCGCGAGAATTTCCTTCTCCAGGATTCGGGCCGGAGATAGACGGCGGCCCTGAAAATTGGTGCGTGTTTCAAGTGAAGAAGCTTTGGCCACTGGGCCACTATGTCCATGTCGAGTGGACAGGGATCCTGTTTCGAAATACGGCCACATAGGGAGTCCGCGGTCAAGACTTTGGATGAGGAGTGAGCAGGAATGCTTGACCTCGTCTTCCAAGTCTTCTTCGATTTCTTGTCGGTCAATCAAAGGTGACGCTGGGCGGAAGTATCCCGGCCCATCTTCAAAATTGTAGCATCGAACATCATCCTTGTTGTCCAATGATGTCTCCGCGAGGTTTGACGAAAGAGGACTGGTGGCTGAACGTGGGCGGCTTCCGGGGATGTTGATGGATGCCGTGGATGAACTCATGGTTGAAGCGCGAGTACGGTTATTTCGACTGAAAGTCAAGCGCTGGCGAATCTTGGTTGCTTTCTGAGAGAGCTTGCGCTCCATTATGGTTGTATAATGAGCTTTGTTCGCAATCGATTGTAGTTGGTAGTTGGTTGCAGAAGCCAAAAATTGTTGTTGACAGCGGCGGGGAAGGGCTATAGTATGAGAATTTATGATTTGCAAATGGTCCAGGTAGCCTAGTCGGTTCTTCAGCAACCAGTCTGTTCCCCTACAGAAGCTGAAAGGGTAAATCGATAAATGCTATGTCGGTGGGCGTGAATGATCGAGTGCAAACAATGGGAGCGACCTGCCAGCGGCGGCAATGTGCTTTAGTGTATGCAGCCAGTGGCAAACAGCTTCAAATGATCGACTTCAGTCCGCTGCGGCGGGCAACGTAGAATTCCTAACTATGTCAACCCAGCGTATTGAAGGTTGCAGTGCTTGAATCGGGGGGGTCGCAGCGTTGGCCGTACGACCAAAGACTGGAATGCGGGGGATGGCAACGAGGGATGAATCCCGAGTGGAGGGGAGGAAGAGAGTGTGTGTGATAGAGTGTGAGAGAGAGACAGAGTTGAATAGTTCGTGAAAAATCAAAGACACTCGCGCGTCATGGGGCATCCTGGCTTGCTTTGAAGGATGCTGCGATTCGGCAAGTGTCAATCGTCCAGGCGCCTCGGAGGGCCCCAGCTGATCCATTTCATGTGGAGGGGGGGGGGCAATGATCCATAAATCAGAACGATCGGATAACCAATAGATAGCCACCCTAGCCAGTCAAGGCTTTTGCTTGCCTGATTATCAGGAGTCGAGTGGAGGCCCTTTGAGCAACCTGGTTAGGGTTGCGAGGGGAATAGGGCGAGATGAACATGAAGATGGGCTCCACCTCCCTACAAACAAGACCACAAGGGGGGGGCCGAATCTCACCTAACGGGGTTTAAGATCAGCCAGTGGCCGTTAGTGTCAGGTCCAGACCGGCGTCGATGGAGGTTTTATCCGCCATTGTCCTTTAGACCCGTTTCTGAGCCTTGGTCGCTTAGGTTTGTATGGGGAGTATCCGTAGGTACTCCGTTGTGGCACCCCTATTCCAGCTAATATTGTCACACATATGTACGCTAGATACGCCTTCGATGCTGATTCGCGCTTGTCTCGCACTGATAGAAACCATTGGGAAAGGCGTTCGGCCGTGCTCCTTTCGGGGCGATCGTCTATTTTGTCCCCACCATGAAAGCTCTGACTCGTTTCGCAGGTTTCGCAGCCCAAGGGGGGGCGATACGCCCGCCCAGTGGGGGGGTTCGGGGGTTCCTCACTCCTGACAATTATTAGATTTGTCTCCCAGTTCGGTCCTTGATGCACTTGGTGCCAATGAAATCATCCAGGGTTGTCTCCACTTCAACGGCTGTCGTCCCACTTCTTTCCCCTTTGTGTGAGATTGGATCTGTAGCCTCATCTGTGAATGGCTTCGAGAAACCCACTGCTCTTCACCGTAATTTTCTGCTTTGCCCCCGGTGTTTTGAATTTGTTTTGATCTTCACCGCTGAAAGATAAAGATTTTGGATCTACAAAAGTACGGAAACTCGGGCTGTGCTCAGGATATTTCTTTTTTCCACGTCGATCATTGATGATGCAATCGTAAGGACGCTACACAAGATTCATTAATGTCTTACTTCTATGACTTAACCGTTGAAGCCCCTTGCAGCAACTCTATAAAATTCCATTGCCATTTATGTACGGAGTGCATTTCGATTAAATGAAGCTCACTGCCATGTATTCGCACTTTCCCCGTGGTCTAAATTTAGAGCCGAGATGTGTCCATTTTTGCCATGTGAGACATTGAGTGAACACATTTACGATTTATTGTCGTACCCTTGCTTACTTTACTCCGTATAGCTCATTGCCATAGCTTTGTATCTCTAAATCGGGCATCAAAACAAGGGAAGCTGATGTGTTGGATGTGATTATGTGGGGTTATATATTTGATCGGGCGGATGCAATATCCGTTGAATTTCAATGCTTGGAAGACGACTACTACTACTACTAGTATTACTTTCAATTTGAAGTCCAGCTTGAGGGCTTTTGCATTTTATAAATTCTCAAGGTTTGAACTGCGCATATTCCAATGCTTATTATAGCAGATTATATTCTAAACTACTAATACTCTTCTATGTAGATAGTAAGTAGATTAAAATAGTTCTCAATACTACCTTGATCCGTTAGAACGATTGAGCGAATAGCTCGCCTCTTGCTTTTGGAAAGAAGTCCGAGTGGTCTAACTTATTGCATCCAAGCCTCATACTGCCCTCACAGCTTCTCAATCTTGCCTGCGGCTGTCTGTAAGCGCTTGCTGGCATATTGACGTGGCTAATCTTGAATGGTGAGGAGTACGGCTTATATGCCCGTCGACGTGGCTATGGCCGGTTGTAAACCAGCCTAGAAATATCTTAACATAAATGAGGGGGGGAAAGTCCGGTTTGATTGCATTCTTTCGTTCGCTACTCCCTTGCAATCTTCAGGCTTTTCCAGTATCCGCTATTCCCGAGCTCTATCTAATTAGTCGCAGTGCTGTACCCTATCACACAACGAAGCAATGTCTTGCGCTCCAGGAGGAGAGATACCATACATGTTTGAAGATGAAAGTCTTCGGGATGAGGCCCTCGCGGCTGCAAGTGCCTTTTCGAAACCAGAGGGCAATAAAAGACTTGCTTTAATCGGAGATGCAGCGCTGCGACTGGTTCTCTACATGCATGGCTACGCTCGGGGTTGGTCGACAGGTGAGAATATGATTCACTTGACATGAGAACTAGAAACTAACCGCGAGATAGAACAAATGAGTGACCTCCAAAGCAAAATTGTTGGTACCAATGATAATCTGATCCTGGTCGGGTTCCGCCGAGGCCTGGACAGAAGGATTCGACCTAATCCTGCTCAAAATTGCGTTGAAAGACGGTTAATGGCCACCACGATGGATGCCATCATCGGTGCTGTATACATTGACTCTGGAGAGGACATCGTCGTGACTCGGCAGTTTATCATGGATCTAGGCCTGCTATCAGGCCTGCCTAGATGACTATGAGTCTGTTTAATGTTAGTCCCGAGTTGGAGACTACAGTCGAACATAAGCTTACACGACCAGGAACCACTCCCCTCGAGGAATGTTTGAATATTTCTCCGTCGGCAGTTGCTGGTATATGCCCTGATAAAGATGGCCTCGAGTACTTTCTCGAAGGGGAGGCCCGGGGCGCCGTTGCGTGGGTTCTTCCGTCAGCGTGAGGACGCATACGATGTCGTCCCCGGTCTCCCCCTCGAGGGAGAATTCGGGGCCAGCTTTATGATGGCATCTAGGAGCTAGTGTGGAGGGAGAAATGCTTATGCATTCCCTGAGGGTTTAGTTTATTGATTTCATATGCTGCAAGGTGGAGGCCGAGCATGATGGATAATGGTCGTTGGGATATTGCTTTATCTGGCGCCAATACATTCAACAAGTGTTGCCAGGCAGCCAGTCAGAGGATGATTCAACATCATACTCTACTTGGATTTGCATCGTGATTTAAAACTAGCTTAGGTAGTCCCTCATTTAAATTTACTTTCCCTCAAAATCATTGGGAAAGCCACCACCATCGCGCTGTAGGAGGATGTTGTCATGCATTTTAAATATGCAATGGGACTATAAGCCCATAGTTTTGATTGATTTCTATGTATAAAAAGCGACTTGTCGTCGCACGAATAACCAGAGAACTAGCTATCGAATCGAAAATGGACCCATCAACCTCCGGAGTGTATCTCTTCCTAGAGAAATGACCCAGAGGGTGGGTCTGATGGAGAGCAGTTGGATGCTTCTTTGGCAGTCTTCTCGACATGGACAAGGCCAAGTGAGATTCGAGAGAGGCAGTTGGATGCTCATCTCCCTGACTAGCGAAACGGATAAAAGAACGGCAACCTCTACTTCCCCTGGACGCGCCATGACGTCCTGTTCAAGACGGGAGTCCAATACCGAATCATCTTTACTCTGACTACCAGAGTAAGAAAGCCGGAAGAGGATCCGTGTCAGAGACAGGAGCATGGGATGGCTGCAGAATAGAACTGCGCCGATAATGGACTATAGTCAGCGAGGAGTTTACCACGCGGTAATGTCCTCCACTTCGGCTTCGCCGAAAGTGCTGGTCTTGATAAGCTTATTGACACTGGCCACAGCAGCACTATCGCCGTCACGTGCCATGATGTCTGGCAGGACTTCATTGAAGAAGTCCACGATGTGACGGTTGACCTGCTCGAACTGCAAGAGGAAGGCATCGTGGCCTTCAGGGCTATCGATGCGTTTCAGGCGCGAGTCAGGGATGCCAGCTGCAACCTCTTGCTGCTCAGCAAAAGTGAAAAGACCATCCGACTCAATTCCCAAAACCAAGGTGGGCTGTTCGATGCGCGAAAGAGCATCAAGAACAGGGTCGGCCGCATCAGGGTTGGACCGGTGGCGAGACACGTCGTGCGTGTCAAGCTTGCGGGTCATGGCGATGTAGCAGTTGGCATCGAATCGCTTGACGAACTTCTCACCCTGGTACCGGAGGTAGGACTGGGCCGAGAAGTAGGTGGGAGGGCGTGGGCGCCCGCGAGAATCGACCTTTTCAGGAGTCGGGGCGACGAAGGTCTTGGTACCAGAGAATTGAGGGTCCATGAACTCGATCTCGGGCTGCGGAGCCTGTGGGGCTGGCGAGTTCTGACGGCTCTCCGATCGTGATGAGTTACCACCGCGGTGTCCATCATTGTGGATGGCCCAGTGCTCATTGGGGGGCGTGGGCAGCTTCTCGGTACCATTGATGTTCAGCTGCTTCGATGGGTCCGGCACGTTGCGGCCAAACCGTGACTCGAACGAGTTGCGACTGCGGTAGGTAAGAAGCGCCGACATGCGAGCAGCCCCAAGACCAGTGGCAGGAGGATCATCAAATGTGTAGTAACCATCGTCGTACTTAGGATCACTGTAAATACTCTGTCTTTGAGCCTCACCCCAGCTAATGCACCAGGCAGAGTGGCGTGCAGACGTGGCAATCGGCACAATGGCTCGGACATAGTCCTTGCCGAAGAAAGAGTATTCGAGTGTGAGCATGCCGCCCATGGATCCTCCAACAACAGCGGCGATTTGCTTCACACCCAAATCATCAAGCACCATTTTGTGAATGCTGAACTGGTATTAACAAAACTACCCTAGAATATTGATGATTGGGGTGGGGTGTACGTACTTGACATCGTCACGGACGGTGGTGAGGGGAAATTCAGGGCCATAGTAGCCATTTTCAGGCTTACCATCTTTATAGGTGATGGCACTCGCGCTTCCATAAGGGCTACCCAGACTGTTCAGGCAGATCACAAAGAAACGAGACACATCGAAGGCCTGTCCAGGTCCACCCAGCAGGGGACCCCACCAATCTGCGACATCGGCGCTCCCACTCAGGGCATGACAAATGACCAGGGCGTTGTCTCCCTTAGGGGAGAGGGTACCCCGGGTTGTGTAAGCAACCGGTACATTGTATAGGGTGACACCGGATTCGAGTTTGAACGACGGGATAATCGCAATTGACTGATCCTCGATTAGACCGGCGAAAGGGTTCTCAGGCTGGGAATCGACTCTCTCTACGGGATTTAGTAGCCGTCTAGGTAAAGCAATGGGGGGATGAGGGGAAGGAACTGACGGAAAGGTGCAGAGGTTGCACTGGTTTCGGCCACCATGATGAATGAATCTCAATGCAAGAATGTAATGAAGAAGGAAGGAGAAGAGGAGGAGGAGGGGGCAAGTTCATTAGAAATCGGCACAGGCACAAAGGCGGGCGGGGCAGGCAGAATGTGATGAGTCACCCCGCAGCCCCGCGAGAATGATCACGTGAGGCGGTGAAAAATAGGCAAAAAGTGGGCCCTCGCTTATTCCAATCCGCTCCGCTCATCGGCTAAGGTCATTTCGAAAAAGTTGTGCGATTTCGACTTCTCTCTTTCATCCATCCTCTTCACGACCACCTTTACCTCACCACCCACCAACAACCCCCCCCAAACCCATCAAAATGGTTAAGGCTAAGAAGTCCGGCGAGACCATCTCGTCCCGTCTCGCTCTGGTCATGAAGTCCGGAAAGGGTGAGTTTTCCCACAAATTCATATAAAAATACTTGAAAGGCATTTTTCTAACTCAATACCAGTCACCATGGGCTCCAAGTCCGTCATGAAGACCCTCCGCTCCGGAAAGGCCAAGCTCATCCTCATTGCCGGCAACTGCCCTCCCCTGCGCAAGTCCGAGCTTGAGTACTACGCCATGCTCGCCAAGGTCCCCGTCCACCACTTCAACGGCAACAACGTACGTGCACCCCCTTCAAGTCGACTCTCTACCGAGTTGTCGCAGCTGGATGCCAGCTCCACTACTCTGAGAAGAAGCGGGAGATTCCAGACGATGAGAATGTCTCCAATCTCCTGCTTCGGAGAGTGAAGTTGCTCAGCGATGGGATCCCCTTTGGGGATACCCGGAGAGCCAGTAATAAAACTAACCCTCGCATAGATTGAGCTCGGTACCGCTTGCGGTAAGCTCTTCCGCTGCTCCACCATGGCCGTCCTGGATGCCGGTGACTCCGACATCCTGACCCGTGAGCAGTAAATGCTTGTTCGTCGGACCAGCCTCGGCGTTTAGGGATGGCGCAAGCCTCCCCGTAGCCAAAATCCCGTTGGTGGGAAACCAAAAATAATGATTGATGACATCTCTGGCCTCCGTGCTCAATTCTCATACCCTGTTCAATAAAAGTTATAAGGATGGTCATAGAGGTGGCGTTTTCTAAGAAATAGCCTACTACAATTATGAGATGTTTCAATAAAACAGCCCCCTATGTCTACCAGTATCTGCAACCTAAATAATCCCGAGTCCCGTCCATGGTAATTTCCCGATGAGCCGCCCTTGTTGCAATCTCTAAGGAGACCAACGCTAAAGAGTCGGCGCTAAAGAGGCACCCCCACGCGCAGGTTGCGGGGAAACTCCACATCGCTGCTGCACTCCTCATCTTCGTCAACTTGGCCGTGCACTATAGCCTGAAAGCATTGCTCAATTAGCTTTAAGTTGGCATCATTTAGCCTGAAGCCCGGGAAATGCATTCTCCAGAGAGTTGCCGATCGTCGATGCTTTTGCACGGGTCGGTATAAAGACTCCCGGCAGACTGGGGTTTAGCCCAATCCCTCTGTTCTCCCATGGCTCGATTTGTTTGAAATTCCAACATGAGAGTCCTTCTTTTTTTTGGCCTCTTTAGGCATTGTGGCCGCTGAAAATGGACTAGACGGTTGGCTACGATATGCCCCATTGCCATGCTCCCAGCAGTGCAAATCCAAGCTGCCCGCCAATATCATTGCTCTCAATGCAACCGAAACCAGCCCCGTATACGTTGCAGGTACAGAGCTGCAACAGGGATTGAAGAGTATATATGGCATAAAGACTGGTGTCAGCCACAACAAGTGTAAATCGTCTTCGTCTGCTGTGGTCGTTGGCACACTTGAGCAATATCGCAAGACTTGCGGAGCTGTGAAAGATATTCCGGACCTGGACGAAGATGGTTTTTGGATTGACACCCGGAACAATAAGATCCGTATCTTAGGATCAAATGAAAAGGGTGTTCTATACGGTACCTTCGAATATCTCTCAATGCTGGCCCAGGGCAATTTCTCCGAAGTCGCCTATGCTACGAACCCAGTTGCCCCGATTAGATGGGTAAACCAATGGGATAACATGGATGGCAGCATCGAGAGAGGATATGGTGGACCATCCATATTTTTCAAGAATGGTGCTATTGTTGATGATCTGACCCGGGTCAAGCAGTATGCTCGTCTCCTAGCGAGTGTGAGAGTGAACGCCGTCGTCATCAATAATGTCAATGCAAACGCCACGCTGCTCACCCCTGCAAACATCAAAGGGCTAGCCAGAGTTGCAGATGTTTTCCGGCCGTACGGTATCCAAGTTGGTGTGTCCCTCAACTTCGCATCGCCTCAAACATTCGGTGGCTTAGACACCTACGACCCCCTCGATGCCTCCGTCATCAACTGGTGGTCAAACATCACGGATCAGATTTATGATGAAGTCCCGGACATGGCTGGCTATCTCATAAAGGCCAGCTCTGAGGGGCAACCGGGTCCAGAAACATACAATCGTACTTTAGCTGACGGTGCCAATCTTTTCGCTCATGCCCTTGAACCCCATGGAGGCATTGTGATGTTTCGCGCCTTCGTCTACAATCAGCTCAACGAATCGAATTGGGATGCTGATCGTGCCAATGCTGCAGTCGATTTCTTCAAAGAACTGGACGGCAAGTTTGAGGAGAACGTGGTAGTCCAAATCAAATATGGGCCCATTGACTTTCAGGTTCGGGAACCGGCCTCACCCCTATTCGCAAATTTGCTCAATACCAGCACCGCAATTGAACTCCAGGTCACACAAGAATATCTTGGCCAGCAATCGCATCTCGTCTACCTTCCACCTCTTTGGAAGGGTATCTTCGACTTTGACCTTCGGGTTGATGAGAAGCCCTCCTTAGTTCGAGATGTGTACTCTGGCAAACGCTTCAACCGGAAGTTGGGTGGATCTACTGCAGTCGTCAATGTTGGCACGAATACTACATGGCTTGGTAGCCATTTAGCCATGTCAAATTTATATGCCTACGGTCGATTAGCATGGGACCCAACTGATGACTCCGAGGGCATGCTCCAAGATTGGATTCGGTTGACCTTTGGCTTGGATAAAACCGTTCTTAACACCATCACAAAGATGTCAATGGAATCATGGCCAGCATATGAGAACTACAGTGGAAACTTGGGCATACAGACATTGACCGATATCCTGTATACTCACTTTGGCCCGAACCCTGCTTCACAAGATAATAATGGTTGGGGACAATGGACTCGTGCGGACCATACATCGATCGGAATGGATCGAACAGTGTCTAATGGAACGGGTTTCTCAGGCCAGTATCCATCGGAGGTTGCAGCTATATACGAAAATATCGAAACCACTCCCGACAACCTTCTTCTGTGGTTTCATCATGTCGACTACACTCACCGTCTGCATTCCGGGAAAACCGTCATCCAGCACTTCTATGATGCCCACTACGACGGTGCAGATACAGCACAAACCTTTTTGACACAATGGGAAAGCTTGCAAAGCAAGATTGACAAGGAACGATATGAACATGCCCTCCGTCGTTTTGAGTACCAAGCTGGGCACTCGATTGTCTGGCGAGATGCCATCGTCGACTTCTACCATAATCTCTCCGGAATTGCCGATACGTCAAAGCGTGTTGATCATCATCCCTGGCGTATTGAGGCAGAAAGTATGTCTCTCGATGGCTACGAGACCTACACTGTCAGCCCATTTGAGACAGCGTCCGGCGCAATTGCAATTGTCACGTCTTCTAACGACACTGTTGGAACTGCTACGACAAAAATAAAATTCCCATCAGGAACATATGATCTGGCAATTAACTACTATGATCTCTATGGAGGTCAGTCACAGTGGAAGGTATATCTGAATGGCAAAAAGGTTGGCGAATGGATTGGAAACGCCGAGGACTATCTCAGTCATACCCCTTCCATATATTTGGATGGACACTCGGCTACGCGTATCAATTTTCGGGATATCAAAGTGAAGAAGGGCGACACATTGAAGATCGTTGGTACCTCTGACGGAGTCGAGCCAGCACCTCTGGACTATGTTTCTCTTCTCCCCAAGGGAATCGTGGATTAAATAGGCCGAAATGACGGTGGGATTATGTCTACATTCCGATAATTCTCAAAATGAGCCATATTTAGAAAAGTCCTAGACTCGATTGGTCCACAGAAAGTACAAGTAAATTTCTGTTTCAACTCTCCTAAAAAATCTCAAGCACAGACTTCTCCATTTTTATGATTGCCATCGTGACTAGAGTTTTTCTCGTTTTCGGTCGATCGGTAAAAGTAATAGCTAAATGTATTTGAAGCCGCGGAAATTTCGAAAAATCTTAAAGACGCCCGACAATGTTGCGAGCATGCTACCGCCGGCAGTAGCCCAGGCAGCACCTTGGTATCGCAAGGAATTGACGGCTATCCGCTTTTGTGCTGCCGATTTATCTGGTGTTTTCCCTTTGGAACAAATTAGTCCTGTCTCTATGGGTTTTAGAGGCAAGGTTGACGATACTTGGAGTAACTGGCCAGGATGTGCTTGGGACCCTGCCAACCTGCTGGTCAAGTAGAGTTTGAAAGTCGTTAAATGTGGACATCTTTGTCACTTGGGCAGTGTAGTATTATGGCAAATATTACCGTGACTGTTTGTTATGTGGCCACATATTTGGATGGATCTACCCCTCTATATAGCCCCAGGCCATCGACAGTCTCTTATGACATAATGAACCATTGATCACGAGCATCAGCTGATAGCTAGAGCTTTGGGGATAGACTAGAGCTTTCCTATTGGTAGTTTACTGGCGATTGGCCATCATTCGTCTCGTGGACCGAGTCCAGTCGCGGGTAGGCATTATAGTTTGCCACCAGGTGGCGAGATGTCCTCACTACCCCCGGCGCAGAAATAGCAGGGTATGGTATAGGTCTTGAGAAATATGCAGTCTATTTAATCCATTCAATCACCCAATCATCGATAGGCTATGGCTAGTTCAAGCCAGTGCGAATGCCGCCAGATTCAAAGTAAACACCTTTGCATCGATTTTCGATCATTACCAGGTTGGCTTCTATAGACATCTTTTGATAGCTATATTGTGATTCAGGTTGAGCCTCCATCTGGCCTCGGGATTCTTAGAATCAATATCATCTTCTCAAAAGCTGTGAGCGATTGATTCATAGCATGTTGGTGTGTGTCATGCAATGATTTCGGAGTAGACCTGCATGTTTATAAGGTTATATGACACGCTAGTCTCGATCCGGAAGCCACCTTACGTCATCGGCGCGCCGAATGCGCGTGTCTTGAGTCTTCACGACCCTACATTGTTCATTTCAACTCTCACCTCACTCCACCTCAATTCTATGCCACGCCACGATGACTGATTACTCTTCATGGAAGGTGGCCGAGCTAAAGGCTGAGCTGAAGAAGCGCGGTATTCCTGGCACCGGCCTGCGTCTCAAGCAGCACTTTATCGACAAGCTCGCCGAGGAAGACGCGAAGGCTTCAACAGATGACGCAGCACCGGCTTCACCCGAGCCAGGTCCCGGCGATAATGCGGAACAGGAGACGACTGAAGAATTGGCTCCAGCAGCTGAAACCACCGACCAGCAGCAGCCCGAACAACCGCCCCAAGAAGAACAGCCCTTGACGAAAGAACAACCGACCACAGGACCAGCGCAAACCGAGCAGCCGCAGGTGGAAGAGAAGCAAGATAAACAAACAAATGGTGACGAGGAACGAGAGGAGGCCACACCTGCAGCTACTGCCTCCGACGAACCCAGCAAGGAGCCCGGAGAAGAATTGGCGCAACCTCTCGATACATTAGTGCACTCGGTAGCACACACATCCGAAGCTAATACGGAGTTTTCAACGCCTTTGCCAATTGAAGAGGCCCTGGAAGATAAACGGAAACGCAAACGCCGCAGCCAGAGCCCCGTTCCCACACCTGAGGCGATCGCGACTAAAAAGGCCCGGGCAGAAGAAGAGGGCCCGCAGATCGTATCGGACAAGGAGCCGGGCGTTCAGGAAACAAAATCTACCAAGGAATCCACCCAAGAGCCTATCCTAGAGGAGCAGAAAGCAACCGAGGGTGTCCTGCCGACCTCAGCTCCCAAACCTCCAACTCCCGTCAAACAGGACGCTCGCTTCCGAGGCCTATTTGCTTCTACGGAAACAGCGCCAGTTCAAGAGTCAAAACCACCTCAAGATGTTGTCATGGAGGACGCGGACGAGGATGTCAAGCCCGCCCTTCATGCCGCCACCACATCTCTCTATATTGACGGACTGATGCGTCCTTTGCAACCCCCAGCACTTCGAGCTCACCTCGCCAATCTCGCCACAGCTCCCGGCGCGCCGACCGACTCAGAGGCAATCCAGGAGTACTATCTCGATCCAATCAAAACACACTGCTTTGTTCGGTTCCGCGATGTACAAGCCGCATCGCGAGTGCGTTCCTCCATACATGGAAAAATATGGCCCAATGAACGTAACCGGAAGAGCCTCTGGGCCGATTTCATTCCCGACGAGAAAATCCAAGAATGGATCCAAACCGAAGAAGCATCGCGAAACCGAGCCGGCCCTCCGGTCCGCTGGGAAGTGCGTTTCGATACCACTGACGATGGCACTGAAGCCACACTGTCCGAGGCCGGGCTAAGTTCGCGTTCCGCCCCGATTAAACCGCACCAGAGTGGGATCGATGGCCCGCCGACGGGTCCGCGCGGTAGCTTCAGCCAGGCTGAGCATCAGCCTCCCAGCGCCCCACCCGCACCTCCGTCGCGACCCGGTCAAGGCTTTAAGCCCTTGGATGAAATATTCAAGTCTACAACAGCAAAGCCGAAGCTCTACTACCTGCCCGTGGCGCGGGATATTGCGGACAAGCGGTTAGACCAGTTCGATGAGCTGCTTCGTAAGGGCCCATGTCCCCGACGTGGAGGCGAGGAGATGCGCCGAATTACGTTTGAAGAGGAAGATGCGTTCGTGGACATTGGTCCGGAATACGGTCCGGCAGCTGCAGCACGACGTCAGGAACGTGCAGGACGTGGGGGACGAGGAAGGAATTGGCGGGGACGTTGAAGACGCATCCAAGGCCAATCCCAAGACCACAATAAACAAAAACAAGCAGTTATAGATCTGCCCTGTACTATTAACAATGATAGCAACGTAAAGCGAAGCGAAACAAAGCAAAGCAAAGCAAAACAAAACCCAGTCACATACCTACGATCCATCCTCCTCTAAAGGCCGTAAGCGCCCAAAATAGACAAGCCTCCTAAGGCTGCCCGAGACCGCCGATCGCTGCACCCACAAATGTGGCTTGGTTGAGGAAAGGACTTAACGATGCCCCGTTCATTCGGACCATTGTCATTGTAACGATCTGACTGGTTCAAGTTCCTTTCAATCTCCTTTGTTTCCACTTACGCACAGCATACTCTTCTGAGGTGGACAAGGCATAGTTGCGGATAAGATAAAACGGGGTTAAAAAAAAGGTTGAACCACCCCTGCTTGGCGCCCAGAAGTGATCTTAGCGCTTTCTCTCTCCCTCCCTTTCACCTTGGCCCTTTTACACCTTCATCAATCTACCTCGTTCTCCTCGGAAATCGTCTCTCACCAGCACCCCAGCCAAAATGGGCTGGACAACGTGCAATACCACTACAGAGGAGCAGAAAAGTGGGTTGTCCCTCCGGCCCCCTCCCCCTGGCGCATCGGCGCATCGGTTTGGAATTCGCGGAACTGACTTGCGACAGTTGAGGAGGTCGATCTCTGGGATGGCGGCATCACATTTCACGAGCTGTCCCTGATCTTGGGCGGTGTCTGCGCCCTGATCGCCTGCGTCATATCCATTTTCCTGATCATGGGCCATGCCACGCACTACAGTAAACCCGTCGAACAGCGCCAGTAAGTGGGGAGGAGAAATAAACAATTGAAAAGAGTCCCAGCCGAACTGACATGTCGATCGTTGCGCAGTATTATTCGCATCCTTTGGATGGTCCCTGTCTACTCGGTCGTCGCATGGATCAGTATTCTTTTCTACCACGACGCCGTCTATTTCGAAGTGATCGGCAACTGCTACGAAGCCTTCTGTATCGCCGCTTTCTTCGGCCTCATGTGCCACTACATCGCTCCCGACCTACACAGCCAAAAGGACTATTTCCGAGGAATCCAACCAAAGACATGGCTTTGGCCTTTGAATCACTTTCAAAAATGGGCGTGTTGCGGTGGGGAACGCCTCTGGAGAAACCCGCGCAGTGGATTGACATGGTTTAATGTAAGCGGAGGATAGTTCCAAGGGTGAAAAATAAAGCTGGCTAGATGGAATGCTGATTTTGGTCCCTCGACAGATTATTTGGACCGGTGTTTTCCAATACTGCGTGCTGCGCGTGTTGATGACCGTGGTTTCTGTGCTCGCTCAAGTCGGCGGCAGGTATTGCGAGGAGTCAATGAGCCCGGCATTTGCGCACGTTTGGGTATGTTGTGACCAGTATACATGCACGCTTTAACTGGAGGCTAAGCTCACACTTTTCTTACAGGTGATCATCTTCGAATCCATCTCCGTCTCAATTGCGATGTATTGTTTGATTCAATTCTACTACCAAATCAAAGATGATATTCGGGAGCACAGGCCGTTCATGAAGATCCTCTCCATCAAGCTGGTCATTTTCTTGTCATTCTGGCAATCGGTAAGCTCTAATATTGCTGGCGCACGCGCTGATACTTTTCCCGACCCATTCTAATCTCTACTAGACACTCATCAGCATCCTCGTGACCATGGGCGCCATCAATTCAACCCCGAAAATAGCTCTGGCAGACCTGAAATACGGACTCCCCGAGCTCCTTATCAACATCGAAATGGCTATATTCTCCTTCCTGCACCTATGGGCCTTCGCCTGGAAACCCTACGCCGTGCAACCCGGCGAGGTAACCGATTTCTACGGCAATGGCAAAGAGTCGTACCAAGGGGGACGCTTCGGTCTCAAAGCGCTCGTCGATGCCATGAACCCATTTGACCTAGTGAAGGCTATTGGGCGCGGTGGCCGGTGGTTATTCGTCGGGCGCAAGAACCGCACGCAGGATCCAAGCTATCAGCAGCGAGACGAAAACAACATTGGCCTGGAGTCTTCACAGTCCGGTACCGGGGGAACTTCCTACCAAGGCGCCGGCACAGCGATGTCTGGTGCTCGAAAGAGCCGCTATGGCGGTGACGAGGAGGGCCAGGTCCTGCTCGCTAATGCCCAGTCAAATCCCGAGACTGGCCACTTCGGTACGTCTCCGTACTCAGAGTCGGACGAGTATCTCGGAGAGCAACCAGGCCGCTTTTACCGGAGCAGCGGTGGCCACGGCCACGACCACGGTCATGCCCTTGAAAGCGGCCCCTCGCCCTATGATGATATCGAGCAACAAAATCTCGGGTATACCCACGATGGCCCGAACCACCCTTATCCAGTTGACGGGCCTCTGCGGGAACAAGCACCCATGCCAATGCCAGACCCGTACCAGCCCCCGCCTCCATACCCCGATGATCACGATCACCGCTACCCTGGACATTCATGATCCCTCCTGTTTGGGTGTGGTGAATTCTTCTCTGACTGGAATGATTCGGTCAAGTGCAGCTATGGCCCAAGGCATAGCAGCTGTTTGTTTGTTACATTTTTCTTTCTTTCTATCTATCTTTCTCTACGGTACCCATGATCAGCTTGCCGGATATCCGGTTTTGATTTCTTATTACTTTTTTACTGCGGTTTCTTACTTACCTTCCGTTTATGCTCTTTGGACGAATACCCGTTGGTTGTTTCCGTTGGCACGTCTTTGGGCCGGTGTCGTGTTATATTGCATACTTCTCAGCTAGCATAGCATGCATTTGTATAGTATTATTTTGATGAATGAAGAGCCTTATGTCTAAACCGTGGCCATTTTGTGTTTTAACCATTGACACTTCTACAGTACAACCTGGGGTATGCGTGAATAATATAGGAGGCGTTCATTCATTATGTCGTCTAGAATCTCATGTATGGCTTTGAGAGCGGACAGCATCGCCTCAAGCAAAGCATCAAGATATCTTTGAAGGCTTAGGCAACCTTTAATCTATGCTCGGGAGCCCATCAAATCTTGACGAAACAGTTCCTCCTCAAAACTTTTAGGTAGAGTGCTAGGTTCCATGTGTGTCCGGGCCTGTTTCGTCTGACGCGCTCCTTGGACGATAACCGACTTGCGGCCCAGTTCAGTCATGGCCTTGACGCTTTCGCCCATTTGACCGAGGAGGGAAACGAGTTTGACGTCGTTGTTTTGCGAGAGAACTTCGGATCTGAAGGCGTTCGCATCACGCGGGGACAGGATGGAGAGGTGAGCGATGAGCGAGTTGATGTTGCGAATGATGGCGTGCGACATTTGTGGAGAGGATGGGTTGGCGGGATCGTTTGATTCTGTGACGCTGGAGACGTAAGATTTAATGAGGGAGATTCGGGATTCAAGGGTGCGAATGGCGTTAAGGCGGGTGTTGAGGTTTGCGATTACTAGTTTGGTTAGAAGGGCTGAAGTCGAAGAGTAGCACTGGATCAGCATGGAGGAACATACATTCTTCTTCCTCTTGTGTTAGCTCCGCCTGTGAGCTTTCTTTCTTATTCTTGTTGGTGTTCTTTGAGCCTTGGGCTGCGGGTTCGGTCCATGAAGCAGTTCCAGATCCCTTGGCAATGGTGTCAACCCCAATCATCTCCGCCTCGCCGGTTTCGACAGAATATGGCAACTCGCGGAAGCGGATATTCATAGCTCGCTCCTCGCCATCTATTTGCATATCCTTAGAGCCATCTGCGGCGCTCTCCCCTTCAAGGACACTCTCGTAGATCGTCAATGGAAGCTTCGCTCCGAGCGAGTCGGTCTTGAGTTGAGAGGGGTGGAAGGCTAGAAAGAGGGCGGATTCGTTGTAGTCTTGGAGAAGCTGGCGGTGGACGGGGAGATGTGAGGCCTCGGGACCTGATGGTGAAGCAGTTGACCACCAGCCCACAAGATCGAGAGGAGGGTCCTTGTGTACATCCTTGACTGTAGGCGCATTCAATTAGACCGGCATCATCTGGCTAGTTGGGAGAGTCAACTTACATTGCTTCAGTCGCTCCTCAAACCATGGCTCGGGGAGAAGGGCCTCAGATGTGTCAACCGTGACAGGACACTCAAACGCATGCTCGATGGTGATCTCTCGTCCATTTTGCTGGCCTAAAAGGGCCCCGATAGTTGGGCCTTGTTGCCGCCGTGCGGCATGTCGGGTGATGTGATCAGAGATGGTGAGAAGTACCAGAGGGTGAAGCTGAATGTGAAGCCCTGAGTCCGAGGACTTTTGGGAAAGAAGGGATTGTGTGGACTCCATCGCAATATTGAGGGGATGTGGAAGAAGGAAGTTGGTGAAGTTGAAGTTGGAGGTGGACGATGACAAGGCGGTCGCGGGTCACTGGGGGGGGTGGGAGCTTTCCCCGCCGGATGTTTTTCCTCTCCAAAAGGTTTAAAGGTTAAGTTCCCTTGACATCAACTCTACTTCCAGCCATGGCGATTCCTACTTCTTTTGATGCGGTCAAGTCACACCTGGAAAAGGTCCAACAGGACCCATCGACCCCACTGGATGTCTCCCTGATCGAACGACTAAAGCTCCAACTTATCCACGGAGTCGACACCGCAGTCCCCGCTACTCTCTTATCTACGATATCAGCTTTGTTGCCTGTCTTGCAGGAAGATCCGACACCTCTCACTACTCTCGCTATTAAAGCCACGAGCTTTTTCAGCTTCACAGATCTACGTTCCATCCAGCCACCCATTAATCTCATCGCTGGCTTCAAAGCTCCCTCTGAGCCGGTCAACCTTCTCGCCTTGTCTTTGTTGAGCAAAGCAGGACAAAGACCTAGCGATGCTGCTATAGTCGCAGGTGACCCAAGTCTCGTTTCGTCCCTGGTGGAATTATGGCTATCAACATCCTCTACTTCGGTTGCTCAAGCGGCTCTCGAGACATTGTGGACGCTTCTGGAGGCCGACCTGGCTAGCCCCCTCGACAAGGCTGAACATGATCACGCTGGGGAAGAGGGTCATGCTGGCCAAGGTCTCATGTGGAGAAGGGTATTTACAGACAAAGATGTATATGCTCTTTTATTCGGTCTCTGCAGCCTTCAAGAGGGCGCACCCGGTGATCTGACGAAGCGTGAGCGGACCTTGGCACAGGGAAGACTGATGAGTTTCCTAGTGAAGGCCGGTCGTCTCCGTTGGGATGTCATTTCCAAATCTCACATATCAGATATTGAGGCTCAATACCACAGCCAAAGTCTAATTCACTTCGCCGCGAGTCAGATGGTTGACCGGGGTGACGTCCTGATGCATATGACTCTGTTGGGATTCTTCCGCGACCTGCTGGAACTCGAGGCGCCAGGGTTAGCTGCTCGAACCTATGTTCACTCAGGATCAACATTCTCATCTCCTGCTCTCGATTTTCTTATCTCAGAAAAACACCATTCTCAAATACTGGAATATTACCTCGATGATTCCAAGCTTGATCCGGTGGATCAGATCTACCTTTCTGGTCCGGTCATGGCTTACGTGGCGAGATATGCCGAGTTCTACCCAAACCACCTACTTCAGAACCCGTTCACCCTCCTCGATGGCATCATTTCGCGTATCTCGCGGGCCCTTGCTATTCCAACTGCGCAATGGGCCCATGGTGAAGCCCCGACCGGTCATATGGCCATCCTGGCCTGCCTGCCTCGAGTTCTACTCATTGAAGCCGGCAAGCACGGCTCCAATCCCCTCCTGATCATTCCCTCCAATCCTCCCAATGGAGAGGCTTTGGACGTTTTGGGCAAGGTCTTCCAGGGACCGTCCCGAACGCATGACTCGGATTCAATGGATTTGAACAACTCGGGCCAGACTCCAACCGACTGGCACCATGAAGCGGCGGCGGCTCGAATCCTTTACTTCCTTTATCTCAATGAGCACTCGAATTTCTGGAATGACGTCGTTACCGCCGCGGATGTCCTCGTAATGAAGGATGTTGCCCTCTCGGCGATTGCTTTTATGGATTCCATTGTCAAGGCTAGCTGGCAACCGCTGCCCCCTGCATCGCACGCCTCTGGAGCCTCGTCTCGTTTCAAACTTCCATCGGAAGAGAGCCTGGGACAACTTTCCCCGGCCACAAGTGGACTTCTTCCTCTTTCTGGGCCTTGGGCCGTTCTCACCCCACCTGCTTTGACCACGCTTCTCCCCTACCTGTTCAAGCCCCCTCGATCATACGCGGAGTTTGTAGGAGGCGGTGCAGGTGATTCTCAAAATGCAGTTTGGAAGGTGGCTACAGCAAAGCATGAAGTTCTCGTGGCACTCTACGATCGGCTCCGACAAAGCGGCGGACAGATGGAAGGATTTGAGGATATCTTGCGAACACTACGACAGCGAGTGAATGAAGGGCCCATGGGACCAGTGCAGGCTGGCTCCACCCAGGTTGAAACCATGGGGATGTGATGAGTGAGTGTATGTAACGAACAATAATAGAAACTTATCCAACGTTCCAATGCTCAAATAGGAAATGAAAAAGCGGTGATTGTGCTGTCAAGATGCCTGGGAAACTCAAACATATATAAGTTGCTTATTAAATACAGAGCAAATGGAAGCCTGGAAGATAATGATCAAGTCACCGTGTTGGATATAGCGGTGAGGTGCAAGTTTGGCTCTGTGATTAGATGCTTGGTTGAGAACGTGACTGACAAACACGGTCGCCAGGAGGCAGGTTCAACACTATGTTGAACCCGTATTAGCAGACAGCAGCCACCAACCTATGAACATTCCCTGCATTTTGAATCATATCAAAATTAGATAAATATCTTCTCATCCATTAGAACCGAGTGGAGAAGAACCTCCTCGCGTTTGCCCTAGATTCCGATGCGGGGCAGGGCGGTGAATCGATCGGTGAGTCGGTATTTTTCTTTCAGAGTTGAGATCTTCTTGCATCATGACATGACATGAAGCTAGAACCATCCCCACCTTTCTAGTTGAACTGGTTGAACTGGTTGAACTGGTTGAACCTTGGAAAGAACGATGTCGCGATTCTCCAAGGGGAAGCGGCTACCTGGCGCGGAGTTCACTTGGGACGCAGACCCTGGTGGTCAGCCCGACACTGCGCCAACACCTCTCTATCCGGTACGTTCTTTGTTCAAGCTACACTAGAGGCGCCCCCAAGAGCTCTACTCAAGTCCCTCGTCTCTACTTCTCACCTGCAGCATGGCTCCTGACAATCTATGGAAGGATTACGTTGTACCCCTCGCTCGCAAACTTAGCCCGAGGGAGCAGAGCTCCACCAATTACTACCGCAGCCTGCGCGAACGCTACCACGAAGGAGCTTATTACTCCGTGATCGATGTCTCTGCCTCCAATTCGAAGAAAGGCAGTTCTAACCGTACCAACTTTGACCCTTTCCATGGCATGCCCTCTTATGCTGGTCGATACCAAAAGAAAAGGCGGACCGTCCCGAAGATTGCTGGTGCTCGTGCCCCCGGTGATTACGGTAGGTTTCAGTTTCACCTTCCACTGGCTCTTTATAGTTCTCGTCTCTCATGCTGACCCGCTCGCTAGAAACTCGATTCTTTCCCCGCAGCCTCTGGCAGACTATCCGTCCTGACTTCCGACCCGATGCCCCCATCGACGGCTTCAAGCCTGCGATGACTGTAGCCGGTATGAAGCGCGGCTTCGAAGACGACGAAGATGATGATGCCGCTCAATCGTCGAAGAAGCGGGCAGCTGGCGGTGACGATGAGGAGGGCGACGAAGATGGAGAAGAAGGCGAGCTACTCGAGGGTGACGAGGATGCCCAGGAAGAAATCTCCGACAATGAATTCGACTCGGAGGACGACGACGGTGGTGATTACAATGCCGAGAAGTACTTCGAGGACGGCGGCGACGACATGGATGATGATGGATTGGGTGATGGGGGTGGCGGTGGTGAAGAGGATTTCTAGAAGCACGGACTTAGATACCCTTTCTTTTCTGTTCCGCGCGTGCTTTTCCTTTTCTTCCTTGCTCTTGTTCTTAGCGTGTTCATTTGGACCTTGGTCCGTTTTGATCTGCATTGGCCATGCGGGTGGTGTTCTCAGTTCTTCTGCTCTTGTGAGCATTGCAGTTACAACGTTAGAATCTACCGGATGTACTGTCTCGATATGCCTCGTCTTTTTTTGAGTATATGTTCCAAGCTGGCTCTTTTGTCTAGATCTCCATCTTTGCTTCCTATCCAACTACCTGGTAGGTGTTTCATTAGGTGTCTTGATGTACTCAGTGTGATTTGTGGTGAGTAGGGGACCCGAAGCCCCAATCCCCTACTATTTTTTTGTATAGCAATATTTTCGGGAAAACATCCCTGTAACACCTGAATAACGTCTAATAGATGGCTTTCTTGGTAGGGGCCTGCAGACATTAGTAGTTCTTCAATCACTCACTGGATGGTTTAATTAGTCCTCATGGGCCTGCCTCGCCCATTTCTTATGTTGTCGCTGACCCTCTGGCTTAACTGGGGTGATGCTTTGTGATCAGCCACTTTTATGAAGCGGTGCTTCAACATTGTCAAAAATTCTTATGACGGAAAAGATTCTGAGGATGATACTAATGCCCTTTCGCATCCGGCAGCCTGTGCCAACGAGAAACTAGATAACCATTCACTATACACCATGCCATAGATAATCTCATGCTTTGGCGGGCGAGCATTGGCGCTATCCTAATGCGACCACTTCAAATTATCTGCCAAGGCCTCACCATAAGCAGATACAGTCAACTACGACTTGATACTCTGTGTAAGGGACATCGATAGAAGGACTCGGAGAAGTACTCCGGCCTGTATCGCCAGCTCAGCAGGGTGGGTACACGTGGGGGACTATTATATTGGCAGAACTTTGTTTCGTCTTCATAAATTTTCACTATAAAGGATCATTATTTTCTGTAGGAATTGATATTTGACTGGCAGAAAGATAGTGGGGCCGTGACTGTTGGTGTGCAACTAACATGAATGTAGACAATGATCCAGATACAATCATCTCTCATTGGACAACTGCACATACTAGGTTATACGGTATCGTCGCGGTCCGCCACGGGGCAACTCTTTTGAGGAGACTACGCAGGCCGCACTCTGAAAATAGAGAAGATCATCAGTGCTAGTTCCTTCAACAAAAGTACCATCTCATTCGCTTAAGGTGGCGCCATCCATCTTTGCATCCTTCGTGTCTTGAACTCTCTTCAACCTCATACTCGAGACCTCGTCTTCCGACAAAGCCAGGCCAATCTAAGATTCCATCCGACCACTCGGATTTCATCATGGCCGACGATACGCCGATTGCCGTCGATCCAAACATCTATCTGAATCAGAGCGATGACTGGCAATCTGAAACCACTTCAATCGGGTCCTCGATTTATAAGGGCATAATAGAGAATGGCAGAAGATACCAGACCTTGAAAAACGAGTACTCCTACCCTTCCGACGAACAGCAGTTCGAAGCCTACGAAGCTACACACCTTGCAGCCCTTGTCGCAGATTCAGGCAGGCCGAACCCGCTATTCCAAAGCCCTCTTGGCCCTTCGGCTAAAAACATCCTTGATATCGGCACTGGAAAAGGATCATGGGCCATCGATGTTGCCGATATGTTTCCTGACGCAACCGTTCGTGGCGTCGATCTATTCCCGCCTCCAGTCACCTGGATGCCTCCCAACTGCATTCTCGAGGTGGACGATATTCTGCACGAGTGGACCTGGCGCGAAAAGTTTGACCTTATCCATTTTCGTGTTATGCAGTGTTCTTTTACTCCTCAAGAGACAGAGCAGTTGTTGAAGCAATGCTATGATAATCTTGAGCCTGGAGGGTGGATCGAGCATCTTGAGCTCCATCCAAATATATACTGTGATGACGGTAGCATTCCGAAGGATAACACTTTATTTAGTGTTGGATCTACTTGGGATGCTGCTGGTGATGAGTCTGGAAGACCTATGAACATCATTGAAACAATGCGGGAATCGATTGAAAAGGCTGGTTTCATCGACGTCCACGAAATAAATGCAAAGTGGCCTCTTGGACCATGGCCCAAAGACAAAACAATGAAGGAACTCGGATTGATCAACCTCCAACACTGGCTGACTGGTTTAGAGGGATATGCGATGCACTTATTCACCAAGTATGGAAAACCCGCCCCGTGGTCCAAGGAGGAAGTGCAGGTATATATCGCAGGCATAAGAAAGGAGCTGTTGAACCCCCGTCATCACCCCTATCAACGTGCCAGGAGAGTCTGGGCTAGGAAACCATTACCCAGCGAAGAGGTCGAGAAGACTGTCAATATCAAGGAGGAGGGAACCGCCGCTGAGCCACCCGTCCAAGTCAAGGTCGAACAAGATTGAGACATTCCGTCTTTCCATCTTAACTAAGTTGTACATAGTTGTTTTCAAGCGAGAACCAATCATATTACTCATTCATGAAATTGCCTTGACGATGTAGTACAGAATACTCTGTAGTAAATACCTACCGTACTACCCTGAAGCAGAGACCGGCGGTGTGATGACGTCAGCCAGCGAGATCGGCAACTGGCAATTTTGAGATGCGGAGGGGCAATCAAACAACAATCATCAGAATGGCCTCGGGTCCCGATCAGACGCGGTCAGCGCTGATTCTCTATGGATCCGAGACGGGGAATGCGCAGGAAGTTGCAGAAGAATTGGGCTCCCTGGCTGAGCGGTTGCACTTTGCGACACAAGTCTGCGAGTTGAACCAGTCATCGCCAGTACGTATTGCCAAAGGAACTCGATAGATTTGTTTTGATACTGATTGGTGAGCTTTCGCTGAATAGGACATCCTTGCTTCCTTCACTGTCATAATCTTCGTCATCTCCACCACTGGTCAAGGTGACTTACCGGCGAACTCGCGCAAGTTCTGGAAGTCGCTGCTGTTGAAGAAACTCCCGGCGACATACCTTAGTGGGGTCAATTTTACAAGCTTCGGATTGGGGGATAGCTCTTATCCAAAGTGAGTGCTATAGGACTCAATAAAAGGCCGATTGCAACTAAACTGGGATTTACAGGTTTAATTGGGCAGTACGCAAGCTTTATAAACGGCTGGTCCAATTGGGTGCCAATGATATCTATCCAACTGGCGAGGCAGATCAGCAACATCCAGAAGGGTGAGTTACGCTCCAGGATGCTATATCTTCGTAGCTAATGATATTGTAACAGACTTGAAGGAACCTTTTTCCCATGGGCGACAGACTTTCGAAAGCACCTACTGGGTCGACACCCTCTTGCGCCAGGAGAGCACCCGATTCCGGATGATGTCCAACTACCACCGAAATGGATATTGCGGCTGAAGGATGACTCCTCATGCCCTTCGGAGGCCATCCCTCTCTCCGCAGTAGCTCATCTAGACGAATATCCCGGGTTGACTGATTTGGACAATGACACCCGGCCTCTTCCCGACACATTTACTTCGACTTTGACCGAGAACCGAAGAGTCACACCGAAGAATCATTGGCAAGATGTTCGAAGGATATCTTTGACCATTCCAGAGTCTGTCAACTACGTACCTGGTGACATGATCGCCATAACCCCGAAATCTTCTCCCAAGGACGCACAAGTACTCATTGACTTGATGGGATGGCACGAGCAAGCCGATAAACCAATCTCTCTCGTCCCCACGGGAGAGTCAAACGCCGCTTCACCGATCCCCGGTATCGAGTCGTACCCAAGCCTAACCCTTCGCACCCTCCTCACCGATTACCTCGACGTTCGAGGAATACCCCGCCGCGGATTTTTCTCCTCCGTCGCTCATTACACAGATAACGAGCTGCATAAAGAAAGACTCCTGGAATTTACAAACCCGGAATACGTGGATGAACTATGGGATTACACCACACGACCTCGACGGAGTATCATCGAAGTCCTGCATGAGTTCGACTCTGTGAAAATTCCCTGGCAACATGCCGTCTCTGTTCTTCCTGTGATGCGAGCACGACAGTTCAGCATCGCCAGCGGTGGAGAGCGGAAGAGAACAGCGGACGGCAAGACACAGTTCGAGCTTCTCATCGCTATCGTGAAATACCAAACCGTGATCAAGCGTATCCGCGAGGGCGTGTGCACCAAGTATATCTCCACCCTTCGACCTGGCAGCACACTTCGCATCCAGCTACAACCAGGCGGTCTCAACTCCTCCCAACAGCAGCTAACAGCATCAACTATCTTGATCGGCCCAGGAACAGGCATTGCTCCGCTCCGCTCAATGCTCTGGGAAAAGGCAGCGCTAGTCCAAGCCTTCCGCAACCAAAACCCAGGCGTACAGCCTCCAATCGGGCCTACAGTCCTCCTCTACGGCGGTCGCAATCGAACCTCGGACTTTTTCTTTGAAGAGGAATGGGGGCATTTAAGCACGCTGATCCCGCTGCAGGTTCTCACGGCGTTTTCGCGGGATCAGCCTCAAAAGGTCTATGTACAAGATACCGTACGCCAGAATTTTGGACTTTTCTTTCGCCTTCTCCACGATATGCAAGGATCGGTGTATATCTGTGGTTCGTCGGGGAAGATGCCCCAGGCTGTGCGAGAGGCGCTCATTGAAGCTTTCCAGAATGGAGATGGAGGGCCGGTACCGGGACCTTACAACCGGTCGCAGGCGGAGGAGTATTTGATTGGGATGGAGAAGAGTGGGCGGTACAAACAGGAGACATGGTGAGATTAGAAGAGAGCAAATCATACATAGAACAATACATTCATCATGAAGTGAAGTGTACGAGTATTGTGGCAGTTGGTACTAGACCTGACTAGTTTGTATTTAAGATCTACACTTGACACATGTAAATACTAGTTAGATGCAGCGCAATCAGAAGCCACCCAGGCCACCATCATGGCAATACTGTTAGCCTGAAGGTTATACTTCGAAAGAACAAGCATATACCTAGTACTAGATGAGGCTCACCAATATCATCCTCTTGAAATCGCCACCGAAGCAGATCGCCGGCTATATGCTGCATGGGATAGCCTCGGTTGGCGGAGGTGGTGTGAAGAGGGCTATACTCGGGCCGCGTCGGCGTTTTCGAGGGCTTGGCACTCCGTCACCGCAGTCCTCAACTCTTCTCGGTCCCTCTCTTGCTGTCTCTCGACTCGTTAACTCCCCATTCACCCCCAAAGCTCGAGTTCACCATGAGCGCCTTGCGCATTCTAGTTCCCGTCAAGCGGGTGATCGACTATGCGGTTAGCAATCCATTGCCTCCTCCAACAAAGCAGATGCGAGACGATTGGCCGGCCGGCGGCCGACCGAGCGTACTCGGAGAGAGCAGAGCAGAGCAGAACGGTTGTGCTCGTGCTTATGCTTATGCTCGCGCCTAACTACGTCTACATTTACACACAACAGAAACTGACAGTTTCCCCTGATCTAGATCAAACCCCGCATCAACAAGGCCCAAACGGGCGTCGAAACCACCGGCGTCAAGCACTCAATGAACCCATTCGATGAACTCTCCGTCGAAGAAGCCGTCCGCCTTCGCCAACGCGGCGAAGACAAGAGCAGCCCCATGAAGGTCGAGAACATCCTCGCCCTCTCCGCTGGCGGGCCCAAGACCCCAGACGTTCTCCGCACCGCCATGGCCATGGGCGCCGACCGTGCTTTCCACATCGACGTCCCCGAAGCCGACGGCGGTCCCGAGCCACTGACCATCGCCAAGATGCTGCGCGGCGTCGTGGAGAAGGAGAACATCAACCTGGTCATTCTGGGTAAGCAGGCTATTGACGGCGACCAGGGCCAGACCGGTCAAATGTTGGCCGGTCTGCTGGGCTGGCCGCAGGCGACGCAGGCTAGCAAGGTTGAGGTCAAAGATGCGGCTGGTACGGTCGAAGTCACACACGAGGTGGACGGTGGTGTTGAGACTCTCCGCGCGAAGTTGCCTATGATCATCACTACTGATCTGCGACTGAATGAGCCCCGGTACGCTAGTCTGCCGAATATCATGAAGGCGAAGAAGAAGCCGCTTGAGAAGAAGACCCTCGCCGACTTTGGCGTCGAGGATACGCGGCGGTTGAAGACTCTTAAGGTGACTGGTATGTATACTGTGTACCCCTGATTGCTCCGTTGCGCTTTGTCTATGAAGGAACTTGCACTAATTCGAATTTCTCTCTCTAGAGCCTCCCCCACGCAAGGGTGGTGGCAAGGTCGAGAATGTCGATGGCCTTGTTTCCAAGCTAAAGGAGCTTGGTGCTCTCTAGTGTGATAGGGCTAGCCTTGAAATAAAAAGGGGGCGCCTGAGTTCTGTGTTTCTATACCACCCATCTGTGTTGCTAGACTTTGTCTTGGCCGTGAATTGCGCATAAACTTGAATGAAAGACATTATCATTTTTTTTTAAAATCCAGATCCAAAGCTGATCCCAGCCGCTTGGGGTCGTCCGGTAGTTGCCTGTACTGAATACGGAAGATGTGGTGATTATCCTCCAAGGTTTGAAAAAAGCCAAGGCGATTCAGGCCGACCATTGTGATCCGTGCCCTCGTTGGTTATTTTCGATTGGATCTGCGCGGGAGATCCCATTGGTCTGTCAGATCAATAGTACGGGAGCTTGGGTGAGGATGCACTTGGGATCGGGGAATTATTGAGTCCTGTGCAACCCACGCCCATCAAGGATGAAGAAGTGAATCCATGACCTTGGACAATGGCTTGAGTTGGCTAGTTTGGCCGTATTCCCTGTATGTACCGATACTTATGCAGAACTACTGCAGCTCCAGTTTCCTTCCGCAGGTCCTCGTTGCTTTTTTAAATGAAATGATAGGCCAATCGGGGGATAGTCCACGTAACTAGTGGCTGACAAATTTGGTGTTGCGTGCTGTCGAGTCTGAGCACTCCGACCTGATGATGCTTTAGTGAAGGAATAGCATAGGATCGACAGGGTCTATGAGTAAAGAAGTGTTACGAAAGGTGATCTGGTAGATATAGATATACAATATACCATACACCATACTACACTCTAGACTAGTGAATTTGGTCTGCACTTGTCCTTCACAGGGTGGAACCATGGGTAGACCCTGCAGTGGCTAGCGTGGCTAACAATGGGAGGATATGGAGTAGATTTATAAGCTTAGGGTTGCTGGAAAATAAGAGAATGCAGCCGATCCGTATAATTTAGAGGAAACAAAATGTGCATTTCCCCACAGATGCGATCGACAGCCCATACCGCATGGACCAGTAGTGGCTGTGACGGGCTTTAATTGCCGGGGCTGGCTGGTGGGGCAGTGATCTATCGAAAACGCATTCAGCTCAGCTGAACCATGGACTATTGGGGTGAGGATGAGTTGGAATGTCAGGAGAAGAGGGAGTGTAGATTATGTCCGTGTGAAGAAGTATGCAGTATAGCAGTATAGCACTATACTAGTAACTAATAGTGTACTATAGAAGTTAGTATAACTACGGAGTACTAACTTATGTACTACAGAACGGATATACTAGTTACTAGTCAATGACGTCGGCCCGCGCGTTGCCATTAAAATGCCATTATGATGAGCCAAAATCCGCTTAAAAAGAAGCACGTCTAGAACCACTTCCAACTTCCGTCGGACCCGTGAGGCTTTGCCTTTTAGCATTGGGCACGCTTACTTTCTTTAATATCCTGAGTATCACGCCCTGGTGCCTGCTCTCTCTTCCCTCTTCCCTCTTCCCCTCTTTCTCTGTAATTATTCTCTCTGGGATTCTCGGATCCCCAAATCCGCGCTCTCCCACTCCGGTCAGCATTCCCATCATCCCATCCCATCCCATCCATCCTGTCCCAAAGTATTCCGTACCTCTTCCGCCACCCGGCTACTCGGCTTTACTTTTACTTTTACTGAACCACTGCCCACGGCCTCTGCCACTGCCACAGAATCTTCCCTCTTCCCTCTTCCTCTACTAACTTCATCCATCTCCAGCTCCTCTTCCACTATACTGCGCGCAGATCGATCAGCACATTCCAACTAATCTGACATTCCGACCCACCTCCCAGCATTCCACATCGTGAAGCATTCCTAGCTGTTCGCAGCGCATCCGCGCGTTAGATATACGATCGTTGGCGCCGAAGCTGCGCAACGCGCTTGCCTGCGCTCTCCTCGCCTCTGAGTTCTTCGCACCTGATCGAGGAGTCAAACATATACTCCCCCGCCCGCCGCCATGTGGCAAAAGACGAAACGTTACTCGAAGAAAGGCTTCGACAAGACATGGGACACCATCGACAAGCTCGGCGCCCCCGTCAACCGTCTCTCTAATAAGCTCGGCGCCGAAGCCTTCTGGCCCATGGCCATCGATAAAGAAAGCGACAAGGCCGCTCGCATTCTACGCAGCTTCTGCAAGGATGGCTTCTATGCGCCTGAAACGGAAGAATATACCGACGCAGATGGCAAGATCAATCGCCCCAAGGGAAAGCAGCGGGTCGTCAAGAAAATCCCCTCACAAGTGGTGAAAAATGCAAAGGGTCTGGCCATCTTTACGACCATGCGCACCGGTCTCTGGGTGAGTGGCTCTGGTGGTAGTGGGGTCTTGCTGGCTCGGATCCCAGAAACGGGCGAATGGAGCCCGCCATCGGGCATCATGCTCCACACGGCCGGTATTGGATTCTTGGCCGGCGTTGACATCTATGACTGCGTCGTTGTTATCAATACCTATGAGGCCTTGGAAGGCTTCAAGAAAGTCCGCTGCACCCTCGGCGGAGAACTTTCCGTCAGTGCCGGTCCGGTTGGTGCCGGTGGCGTCCTTGACTCCGAAGTCCACAAACGACAGGCTCCCGTCTGGACTTACATGAAGAGTAAAGGGCTTTACGCCGGCGTCGCCGTTGACGGAACCATCATCATCGAACGTACCGACGAAAACGAGAAATTCTACGGCGAACGCATCTCCGTCTCGGACATCTTGGCAGGCAAAGCCCGACACCCGCCCGACTCCCTCCGAACGCTCCAGCAAACCATCAAAGCCGCCCAAGGCGACACCGACGTCGATGAAGAAGTGATCCCGCCACCCGGCGAAACTCCTGGCGATATTGACCTCCAGGACATCGAAGGCTTCGGCGTCCCCGACCCAGATGACCCGGATCCGTACGGAGTAAAGGCATTAGAGGCAGAGGGCCTCTTCATTCGGGAGGCTTCTACAAAAGTAAGAGCATCACCTGAGAGCTTTCAGTTCAAACCAAGCATTAGTAGTCCTGTCTACGCGACGTTCCGACGCAGCCTCGACAGCTCGCGAAATAGCTGGCGAGCCAGCGTTCAGAGCTACACCAGCGTGGACCGTGGCACACAGACTCATGAGGCCCCGCTAACTGCCACCACGTCAGTAAGCCGAGCATCCTCACGCAGCGCGAAGGAATCCACAGGCATCCCGGTTAGTAACTGGGATGAAGATGCACAATGGGACACTGTACCGATCCACGGCGGAGAGGGGGGAGAGGAGGAAGAGGAGGAAAGGAAGGAAGAGAGGAAGTTGAGCGGAGCCCCCCCATAAGGACACCCACGAATCCGACGATGATATTGAGGTTCACGAGGTGAGCAATGTGGCCGTCTCCAGGCCGGAAAGCAAGGCGTCATCGTCTTCTCCAGTGGAAGAATCGGATTCCAAGCGCACGTCGCCGACTTTCACCCGCGCCCGTCTGGTCACCATTCCCAAGCGTCCTACGCCGCCTGCTCTGCCCCCACGTCACCCCCGACACACCTGGGGTTCTGGTTCTAGCCGGGAATCGCCATCTCCGACAGCTCGCTCGCATTCCACCGAGCCCACGGACGTCGAGTATGAGCCTATCCTGCCCATCGAGACCATCCAGAAACCATCGGCCTTGCCTTCCAATGTGAAGATGCTCCAAGCCAATACCGTCCTCCCAGCTGTTGTGAATGAGGACGATGACGATCTTCTCGATGAATCGGATTCTGAGATCCCCGCCGATAAGGAAGAATTCTTGTCTGCCAACGGTGACGATGACGACCTGGAAGAAAGCAACACCCCGGTGAAGGATATGACTCCGGAAGCGAACGCAGACTCTGACCGTAAGGAATCGGTCTCTGCCATCTCTGCCAAGTCTGGCGACACTATCGAACCGAATGATGAGTCGAAATTTGCGGAGAAGCTGGATGAATCGCTATGTCTAGTCGAACTCGAAGATAACGTCCACGGAGCCAAGGCCGAAGATGAGGCCATCGCCCCTGCTGCTACTGCTACTGCTACCACTGCCGACTCAGAGGAGACACCCTCCAACATAAAGTCCGGCAAGCAGGACCTCGCACACATCTCCGCCGATCTTGCGTAATCCCATTCCTCCGTCGACCATTCGGTTCGGTTCATTTGACTCGTCACGATTTTCGTTGCTGTATAAAACATGATACCTCGTCCATATACATTATTTAGGAGTTTGGGTTTGTGGCTCCTCGGGGCTGTTTCGCGGAGGCTGGCAGAGCGCAGGATTTTCTGATATTTCGTTGCGCTGGATCTGCCTGGGATGTGGATTGGTAGGGTTGGTTCTGATGTGTATTTCTTAGCGTCTGCATGAGTGCTGGGAGTTTTTGTAAATCATTTACTATCTTGTCTCGTATTCTTGCTGCTCTTTGCTAGCAGCTACTATAAAGAATACAAACTATATTTCAAGTTGAAGCGGAAGTCGACCCTGCAGCATTTGAGAGGTATACGAAGGAGGTGAACTGAAAGGTCCTCTTGGAGACATGAGACAAACCTTCCAAGGTTGTTTCAAGTGAAACGAAAAGTCTTGAGGCAGGATAGTTTTCATGCGAAAAGGTGGGCAAGGCTGAAATATCGGACCCCCATCGACAGTGGATACACCGTCACTGTAAGCTTCGGGAGGAATTGAGGACAGTAATGCCGACGCCGGAGTTGTGTCCTTCTTGGAACTAACTTGAGAAACTGCCGTATCTTTCTGTGACTGTTTATGAGTCTCTGCGATGTTCGACGGGTATTTCTTCTCGATCTCCTCGTATTGCTCCAACAGAGACGCTGGTATACAATGACTACCAAATCCCGCCTGGTGTAAGTGTCAATTCTCAGAAAATTGCCTGTGCTGTATGGTACTAATTTGATATGCCATTCTCTCAGACACTGGTCAGCGAAACGAACTTCTTCGTCTTGAATGACCCTAATATCTTTCCCGACCCTGAGGTCTTCGAGCCTGAAAGATGGATGCGCGCTACAGCCAAGGGTGAACGACTTGACCGCTACTTGGTAAATTTCTCCGAAAGGCTCGCGAATCTGTTTAGGAATGAAGTATGCTATTCTCGACCCCATGTTTATGACGTGAACTAATTTCCATACTCTGCAGTCTGGCCTACGCCGAGCTGTTTATGACAATCGCAACGCTTGTTCGAAGTTTTGATTTGGAGATAGATGAGAATTCGAAGAAGCATCTCATGTTTGTGCGAGACTATGGGACTCCATACCCTGATGAGGGTGTTCTCAGCCTGCCTGTTAAAGTTACGGCCAGTATTGATTGAGGTTGGGGACTTCGAGTTAGTACTATCGCCAATATTTGTCGGCCATTGGCATGTATAGGAGCCTTTTCTATGTCTAAGATAGTAGTTTATCTTCCCTGTGAATTTTTATTCAATCTTTATATTACAAGTATTGCCCGGTATACTCTTCGGCTACCATTTGACCAGGCCGCAACCTGGAACTGTTAATGTCTATTGAGGGTTCTATTGCCTGATCGCTGTCTGCAATGGATTGGCTTGAGTGTTTTTATCTATGATGTCTATTGTGCTAGGCAAATCATTCTTCTATTGAATTGGAATTGATCAATTGGAAGTAGAGTAACCTCGATGTATACGGGTGGGCCCGGAATTAAAGTGCTATCGCCGAAAGCTTGACTCGCCTTACTTTCCTACATTCCTCACCTCCTGCCCTGCTCTGCTTTGCACACAACCCCGCGTCGTCGCCTCTACATCGTGCTCTCGCTCAAATCATCATGCCGACCGATAACCATGTCAAGAAGGCTTTCAGCCTCATCGAGAATGACAAGTCCAAGGTGCTGGGCCTCACGGCCGGTGACCAGGCGATTCAGCCAGGCCAGTATCTTGCGCGCTCAGGTCCGTATTTCTCCCCCCTTCAATAGCGCTTGATCTGATCAGACTCAGCTGTTCAAACTCCCCCGAAACTGTCGTTTGACGGAGCGGATCCCTCCAAGACGTACCTCGTCGTGAGTCTCGACATCGATGCGCCTTTCCCGTCTTTCGGAGCTCTGGGACCTATCCTGCACTGGATTCAGCCCGGAGTCAAGGTCACTGAGTCTTCATCTCTTGATACGAGCAAGCCTTTTGTGGCGAACTACATCGGTCCAGCTCCGCCTCCCGGCAGCTCCCCTCATCGATACATCTTCTTCCTCTACGAAGAGCCTGAGGGATTCGACTTCAAACAGCACGCACCCCCTGATGGGAAGAAGCTGGGTAACATGTCTCGCATGCGCTACGACCTAGATTCCTGGGGCGAGCAGGTCGGGCTGGGTCCCGCTGTTGCTTTCAACTACTTCAAAAGCAATTAAGAAGGATGGAAAGCGGGAAATGGTCCAATTGCTTTATTAGGATGCGGAGGATTTCTTTTATTTTTTTTTTCAGATTTCTCTTTTGCTGGGTTGTATCAGGCTCGCGGGATTGATTTTCTGGGAAGTTCCTATTCTTAAGCCCCGTCTAATAAAAGTCCAAACGGCGAAATAGCATGGGCCACTGCTGCAAAGTCATGGTTCATGCTTTTATGTTGCCGTTTGCTTTCATGGGGATGTTTGCTCTTGATGAAATATTCTATTCATGCTCAAATACCCAGTCTTTCAATTACAATGAGCATCAATGATGTTATTGCCCACAATGAAATGTTTGTAATGTAAATCCATGAAGACGGCATTATCGAACTAGTCTATTTAAGGAGAGCCCCAGTATGGATCCTTAGTTACCATTTCTCATTTCTTCCCCCAGGTGTGACCAGCAATCTTACCATCATGACTTCACCCGTGCCCTTCCTGGCCAATCTAACCATTGCGGTGAGTGGCCATCTTTCCAACGGTTTTGTCCATAGTAAGTAGTATATATCGGTTTAAGGTAAGACATCCTCTTGGTTGTTACTAATATTCTGAGTACAGGCGACGTCCAGCGCCTAACGGAGCGGTATGGAGGAAAGTTTGAGGATCTTGACATCGCCGCTTGCACGCATCTAGTCGCATCGCAACGAGCCGTGGACCTCGAGTTCAAAAAAGGTGCGTTTGTTCCCAGCCTGAGGTACTATGATCGGTTAAAATACTCATTAGATCTCTGTACATAGTCCAAGAAGCGTCGGTAACGGAAGACCTGCAAATCGTCAGTCAGGACTGGTTTTTCCAGTCTGTTGAGAAAGAAATGCTGCTAGCGACTAAGAAGTTTTTGCTTAGAATTCCTTTTCAAAAGAAACGAAGCAAGGCTTCAGAGAAGCCCTCGGTAAAGAAAGAGATCGACAATACTAAGGTCGAGAAGAAGACTCCCGAAAAATCACAAGAGAAACCCCCTGCAAAGCCTCCTGCAAAGCCTGCCGCAAAAGCCTCCGAGATACCCCACGAGAAACCCCTTGTAAAGGCCTATCCGAAGACCCACGAGAAAATCAACGAGAAAGAGCAAGAGCTTAACGCGGTCATTGATGATGACCACGTTGGCCCTAGTAAGCTTGCTCTAGTGATCTATAATTCCGAGGTTGCGTAAAACTAACAGCTTGACAGAAACCGATCTTGTCGTCTGGCTGGATGAGAACAACTTGATCTGGGATGCTATACTGATCAAGGACAGTTCATCTGTAAATTCAAAGGGAGCCGTTACAGCCTACATACCTGATATGGAACGCTTGCAGCTTCTCTACAATTTGAAGACGAAGGATTTCCACTTTGGGGCTCACGGCATGGGCACGACACAAGATTCAAAATCTCCTCATGCTAAATTTGAGAGATACTTCCAGGACAAAACTGGTCTTTCCTGGGAAAATCGCTGGGATGACCCTAAAGAAGGAAAATACGTTTTTGTGCCCCGCATATTTGAAGATGTTGAAATGGAGGATACCTTCTTTCCAGGGGACGGGAAAGACAGTCTGGACCTCAGCACCACCCAGCTTCCTTCCGCGGTATATGAAGTATTGGGTGTGATATTTGACCATGACCAAAAAGCACACATTGAAGCATCAATCAAAAATGTTTCAGGTGGTAGACTGACTAGACAGCCCTGGCGGGTCCGAGTCACTTTACGTGCTGCGCAGTCACTCTTGGAGAGAATCAGCGAGATGACACTTGATAAGTTTCAGAGAAGCGACGACACCCGTGCCAAGCTTCTATCTATCCTCGGTAAAAGCTACCTAGCACTAATGTGGCACAGCGACCTTGATGCTCCGCCCAAATGGGATTTACCAGCCCGCTCAAAAGACAAGAATTGGGTGAAGCGAGAGCGGGCCGCCCTCGGGCTTTTGAACAATTTATCTTTTGCCCTTGATCTAATGGAAAACTCGACCAAGGTTTCAAAGAATCAAATTCTCAATCGCGCTTATCGAGGGCTCGGTCTGGCGAGCATGACACCTGGTTAGCTTTCTGTCACGATTGATTATTTCAACGCCACTAATGTCTGAAATAGTGAAAGCTGGTACTGCAGAGTACAAGGCTCTCGCAAGCTATCTGATTACTAGCTCAGTACCCTCCGCACACGGATTTTCTGTCCAGGTATGTCCTTATATGTCTGAGGGCTCAGATCATCCCACTAGCGTATACCTTCTGACTCGATGGTATATTTCTAGCCGGTCAACATCTTCAAAATCAAACGAGAGGGGGAGAAGGAACGTTTTCAGCAGTACCAAAAATCACACAGCACCCTCGTTGGTGACCGGCGCTTATTATTTCACGGAAGTAGCGCAGTTAACTGGATTGGAATCTTGAGCCAAGGACTGCGGTCGGATGCTCAAACACGAGTTACCCCAGAATCCCCAATGAGAGGTATTTATTTCGCTGACGTTTCTTCCAAATCGGCTGAGTTCTGTCGATACGTGCCTGGTGATCCCGATTCTTGCATGCTTATATGTGAGGTTGAAGTAGGCAAGAAGCCACAGCCATGCAACGTTGCGCCGCTTGGTGATATAAAAGCAATGCATAACCAGGGCCATATTTCATATTTTGCCGCAGGAAAGACTGACTTCAACAAATGGTGCGATGCTGGAGCTGTGAATTCAAGCCTCGCAGGTGTCCAAATGCCTGATACCCCTAGCGGAAGGTCTAAATCGAAGATTGATCCTAAATCCATGCTCGTCACAGCCGGCTATGGTCATCATCGGCACAACGAATGGGTCGTTTACGATCCGGCCCAAATTCGCCAGAGATACTTTGTTCAATTCACGACGGCATGACCGCTCGGCTGATTTGATAGGCACGAGGAGTGCATAAATCATGAAATTCTTCGGCGGGCTATTGATAGATTCTTCTTAAATGAAACTTTGCTTTTTAGACTGTCTTAGAATCTCATCGATATCGTTGTATCCTACGCATATTCGTATTGTAGATAGCTAACATGTCGTCGACAAGCTACAAGTAGATACTACTAGTGTATCTCAACTTTTTTGGGAACACCCCATTTCCATTCACTGAGACGATCAATTTCAATTGCTCCCACGCTCTAATATTAATTCGGTATCCCAAGCCAAAGTCACTGTTCTCGACCGATAAAAATTGACAATGGCAGACATGAAAATGCCCAAACTCTGACCAGCCTTCGCAGGAGCCTTAGGGCGTCGGTCTACGATTTGTTTGGGGCTGCTTGTATTGATGAGCCCTAAGAGCTGGCCTGATTTCTGGTATTTAACGTAATTCCCAAGCGAATCGCGCACCCAAGCGAGCCGCGCAGCTGAATACACATAGTAAATGCGATAAATTACAACTTTCTATCTCAACAACCACAAATCATTTTTACTTGAATATTGAAGTATGGTCTTTTATCAGCAAAGAAAACAACATGTCTAAAATCTAGGCGATTTAAATCGTCAATTTAGAACGTTACCATATAATACGCTGTAATTTAGACCTTTCAGAAACAAATTTATATATCTCTACCACACCGAATCTTCCTTTTTATGTATCTCACCAGTGCACTAGTATTACTACCTAGAATATAATAATTCAATATGGGTACTAAAATAGACGTGGTTGTTGAGATAGAAAGTTGTAATTTATCGCATTTACTATGTGTATTCAGCTGCGCGGCTCGCTTGGGTGCGCGATTCGCTTGGGAATTACGTTAACTGACAGGGCGTCTGTGCCTGAGGCAGCCTCCAAGTACTTTCAACGGAAGCGAGCAGTATGCATGACATAGATGTTATCATAGCAGCGGCCACACCGCTAGGTATTGGTGCTGCTAATTTGGGCGCAATCAAGGAGTTCCTTTATTTCCGAGTAGAATATGTGACGTGTCAATGAGTTATCGTTACACAAAGGATTTCTCAATTATTTTACTATTTCGTGACTCGGAGCACTTGTGTACATTCAACAATTCTTATGCACGATACACAGTCAATTGAAACCAAAAAAAAATGGATTCTTGTCAGATTCCATCAGTGAGCTATGCTGAGCTTCTGCACAATGATGAAGATACTGGGGATTTGGCTGGTATGAAATTGGTCAAAGCTCTAGATTATTATGGAGCTTGTCGGCTTCGGGACCATGGTATTTCACAGGACCTCATAGACAACTGCTTTAGCAAGGTTAGTGGCTAGCCCAATTTCCGTGCTTCTAGTATAAGACAGCTGATTATGGGAGATTGATAGGCCTGGGGCTTCTTTGAAAGAAGTCTTGAAGAAAAGGTTGCCGATTTCTCAAATTCGGGCGCAATGACAGCGTCGAGATTTGTTCCGTTTGGAAGTGAAAAAATCCGCGATGAGCCTCATCTAGACGAGACTATGGAGTTTCAACATGGAGTTTATGAGTTGAAAGGTACATGGTCTGAACCAGGTAAAAAATTGCTCGATGCTTCGAGATTATTACATGAAGTTTGTGCTTCTCCCTCCGTTTTGATTTTGGTATACAGTCCACGCATCTAATCAGAATGTGAAAAAAGGAATGCAACCGCATCCAATTCAATCTACTCGATATTCTATCCTCTTCTATCAACCTTCCCCACTCATTAAGCTCTATTCACAGCAAGCGCAATTCCTTCTTCGCTCCATACTATTACTCCTTTGAAGGCATCAACGATACCAACCCTCTCCGTGTTCCTCCTCATATCGACCCAACAACCATGCTATTCAACTTCCAAGACTCACATGCCGGCCTAGAAGTCGCAGATCTTAGCAATACGACAGGCAGTTTATCCGCCACGGCAGTTGAAAAGACCGCCAACTTTATCCCAGTGCATTGCCAGCCGGGAGAATTTCTTGTGCTGGCTGGTCATGTCTTGAGAAGACTTGTTTCGGACATCAAGCACTCTGTGCATCGGGTGAAGCGACCAGTGGGTCTTTCAGGATTTCATTTGAACTATTGGATTGTCCCGGATTTAGATACGAGTTGCAATTTTGGAGAGAAGGGAGGAGGATGTTGCGGCGTATCTGGCTAGGGTATTTCCGGCTGCGTTGAGAAATACCGGGCAGGCATAGCATAGATTCCCATCCCCACTGATCAAATCCTGTTCTTTTCTAAGACTTGGAGTGCGGCATTTTTTTTTCTTCCTTTTTTTTTCGAACTTGAACTACCCATGGAATTCGGGGAATTTTGGGTTGGAACGTTTATACTTCGGGCTGCCAAAAATAAGTGGGGCCGCGGGTAGCCCGAGATGGAAGTTGGGGTCATTGGGTCGTTACCCAGCGAACGCATGAAAGTGGCCACAGCCTCACGAGGGAGAAACTGGTGGCTAGGAAAAGTTGGCTACTCTGAGATTGAGGGTTTATTTCAACAAACTTGTTACTTGCCCTTAATATGATCATCTGATATTCACGAGGTCTATCCAAGAGTACTCGTATATCCATTCGATCCTTCTGGAAGCTTCCACATGACCGGGGCGGTGAAACAACTCATACGTCATTCACTCTCTCGAAGGGCCCCGACGATTCCAAGTTCAGTCCAGTTGTTCAGCTGTGTCCCAGGCTTTTCCCGTTTCACCTTCTTTCTGCACTTTCTTCCACCCTTTGAACGACTACTATACATTCCTCTCTCCCCTCGTGACTCTCCTCTTTCTGTCATCTTCCCATCCCAACTCATATCTCGACCCTACCACTCGGACTTTCTACAACGTTCGAGAGGCTACTGGTCACGATATTCTTTCCCCTCCCTCTTCGAGCACCCTGCTTTTAAGCTCAGAAGCTTTGAGTCGCCCGCGCTGACTTCGTCTCGCCTTTCCTGCACAAACTCAATTCCATACCATCCACAACAACAACATGGTGGCCGAAACCAAGCTATATGATGCCTTGAGCATCAAACCCGATGCTACACAAGACGAAATTAAGAAGGCTTATCGCAAGGCAGCCTTGAAATATCACCCTGACAAGAATAAAGACAATCCCGAGGCGGCTGAAAAGTTCAAAGGTATGTACTCTCTTTAGTCTGGTTGAAGGTATCAACCGGTACCCCGCACTAGTACTTCTACATGCAACACAAACTAACAATCATCTACAGAGGTCTCACAGGCCTACGAAGTTCTGTCCGACCCCGAGAAGCGCCAGGTGTACAACCAATACGGTCTTGAGTATCTCCTCCGCGGCGGTCCTCCGCCCTCACCGGGTGGTGGTGGAGGCGGCCCTGGCGCTGGCCCTGGTGGCATGCCTGGAGGATTCAATTTTGGCGGCATGCCCGGCGGTGGTGGTAGCCGAACATTCCACTTCTCAACCGGTGGCGGTGGCGCCGATGGGTTCAGCTTCAGTAATGCAGACGACATCTTCCGCGAGTTCGCCAAAGGTGGCACCGGCGGTGGCAAGGGTGGCTTTGATGATGATGACCTATTCTCGATGTTGAATGGCGGCCTGGGTGGCGGCGGATTCCGCCGCCCTAAGGGAGGATTCCCGCAGAAGAAGCGCGCTCCTACGCCTGAACCTACCATCATCGAGAAGGACCTACCTGTCTCCCTCGAGGAGCTCTTCCATGGCGCCACTAAGAAGGTAAAGACTCGGAGCAAGACCTTCGATTCCAGTGGCAAGCTCAGTTCCCGCGAAGTTATCTTAGAAGCCAAGATCAAGCCAGGTCTGCGCAGTGGATCAAAGATCAAGTACAAGAACTTTGGCGACTCAGAGGAAGGTGGTCACCAGGATATGCATCTGATTGTAAAGGAGGTATGTGATGCCCGTTTTCTAACATCTGAAGGAGATATTCTGACTAACGATTTACAGCAAAAACATGAAATTTTCACACGCTCCGGCGACAATCTCATTGTCAACGTCGATCTCACCTTGAAGGAGGCCTTAACCGGCTGGGAACGAATCGTTCAGACTATCGATGGAAAATCCATTCGGGTTTCCAAGCCCGGCCCAACACAACCCGGCCACCAGGAACACTACCCCGGCCTCGGCATGGTGATCTCCTCGAAGCCCGGCGAACGAGGCGATCTCGTTGTCCACGTTAATGTCAAGTTCCCTACCACTCTTCCACCTGCCACCAAAGACATTCTGCGGGACGTATTGCCCTAAAAGCCCGACTGTTTTACAATTATCACTTAGCATATAACTGGCGTTTTCAGCGTTCTTTAATGGGAGGTTATGACGTGCAACGATTTCACACTATTTGGGAGTCAAAAGGTGCCTCTACTTTTATCATTCAATATATATATTCTCAATCTATTTATCATATCCTCATTCATATATCCGAGTCTGTATCTTGGTCTGCACTAGTAGTCATTCAATGCCGGTATGATCACCCGTGGGCGTACTGACAATTCGGGCCCGCAGTGTCAGAATGGAAGATACCATGAATCAGCGTTATTAAAACGCTACTAGTATTATAGCGTGTGCAGACTTGTTGGCCTATTGGTGTATTCTGCTGTATTTTGCTGTAGTTGCACCAGAGCCCCATCTCACGCAGAATCGGGGCAGGTGCGGGCCCTGGCTTATCGCCGAGTCGATAGCGGTAGCTCCCACTCCGGCTTCTAGCTACTCCTACCCCCATCTCCGTCTCGAACACTTCCACTCCACACCCTTCCCTCCCTCAATAGCCACCATGAAACGGAGAATCACCCTTATTCAGCCCTTGGGCGCCCCGTTCGAGCCAGATCAGGCAGTTCTATCATCTAGAAACCTCGCCATTCGCGACCTGGACGCCGCGCGCCATGATCGCATCACACTGGGTCTCGACGACCTTCCCGAGGAGGTGAGGCAGGACGCTCGAGCTTTACCATGATATGGATGGCTAACACGTTTTCTCTCTATTGTTGCACAGCTCCGGACTGCTCTCGAAAGTTCTCATGAGCTTCACCTCCGCTGGGCGGCGGAGGAGCCCTTCGACGCCATCGCGCCCTTCTCCAGCAGAGTCTCGCCCGGTCTCCATGTGCATTATACCCCTCTGGTTTCTGATCAGCCTTCGTGAGTTGAGCTTAATACACCGCCGATAAATTTAAGACCAAGCTGACTGGGTACCGAACAGCGACGCGCTATGCTCAGTGCTCCGCACCGTGTTCGGGGCGGATGAGGAGGATCGAAACGGGGTAGACTGCACGAGCCCCGAGGTAAATTGCCCTCTTTACTTCTGCCATACTCCAGGATACTGGGTTGGCAAATGCGGGAATAACTCTAATCTCCTCCTATAGAAGACTTTCACCACGCCCCCACTTCGTTCGACGCAATTTGCGACATCGACCTCCCTCCAGTACTACACGCGCCTCCCCTCTCTCCAAACCCTAGTCGGCTTCATTCGGCGCACAATCTGTCATCAACGCCAGGGCGGTTCAAAATGCCATTCTCATGCCGACACTCTTCTCACGGCCGATTCCGTCGATGTTGACTATGACAGCACATCGCATACTTTAGCTATATCGGGGTTCTGGAGCTCCGCTCCTACTGGTGGCTGGATCGAAGACATTGGAAAGCTTGCTGCGGATGACAAGATTGAGATCGGCCTTCTAGGAGTCGAGCCTGGAGCTACCCCTGATGAGCTCAAGGCAGGCGGGTTATTAGGCAGCATTGGAGAAGATAAAAAGCTCAGTATGTGCCAACCTTCCATATGCATAAGCTAGCAAGACTAATTTACGCAGTGCCGACGATGTTCTACTTCCCTTCGCGTCATCACTCGCTCGCCGAAGCCGACACATACAGCATCTCGTTCTCCCAGCCAACAGGGCTTCATCCAGAGATGTCAATCTCCATCCCGCACTCTGCTTTAAAACCACCCCCCGCACCCAAAGACTCCACATGTGCACTGCACACATATCTCACCCTCCCATCCTCAGTGTTCATTGATCAATATCAAGTTGGCACGAATGACCCTCTTTTCCATCAAGAACACAATCTCGTCGCTGTGCGTGCATTTTCCGGTGAAACAGACCTTGAAGCGCCAGAGTGGGCCGTAGATCGCTGGGGCTCGAATTGGCTCCTCGAGCTCGCGACGCCCTCCGGTGATAGTGCTGATCCCTCATCAAACTGGACTTCAACGATCCCTATGCACCTCCGATATCTCGACCCTTCAGAGTCTGGATATCGATCGGCAGCCGTGCCCTGGCCCGTCGTGTTTTGGGCGTGCAGCACGGAAGAAGAGGGGCAGACGGGTAAAAACCCCTTTGACCGAACCAATTTAGGCTACGATAATCACTTCGGGCCGCGGACGATATTCTATCAGCTCCATCCTGCATCGCAACATCTCATTGAGGAATTGGATGTCCCTGTGCTAAAGCTGAAAGATGGCGAAGGTCTCTTCCAGGCTCGGAACATCGAGCTGGGAACAAGTGTCGCCATTGTTCTTGGTTTCTTATGGATAATCTGGCGCTTGGCTCGTGTCATGTGGGAGAGTGGTCTCGGGGCTAACGAGGTGAAGCGGCCCGAGACGCATGAGAAGAAGGAATAAACCCTTCCCTTCTTCCTTTCTATTTCTACCTTTCTTTTTCTTCAAGCGTCAGATATCAGCTTCTCATCATAGCACATTTACGACATGGCGTTCGGATCGATATCATCAGACATGAGCATAGATACAAATAGCCAACCAATCACTAATATATACAGGATCCATCCTTGACACGCCAAGTCACACGTAGACCTGCCTAAATCCCCATCTCAGGAAGCGGCCACGGCACAGTAGTCCCGAGGAACTGTTCCAAATCAAAGTTCTGTAAGGAAGGCATGTCAATCATCAAATCGCCCAACCAAGAAAGGTCCGCATCCGCCGCATCCTGCTGAAGCTGTATCTGCTGTGTAATTTGTCCTTCCGGACGCACATCCTGCTGTAACGAAGCCCCAGCCAGCGTATTACCCCTCGCATGGGTGTTACCATGGCCATTCGTAGCATCATAGCCAATCCCACCTCCAACCCCATAACCAGCAGTGCCCGACACATCCCCAGCAGCAGAGGCATTAGCCCTCAAAACCTCCGCCAACGCCCTCGTATCATCCTCCTTTCTACGCTGATGCAACGCAACAAGCAAATAAGCCGTCGAATAAGCTTCGCGCATAACACCCGTATCATACGCAGCCTGAACCTCCCTCAACGTCATCATCGCATCCGACAGCAACCCCAACGCCGCGCGATTATCAATCGCCAAAAGCGTGCAGACGACCTGGAACGGAACATTGGCAACCTGATGCCAGGGGCACGAGGCGGCGACCATTTTCCGTGCTGCAGTGAGCGCGCGACTCGCGAGGGCGAGGATGCGGTCTTGTAGATCTGCGCGGAGGGGAGCGTAGGGGTTGAGGGCTCTGGCGCGCCGGTAGATGCAGAGCATTAGATTGCATTGAACTAGGATTAGGGATGGTTCGGTGTAGATAGGGCTCAGGACGGAGGTTAGGGCTTTTTCGAGTTCGGGGAGATCTTGTGGTGAGGGGCCTGTTGGGTCTAGGGACTCGGAGAGTGGGAGGAGGTGGAAGAGGTCTGTTCCTGCTCCTGACGATGTTTGTGCTTGGGTTGGGGGCTGGGATGTGGCGCCGTGGAGGACAACGCGAGAACGGCCTAGGTCGAAGGAGATCCAGGTGTTTAGGTGGCGTGCCATGCCGAAGAGGCGTCGACGAGTGTCGAGGTCGGAATTGGGTGATGTGTAGATGCTGTTCTGGTTAGTGTGGTTTCCGGTGGATGAAGTTCCAAGTTCCGTGGTCGTCTCTAGGTCTGAGGCTTCGAGGTGTAAGCCTGCTGCTTCGATTAGATGCATCAATGTGCAACTAGCCATCCATGCAGCATGTGGGGAGGCTGTCATTCGGAGGTAGGCTGTGCGTAGGACCCAGGCTGTTATTGTGTCGATTGAAGGTGGTTTGCCGCATAGGACGGACTTTTCAAGAAAAAGACGTGCGTCTTCAGCGAGTTTGATCTCAATATCCATAATCTCGCGCTGTGAGAAGAGATAGGCGAGGGCTGCAATGCCACAGAGCACAGTTTCAAAGGCCGGATCTGATTCCGCGGATGTTTTATTTGCCCAATGCCGCACTATACGTGATAGCAAGGTCTCTCTGTTCAGAAATGCATAGCACGGGTGGACTTTTTCAAAGTAAATAGCTGCCAACCCCAGCATCTGGGCCTGTGACAGGATTTTGGTGATTGACGCCGCCGTCCCGGACAATGCGTGATCCGGCGATTTCTTTCTCTCGCCGACATTCCATGCAAATAGATGGAGTCGCGGTGCACGAGCAGGATCTATACGCAGCCCAAGCTTGCGGACAAATGAAGCCCCGGAGTTTGCCTCTAAGGACTGACTGGCAGGTTGGGGTTTGAGGTCATCCGGTCGGGAGTCATTAGACTGGGGGCCATTGAGATGAGTGTAGGAGGCGGGTGATATGGCGCTATCCGAAGTACCAGCTCCAATACTCGCAGGATCGGGCCGTGTCCGTGTCTTTGGCCAGCTCTCAGGTTGCTGCTGTCGCTCCTCCGGCGCAGACAGACTGGTCCGATACGCGCTACTGTGCTTCTTGCGGGGTGTGGGGTTAAATTGGCATGGGGTGTCAAGCTGAGTGCAAGTTGTGCATGGCCGATCGCCTGAGCATTTTCTCTTCCGTGACTGGCATAAAAGACAGGCCGCGCGAGAGCGTTTGCGCAGCTTGGAGTTGGAGTCGGCCATTGCTTTGATGGAGAAAGTGGGAGGATCGCCAAGACTCAAGAGTCCGGGGAGATGTTGTCGGCGTCGGCTTGGGCGGAGTTCAAATTGTTGTGGTGCTACAGAGATACACGGGATGGATACACAACTCATCGACATTCCAATACTGATACTAGTATGATTCAAATTCATTTTGGCCCTCATCTCAGCTCATTTTCATTATATCTACGTCCGTCGGGGTAGCCCATGAGATCCGCTAGCTCTTCGAGATTCGGCATCCCTGCCGGGCCAGGCATATACTGCAGGTTATCTCGCTCGCTCGTCCCATTCCACCAGATCTCGTTCTTGTGTAGTGCCTCCGTAATGCGTGGTGCATCAATATACGTGCGGATTTCGACCATCTGTTTGTTATGATCCCACCTAGTCACCCATACATTGACAATATCGAATTGATCACCTGCAACACAATCAGCCTGGAGTGCAGACCAGTGCACACCACACCGCACCACACCTACCAGAGTTCATCACCCCCTTGAACTGAATCTCCTCGACCGACCAAGCACTATTGCACCCGCCGTGAATGGCCTTGGGGTGGATCTCGAACTTGTCGGCGTGGTCATAGAAGAGCACGCTCACCCGACGCAGGGCGTTCACATAGAAATGCAGCAGGTCATGATACCGTCCAGCGATAGGGTGATGGCCGACCACAGTAAATTTGACATCCTTGTTGATCAGTGTGAATAGTTTACTCATGTCTTTCTCGAGGTCCTTGAAGGCATCCCATATGTGCATCTGTGATACAAAGCGACAATGGGTGGAAGGGTTCTCGAACTGGAAGCCCTCGCGGTGGCCCGAATGACCAGGGTCATTAATGAGTCCATCGCCGCTGCAGGGGTCATGCCCATCGGGGTCGACCAGACCTGATCCATCACATTCGGGTTTGTCGAGAGGCTGCTGGGTACTCGTAGCCCGACTGACTGCTGGGGCGGGGATTGCCAGACCCACGATGAGATAGCGGTAGACGATCATGGCGTCACATTACCTCACCCAATTGTCTCGCTGGACCCTCAATGGCTGTCAGCTATCTCGCGGTGAGCAGAAATGTGGGTAAAAGTGGGTTTGTTGTCCTTCGCTATCTTTCCGGCGGCCACTAGTGAGATCAAGGTAATTGCGTTTAGCAATGCGTTCTGTCGGGTTCTGCACGATGCCCGGGCCGAAATTATATCTCTGGGAAGTGGTATTTAAAGGCACCGTATTATTGAGAAATGCACCGTTCTAGACGTGACACGACATTCAAAATACACCGAGTCGAGGCAGTTTGCAAACAGCTACGCGGAGTGCAGAGTACGGAGTACGATACTGCGTAGGTAAAGAGCCGGCGGGTCACCTGAGGCAGCCAGCCACTTCTACTGGCGGTGTGCAACTGCACAGCAATGCAGCTGCAGTTGTACCTGCAACCACAGATCAGTTTTTTGCTCAAATTCTTAATTGAGTTAGTTAGTGCATATGTACTGTAGCTACTTACGGAGTACCGTGTACCACGCATGTGCATACAGATGTACATCGCAATTGGTGAAATGTCATTGGTGACCTGAGTATGCGATGACTCAGCCGGCACCAACCGATATCGGCCCGCTCTTCTGATTGGCCACGCCGGAGTCGGTGAGGCACGTGCCCGCACTGAGTCAAGCGTTCAATTTTCTTTCTTCCCCCAACTTCTTTCTCCTCTCCAGTTTCCATCTTCCTCTCCAAGCCAACTCTAAAACTCCACTCATGTCGACCTGAACTTTTCTTCCCAACCCCCCTCTTCTTTGACTGCTATACCTTCAGTCGCGCTTATGTGTTTGGCACCCTCAATCTTCACCTCCCAGGTATGTTGTTGTCCCTTCCCACGGTTCATCCATGGTTGCTCCGAGTACAATCCAACTAACACAACACCCTTGCTCAGGACTATATCTCGGACCACCTTTGGAAATCCTCAAAGAACTGAATTGACTACCCATAAAACTCGTTCAATTCTTCTCTCTACAATCAAAAAATGTTCACCAACCTCTTTAAGGCCATGCCTGCCCGGGCCGGCGCCTTCGCCTCTATGAAGACGCCCGTCCAGGCTCGCTTTATGGCTACTGTTCGCCAGCGGGCTGCCATGGAGCCTGCTACCTTCACCATTCGTGATGGCCCCATGTTCACCGGCAAGTCGTTCGGTGCTCGCTCCAACATCTCCGGCGAGGCCGTCTTCACCACCTCTCTGGTCGGATACCCCGAGTCTCTGACCGATCCCTCCTACCGCGGCCAGATTCTGGTCTTCACTCAGCCTCTCATCGGTAACTACGGTGTTCCCTCGGCTGAGAAGGACGTCAATGGCCTTCTCAAGTACTTCGAATCCCCCAACCTGCAGGCGGCCGGTGTTGTCGTCGCCGATGTCGCCGAGCAGTACAGCCACTGGACTGCCGTTGAGAGTCTGGGTGAGTGGTGTGCCCGTGAGGGTGTTCCCGCCATCTCTGGTGTCGACACTCGTGCCATCGTCACCTATCTGCGTGAGCAGGGTTCGTCCTGGCCAAGATCACTGTTGGCGAGGAGTACGACGCCAACGAGGACGAGGCTTTCACCGATCCCGAACAGATCCACCTGGTGCGTCAGGTCAGCACCAAGCAGCCTTTCCACATCAGCGCTCCCGATCCCACCTCGCACGTTGCTGTGATCGACTGCGGTGTCAAAGAGAATATCCTGCGGAGTCTGGTTGGCCGTGGCTCTAGTGTCACCGTCTTCCCCTTCGACTACCCCATCCACAAGGTGGCCCACCACTTCGATGGTGTCTTCATCTCCAACGGCCCTGGTGACCCTACCCACTGCCAGGACACTGTCTTCCACCTGCAGCGCCTGATGGAGTCATCCCAGGTCCCCATCTTCGGTATCTGCCTGGGTCACCAGCTACTGGCTCTGGCCGCCGGTGCTAGCACCATCAAGCTCAAGTACGGTAACCGCGCTCACAACATCCCGGCCCTGGACCTGAGCACTGGTCGCTGCCACATCACCAGCCAGAACCACGGTTATGCTGTTGACGCTTCCACCCTGCCCTCGGACTGGAAGCCGTACTTCACCAACCTGAACGATGCTAGCAACGAAGGCATGATTCACAAGTCTCGTCCCATCTTCAGCACCCAGTTCCACCCCGAGGCCAAAGGCGGTCCCCTCGACTCCTCCTACCTCTTCGACATCTACCTCGATAGCGTGCTCAAGTACAAGCACAGCCAGGCCGGTCTGTACCCTCAGCGTGACAGCCGCCCCAGCCCCATGCTGGTCGATCTGCTTGCCAAGGAACGTGTCGGCGTCCAGCCGACCATTGGCATGCAGAACGTGGCCGCCGCCGCTGCCGCTGCTGCCGCCGCATAAATGTCTTAAGGAATTGGTCCGGGGAGTTCTGGTTAGGTTATATTTTGGAATCGGCGACTGCTTTTTATCTTGTTCATATGTTCATAGTTGATCTTGATCGTACATCCAATTTCACATCAATAGACTTGAATCTTTTTCTCAATTCGTAACAACATCTGCCTGAACCTGCAGTTTTTCTATTTCGCTATAATCGACACCACATCCTCGTCGGCCACCATGTGTCCCAATCCCACGCGCTGCGGGACATGACGAGCGCTAGCACCCCATACCAAGGCGTGCTTGAAGGTATCCTTCAATGTGCGGTGAATAGAGTCACACACGTCCTCGATACTCGAGTCCCGACGAACGATCATAGCTTCGCTGAAGTCGGGATCAACTCCCTTTCTGTAGATGAATTAGAAATGTGAGGTTCTCGAAATTAGCGAAAGTAAGATTGGCAACCCACCTCTTCGTGTATAACCGCATCAGTCTTAGTTCCTTCCAGATACGTTCCACGACCTCCTGTACGCCAAGATCGAGCTCACAACTCATGACGGCTGTGTACGGCTCGCGGGCCAGTTGGTCCAAGAACTCCATGCTGATGCCGTCAATTTTGTTGTAAACGTATAAGCTGGCTGGGCGTCAGTATCTGTATTTAAGGAATGAACTAAGGTGGGATGGACATACCAGCGAATATACTTGCGGTGATCCTTCATAATGACATCGATAAAGTCATCGATTGTGGCTGGGATTGTCAGTATGGCTTTGACGTGGGATGTTTCTGGAATCGTGACACACCATTTTCATCCCGCACCAGAATTTCGCAGTTGAGAAGCTTGTAGTCACGCATGACGTTGTAGATCATCTTCTCATCCAGGTACTTCGGCGGTGTTTGGAAGGTAATCTTCATGCCACCGGCATTCTTAATCTTGAGATAGATGTTTGGGGGCTCTTTGTTAAGTCGAATGCCCACTGCATCCAATTCAGCCTCGAGAAGAGCACGCTGCTCGGCACGCTTTGTAGCATCCAGGACCATGAGAACCAAATCACTAGTCTAGCCAGCCATTTGAGAGCCAGGTTAGCAATTGGTTGGCTCTTCCTCAGTATGGGAAATCACGTACCTTGGCTGCGGAGATGACTTGACGTCCACGGCCCTTACCCTCGGAGGCACCCTCAATAATACCAGGCAAATCCAGAATCTGGATCTCGGCGCCGCCGTATTCGAGCACACCAGGGATAGCCGTCAACGTGGTGAAAGAGTAAGCAGCCGCCTCGGACTTGGTCTTGGTGATCTTCGATAGGAAAGTAGACTTTCCGACGGAGGGAAAACCAACCAGCGCAACACGCGCATCACCACTTTTGCTGACATCAAAGCCAGCGCCACCACCAGAGCCTGCACCAGCAGCGGGTTCAAGCAACTGGGCTCGAAGACGGGCCAATTTTCTGCACTCATTAGCTGGATACTCTTCTGCTGGGTAACTATATATACACACCCTTTCAATAGACCCAAATGATACTCTGAAGTTCATCGTATTAGTATAAAGATCCCAGGGGTGGTCACTTGTTTTTTTTTTCGCTCGACATCATACCTGTCGCCTTGTTCTCTGCGGGGCATTGTTAGTGGGGTGTTCAGTGCAATTTTCGGCCAGTATCAACTCACTCTGCGTCCGGCGCATCTCATCCTCAATCCTAGAAAAAGTTTCAGTAAATGAAAATTCACGCAAGACGAAATCGAAGCTCGTACTCTTTGATCTTCTCCGTAATGTTCACCATTGTGACGGTTGTGGAGGCTTTTCGCCTGTTCTCTCACGCGGGGTATATGGTCGCCGCTTTCTGGCGTAAAAAGTGATCTGCCGAGCTGGTGACAGTGATATCAGCCTTTGGACGAATATTCTCCCTTTCGATCCAACCAGATCAATTGCAGGACTTCAATCGCTCGTGATATCAAAAATCCGCAGCGGAAGTTCCAATGCTCGGCGACGCCAAGACAGCCCTTCACCGCCTGCCCAAATCGGGGACTCCCAAACTTTTTGCCGCGCCTGGGGCAACTTGATCTCGATTGAATCGAATCGCCTTGCCTCAGCTTTCCAACGCTGCAAACCTTACAACAAACCCCAGCCATGGCCGATACAGCAGAGCCCGCGCCCGACGCGCTGGTCGCGACCGAGTCCGATCCCACGAATGCGCCAAACGAAGAGCAGCAGCTCGAATCGACCAAGAAAATCAAGAAGATCATCAGAAGGAAGAAGCGTCCTGCGCGCGTTCAAGCAGATCCCTCAGTTGCGAAGGCGGATCCCTCAACACAGTCTGGACTGCAGTGGAACATCTGGTACTCAAAACATGAGGGTGGGCAGAGAGGGGATGAGCAACACAGCTTGAACAAGCCCGCTCCCGGTCGATGCTCGATTGCTAGAGATGCTGGATACACCCGTGCCGATCGGACACCAGGAGCTTTCTTCTGCGGTAGGTTTTCAGTAATAACGCTTCGTCTTTTGCCTGCTCGTTGCTGATATGGCTATTTTAGTTCACTTCGCTCGAGGCGTGTGCCACAAGGGGGCCGATTGCGAATACTTGCACCGCTTGCCTGGAATTCACGATTTGTATCAACCGAATACCGACTGTTTTGGCAGGTGAGTGGATTTTATACCCGGTCTGGAAGGTCTTGCGGGCTCCTTCTAATCTTTTCACAGGGAAAAATTCTCGGATTATCGTGATGATATGGGCGGTGTTGGAAGTTTCCAACGTACGTACAGTTAAATGGCCGAAGCTCTCCAATCGGGTCGCTAACAAATTCACAGGACAGAATCGTGTTCTATACGTTGGAAGAATCCATGTTACGGATGATATCGGTATGGTCTTTTGCGGTCATAGCTATGAATGCTCTTACTAATGTCTTGCAGAGGAGGTGGTGTCTAGGCACTTCAGTGAATGGGGCCAAATTGTTCGTTCCCTCTATCGAAATCAGATACACAGTCTTCTCTAACACATAACAGGAACGATCCCGTGTTTTGACAGGCAGGGGAATAGGCTTCATTACATATTCAAATGGTGAGAATATCCCGTCCAATATCTCTTTATACCAAACATACTAATCTCATTAAACAGAGGCAAATGCCCAATTCGCAAAGGTACGGAAGAATCGTCTCAACATTACTATCAAAGTGATACCCTAACACAGAACGACAGGAAGCCATGCATCAACAGGCTCTTGATCATGGTAAGAAACTCCTAAATTAACATCTCAAATTCCCCCGCTAACAGCATCCAGAGGAAATTTTGAATGTCCGCTGGGCAACAGTCGACCCCAACCCAATGGCACACAAGCGGGAGGCCCGCCGGTTAGAAGAACAAGCCGCCGAGGCCATTCGACGCGCACTCCCAGAGGCATTCGTTGCGGAAATCGAGGGCCGGGACCCCGAGGCCCGAAAGCGGAAGAAGATTGAGGGTAGCTTTGGATTGAACGGATACGACGTGCCCGATGATGTCTGGCACGCGCGGACCCGGCAGCTAGAGGCATCGGCACCTGCGGCCCAACTCGAGGCCCCGGAGCAAGCTCAAATGATTGAAGCCGCACCACCCGCGGCTGAGCCCGCACAGCCGGAGAACGGAATCTTTTCCAGTTCAACTGTGGCAGCCTTGCGTGGACTAGCGGGTGGTAATGTGACGACCCAGGCTGCGCCGAAGAGCTCTGGTCCCTTGGTTGGCTACGGGTCTGATGACGATAGTGACTAGATGTTTGTAGCGCAGCAAGGCTCTGCGTACATACTTGATGCAAAAACAGAACCCACTTTATGTATAATATCAGCGATACCTCAAAAAGATGAAACTATTGCCCTCCCATGCAATCTTCGTTAATATTGGCGTTATTCATAACGGGGTATCTCCCGGACTCGCTAAAACATGACAAGGATGGTAGGTAGAGTGTTGGGGGAGAGGGGAGGGGAGGCGGAAAGCAAGAAGGTATAAACAGGCTAGACCGCCGATACATGAGGTTTTATGCAAGTAGTAAGGAAATTCCAAATATGCACCAGGAAAAAAAAAATCACAGAATAAACTCCTCCCGATGAATTTCACCCCCTGGAGAAATTATCTGTCGCTAGTAGGGCCGAGGTCATAGTACACGCACGAACCGGTGCGGTAGTTGTAGATGAAAGCATTTGTGTAGCCGTCCGCTCCATCGCTCGCGCGAATTTCAGAAGCCAAATCGGCAAGCAAATCGTACACTTGACCGAGATATTTCCGCTCTGTCAGGGGTGCATTTTGGATGACGGTGCGCCAGCTGTCAGGGTCGGAAAGGCGGGTGTCGCGAATGGAGTCGAGGACATCGTCGCGCGTGTCAAGCGCAACGACTGGGGCGTTCGCTGAGTTTTCGGCGATTTCGCGCGCGCTGAAAAGAGCTGTTTCAAGTTAGTAATGGGACTATACAAATGGCGTTGACTTGGGATCATACCGGACTCGACAATATTTCGACGATTGGTCTTTTTGCTTCGATGTTGCGGGACAAGAATGCGTACGTCATTAGCCCTCTCTCTTTCGTTGGTCAGGAATTGATCCTGCTGTCCTGGAAGGCGAGCCTGGCGGGCATCCACATTGCCTTCGCGCTGGTGTCGTGCTTGTACCTCAGATCGAAGCCAGGGTACAAGCTCGGTGTGGCGAATGTCAAACTCTTCTTTGCGGACGAGATTTCGCACTTTAAAGCCACGCTCCTTGCTATCTTGCTTCGCGATCACGATCCAGCGGTGGTTGTTGTCTTTGTACTTTGCAATTAACTCTTCAATGGAAGAGGAATCGACTGCAAGTTCTGCGCTAATACCATTTCCCCAGAGATCTTCGATGAGTTTCACGGCTGTGGTCCGAAGAACTGTTGGGTCAAAGCTTGCGACGAGAACATCGCACTAAGCTTGAGTCAGTAAATTGTACGCTTTTCAAGTTGCTGGGTTGCAAACATACCCTGCGAGTTGTCCAATACAGTTCAGCACCAGATTCGGCATCTTTCGGAGGGGCCTTTGACTTGAGATACTCCCTCATAGACGAGCCCAACTTATCAGAACTAAGATTGAATCCCACTGCGTGAGATTGTGGACGATTTGACAGAGATTTGGGTGCAAACTCTTGAATTAATCGGTCGTAGCGGCCACCTGCAGCGAAGACATCACGGCGTTTGGTGTCGAAAACGCATTGGAAGAGAATACTGCCCCGGTAGAACTTGTCGTGCAAACTGCTCAAGGGGTTGACGAAGACTCTGCGCTGTACACCAAAGCATTGTAGGTATGTCATGAGTACATTCAGCCGGGCGAAGATAGGGGGAAGCCGCTCGGCAAATTCAGTTCCTTCCATGATAACTTGCATCTTGCGCAAGGTTTCCTTGGGAGTGCCTAGAGGGAGTTAGTTAGTCGAAAGGAAGAGACAAAGTTGGTTGACTGCGTAACATACCTCTGAAATCAAATCGAGCAAGATCATCTAACGAAGTCGAGGCAACGCCGATTGCTGGAGAGCGAAGCTCACTTCGAATCTTTTGCATGGTCCATTTGCCGACATTCAACTTGCTGATGACTTCCTTCGCTAGGGGAATCTGGGATGGCGTCATACGGCAGAACTCCATGATAAGTTGAAGAAGATCAGAATGGTTGACTAGGAAGCACATATTCGCTGACCGAAGTGGCGGAAATTCTTCAATGATCTCGTCAAGGACCTTGATCACTTCAGCCTCCTTGAGCGCTAGATCTAAGGTGTTGTACGACACGATATCAAAATCAACTTCCCGGTGCGTGCGAGGCTCACTGCCGTGGGTTGATTCTCTGTAAACGGTACCAAAAGCAAACGTTTTCTCCAGGGATGGATCTTGGCGAGGAATCGCTCGTGCATTTGGTACCGTGAGGTCGAAGGGCAGCTGAAGAAGATTTCCCGACGAATCCAGCAGACGTACTGCACCGGCAGAGTAATGCTGAGACCGCGGGAACAACATCTGTCTCGTCGATTCAACTGCCCCGTGTCGACGGAAAATAGAAGTGAGTTTCTTCTTGACAAGTCCCTGCACAAGAAGCTCATTTGCAGCTGGTACTCCATGAGAGTCCATATCCCACGCAATGTCCTCAAATTTCTTCGGGGATTGCGAAAAAATGGCAGAGAGAATCTTCTTGTAGTCGGGGGAATTTGGATCCGACAGCAAGTGTACGATGGCCCTTCTAAAGGTCTCCTCTTCAACTTGAAGGGGAATCTTACCACTTGCAAGAAGCTCCGACGCAGTCGGTCGCTCGCTTTGCGTATGGCTTAGAAGAGATTCGATAATCTGACCCTGAACAACCTTCTCCGATTGCTGGAAAGTAACCGGGAGTACATGGTTCGTTTCTCGGATCTCCCGCAGCGTTTGATCACGCTCCATACCTGTTGGCAATGGATGACACATTTCGAAGAAAATGACACCTAGTGAGAACATATCAACCTTCTCATTATAGTGTTCCGAGAAGCCGGACTTCATCTCTGGGGCAACATAGTATGTTGTACCCAGGCTGCGCGTAAAATTTCCTTCGAAATCCGCCGCCGCGGACGAACGTACTGCCGTCATAAATTGGCCACTTGTAGCAAGACCAAAATCACCAATTCGGGGATTATTGGCAACATCAATGAAGATATTGTCGGGTTTGAGATCGCGATGGATAATTCCATGGCTATGTATATGGCTCAAACCGTCCAAGATCTGCCGGAAGAGGCGCCAAGAGCGATCAATATCGTCGTAAAGGCCGTTTCTGATCAAATCACGCAGTGTCTAGTAAAGTACCAAGGTTAGTTTGAACCGAGGATGATGGTTATTGTTGTCCTCAACTTACATGTTTCTCACAGTACTCCATCTGAATGTACAGGGTAGTCAGAACAGGTCTTCCGTTGGAACCGGATCGTGTTCCACTGGGCTCGGCGTCTTCTGCACTTCCTGTTTCGTCGAAGGTACGATTATACTCTCCTGTTCCACGATCGGATAGCGTCCCCTCATTATCATCATCACTGTCCGATGCTGCGAACTCAATCTTCGGATATCCACTAGAGCTGATAAAGTCGAGACCACCGGTACTGAATCCTCCATGATCCTGGCTAGCATATGGGTCGCCTTCAGTAGAGGAGATAGCCTCCTCAACATGATTGAAGTCTTCCTCCAGCCAAGCAGTGTAATACCTGACAACATAGGGATGATTCAGACGCGATAGCAGCATAATTTCAGAAAGCGTGTCTTTCAACGACATGGCCGAGGTCTGCGAAATCTTTTTCACGGCGTAGAAACGGCCATCAAGCTTATTTCGAGCCTTCACAACCTGACCAAATCCACCTCGACCCAGATGACCAGCTTCATCAAAGTCTTGGTGATAACGCGAGAAGACAGGTATGGCTCCAAGGGAGTCTAAACGTGGTCGTCTCTGCAGAGAAACCGAATTGGAAGACCGGTCCCGCATAGTCAAAGGTGCGTCTACTCGGAAAAACTCCGAGGGTTGAAGCTGGAAGGCCGTTGGACGTTTCCTAGGGTCAGGCCGGAAAAACTCTCGCAGAAGATCTTGTAACGGTGGGGACAGCCCCAACGATATCATCAGTTGGTTAGCCGATGTGTATCTCAAAAGTACATCTTTGCCGAAGGCCATCTGCAGAAGGACAATTCCAAGATCCCAGACATCAGTCTTCATGGTCGGTGGCGTGTCTTCAGTCAACTCTGGAGGCAGCCAGAGTGGTGACTTGGACGTGGTCAATGAACGTCGTCCACCGGGGGGAGTCTGGTAGAGCCTCTTCCACGCTGGACTGTAGTTTGACAATTGTGCCTCCAGAGGCTGTCCTGCAAAGCATGACACGGCCACAGTGGATATTTCCATGAACAAATCCACTGCGGTGATAAAACTCCAGGGCTTCTAAAAGCTGAATCATCCAACCTCGAAGAGTTTCAGCAGCAACGGTGCCTACAATGTCAAGTAGCTCCAAGAGCGAGCCTTTATTTGCAAATTCCAAGAGCGTAAAGACCGTCCAAGAGTTGTCTGACGAATTGAACTGGGTGATGGGGCGAATTATCTTGAAACCAACAAACTCGATCAGGTTAGGGTGTCGAAGTCGTTTCAAGGCCTCCAACTTGTCCTCACTAGTTCGCATCTGTTCTCGGAACGGAAGGGTGTCAGAGGCTTTCTCCTCCAAGAAAATCTCTTTCAGTACAAGAAGCGGGACGTGGCATCGACCCTCCGAGACGAGAGGTCGCACGGTAAATGTCTTCTTGTCCTGGCCATCTTGTACCAGCGTCTTCCCATGCACTGCACGGAACACCAATAGCTGCTCATCGGTGTCATTAACAGCTAATGGCGGGTCAAAGGAGATTGCGCCGGGGGTAGTTTCCACGAGATCGCCAACATCGCTGGAATCCATGCCGCTAGTTCGGCTCTTCCGTCGCATAATCCGAGCCTTATTCCGTTGTCGCATTTTATCTTGAAGCATCTCCTGCAAGGCACGCTCTTCCTCCGCAGAGGCAGCTTCTTGTTTGCGCAATTCCTCTTGCTTTTCCAACTCGGCCCGCTGGACGGCGGCGGCTTTCTGTTCAATGCGTTCCTCCTCCAGACTGGGGAGATCCTTGTCCTGCTCGCGTGCTTGGGCAACATCTTCCAAAACGTCTTGTATTGAGACTGCCAGCTCATATATCATCTCACTGCCGAGAAGGGTTTTTGGTTTATTGCGAATGATTTCTTGGATTCGCGATTGGGCACCATCGCGAAAGTCGGCGAGGTTTTCTAATGAAAGGTTCGGTACGGTCTTTGGGTAGGTGGCGGGCAATTCGACAAGAAGTACGAGGCGAACGTCCGGATTTGAGGAAGCCCGTAGGTTGAGTTTAAAGGTCAAGTCGGAGGATTGCTGGCGATCAGTGTTAGTGCGGGCCCAACTGGCGGGGAAGGAAGAGTTCAAGATTAACGATTCACACCCACCTGCCATGCTGAACGTCGAGTCTCGACATCTTCGTAATCGTCGCCGTAGATCGAGCGCAGGGCTTCGACCTCGAGTTGGTGGATTTCACGGTAATTGGTAGTTGCAATGATGGGGGATGTTAGAGAAGAGTCGTCGGAAGAGGTTTGCTTTTGGAGATCCTTTTGGTTTTGCTTTTTCTCGCGGGATGCTTTCTTCTGTTTGGGAGGCATCGCGGGGCGTGGCGAAGTCGCCCTACATCCGGGGATTAAGGGACATTATGAGAGAGATGGGGTGATATGGGGTTGGGCCAAGAAGAAAGAGGCGGTTGGGTTCTGGAGATTGTCAGTGTCATTGGGAGGTGGTCTAACAGGCGGTCAGATACGCCCTTGGCCATCGCGGAGTGGAGAAGTATGGAATGGAATGCCTAGAATAGTACAAAGTACTCCATAATGATACAATAACTACGGTGTGTACTCAATTGAATTCAGTACATAACATAATTGCACTCCATTTTTCTTTGGCTTCCCTTTCTTTGATTTCCCTTTACCTGTACCCACGCGAGGTACCATGTAGGAGAAGCGGTCAACTGCTACTACGTTGCCCAATGTGGAGTTACGTACAATTGGCACAAGTACTACTACACAAGCACTACTCATGCACGATCAAAAATACCCAGCAAGAGACTGCCAACTACCGTGATCATCGGCGCGTACCCCCAATGGTTCCACTCGCCTTGCCCGTGGCTCCAACACACCGCGCCATCGCCCGCTGCAACCGCACTGGCCGAGATCAATGTCCATCCCAAGGATTTGGAGGTGCCGCAGAAGGTGGCGGCATAGATGGCCAGTCCCATGAAGATATCCCGGATTCCATACACGGCCATCAGGCTATCCACCAATCGATGATCAGTCGCGTCAGCTGGCGGCGCAAACTCGAAGAATGTCAAGGCGTGGTCGGGACGCAAGATGGCATTAATTCCAAATCCAATAAAAATCGTACCAAAGGCAGTGGCAGCCAGACGGAGAACAGAAGATTGTGAAAGAGCCATGTTCCAAGGTGGTTTGTTTGAGTGGAGTTGGAACTGGGAAGTAACTATAGAGTGGAGTTTTTCCAGTATTGGAGTACAGTATGGGAGTAATCAATGAGCAAGGGGGTTTCAAGGCTAGGGTTCACACAGACATCAGCTTTTATATCTTAGATTGAACCTCGAAAGAAAAGAGTCACCATCCAGGCAACGGCCTACTCAAGGTTTTCTGCGAAGATCTTCTGCCTTGTGCTGACGCCAAGTTCACACTGTGCTGACCTTTGGTGGAGGGTGAGGCAGAGGGTGAAGGTGGAGGTCGGCTGCCTATCGATAAGCTGAGCCTCCCGAAGTTCCTCCAGTCCCCATCACGCGTCAGGCTTGTAAACAACCTTTTCTTTCCTCCGCCATCTTCCACCATGTTGGACTGGATGAAGGGGAACGAGGGCCCTGAGGCTACAGGTCGGTCATCCTCTGCCACTCTACACTTCAATCGTGTCAAGAACTAATCCGGTTTCGTCCAGACACCTCCAAACTCCTGGACCCGCCCGAAACCCCAGCTCCCGTGTTTGCGATTCGCGCCTTCAAGAGCGCCTTGTTTGGCACTCCTGGCGCTGAAGAGGAAAAGGATCAGACTTCTGATCTCAACAAACCCGCCCATCACCGCAGCAAAGGTGATTCCACCAATTCTATCCCAATTCCTGTTCCCGTCCAAACCGAAAAGGAAGATCCAAAACAGGACGACTCCCTTTTCAACCCGGCAGGTTCCCCTACCAAAAGCATTCTCGTCACACCCGGAACAATCTCCAACCGACGCAAAACCGTCTCATTTGGCGACGGGGTGGTGGATAACGAGGGAAAACGCGACAGCCAATCGACCAAGGTGGTGAAAACACCTCCCAACCCTGCGGGCAACCTCACTGCCCAGTGGATGTCAGGCTCCGCCGAAGGAAGACCGCGCAGTCAACTCACACAGACACTTATGGATGCCCGCGACAACGCGTCCAAAAATGCCGAGGGGGCAGAGACTTCGCCTTCGAAGTCCGCCGCCCGCGTCCAGATGAAGGAAGATTCCAGCGCCGACGACATCACTATCAATCTCGAAGATCCACGATCGGAGTCAGGTAAATACTGGAAGACGGAATTCGACAACTACCGATCGCGTACCAATCGCGAAATCAAAACACTCATCCACTATCGATCGGTTGCCAAATCCTACGCGCGCAAGAAAGACACCGAGGCCCTACGACTGGCAGATAAGTTGCGGGAAGAAGAAGAGAAAGTGGCGGATATGGAACGCCAGGTGTCGCATCTTGCCGCCACAATTGTGGGGGAGAACTCGAAAGCAAATAAAGAGGGCTTGATACATGACCTCAGCAGGCAGACCACCCTAGCCCTGCAATATAAGCAGCAGGTCTCTTCGTTACGCAAGAGTCTCGAGCAGCAAGGCGTGGTGGGTGACAATACCGCAACACTCAGCGAGCCAGCCAAGACGTCACCGCCTACAGACACGTCTGGAGAGCTTCTCAAGGCACAGCAGGAGCTTGAACAGGCCAACGCCAAGATCGAGGAGCTGATGCGCCAACAGAAGCCAACTCAGAACCCAGATCTTAAGGAGCTTCAAAGTCTTGCCCAAAGTTCGGAGAAGAAGGCACAGGATCTCGAGAAGGAGAACCATTCCCTTAAACAGACCATGGCGCGGGTCAAACAAGAAATGTCACGGTATGAAGGCCGCCGCAAAGAAAAAGAAACCAGATTCAGGCAGAGAGAAATCAAGCTGGAGGGACGAGTCCAGGAGTATCGTGAACGACTAAAGAAGGTTACCCAGGAGCATCGTGAATCGGAAGATGCATTGAGGGCTAGCTTCGACGAGGAACGTCGCCGCATGCAGAGCCAAATTGATACGTTGAAGTTGAGGGCCACCAATGCAGAGCGCATTCCTGCGCTGATGCCTCAACAACGGCATACTTTTAGCCCACAAAAGGACCACACGGGTGTGCAAATCCATGATTTTGCAGACCCGGACCATCCAGAGATCGAAGAAGCCACCGAGGACATTGAGGCACCACCCAGCCCAAGCCCCCGGACCAAGACACGGCATACGCGAAATGCCACCACTGGTACGTTCGACTTGAAACGCGCGACTCAGAAAATCACGGCCGACGACGCCGAAGTCACACACTACCTCCATGAAATTTTGGACAAACCACGCCCGAAATCGTACCAATTTGACAAGGATCCCATCACCACCTCTTCTCACAATACCGCCCCGCTCAAGTCTCTCGATCGCAATCTCAAAACACACGCTCATCAATCCACGGGCGACAAACAGCGATCATACCGCTCATTATATCTACATGATTCCGAAAACACTGGGACTCGGCCCGGGCACACGACCCGGTCCCGCCCTCACATCCGATCTACACTCGACAATATCTCGGGTCCTCCAAACTCCCATACTGGCACATATGCCGGACACACAATATCCGGAGGAGAGCGAGGGGGAAGACGAACTGGTCTGGCCGATGTGAGCAGAGAGCTCATCTCACCGGAGCGTGTTGCAGCAGCACAGTCTCGACTTCAGCAGAAGAAGGATATTCGGAGGCTCAGGGCTATGGGGGAAGGGAATATCCGGCCGATGGTTTCATCGAGTGTTGGTCAGAATTAGATGTTTGATTTTGTTTTCTGTCCGCTTAGATTGGTGCGTAATAGCGATCTTTTGTTTAGCGCTAGGTCTGCTATGGACCATTTTTCTCACAATGAACCATACTACCTATCATAAGAGCCTCGGTCTCATAAGCTTGAATTCGGACAGAAGATAAATGGGAAACAATGATAATCAAGTCTCATTTATAATCAATACCTTGGTGGAGCCCCTCCAGGCTCATTTCATACAGCAACTCATGGTCACGCGACACCATATTGACGGGAGTAGTTCGAATCGAAGAAAGCCGAGTTATGTACTAATTAACTTTGGCAGCAGGGATTGTTGTTTAGCATCGATGGGTCCTGATATGCAGCAACAGCCTGGTGGACTGTTTTGTTTCAGACTCATGTTGAAACGATTTGGGGGCTGCGTATCCTGTTCTGAAATGAAGGATAACACTCAATCGCCCCAAAAGCCCTTTTTTATACATGAAGCCCCGATCGAACCTAATTCTGGGTATGCGTAAACGAGGACACGAGGACAATATACTAGGAACCCACACTAAGCCGCACTAGTATACGCCTCTGCAGGACAGAACAGGGTGAAACGTCAGTGCGACTCGGAGGTGGCATGCGATAGTATCCCCCTTTTTGCTTGCATGATCCAGTGTACGAGTAGGGAATGTAGACCCCTGCTCTGAACGTGCCAATGCAATGTTCTAGAAGTGCACAGAAGCACGGATACACACTTGCTCAACTACTTGTAAATAGTATTGGCTAGGATTTTCCATTTTCACATGCCGCGGGGTACTTCGCCACATACTAATGTCTTTCCGTCCATTCAACGCGGGCCATCTCGCTACAGTATCGCTACTAGATGCCATAATCCTACCTCGCTTCTGCTATACGCGACGAGTGGCAGAGGCCAATTCGCCGTCAGCCCGAGGACTCTCCGTTAGGCCGCCACGGATTCTGATTTTCTGAAAACTATGTTTATGATTATATTTACCCTTGCAGCGGTGAAACCATCATGCAAGATCCCATCTCAACGCCTTTTTGAGTGAATGAAATAGACTCGGTCAAATCAAAAATAAGAATCTAATGATAAGCCGGGGTGACTCCCCCGCATTGCATGCGGATCTCCATCCAACCGTGGGTGAGGGCGAGTCAAATGTGTCGGTCGCAAAATTGAGGCCTTAAGCCCGGTTCCACGCCAACTGCAAAATTAGCTGGTCTACTATTCGAGATGAGAGAGAGACATGCGAGTACTTCGAACTGAACCTTAAGTCCTGCCACAGTGGTTTTGATAATTATGAAGCCTGGCGTGGCTTGGTCTGGCCTGGCGTGCTGGAGATATTCAGAAATGATCATCCTTTTAAGAGTCGACCAGAAATCGATCGATTCAACTATACTAAGCATCGACCGTCGATCATGGATTGGCTTAGCTTGAATTACAGTCTCAAATCCACAAATCTCTCTCACGGACTGTTGGTCTATACTTTCAGCCTAGAATGAAGATCTCACCCCATCCAGGATGCCGAGTGAAGCATCAGTGGATCATGCTGGATCATACTAACTACACTAGTCGCTTCAAAGCGGATTCAAAGAGAGATAAGATGGATATTCCCAGCCAGTTCCCAGCCAGGATCAACAAGCAATGACTCGTGAAAGGATCGGGTTCTGACCGACAATAACAAGGCTGAAAATTATTTACATGTATGTACCTCTGTACTCCGTAAAGGTGGACTCCCGAGTGGACCACCACCTCTGGGCATCAGTCGACTTAGCCATTCTTGTTCTGAAAGCCGATCCGAGCCCTCCACCTGAACTAAAGCCGGCAGTTGAGGGTTTGTTTGTTTGCTTCGTGGATTTTCAGCTTGTGAATCAGCAGTACTATATGGTTCACCCGCCCAAGAAGGCATGTGTATTCGAAATCACTTCAACCTCTTCGTATCCAATCACGAGGGGCAATCCATGCCGTCCACGCATGGTTCAGCGCAACCACTTTTTTGGGTGGGGCATGGAACATGGAGAATTGAGAATGAAGCATGATGACTCGCCAGGTCTACTCGTACTGACCCCCGCACACAATAATTCGCTAAGGATCTTGAATTGTGGTGCGAATAACTCCGTATTCCGTACTCCATAAGGGCAGGTGAATTGAATTATGGGTTAAGTTTTCAAAGTGGCAACGCCTCGGCATCACCTGGCGGCATGCGGGATACAATTCTCCGCCACGATCATGGCTCGGGAATGCAAAAACGCCTCTACAGGGGGGTCTTTGTCTTTAGCTGAGTCCATGTAACATAAAGCGCAATTAACACGCTTAACAATGCGTGCCTGGCACCAGGGGTTCGGGAGTCGCTTTCACAAGCTTAACCTCTCACAGCCTATGAATCAGATCGGTCTCGCCTCAAGTGGATCGAGGGTGAACTCTGGGGCTCTGGATCGACCTATCGTGTTGCCTTCACCACCGGTCGCCTCCGCTGGCCTCGGTCGTTTTGCTGCTTTCGAACTCGTGCAGATTGTTCCCACGGCTCATCGCCGTCGGAGTTATGTGGAACAACCATGGTGTGAGCCTGTCTGCTCCAGAGTCTAACCTATTGCCCATGGGTCCTAGTTCTCGGTTCTGGGTGCCTCTAACTGTTAGTACGGAGTACTTGAATATATGTGTACCCAGGTCCCTGGCGGGGGTGCGACGCTGGCCGGCATTTTTCGAACACTATACGACTACTCTGGAAGCACTACAAGTCACAATGTTCTCTGTCGTTACACACCAATAGTCCATAACCACAATCCTTGCGCGGTTCTTCATTACAAGCCATTCTCCAAGGTTCTACCCACCCATTGCTGGCCTACACTTCGATATCGTCCACCATGCAGCTTCCCCCCGCTGCCGTCCTGGCGACATGGACGCCAAACTACGTTAACCCAACCACGCGCGGCCATGGGGCCATGATAATCAACGTTGTCTTCATTATTCTCGCCACAATCGTTGTTGGACTCCGCCTTTACACACGTCTGCGCATTACTTGCAGCACTGGTGTGGATGACATCCTCATTGTGATCGCTCTCCTCTTCGCCGTCGCCATGGTCGTGGTTACTTCGTACGCTACAGAAGTATGGGGATGGAACCGACACGTCTGGGATGTTCCACTAGATTGGCTCCCTACCGTGCAGAAGATGAACCTCGTTTTCCAAATAATGTTCTCTTGGTCATCTTCCTTGACCAAGATCTCACTCTTATGGTTCTGTCGACGTCTTCTAGGCGCTGGAAAGGGAAGCAATAAGGTATTCAACTGGGCTTTCATCGGCTCAATGGCTTTTGTTGGAACTACCTGCACCCTCTTTACATTTTTCAGTATCTTCCAATGCTCGTGAGTGCCATTCGAGGAATCCCAATCCAATCTCATCCTAACCAATCATCTAGACCAGTCAAGGCTTATTGGGACGTCGAACCTCAATACAAACACAAATGCATGAACAGCGGTGATATTCTCTTTGCTGCCAGCGTCATCAATATTTTTACCGACTTCCTGGTGACTGCTCTGCCAATGCCACTCATCTGGAGTCTGAAGCTGCCTGCCCGTCAACGTCTTGCCGTCATTTCCATTTTTGGAGTTGGAATTATTGTCAACATAGCCGGATCTTTCCGGACATATTTTGTTTGGCAAGCGTGAGTCTCGTCTATATTGGCTGTTTTCAAGGTGGCATCTTGCTAATTTTGACTAGATTTGTTGTCGGCTACGATACGACCTGGATGGGATGGCCTGTACTCATTTCAGCCGCTATTGAAATCAACCTAGGCTTGGTACGTACTAGGAGCTCGCCTTACTCTCGTGCTGCTGTTATTCTAGCAAAACTGACGAGGATATAGATCTGCTCCTCGGCCCCCGCTTTACGGCCACTAATCGCAGCTGTGCTGCCTCGCCTCTTGCAATCCACCCGCAATGTCGGCTACTCTTACAACCAACGCAGTCGTTCACAAAAACTTTGGAACTCGACCAGTCGCTCTCGTAACTCGCATATGGTTGTTGGTCACGCTCTCGACTCACGTCAAGCCGATTACGAAAGTGACCGATTCGAAATTATGCGAACTGTGGAGATGGAGAGCTGGACCGAGTCCAGACTCGCTCATCACAATAATATGGGTCATGCATATGATATCTCAACCGAGAATACTCGCACTGACTCTCCCGACCATGGGATTGAACTGAAGCAGACTGCCACGGTCTACTCATCTGCCGCCAGCGATAAATCCTCTGGCTCATTACCTCGGACGGCGGTTTCGCCGTTCGAGGAACGATACCCTCGCTGATTATTTGCGATAATTCTTGTATAAACATGCAGCTTTTTCTTCTTTTGTGTTTCGTTATTAGTATGCTGTTTCGGATCTCGGTGGTAGACGTTAAAAAGCTACTGTATAATATAAGTTTAGAAAGCCTGTTTAGGATGTAACGATTATGATACCTGTATGTACATGCATTTGATCCTTTTTAGGAATTATCATTTCACATACCTCGAGATTTGTATATGAAAAGCAGTGCCATCGTCGACTTCTGTCTAGCTAAAGGCCTAGACGGATGCGGGGCAAATCATCGGAGATTTAGCCTGCACGATGACGCTTGTCCCTCCACCTGGGTACTAAATTCGATACATCAATTTCGATCACGCAGCTTGCTGTTTAGAAATATGACGAGCAAGTTCTTCATTCAAACCCACAAAAAATAGCGGAAATCGCAGAAAATATAGATAGGTCAACGTTGGATTTGATTATATCACCCACTACTAGTAGACTTCCTTGCAGAGCAATGGAAAGAAGATGAGAGTAAAAGTAAAGGACCTCAGCTTTGGCTCTTAGCTCTACTCTAACCGACCGAGTCACAGCTGGTTGTTATATTCGAGTTGGTGTTCTGTTCCTTGGCCAAACGAGATAAAGTTCACACAAAAAATCAACCCAGCGCTCCGCGCACCAACACACCGACGTATAAACGTCGGACAGTCGTGAGGATAGGTAGGAGGCTGAAGAAGCAAAAAATGGACTCGCGGGGAATCGAACCCCGGACCACTCCCATGCTAAGGGAGTATTATACCACTAAACCACAAGCCCAGGTGTATGAAAGGGGCTCGAATTGTGGCTATCTGAATCTTCGGCTAATTTTTGTGTAGACCCACCCACCTTCCACTTGGCCCTAGTGGGATAACCTGCAGGGAATGTGATTCCGACGGATTCAATTACCTTTGTATCGAGTGAAATGGATCATGATACTACTAGTATCATTTACGCTAATTAAGTCTAAGGTTGTCCAAGGGGATATATTCATGTGGGATTGGTTTCAATGGCTCCTCATGAAGTCCAACAATCAAACTGATTGTGTTGGTTGATATTTTCCCACGATTATATATTCTATTGCCGGCTCACATTTTTAGTGGAATAAATAGTAATGATGCTGCATTGAACAATACACCGTGACAGTAATGATATACTTAGTACTAGCCCTTAATACTGATGGGCCAACTTTGAATTCAATGCCATTAATCTGTAGGAAGAAACACCATACTGTAGTCCTAGACTTGGAAGTTGAACTTGAATCCCTTGCAGCATCCCCGATAACAACTTTAATGCCCAGGTGATCACCCTGCCAAGACCGAGCTTATCTGCAATGACATCGGCGGCCCTGACAGGGACAAGGCCCACGGGCAAATGGCCACGTGAGTCGAAAATTGGAGCCAACACCGCCATTTTAGGGAGTCGATGGGAGAAAATGGGGCATTGGGGCTCATCGTGCCTCTCCCCAGGTCTTTGCTAAAGCTGTTACTAACATTAAAGGCGAAAAGCGTAGACCTACTCCAAGCGGAAGGTGGGTCAACCTCACCAATTCGGGCTGGTCTCGGCGATTCTCAGTCCATCCTTGTAATATGATTGGTCCGCGCCGCCGAACACCAATCAGCCATTACATCGCATATCAACGCGGGGGAAAGACGCAGCTTGGAAAGCTCTCAGTCTCTCCGAGACCTCCTTGATCTATAAATCTCGACTGCCCCGCGTTAAATCTTTTCTTTCTCCCCATATATCTGGTTAATTCACACAATGGCCTCTATCCTCCGCTGCAGCCCCAAGCTGCGCACCGTGGCCCGCGTGCCCGCTGCTCGCGCCCTCTCCACCACCGCTCGCCTTCAAGCCGCTGAGAAGCCTTTCTTCCCCAATGAGCCCACTGCTCCTTCGCTCAAGACCGCAATCCCTGGCCCTAAGAACAAGGCCGCCGCGGCCGAGCTCGACGAGGTCTTTGATGTCCGCAGCTTGAACATGCTCACCGACTACCAGCAGTCCATTGGTAACTAGTATGATACACCTCCCCGCACCATCCCCTCACACACATTTCGAGGAGGAATTGAGTAGCGAGCATTGAGCTGACCCTTATTCCAGCATCGCCGATCTCGATGGCAACAAGCTGCTTGATGTCTATGCTCAGATCGCCTCTATCCCCGTTGGTTACAACAACCCCCACCTCAAGCAGGTTGCCCAGTCCGATGAGATGATCACCTCATTGATCAACCGTCCTGCTCTGGGTAACTTCCCCTCTGCCGACTGGTCCCAGATCCTGCGCACCGGTATTCTCAAGGCTGCCCCCAAGGGTCTGAACCAGGTCTTCACCGCCATGGCTGGTTCCGATGCCAACGAGACTGCCTACAAGGCTGCTTTCATGTACTACCGTCAGCTCCAGCGTGGTGGTCCCGACGTCGAGTTCACCGAGGAGGAGCTCCTTTCCACCATGAACAACCAGGGCCCCGGTTCTCCCCAGCTCTCCATCCTGTCCTTCAAGTCTGCCTTCCACGGCCGTCTCTTCGGATCCCTGTCCACCACCCGCTCCAAGGCCATCCACAAGCTGGATATCCCCGCCTTCGACTGGCCCCAGGCCACCTTCCCCACCCTGAAGTACCCTCTCGAGGAGCACGTCCAGGAGAACGCTGCCGAGGAGAAGCGTTGCCTCGAGGAGGTTGAGCGCCTCATCAAGGAGTACCACAACCCCGTCGCTGCTGTCATGGTTGAGCCCATCCAGTCCGAGGGTGGTGACAACCACGCCTCGCCCGCTTTCTTCCAGGGCCTGCGTGACATCACCAAGCGCACCAACGTTCTCTTCATCGTCGATGAGGTCCAGACTGGTGTCGGTGCCACCGGTAAGTTCTGGGCTCACGACCACTGGAACCTGTCCTCTCCCCCCGACATGGTCACCTTCTCCAAGAAGGCCCAGACTGCCGGTTACTACTTTGGCAACCCTGCTCTGCGCCCCAACAAGCCTTACCGTCAGTTCAACACCTGGATGGGTGACCCATCCCGTGCTCTGATCTTCCGCGGTATCATCGAGGAGGTTGAGCGTCTCGGCCTCGTCGAGAACACCCGTGTCACTGGTGACTACCTGTACGCTGGTCTCGACCGCCTGGCCCAGAAGTACCCCGCCCACTTCCAGAACCTGCGTGGTCAGGGCCAGGGTACCTTCATTGCCTGGGATACCCCCAAGCGTGACGAGTTCCTCGCCAAGGCCAAGTCTGTTGGTGTCAACATTGGTGGCAGCGGTGCCCAGGCTATTCGCCTGCGCCCCATGCTGGTCTTCCAGCAGCACCACGCTGATATCCTGCTGGAGAGCATTGAGAAGATCATCAAGCTCCTCTAAGTTCGGACACTATCATGAGACCACCAGGCAGCCCTGGGGCTACTTTTCCTTTCTAAAATTGGTTTAATGAGCGATTATCTATTTCTTTTATTTGTCTGATCAGTCGAGGATCCCGGGTTGGGAATTCCATTTCTCTATTTACATTTTTTTTTGCTACGAGTGATGCCATCCAAAATCGGCGCTATACATTCATAGACATTTCAAACGCCTATTTGTCGATTGAATGAAACTTCCACACTTGAGATGTGGCAATTGAAACCAAAAAAAACCTCCAACTTCCAAGTAACTCTTTTTTTCTCTGAAAACCTGCATAGTAATCAAAACTCCTGCTTGATTAGGGTAATCCCGAATACCGAATGCTAAAATGGACATAAATGCAATGCTTCCAACCGATAACTCCTGAAAGATCCACCTTGGTCACCAGCGATTCCGATTCCGATCCCGATTCCTAGCGATTTCCGTCCATGTCTGGTATATGAGGTAGGATAGGTGATTGGCGTTCGCTATTAGTTGGCGGAGTCGCGGGGTGACTGCTGGCGGTAAAGAGAAGAATGGCCGTTTCAAGCCTCCTCCTCACCGGTACTTCCGTCTCTCCTGAAAAGATAAGAATATTAGCATTGAAGTGTACCGGGGTTTATTGTGGAAAGCCACGCACGGAACGTATTTGATGCCAGCGTCCTCCAAGCTACCAATGATGTAATCGGGAAGCTGCAAATAACCGAAATAATTAGCAAGCAAGCTCCTAGCAATATAACATAACAAAAACCAAGAAGAAACCCCTACCGATCCTGTCACTTTCGTGGCGTATGTCCCCGCAACGTAGTTATCTAAACGTTGCCAACGCGCAACCCAGCTGGCGGTCGGGTCGCGCACAGCGATCAAGCCCTCAAAGACCTGCGAGGTACATTCTTGAATAGCGTCGGTGTTTCCGCGGAGCTGAAGGGTATTTTCGCAGTTGGGGCAGCCGTCACGCATGAATTTCTAGCAGTACCAATCGTCAGTGGTACTGGGGTTGGGAATGGAATGACGGGGAAGCCGAGGGAGAGCACTCACGGTGTGTGCCTGGACGACGGAGCAGACCATGCAGGCGCGCAATGAGCGCTGCTGGTTCGAAGGAGTGAAAAATGACATTGTGAGGGAGGTGATGTGGCGTGAAGTCAAGTGAGGAGGTTGAAAGGGAACGGGGCCGCAGATGGTTCTGACGGGTTCTACGTGCCAAGCCCGTTGGCCATCGGGGAAAAAAAGAGTGTGAGAAGGGAATCACTTTTTGCCCTGGGATCCCCTTTCACTCTCACAGGACTCGAGCTTCCTGACTCTCCTTAACTCTTCTCCTCACATATTCGACCGGAATACTGTCACCTACCATTCCTCTTCCTCTTTAATCCCCCCCTTCCTCTTCGAAAACTTCCCCGATCGGTTGTCTCGTGCCCCTCTTTCCCTCCGCAATGGCTTCCGACAAAGAAGCAGCCAACGCGCTCAAGCTGCAAGGCAACAAGGCTGTTGTGGCCCACGACTGGCCCACTGCTCTGGACTTCTACACCCAAGCCATTGAGAAGTACGACAAGGAACCGGCCATCTTCTGCAACCGTGCCCAGGTACGCCCGCCCTAATCCGCCTCCCTCCGTAGCGAATCGCATTCGCAAGTTTCGGGGCACTACCGCTAACACCGCTTTGCTTCTTTTCTTGGCAGGCTCAAATCAAAGTCGAAGCCTTTGGATTCGCCATTGCCGATGCTACCAGCGCTTTGGAATTGGACCCGAACTACGTCAAGGTTAGTGACCCTTACGAACACAGCCCTATCTTTCAAGGGCGGGAACCCGGCACAATGAACCGCGGAGGTGAAAATGAAAATATGTCTTTCATTTTTGCTAACATATTGGATTGTCCTAGGCCTATTGGAGACGTGCCCTCGCCAACACTGCCACTTTGAACTATAAGGCTGCTTTGAAGGATTTCAAGGCCGTTGTCAAACGTGAACCTAATAACCAAAATGCGAAGCTAAAGCAAGCGGACTGCGAGAAGCTCGTCCGCCGCTTGGAATTCGAGAAGGCCATTGAGGTTTCCGACCCGCCCTCCGCGTTCGAGGGCCTGGATATCGATGCGATCAAGGTTGAGGATGCTTATGATGGTGTGCACCTGGGCGAGGAAATGACCCAGGAATTTATTGATGATATGATCGAGCGCTTCAAGAACGGCCAGAAGATCCACCGCAAATACGTCTTCCAGATTGTCAAGGCTGTCAAGGAGCTGGTTTACAACGAGCCGACGATGGTCGAGGTTGGTGTCGAAGCAGGCAAGAAGCTGACCGTCTGTGGTGATACCCACGGTCAATACTTCGATCTGCTGGAGATCTTCCGCCGAAACGGTGCCCCCTCCGACACCCACGCCTACCTCTTCAACGGTGACTTCGTTGACCGTGGCTCATGGTCCTGCGAGATTGCCCTGCTTCTCTACGCATACAAGTGGCTGCGCCCCAACGGTCTGTTCTTGAACCGCGGAAACCACGAGACCGACGATATGAACAAGGTTTACGGATTCGAGGGTGAGTGTAAGGCTAAGTATAACGAACGGGTGTTCAAGGTCTTCTCTGAATCCTTCTCCGCTCTGCCGCTGGCCACCCTAATTGGCGAGAAATACCTGGTCCTCCACGGTGGTCTCTTCTCCGACGACAAGATTACCCTTAATGATATTCGCAAACTTAACCGTCACAACCAACGGCAACCCGGCCAACAGGGTCTGATGATGGAGATGCTCTGGACGGACCCGCAAACCCAGCCGGGCCGTGGACCCAGCAAGCGCGGTGTCGGCCTGCAATTCGGCCCCGACATCACCAAGCGTTTCTGTGAGAATAACGGTCTGGAGGCTATCATCCGTTCGCACGAGGTGCGCATGGATGGCTACGAAGTCGAGCACGACGGCCGCTGTATCACCGTCTTCTCTGCGCCCAGATACTGCGACTCAACGGAGAACAAGGGTGCTTATATTAACATCGGACCCGAGCTTAAGCTTGCATATGAGGTGTTCGAGGCAGTACCGCACCCGGACATCAAGCCGATGGTAAGTCTATCTATTGCCTAATGCCTGTGACATTGAACACGAGCTAACAACCATAACAGGCCTACGCGCAGAACTCGATTCTGTCGCAAATGTGATGAAACCAATGATTTGCAAGCGCGGGCGTTGTTTTTCAAAAGAGCTAGAAGTCATATGCATGAATTTACGAAGAGAAGAATTCGATGCCCAGAGCCTCATCCCAGTTTGTTTTGTCGTTGATGACCGTTTCCTGTGTTATGGCTCACGTCTGGATTTTGTAGATGTCGAATAACTAGCAGATAGGAAGACTATAAAGTGGTTTCAAGGGTTTACTATATCTTTTTTAGTTCATCCATCTAAATAGAAATTAAGACCACTACCAGAGGGACCCTAGAACCTGTCGCTTCCCGGAACTAGCTAGTCTGATCTGATAGTAGATCTCTCCCCCTTCGAGCCCCGAGCAGCGTGAGCGTGGTCTTGCCATATTTGTCCGGATCTCGGTCCGATACCCGGTGCTATGTCGGTGAAACAATTGGCTAGAATTAGACCCTCCACGAAGAAAGCCATGCTTGAGTTCAACTGCCGAAAGACTGGCTGGGCGCCTGGCGATAGGAATGCGTTGAAGCGATCTCGCACTGCATATGCACTTTCTGGCGGCAATTTGTCTGGATTGACCCGCTTCCAGCACTGCAAGTGGAATTGAAGCGCCTAAAAACCCCTTTGGGACCGTCAATTGTCTTACTTTTGTGTACTTACCCATATTAACAACGATCTCCTGTCTTTATGGGTCAATACAATTGTTTTGTGGGGACCCCGGGGCTTCCTTTCTCGGAATGTGGGCTGGTAGCTTCTCAGAATTTGCGTCTGTCCAATTGACTACCGAAACAGTGGTGGAGAAGTTAGTAGATATACGGAGTACGGAGTAATGTATGGGCATTCAGTCAGCTAGCCATGATCTGCTACGAGTACTTGCCTCCTGTTGAACCGGAGAGAGGAGCGAGCATTATATCGTTCCAACTATTGTGACCATGTCCATTAAATTTGGCCTACTAGACATTTACCTATCCATTCAGACGTACCTGAAAAGACACTGATCCCTCACTACGCGGCCACTCCGAATGCGGCGTTTTTAGAAAGTCGTTGGTGCCGGGCGTGTTGCTCCCATTGGCGGGAGCGAAGCAGTTTGAAGGTCTGGACTAGGATTCGTTGCGTTGGCGTTTTGTACCAGTTCCAATCAGCTTCTCCCGGGCCCTAGGTACGGACAGCACATTCGTCAGAAAATACGGTGGAGCTGGAGAAAGGGGAAAAAGGGGCGTAAGCTGGATCATGCGGGACCACCCGAAGTATACTTGTACTAGTATACTCATCATCCATGGATGTCGAGAAAGTTTCACTACTTCGGAGTACACGACGGACAGTCGTACTACTACTACTGTACATGCTGAATCCGGGTTTTATAGTCCTCAATGGAACATGTATCTACAATGCCTGTCCTTGCCAGTCGGAGAATATCGTTGTCTATAATTAACTTCCACTCCCCCCCCCTACGTGGCAGTGCTCGATGGTGGTACCCTAAAGAGACCCACCTTTATGACAGCGCGTCAGGTCTAGATCGCGATGAAACCGCCACCCTTTCTGCAAGCTCTTTGTTTCAGAAATTCTCCCTTTTCTTTTTTTTCTCCGCGTTTTCGTTTTTTCTCCTGCTATCATCTCGTTGTCCTTCGCTTCTGTTCTTGATTTGATCTGCTTCTTCAACACCTTCACTTTTGCAACATACTTTCGTTTCAAACCAACCCATCCTTGAGAACCTTCGCTTTTTCTTTCTCTTACTATTTTTTTTCAAATTTCTATTTTGCTTCATTCAAGATGACCGACGGGCATTCTGCACCAGCCCACGATGCAGCCCCAGTAGCCTCGGGCGATCACACCGCTGCCCCCGTGCCAGCCGATGTACGAGCCCATGGCGACCACCACACCCAAAGCCAACCTCATGGCCTGAAGGAGCAGGACTCCGCTGAAAGGCTCACCCCGCGACCGACATTTATGGAGCACCTGGCGACCTCGCGAGACAGTCAATTTCACCTGGACAGACAGGACTCGAGCGAGTTGGACCGTTACTTCGTACGTGGACCTGTCAATAGTAGCTAGGGTTACAATATTTCTTGCTTACTTGTGCTAATTGGCTACAGCATGGTCCCCGTAATATGGACAAACACTCCAAATGGCCGATGTTTATGCGTATGCATGGAAGTGTCACTCCGAAGATGATTCTACCCATGTTATGGGTGGCAGGCTGGTCAACTGCCATCACTTGCATTTCGAAATTTGTTCATGACAGTGAGTTTCTCCTCGGAAACATAACAAAGCCGCAAAAGCCTAATCCCTGTACCTGCGTCATACAGTAAGCATTGACAATATCCTACTCACCGTGCTGGGTTTCGTGGTGGGTTTGGCATTGTCCTTCCGCAGTTCTACTGCCTATGAAAGGTTCGAACTCCCTCTCCGATTTTTCCGAATATTCGAAGAATTAACGCCAGTCTAGATGGGCCGATGGACGCAAGTACTGGTCCCAACTTATACAAACCTCACGCAACCTTGCCCGTACCATCTGGATCAATACCGGTGAGCGGGAAGGTGAATTAGGCAAGGAGGACCTTTTGAGAAAACTGTAGGTGATCCGAAGAATCTAGGTGGGATTTCAGCTAACAAATCTCCTTAAGCTCCGCCATGAATCTTATTCTTTCCTTCGCCGTCGCTTTGAAACACAAGCTCCGTTTTGAGCCTGATATCGCTTACGAGGACCTGGCCGGGCTTGCTGGCCACCTCGATACATTCGCTCGCGATGCTCATGACCGCACCGTTGTGAATCCCCGAGTTAAGACTATATGGAAATCTACAGGAGAGTACCTGGGAGTTTCATTTGCCGAGTCTAACCCTCGCAAACTGATCAAGCGTTCCAAAAAGCCCATCGGGCACCTTCCCCTCGAGATCCTCAACCACCTGTCTACTTATATCGATTCTATTGTGGCTAATGGAACCCTGGTGTCTACTCTGCACCAGGGTCAAGCTGGTAAGATAACACAATCCCCCGCCATAAAATTGGACAAATTTCTAACCAATCGATAGTCACCATGTTGGCCGTGCTTAACGAGGTGCTTACCGGCACGGAGCGAGTGCTCGACACCCCACTGCCAAGCGCTTACAGCATCGCAATTGCACAGATCTCCTGGATTTACGTTCTAGTCCTCCCCTTCCAGCTCTATGGAGCCCTTAATTGGGTTACTATCCCAGCTTCAATGGTCGCCGCATACATCATTCTCGGCTTGGCGACCATTGGAAGCGAGATCGAGAACCCTTTCGGTCAAGATGTTAACGATCTTCCCTTGGAAACATACTGCCGACAGATTGCCATCGAGCTGGACGTCATCACCGCTACCCCCCGACCCGATGTGGAAGATTTCATGACGCGCGCCGACAATCTGGTTCTCTTCCCTCTCAGCCAGAATGGCTACGACGAGTGGAAGGATCGAACCGTCGAAGATATTCGCGGAGCCCTCCGAGCAAAGGTCATCGCCAGCCCGACTGCCCTTGGATCGGATGCCTCGACTATGGTGGCTAGCATCAGCACCCGGACAAAACAGTCTGTTTGACCGGAGCACGAAAAGACACAGCCCGGCAGAATTGTATAAACCACTTTGAGCTATATGGAGGGGGACAGATAGACGGACAGACGGAGGAAGTTGTGCATCGATTAAGCGGAACCAAATTGATCTTGGGAACTTATGTTCACCAGCGAGAGAGTTACGGCGTTTAACCAGGGCAGCAGTGATACACGATGTCCAGAAAAAATTTGATATTTTGCTATTAGACTGATATTATTGGAATTTGCATTTGTCTCGTGTCATCAATCATTTAATTTTCCTATCAACCATAGAGCGGTAGTCTGATATGCAGGGCGGAGTTTACCCCGTCGAAGATCCCCGAGCTTTCAACCTTGATGAGATCGAGAAAGATCGCAAATAGTCGACAAGATATTCCTTCCCATGCCCGGCAACCTTTTAGCCATCGGAATGGTGTAGTACATATCGACGAATGGTGTCTTCGTTTGCCCAAAATCCTAGATAGGAGTGTGTCGTCATATGCAACACCGACAAAGTGACAGAATACCCACAATGGCAGTCGCAGTGGGACTTGCTTGTGAGACCAGGTCTAATCCGTGGGTAAGGGATAGCACCTTTGAAGCTAGGGGTTTCTGATGTCGCGCCCTCAGATGTAGTGAGAAGAAGAGCCAGATGGACACGCCTGAATCACGGAACGAATAAGTCTGCCCCGGATCCTGAAACCAGGGCACCCAGATAATTCCCCTTTGCACAAACTCTCCATGCGACATTAGCACCATTGCCGCTTCCACCGCCAATCCATGAGCTGAGGGCTGCCACGACGGCTGCCGAGTCTTCACGTGGTACGCGTACCCAGGCACAGTCGTATTTGCTTCCGATGGTAGAGTAGGATGTGCTTTGATCGGCGTTGCTCGTTGTCGCCTTGTTCTCAACCTTTAGAATATCGACTGGAATCGCGGTTCCCGTGACTCCGAGGAATTGCGACAAGGCGGAGGAGAGGTAGGTGCGTGCAGAGAGAGCATCGAGGGGCTGTGGAGAGGAGGAATCTGGCTGGGGAATACTGATTGCGCGGAATTAGTCCATTAAGCTTTTTAGAGAAGTCGTTCGTAGGCGTTGCTCACAGTTGAAGCTTGAGGTAGGTCCAGGGCGGATTGCGCGAGGTGAAGTGAATTGTGTTTGAGCTTGTCCCTTCGGCTTTCCGCTTGAGGGGTGCCGAGGAAGAAAGCTCTGTCGTCATCTCCATGCTTTGGCTGGTTATAATTCTCTTGGCTGGTCGAGTGTTGAGGTGCGCAAACTGCAGACCGAGTGCTATCGTCGCGGCAGAAAAGTGGATTTGGATGTCACGGGATTCACGCAGCCCACGGAGTCGTGAAGTATACTCGTAGACGGCGTTTAGTATCTCGAATCTGGCTTCCTTACGGAATCGATGAGCTTTTGTGTCGCTTGTTTCATGAATGCTTCTTCCGAACCGTGTTTAATCTCCAATTCTGTAATGGATAACGTTTTCTCTCTTGCTTTGGCCCCACGGGTCACCGTGACATTGGATTTTGGCACTTGGAACACCTTTTCACCACAAAAACGACTGGTGAGTTGGAAAGATACATGCAGTCACTGGTATTATTTTTTGAATCACTCAAACATACCTCAGCTATGATCTCCGAAACAGCAGCATTGGCAGCATTCTCACGCGGAGCTACCGCCACGGAAACATCAACCCGGTCTGTCCCCACCTTGGTCACACCCGCGCGGTTTGCGGCGGCATTGGGTTTGACATAGCAGGAAATGTGGAGGTCATATAGTTCGAGTGAGGCTTTAGATTTATGGGCAAGCAAGCGAAGTAGTGCCGGTCGATTCATGATTGATGGCTGGGAAGTGAAGTGGTGTACGGAGTAGAAGAAGGTCGATACGGGAGAAGCTCTGCAAGTAACCGAAGTACTCCCCGCAACTTGGAACCGCGTGATTTACTTGGTTTTTCGAACGGGGAATTTTCTACCAACTGGCTCAATCCTGCCGAAATACTGTAGTATTCATGTTCTGGAAATCTCAATGATCCATTTCTGTATGATTTATTTGATGTAACAGATACTAGGGAGAAACAGAAAACAATAACAACAAGGCAGTACCTATATTCTGCCCATGGTCTACTATATTCAACCACTGAATTGAATGGTGGCACTGCCTGCCCTTTTCGCAATCACTTGGCAGTCTAGAGATGACATGAAGCCAAGAGCCATATTATAACCCAAGAAAGGTCGAGAGTCTTAAGGTGCTTTCAAGGATGGGAAGCGGATTGATTAGGGTTATTTGTATCCCAATACAAGTAGGCACTATCCGAATTAGATTACTAGTAGAGTTTATCTCATCCTCAAAAGCGATTCGGCAAGATTTTCGCCGGGTTTATCAAATTATTATTATGGATAGAACTGGAGGGCTCCTAAATTTGGGCCTCGGATTATCAAAGAAACGATATGATCTCCATAGTAACCAATTAATATGGTTGAAAACGAAGTGAGCTACCCATAACGAAGGCTCGACGCGGAGGAGACTCCTCCCGCTGAAGAAGCTTTTGGCCTGAAACAACCCCATGGAAATTTTTCTGAACGCTTTCAAAACGCATAAATTGACACGTCTCACTCTCAAGGTGTCCGAACAAGGCCGCCAATGCAACAAACTCTCTACTACATTCCTGGCGATTAGGGCAGTGATAGACCTTCTGCCGATGGACTGGAGAGTTCAAATGTTGGATCAAGCCTCTCGACCCCGCAAATTGCTTGTGGCATCGATAGCACTCCCAAGAGGATCCATTATAGGCATTGTTGGTGACGGCGTACGTACCTCGTGCTCCGCTGTGCCATTCAATTTGTTTATTCGCGATGTGTCCGGCGGTATCATAGCGTCGGATAATTTGAAAAATGGTTTCGCGATTTAATTTGGGCGCTTTCTGGCATAAACCAGATTCCAAGTGTGTGCAGGCACCACTGGCTGTGCCGTGGCTTGCCTAGCAGAAAGGACATTCTATAGATTTTTCACGGTGTAATATTGAATTCAAATGCTGCTCTAGTTTTAGTGTGGTTGTTCCTTTTGGCTTCTTTTCGTTACTTTGTTTGGGGGGGGGGGGTATCCGCATTGGGTAGGAATAGGGTCTATCACCATGCTAGTAGTTCACCGCCCGGTTGGTTTAATCACATACTCGTACTATGATGGACGACAAAAGAAGGTCATTCAGAGGTTGTGGGTAAATGCATACCACAGTACGGAGTACATACTACTTCTAGTAGTGCTAACTAATAACTAATAACGGAGTATTTTCAAAGTTGGCTACGCCCACAAAGGAAGTTTTCCGACTGGAGATGCCGATGGCCAAAATGGCTTCCAAGTTGTGATTAAATCGATTGAGATTGCCTATGCCTGTAGCTAGCTGACTGGCTACGATTGGAAATTAGCTGTTAACAACCATAACAGCACCTGACCATGTCACATGAAATCACACATCCTTAGCGATTTCCTTGTCAGTAGTGACCTCGTGGATCTCAGAGGATTCCTGGAAATCACCAGGCTGAGCCATAGCTGCCTTGCCACCATACCGGTACAGCGAAGGGCATACGAGATTCTTGCGTCGGAGGATGTAAGTTCTGATCCACCAGGGGAGGACTTGGGTCAGCTGGTATTTGGCATGAGTTCGAGTTGGAACGCCAAAAACATAATCCAACTCCTCCAAAGAGCGTTGCTTAGTCTCCGGCATGAATAGGAAGATCAGCACCAGCGCTACAATATTCAACGCGGCATAGAAGCCAAAGGCGCCCTGTGGGGTTAATGCTCGTAGCATGTAAGGGAATGTCAACGAAAGTGCTGCAGCCCAAAAATTGTTGGTAGCCACTGCCCAAGCCATGCCTATTTCACGATGTGAAAGAGGAAATACCTCGGCGGAGTAGGTGAATGGGACGGGCCCCTCTCCTGGAGAATAAAACCCATCGAAAATATAGATGAAGAATGCAATCATCCCCAGATGGGCATTACTGCTGCTAGGAATCCAGTAGCAGAAACCAGCAGCAAGTAATGTCCAGCACATATTTGGAAAAGTGAAGAGCAGGAGGCCACGTCTGCCGAAGGTATCAATCGTCCACACTGCAGGCCATGCGAAAATAAAGTTGATGAGGCCGAATCCCCAAGAAGCGAGGAGAGCATGGATATTATTTGCTCCGGCAAGACTGAAAATGGTTGAGGAATAGAAGGAGATAATGTTGACTATCGTTAATGTAGGTTAGAGTAGTTGATATGAGGTTTGATAAAATGTATGTTGTACTTACTTCCACACATTTGCTGAGCTATCATGACAATCCCTGAAGCCTGAGTGGCACGACGCAGCCGTGGAACTGTGAAGAGCTCCATGAACCGAACGAACATATTGTCCTGCTTCGAGAAACCTGATTGGTGCAGCATTTCCCTCTCAGTTTCAAGTGTCGCATGTATCATGTAGAGATCCCGAGCAGCTTGAAGAGGGCTGTTTCGCAGGCGAAGCAGAGAAGCATAGGCCTGATTGTGCCGTCCCTTGGTCATCAGCCAGCGAGGGGATTCGGGACACCACCAGATTCCAAGAATAAGTGGCACCGCGGGAATGAAAGCAGACCCGAGCTGCAGCCGCCACGATATATCCCCGGTATTTGCAACAATCAAATTTGCGCATGTACCAAGAAAGATACCGAAAGCAGTCCATAGTTGCCACGACATGCACAACCCGCCTCGAATGCTGGTCGGTGCATTCTCTGCAGAATAAACGGGGACCGTGACTTCCTTGAGCCCCATTCCGATACCCAGGAGCACTCGGCAAGCAACAAGTTGACCCCAGTGCTGTGTAAAGGCGGATCCGATGGGAGCACATAGGCTGAAAATTGCTGCAATGAAGATGGTGCCTTTGCGACCGATCAAGTGATTGAGGGGATCGGATAACCAGCCAGCACTAATGTCAAAATATATCAGCCAAGATAATCATAAAGTCTGATTGGCTTTTCTCACAATAAAGCAATGGTGATGTAAGGCGTGGCATTGATAAATCCAACGATCCATTGGTTGCGGTCACAAGTCGCCTTATCAGGGCAATATGGGCTATCGTTTGGGATACCGAAAACACGATCAAAGGTCAAATTTGCACCGTTGGAGCCTAAAATATTATTAGCACCTCCTTCCAAATTAAAATTTAGTTCTTTATATGTACCAGTTTGGTCCCACCCTTGGATGGCCGCAGCAATCGAGTTCAGGATAATGGTGTAGTACAGGGCCCATGGTTGCTTCCAACGACGAGTGACTTCTTCACGGAGAACCACACGGTCTTCTTCGGTAAGTTCAGGGATAGAATCGATTTCAGTCGGAGTTTGACCAGCGAGGGCACCCTTCTGGAGGACCTCAGTGAGAGCAGTCAGGTCATGTTGTGTTGCGTAGTTCTTGACATCGTCCATCAGTTGCGCGCGAGTCAAACCTTCAAGGGGATTCTTAATCCTGAGACTAGGTATCAAAGTTTGCTCAAAATTCAAGAATGCAGGTATAACTTACTCTCCTGTCAGGTTGTTGGTCATGCTGTGTGGACAGCCATGTCAGTAGATCACCGCACCAAGTCACAACATGCTTGTCACTTACCCACCGAGGGCATCCTTGGTGGCCTGAGACGTCATACTAGCTGACCCAGTATTTTGCAGTAGACTGAACCAGAAATAGCGTCGAAGATCGGAGGGAGTATTGGTGGGTTGTGTCGTGGATGTGAAGACAAGAAAGGTGAAAGAAGGCAGGTAACCAATGCAAGAAAAGAGGAAGGTGGGGGAAAAAGGAAAGAGACTGACTGCGCTGGGAAGGGAAGACTTGAAATCGAGTCAGAAACACAAGCGGTATATTCCGCCAACCGATGGCCGTTTGATTCTACTGGAGCATCAGAAGGTATTAGTACTATTTACTAGGCAACGATCAGACATGCTAGGATTTTCATTTCCAGACGGATTCCCGGGAGCTGAATTCAGCGCGGTGGCTGTTTCGTTAATGTTCAGCTACTGCAGTCAGCAATAAAATAAGACTGGTAGAACTTGACCAGGGTGTATTGCACCATTCATCAAGGCTCTATACAAAAAGACGAAAGACGAACTTACAGGACTATGCCCCGCAAAAGGATCATCTGACGGGCTTAGCGCGTGGCTTAAATTATAGCCAATTTAGAAGGGCGGGGAACATGACACCAATCAAAAGCCCGAAATGTATTGAACAAGATATTGCCCAGCCTCTTAAAAAGTAGGGGCGTCTGTTGGTGGCTTCGACACTGCATCGAGTATGCGTTCGGGGCGGGCGAACAATACGAGAAAGCCGGCACACCCATCCAATGAGCGTAGCTAAAAGAGTCCCCAAACAACGATATACTATGCTTGATGACAAAAAAAGAAGCTTACTCAGGCCGCAGGATTCATACTTTGGGGTCTCGTGGAGCGTATGAACCTGACACTGTCTAACAAAATAAAAGCCTTTTGGCCGTAAAATTTAATTCAAGAAAATATTAGTAATGCAGTACAACGAAGTTAGATAAAAGGAAATCATTGTTTCTAAAAGTATACACTAGTTACAGCTGACGATATTGTACTTTGATATAGTCAGCTCTCGGTAAAAAATCCCTTGTGATACGCCGTAACGGATATGCAACTTGAACATAAACATAAACACTACGGCGAGAATAGAGGCTAAGCTTGCAGGAAATTTCTCAAAAGAGTGGCCTTGATGAATAATTTGGACCCTCATGAAGGGTCCTAGGTAAAGAATGCGACTGACCGCTACAGATTCTGCGAATATTCCAATACAATGGGATTTAGATGCTACCGTATGGTACTTAATTAAACACTCCAGAAATTCTGGTGGGACATTGCCAAGAAGAGCCTTTGCTAGAGCAGAAAGGCGGATCTACAAATTCCTAATACTGCTAATGCTCAAAACGAACTTGAAGCAGCGGACCAAGCAAAGGCGAGGGATTTATCATTACTCCAGAACTGGCTTAGCCTGGACAATACTGTTCATCATGGGACTATGACTCAGAAAGGTCGTTTTGTCTCCGAACGCCCGGTAGATTTTTAATAGATCGCTGTCCCCTAACCTAAATTTTCGAATGTTCACTATAAATATTATTCTATTGTTTCTAATGCACTAGTAGAGTAGTATGCTATCCAGGCTGGAAAAGCCAGCGGCCACGCCGCCTTCATTGACCTCCTTTCCTTTGGTTCTCAACAACCAACCTCCTTGATCGTTGTGTAAAACTTTGCCATTCGTTTCCCACAGGATAGTGCCATAAACACCAAGCTCGGAGATAACATTGCCACGGAGAACTTCTCCATCATTCCGCAGGGCGACATTCTCAGCGTTGGAGGCTGGATCGATCAATTCCATTAAAACCCACCCCTTCCAATCCTTCTCAGGAATGGAACGCAAGAAATTGGGGATTTCGGCCTTGTAAATATTATTTCCACCACCCTCCCGTTGGGGTTTGAGGACATGCTTCATAGCCGTCTCGGGATTGAGGGCGAGTTTGCGCCCCTGGCCTTCAGTAGATAGATCATACTGAGGAGCAAATGTTTGTCGCAACCTCGCAATGATGGTGGGGTCGATACCGCCCATAAAGCTGGTGAGGTGGTCTGGTCCTGTAGGCTCAGCAAGAACTTGCTGAATCTTTTTGCAACCAGACAGTTGGTTCAACACCGTCGGGCATTTGATCGCAGCAGAGCGCTCTAAGTGAGTGCGCGCTTCCCAATCACGGCTGGACTTGTATTCGTCCGGTGCGTAGTAGGCTCGGAGATAGACCGTCGTGACTTCAAATGCATTTTCTGGCGAGTGTGGGGGTCGATAGATTAATGGGCGAGAAGAATTTGAGCTTGGAATCAGTGTGTCGTCAATGATTCTATTACTTGGTAGGCGGAAGACAGGAATCTTGTGGACATGCGTAAGGTGTTTTGAGAGCGCCAGCTGGTCAAAGATGTTTCGTTCCCCCTCTTGGACCACAAATAGAACACACAAAGGAAGCGCCGGCGTTGACTTCGAGGGGCCGTAAGCGGTATGAGCAGCAGCCAGTCCACCCGAGAGGGTCTCCACAGCGGTATTTTCCGGTGGTATGTTGGAATCGAACAGAGGATGAGGCGGGTAACTTATCGGAGAACCCGGCGGGGAAGTGAGGAGCTCCGCATGCAACGACCTCACCAAGGCAGACAATCCCCCAAACGAAGAAGAAATTGTGTTAAACTCGATCTGCTTCAGAGACGGTGGGCCTTCAGGAGTGACATGGGCCATGTAGTCGGATCGGAAGAGGCCCAAGGAAAGATCCTGGACATATCCCTCCTTCTTTACTTCTAGGTGTGTTTTCCAAAGATTTGCCACGAAGTCGTCTACATCAACAAGACTGAGTCATAGAGGAAGAGGTTAGCTAAGTGAACATCAAGGGTTTGTTTCTTGTATTCTTACTCTTCAATGATCTTCCCTAGCCACTCCTCGTTGCAAGTGATCGCGGCATAGAGTTGGTTATAGATTGTTTGGAGAGCCGTCGCCTCTTCAAAGCAGGCGGCCGGAAAAGGACTTGGGAAAAGGGTCACCGGGGCATTTGTAGCCAGGACGCGGTTATTATCAGCGCCATCTGGGAGTGCGGTTGGGGCGGGTCGCACAGCGAGTCCATTCTGGATCGCCCAGTTTTTGATTGTGGTAACGAGGTATTCTTGTTGGACCGGCGATAGGTTAGGAGGATATGTAGAATAAATTGAGTCACCCATGATGCTGGAAAAGCTCTAGTAAGCTTCGGTCCGGTTTGTTAGAATAGAAACAAGCTCTGGATGGTATAGAAACATTAAGGAAAGAGAAATATCGAAATCGAATAGAATTGCAATAAGCCCACTTCCGCGAACTCCCCGCGATGACAAATGCAGATGGAGGGGATTTACCCGGCTTACACCGCCTACACCGCCTAAATACTACACACCGCCAACACCGCCCTAACAATGAGCTCTTCATTCACCAGGCAGAATATTTGTCTTGCGCGTCAGCGTTTGCCTTTGCGTTTGCAACAACGATCTTTTATTTTCTGGAGCTAGAATGCACGCCTCCTCGAGCTGCGTGTGTTCTTTCCCCCCTTCCTTTTGCTCGACGCTTAAATAATGTCAGCCCGCTAGCTACCTTCCCGCCCGATTCCCATTCACATTCCCAATTCCGTGTCGGCTCTTCACCTAGTGCTTCTACACTAAGCTCAAGACTTACGTCCTTATCGGGGGCCAGCAACTGGTGAGGTTAACCTTGACCAGTCCTTCTTGAGCTAGGAGCCTCTAGCTAACTTCCGCTCCAGGCCCCCTGAAGAAGCAACTATGGAGTTCACGGACTCAGATCCCGTTGATTGGAATATTGAGGAAGTCGTTAAATTCCTCTGTGATTCCGAGTCTCGCCCATGGGCCGAGGGGTCCAACATCCCGTTCCCAAAGCCAACTGACCTAGCAGCGGCACTGCATGAAAACTTCATTACTGGAGAGGTCCTGCTAGAGGAAGTTGACAAAATTTCCCTGAAAGATGACTTCGGAGTCAAGGCCTTGGGCCATCGATGCGGCATCATGAAGGCGATAGAGTGGCTGCGAATCCGGTCTGCGAAGTACCAAGCCAAAACTCGCCAATCTTCATTACATGGTGTTTTTTCTCCACAATCTGCGTTTTCACCTCAGATTCTGCATTCCAAATCCCCAGGCTCTGCTGCTGCTCCTGCTACTCCTGTTGCTCCTGCCGCTCCTGCACCAGAAGTCCCCCCCCTATCAACTTTTCTGGAGCTGGTGTGCGACCATCGATGACGCCGCAGGGGAAACGCAGAATTGCTCCTCAATTGGTGCGTACATTTGAGAAAAGTGAAACGTCAAAGGAGAACCCGCTGTTGCTTGGGGGACATTTTGACTCGAACAATACAAATACATCCATTTCGACCCTCAACCATCCAACAACCGAAACTCCCCCGTTGAGGCCGGTCAATTCAGTCGAATACCAGCCATCATTTTCTCGGCGGGCAGCTCCGAATAATGATCCGGAACCAGAGATCTCTAAAGAGCCGGACCAGATTCGCGAAAGAGCATCCTCGAGAACGCAGAACTCAAAAACTCCGACAGAAGAAGCATTCCTCAACAGTTTGCTTCAAAGGTACCCCCGGAAGGTGATGACGCCGATCTGCTCCCTCTTTATGGTGATTCTGGATCCGAGGGCCAGTTTGACGAGGAAACTTGGGAGGAGATGCAAATCGAGGCCAAAGAATTACAAGAGCATGCAAATAAACCTACTCCCGCTGAGAAGGCTAGTCTTTCCCGCGAGGAATGTATGGCATTAATCGCACAGCACGTCGCACAGAAAGAAGACCTTTGGAAAGAAAAGCACTTGCCAAAGGAACTTCCAAAAGCTCCAAAACTATGGAACCGCTCACACATGAATGGATCACTTGAGCAAGACAAAAGCGATCTCACAAAGAGAATTTATCTCTATCAGAAACGCCTTGAAAAGCTCAAGGGTGGGCTCTTGGAAGTTGACTCGAAAGACCGTGCCTTTTTCTTGCTGTCATGTGCCACTCTTGACCACACCATTGCTGATATCTGCCTGGATAAATGGATACTCCAGATACTAGAGCTTGAGAATTGCCCGCCTCGTGCCGAACCGCCACCAAGAGTCCCAAAGCCAAAACCCAAAGAGGAGCATTTGGGTGTTAGAGATGATGAAAGCTTGGCCTCTGAAATGGATACAGACCTTGAAAGTTCTTATGAGGAGTCGGAACCCGATGGGTCTGAATCCGAAGAAGATGAAAGTGACTTTATTGAGGTTGACCCCGAGGATGAGCCTGTGCAGGACCTAGTGGACAAACCTCACAGGGGATTACCGTTTACTTTGGACTCGCCTCCACCTGCGGATGAGCAAGTCCCATCGACTGAGCCTGCTCGAAAAAGGCGACGTATCTATGACAATGAAAGTGATGGCGAGATGACCTCTGACACCGGGATATTTTCTGAGGTTCTGCGACGGGGTGACATTGATACTGTTGATTTGACTGAATCCATTTCTATACCGGCCAGTGCCGCTGGCTCAAGGTCAGTCGCAAGTCCTTCAAATCCAGCTCTCTCAGGGACAGTAGAAGGCGCCGCAGATGCCGCAGATCCCGATGAGATGCAAATTGAGACGCCGCCCTTAAACCCAACGCACTCAATTGTTCCGCAAGATGCCGATGTCTCAGATCTTCTGGTTGACAGCACGCCATCCACCCCAGTGCGGAACGTTAGAGTGAAATTGACGATGCCACTGCCTCCTGAACTTCATTCTCACAATTCGCACAAAACCTCCCGTGGCGACAATGAATTTCCCCAAGGACTTTCTAGCATCCCTGAAGATATGATGCTTGGAGTGGATGAGGATGATCTTGAGCTGTTCGATATCGTGAAATCATTGGACTTCGAAAAAATTGCCGATTCAAAGGACCGCGTCCAATTACTGGCTAAATCGATTCTTGGACTGGGCGCGCATGAACCAAAACTGATTCGGAAGTATCTGGATGAATTCATGCTTCCTCAGCTCATGGATCTAGTTCATGAAGCTCTGACGCACATGCAAAACGACCGAGCAAGGTTTCCTGATCAAGATGAGAATGAGAGTCTAGGTATCATGCGTCTCGCGGTACTGTACCACTCTTGGCTTCACTGTATAGGTCTGAGTCGCATTGGACTTGATAAACAACAGGTCAGAGACACGATCTCTCAAATAGAGAAGGAAGAAGCCCAATCCATGTTTTCAACCTTTGTTGAAAGATTGAGCAAATTGTTTAACGCTCACGATTTGTGGGGTTTGCAGAACCCAAAATATTCTCCTGGCTCTCATAGTGCATCTCTCGCAACGTTTGTCACTGGATCCAAATCAAACGCGAAGGCCAAAAACAAAACCAAGTATGCCCCGAGAACACCAAGCAACATGCAAAGAGAAGCCCAAGTGAGACAGGAGAAACAGGAGGCCATGAGGCAGGAAAGAGAAAAACGAGGCCTCGGTAACAGTGACCCAGAAAAACAAGCCGTCAACTTCAAAGAGCCTGCAATCTACTTGCATAGGGAGATCGGAGAGCACGTGAAACCACATCAGCTTGCAGGTATCCAATTCATGTGGCGTGAGTTGATAGAGGCCAAAAAACCCCAGGGTTGTCTCCTTGCCCATGTGATGGGCCTTGGAAAAACAATGCAGGTGTAAGTAATTTTATCGTCCACTGCATATCTCCAGGCATAGCTAATTCGCGGACAGGATATCCCTATTGACCACAATTGCCGATGCAGCGGCGTCAGATGACCCTCAGATCCGTGAACAAGTCCCTGAGAAGTTCCATCGCTCCCAGACTCTGGTTTTATGTCCCTCTGCTGTGGTTCAGAACTGGGCAGAAGAGTTTGCCTTGTGGACCCCGAAAAGACACCATCTCGGCCCAATCTGGGAAATCATGTCTGGAAACAACATGGAGGCCGAAGAAAGATTTCATATCATCAAGGCCTGGGATGAGAGGGGCGGTGTTCTGATAATCAGCTACGATTTGTTCCGCATAATCGTACTCAACAAGTCAACCCGACCGACAAACCGCAACAGTCTCTCTGACGAACAACATGAGTTTACGAAGGAGGCTCTCTTGTCTCGGCCGAATATTGTCGTCGCTGACGAAGCCCACAGGCTCAAAAATGAAAAGTCTGCCATCTCACAGGTAACTTCACGCTTCAAGACCTTGAGCCGCATCGCTATGACAGGGTCGCCATTGGCCAACCACCTTTGGGAGTATTACCAAATGGTCGAGTGGGTTGCACCAGGATATCTTGAAGATGCAGCTTCATTCAAGACAAAGTTTTTGGAACCAATCCAGTCCGGGTCTTATATCGACAGTACCCGTCAACAACAGAGGGAGAGTCTCTGTGCCCTCAAGATTCTCAATGGAATTTTGAAACCCAAGGTTCTTCGAGCGGATACTTCAGTCATCTCATCGGATCTACCCCCCCAAGACCGAATTTGTTATCCGGATTCCCCTCACAGATCTACAGGAAGCAGCTTACAACACTTTCGTATCTACTGCTCAGGTGGGGGACGACGTTGACTCCAAACTGTACACTTGGCTTGCTATTTTGCAGCTTTGCTGTAACCATCCCCAACCGTTCCTGGAGAAACTTGAAGATCGCTCGAAACAACCCGAGGATACCGAAGAGTCTGTTCTCCCTGAATCAATGAAGGAGAGTGGACTCCCAGGAGACTTGTTGTCCAAGATAAATGCTCTTTTCGAGTCCATACCACGAATTGAAGACCCCAGTCTATCGCATCGGGCCACTTTACTCAACAAAATCATTGACGAGTCCACCAAAATTGGAGACAAAGTTCTGATCTTCACCCAAAGTCTCCCGACCATGAACTTCATTAACCTTATGTTGAGTGAACGTCGCCTGAAATTTCAACGAATTTATGGCAACACTACTGCGGTTGAACGCCAAGCTATCACCAAAAGGTTCAACACTGATTCTGATCAGCAGATTCTCTTAATATCCACCAAGGCTGGCGGAGTGGGCCTCAACATGTTTGGAGCTAATCGCGTCGTCATTTTCGACTTTTTGTTCAACCCAATGTGGGAAGAACAGGCAGTTGGACGAGCTTACCGACTCGGCCAGACCAAAACAGTCTTCGTCTATCGATTTGTGGCCGGCGGAACATTTGAGGAAAACATTTTCAACAAAGCAGTGTTCAAAAGACAACTCGCAGTTCGCGTGGTGGATAAGAAGAATGTTGTACGCCAAAGCTCCAAAAACTCACCGATTCTTCTGCATCCGGTGAAGCCGGTGAATAAAAGTGATCATACTGGGATCAAAGGCAAAGACAAAGTTCTTGATGAGATTCTTGCAGGGCCGTACGGAGATATCATTCTGGACGTCTCCGTATCCCACATCCAAGATAACGAAAATGATCGTCTCACCGAGGAAGAAAATCTTCGGGTGGCCAATGAGCTTAAAATGGAGCGCCTGAAACGTTCCAACCCACAAGCTTTTGAAGCAGAAAAAAAGCGAAGACACGATGCCCAAACGGCCCGTGAGATGGCCCAAAGGGCATTCGAGGCGGCTCAAAAGCAGGACATCTACAAGCAGCGCCAGACTGATTTTGTGGCGGCGGTACAAAACCCAGGCTCGTTCCATCCAACGTCTACTCATAGAATACCTGGAGTGCAAGCTGGCCTGGCGTCACGTCCATTCATTCCCCACTCTCCTCACTCATTGTCCCCAGGGATGCAGTATCATTCCGGAGCCGGTCAATCCATGACGGGCGTGACGTCGCACTCATCACCCGCAATGACTCCTTCGTATCACGGGCAGTCCAATCCGAGCTTTGCACAGCCCCCTTACACCCCAAGTTCTGCATCTTCCACGAACTATCCTGGATTTCCACAAGTGCCAACAAATTACACGCCAAGCATGAACCCTCTGCAGCAGGCAAGCCATCTGCAGAACCAGCCAGCCCGGGAATCGGATCATCTGGATTCGAATCGCCTGGCACCTCCTTCGGGGACTCAGTTCCCTACAACTGACGGGAGTGCGGACTTGGTCGAACTTATTGACCTGTCTACTCCTCGCGGAACAGCATCCCCGGTTGCCCAACCCGCTGATGACGGGGATGCGGTCATGGACACGAGTGAGGACGAAGCGTATGAACCCCCACCACCAAACCTCTCGGTATTGGGTCAGTGACGCGCTCCACGGTCCGCAACCAGTTTTGTCTTTTTGTTTTAATTGCCTTGTACACCATGATTACCTCGCGGAAGCCCGCAAAGTGTTTTGTTTGTTTTAATTGTCGTGTACATTATGATACCCACGCCATCGATACCCCCGTCGCGTTTTGGTTGGCTGTCCAACCCCTGCGATCGGCGCGCAATGATTTGCTTCTAGCATTCTTAGTTGAATACAGATCTTCTAGAATTATGACTATTGAAAGCATGGCATATGTAGTATTCCAGAACCCTAGAATAGGTTACCTAGGGTAAGGTAGCTGTAGGTCCCCGCGGACTCTCAGTGGACCTTCCCAAGGTTACCTTAAGGTTCCTAAGGATCCCATACAGGCACTGCTTATCTTCCCCGCAAATTCGCTTATCTTTGACTGCCTCGCCCAACCCCAGCGAAATGAACAAGTTGAAATCTCCCAATTTCACATCCCGCCAACATGCAAAATGGCCGCAATTTCAAGGGCTCGTACCGGATGCTGGACCTGCCGTGCGCGCAGGATAAAATGTGACGGTTAGCATCTCCACATCGACCTTTTGAACCAATCTCCTCACTAAAATCACAATCGCCTAGAAACACATCCTGTCTGCCGTCGCTGTGCGCGCAAAAATAGCCCCTGTGGGTACGGAATACGCCTGATCTGGCACGAAGAATCACTGGCTCGTGGGGTCTGTCATGGGCGGGCGGGGGTATGGTCGAAGCGCAATGACCCTGATCGAGAAAGCGAAAAGAAAAGTACGAGGCAGGGGTTGATCTTGAAAGATGGGGATACACGATTATTAAAACGAGGAAAAAATTGCATGCGGACATGGCATTTTTTGAATACCACCACTCAGGACCTTGAATTTCATTTCGATGGCGACTGGATGAAAAGCAGCAGCGCAGAACAAAAATCACGACATGAATCGCTAGGACTATCGCTAGGCACAATCCCCTGCCATGGAAGATCGAAATTCGACCCTATTCTCATGTCATATTTCGAGCAGACCATTTGCAGCAGTTCTACACTGGTGGATAACGCTCTATATAATCCATATCGCTACCTAATCCTTCCCATGGCTCTCGAGTCTCAAGCTCTCTACCACGCGACTCTCGCCATTGCCGCCAATACGCTAAAATTATCCGATCCAAGATACAGACTCCCTGCATTGGAGCATCATCATCGTGCTTTAAGCCATCTTCGAAATCTTTTGTCGCATGATTCATGGGCAGAGAAAGAACTGGATGAAATGCTCGGACTCGTTCTTATGCTATGTTGGTTCGATGTAGGATCTAATTCTTTTATGCCGAATATTCCAATCGTTTACTGACACAGCCTCAGGTTTCAGATAGCAGCCGGCCTTCATGGGTCACACATTTGACCGGGTTCCAGGATCTGAGCAGAACGCGACAAAGGCGTCCTGGCCGCTCACCTCACAGCCAAGATCTGGCGAGCTTCTTTGACCGCTATTTTGCTTTCCACCTTGTTCTTGCGCGGACTTCATTTCGAATCAACGACTTACCATGTCAGTCACCGCCTCTTCCAGTCAGCTTACTTGGAAACTCCGACACGATTGACCCATACATGGGATTCAGCCATTCGCTGCTTCTCTTGATCAACCAAATTGCTGAACTAGCATGGAACCATGCCGACGACCGAAAATGTACCCTCAGCACAGCAGCGTCGAGACTAAGAAAAAGTCTCGAAGGGCTTGATCAAATCCTACCATCGCAGTGTGATGATCCAAACACAGAGTGCGCTGCAATCGCCGAAGCAAATAGATTGGGAGCTCTCCTTCTTCTACAAGAAATCTGTTCTACAAAATCGGCCTCAACAAACAATCTACGTCAACAGCCAACCGGAACACAAGAAAAGACTCATTATGTCAAATTAATTCTGAATCTGATGCTGGAGAAAAAAGCAAACATGATGCGGACCGCTGTACTGCCGCTATGGCCCCTCTTCTTAGCAGGATGCTGTGCTTCCGGGGAAGAGGAAAGGATCACAGTGATGCAATTTTTTGATGAGGTAGAAGGCATTCATCGCTTCGGGGTATGTACCTGCTGCAGTATACCCGTTCCCGAAAGAAAATGACTGATTATTTTAGAATGTCGCACCTGCTATGGAAGTCATTGAAATGGTTTGGAGACAGCAGGATCTGTCTGTACAAGACGAAAGGAAGCGCCAAAGGAGTGTAATTGCGAACGAGGGACACAACGAGACGCAGAAATTTCGGTTTCCCTGGGAGCACGCAATGTTAATGTTAGGAGATTGGAAGATTAGCTTAACCTGACTGGTTTTGGCTTTAGCTATTTGAGCTTACTCTATCTTAATTCATGTAATTATTTGAGCTAGGAAAATGACTCGATTTGTTCCGTGATAGTGCCTTTCTAATACCGTTACAGCTCAGCGGTGAAGTCCTCCATTTAGACCAAAGAGTAGAATGTTCAAGCAAATTAACCATCCAGTAAATATTGGAAAAGATGGCCGGATCGATGTCATGTAATGAGGCACATAACCAGGCGGCCGCGTGCGCGTTTTTAGATAGCCCTAGGTTTGCCTCGTCTTCTTTTATAAGCGCGGTCGCCAATACTACATGTCTTTTCTCATCGCCTTGGGCTCTTGAATAGGTAATAAATCGTACATTCATATCTAATATAGCATCTAGCTAGAAGAGTTATCGGCACAAGACCAGGCCGCCGAGCCACCCGTCTCATTGTAGCTCTTAATAATGCTAACAACCGATCCGTAAGTACCTCCGATCATCAAGAAGGTTCCGGCGATGATGACAAAGGCGCACCAGGCGACCATGGCATACCACCGGGCTGATCTGTGAACATTGCCCTTGCTCCAGTTGTCGTACAGCCACATGCCGGCCATTGGCTGGAAGCACATGGGAGTTCCAAGCAAGGCGCCAACAAGGGAGACAAGGTCGCTGAAGACAGGGATGGCGCTGGCGATGATGTAGGCAGCCAGACCGACGCCGAAAGTACATGAGAGCCAGACGACCCAGTGGGTTAGGGTGTTGGATGTGAGGTGGCGGGAACCTTGGAGGATACGGACGAAAATGTATTTACCGGTGATCTGGGAGGTGATTAGTTGAGGTCGAGAGGTAAGGGGGGTCAAAGTGTGTAAGGTAGACTCACGTGGATGAAAAGTAGAGTACTGGCTAGCAGACCAGGAAGAGCAAATCCATAGCTGACCTTCTTCACCATCGGACCGGCAGAGCCAAGGGCGGGAGAGGAGACGTATGATCCGCAGTAATAGTAGATAACGATTCCAATAGCAAGGTAGAAGACAGTCACGACGGATTGGCAGAGAATCAAGGCTTTGTTGAAATGCTTAGGCTCGCGCATCTCAGATGCAAGGGAGAAGAAAGCCGGGGTGCCGGCATAAGCGAAGACGATGGTTGATACGGCGGTGATGGCATCAGTGAAGGAAGGGTTGGCGACAATCTTGTAGTCGGGAACCCAAACGGCATCTTTAGGCGCGGCAGCTGGGCGATCTTGAATGCCCACGGCGACGGTAACGATCAAGACTGGAGAGATATCATGTTAGATTCCGTGTTTGATACATTGAAATCAGCAGGGGAAAAGGATAAGGGGAGAGCTTACTCGACGTGAGGATACAAACTAGACCTAGCCAGGCGATCCACGAGATGCGCCCGAGAGTCTGGATGCTTCCCAGGATAAAACACACGATAAAGGCGATGACCACATAGACGGCGGTACAGACGGCGTGGGAGGAGATGGCGTTGAGACTGATGGAGATGCCCAGCATTCCCGAACCAGCCACGAAGATCCACCCTGTATCAAATCACCAAAATTAGGAAACTTTTCCCAACCGAAATAGGCATCGAATCCCACACTTACAGAGACAAAAGGCAGTTCCCAGAACAATTCGCCCCGCCTTGCCAAATAGCAACTCTCCCACATCGTCAATACCGTAGACTTCACGATGTCGTAGTTTGAAGGTACCGATAATGAAATCGGACCATGTTGTGATTCCCGCAATGGCGCAGAGAACGATCACACCGGGTATAACTCCTAAGGAGTTGAAGGCGACGGGGATAGAGAGAACACCCAGTCCGATTTGGGTTTTCATCATGAGGACCGAGGTACCTAACCATCCGACCTATTGCGATTCAGAAATAGTGTTAGCGACTGATGATCAAAAGGGGGGAAAGATAAATAGGAAAAAAATCAAGCATGACATACATTTCGATAATTAGGCCCTTCGCCAGTTATTTCACCGAAGACAGCATCGTGAGCGCCTTCTTGGACCTCGCCTAGATGGGTGGGAACCGGCTCTAGAGGCTCATCGAAATTTTTCTTTTCGTCTAACATGATTGCCAAGGCATATGATTTAAACGGGATTAAAAAAGAAGAAGAAGAAAAAACAACAAGAATCGGAATGAAGAGGATCGATTGAAGAGAAGGTCTGACTGAGAAGAAAAAGAGAATTGGGGGAGGGTTGAAGTAACATATTTCAATGATTCTCAGGTTCCATAACCTTGCCTTGCAGGAGGGGACTAGACCTAGTTAGGAATAGTCTAGGACTGGGTCAGTCCACGGTTTCAATGTGCAGGATGGCCTTAATGGGGGAAAGTAAAGGGAAGATCCAATAAGAAGGTTGGTTGCACCGGGAAGGGAGCCGGTTGTGGTTAATTGGTTATCTTAGTCTCTTGAGTTCTTTAGGGTTAGTGTTATCTTGGTACTGCCGCCCGCCCAGATAAGCCCCAGCCTTTTACGGCAGGGAGTCAGTCTTATCTCGACTGATTGGGGCTGACATGTTTTGCATACACTTTGGTGCCTCTTTTGCTTGTTTTTTCCTCCCTCCCTCTCTCTCTTTCACTTCCCTTTGTCCCCTTTGTTTTCTTTTCTTTTCGCTTCTTCTCTCTCCCTCTCTCTAACTCGTGTTACTGTGGGTCAACCTCCCCCCAGATTTCCCCGATTTTGCCTCCCCGCATTCCAGCCAACGGACCGTCCAGCAAACCCACTTTTTTGAGTGTGGGGAACCCTCCATTCTTACGTCGCCCCCTAAAATCCCTCAATCACCTCGGGCCATTCCACCCTGATGTGCAACACCATTCTGTGAGGCCATCGTCCTTTAGGAAGGTGGCCTCCACTTTACTACGGGGGTGCCACCACAACTTGCCATCATTAGCCTGTTAAGTCCACTCTGGTGCGCCCGCCCCCCCCCCCCCCAGTCCCAAGTCCTTCGATAGGCATCACTTTCCCACCGCTGAAGCTTGCCCATTCGCCATATACCACGGCCCGTCTGGCAGGGGGCTATGTACAACGAAAGAGAGGCTTTTTGGCCGGCTAGTCAATACCGCTCGGAATACATGACGGCATGACAACATGACTGAATCTCAATGGTCATTTCTTTCCGAAGGCAGGTGATGGTCATCCCAAAGAACACAAATGACACGGTTGCCGTTGCCCCGACCCAAGCGAGATGCTCAGACGTTTGTTGTGATGCCCAATGCACTCCACTGAGCGACAAGCCACGGTCAAACCGATCGTGAGACATCATTCGGGTTTCCTCCTTCCGCCCAGAAATTCCGCCCCTCTTCTCCCCCCGATGTTGTCAAGGGGACTCTCAGCAAATGCGGACACCGGCCGATGTAGCACAATCGTGCCGCCGTCTCCATCTCGTGCATGACGTTCCTGATGCACATCACATCAGACGGTCCACACGTGCAAAGTGGACAAACCCACCATAATGTATCCGTAGTCTACTCCGTACACTCCATCCTTTACCTCGTACATACCTACAACCTTGATGTGCGGAGATCTGGCCAGACACTTTTCCGCTGAACCCCATCCCCAGTGCGGCTGGAAAAAATTGGGGTACAACGCCTCGCGGGAGTTAAACTCGCACGCCTCTTCAGATCCTCTTGGTGGCTGATCACGCCACAAATCTGATTCGTCTCGGCGCATGTTTGACTCGGCGTCATCGACTAATTGGCCAATCCCCACCCCTTTGCCCCCCTACCGTCTCGCCTCGCTCACTAAACCTTTCAGGGGTAGTTAGTCACTGAGCCAGATGGTCCTTAACTAGTTACCTGATCCATAGTTGCCCAGCCTCTCGGCGTGGCGAGTGAGTAAACGTAAACTTTACCGCTCCCGGTCGGAATCGACTGACTGAGTTGGCCCGTTGGGGCACGAGTATATTCTAAGTTCATCTTAGAGTACGAGATCTTCCCGAACCCTTCTTTCTCGTCCAACTCTTTTCATAAATACCCCCTGCTCCGGGAAGGGAGCCGGTCCGTCTGGTTTCTGGACCGGCTGGCCCGTTCGGTGATCCGATGGGCTCACCTTCGATCTTTTGCCTCTTTTCTTCCCCCTTGTAGTGTTTTTAGTCGTCTCTTTATAAATAGGCGGACCGTGCCGGGTAGGATCATGCCAATGGACCGTGTGGCCGGCCTTGTTTCTAGGCTTTCGAGAAAGGCAGGCAGAAAGAGAGTATGGACGCCACTAAACCCTAACGGAGAAGCCTTCCTATTTTCATGAGTATATACTATCAAGGTAAGATAGGAAGGCGAAATGGAATGAGTGAATTTCTCGATCTCTGAATCTCTTTTTTGTTGAGTGATACGCAAGTGTTTTGAGTTTCTGGGCGAGATTGCCCCGTTTCGGCCCTTTGCCCTTCGCCCCCTATTTGGACCGTCCATGGTGGATTCCGTTGATAATCGTTTCGTATTATGATTAGAAGACTGACCGTACTCCGTAAAGGGTGTTATCTCTTTTTTGATGCACTGGGAAGACCTATAGCCCATGCATGCAACTTGGGGGCAGGATGGATGCCCGAGGCCAAATGCCATTGGTTTTCTCACCAACCTTACAATCAAGAGCCTACTAGTACATTGCAGACTGGCAGTATAACACCCATTCAAAGCAAAACCTTTAGATTATTTTCGTGACTTGTGAGTCTAAGAATACACAGAAAAGAAATCCCGGAACCACCCTACCCTACCCTACCCTACCCTAAGAATCGAAATGCAGAAGATTGGGTATCAGAAACACTCCACGCTGGCATAACTGCCACCAGACGCCCCATAGTCACCACCGATAGAAACCCTCGAACGCCCTCTCGATGTGATCACACCAGCAAGTTCTCCAGATCAGCCACACGTGTAGCTCTATCCTCGGCCTTCTTCTTGCCAGTTTCGCGGAACGCGGCCGACATCAAGGCACGCTTGCGCTCCTGTACCTGTATCACACGTTCTTCGACACTGTCCTCCATTACCAATCGCCACACCGTCGTCTCTCGCTTTTGTCCCAGGCGGTAGACTCGGTCAACTGCCTGGTCTTCGATTGCTGGGGCCCACCAGCTGTCGCATAGAATGGCTTGATTCGCAGCAACGAGGTTGAGACCGACACTGCATACATTGAGACTTGCGAGAAGAACGACACAGGAAGGATCGTTGGAAAACACATTGATGGAGTTGTCTCGCTTGATGGAAGGCATGCTGCCATCGATTCGGACGAATCTGATCCCACGCTGCTCCAGTTGAGGTTCGATGAGATTGAGGAAAGAAGTCCATTGGCTGAAGACCACCGTTTTCGTACCAGGTGCCTGTCCCTTTGCAGTCAACACTTTGATAAGCGCTTCAATCTTACTGCTTGGTTGGTTGGGATCTGCAACGGCGTTCGAGGAATCTTCGCCTAGCTCAACGGCGGGGGATACCAAGATTGTATTGTCTTTCAGATCGGCCCGGCACAGTGGACACTTGTGCTGGCGCTCGATGACTTGTTCAATGCAGCCACGGCAGAATGAGTGAGCACATGCGGTTATGACGGGCTCTTCCAGGTTGTCCAAGCAGATGGCGCACACTTCTTGGCTTTCGATTTGAAGCTGAAGCATATCGCGCAAGGCCGCAATGTTCTCATCTGTAAGAGGCACAACCTTATTCTGCTCCAGCGTGTTCATAAGGGCATCAATTCGATCTTTGCAGAGAGCCCAGTGGTTGCAAACCTGACGGAGACGTAGAAGCACCTCCAGAAGGTGCGAATAGGTGCCTTGCTTGTCCTTGAATTCCATCAGTGCGCCCTTGGCTTCCTTTTGTAAAGCGCCATATTTTTCCTGCTCGTGGGGATGGAATTTGACTCGAAGAATTCGGGATGTCATCTCCGGGAGGCGAATGTCCACAAACTTCATGGTTTTGGTACGACGAAGACAGACCGTTGCCATAAGGGCCTCGAGAAGCAGACGTGCCTCGGGCATGCCGCTCATTAGGGGGCGGATCAATACACTGTTGAACACGCTGAAATCGTCCAGTCCACCGGATAGCTTCAAAAAGCGGATCTGCGAGTAAAGATCCTTAAGAGTGTTGATGATCGGCGTTCCAGTCAAAGTCCAACGGGAGTCCACACGCAGGCCGCACGCTGCAAGCGATGCCTTGCTTCGGGGGTTGCGGATCGTGTGGCCTTCATCGAGAACCACGCGGCGCCAGTGAAGAGAAAAGATACCTTTAGCAGGTGGCTTTTTGGCATCCGCTTTGAATTCCATGGAGAGTGCACCGTAGCTTGTGATCACAACGTCGTAGTTCGCCAGGTTCCCAGCTTCCTTTTTGCCAGTGCCATGGTAAATCAGAACACTTGGCGCATTCTCACTTCGGGTGTGGTCGTGAATTTGGTTCCTCCAGTTGCTCATCACCCCGACAGGAGCGATGATCAAAGTTGTCTTACTAGACTTGGGGTTTAGTGGTTTCGGGTTGGCTAAAATAAGCGAGATAATCTGGATTGTCTTGCCGAGACCCATGTCATCGGCTAGAATACCACCACTGGCCAGCGGTGGCGCCGTGGTGGTCGAGAAGTTGGTCGCAATGTTGGTGAAGTTGTTCGCATCACGCTTCCATAGCTGTACAATAGCATCCGATCCAGGAGCTGGCAAGGTAGGCGATTCATGGTTGATCATCCATGCCAATCCTTGTCGCTGATATGGAAGCAATGTCGTAGAGAGGGCTGTTGGCGTGTCTGCCATTGGCATCTTAGCCAGGTCAAGCTCCTTCTGTCCAAATGTTTCCACGACCTGGCCGATCTCTCTTGGGTTGAAGAACTTGCTCTGGCTGAACAGTTCCTCGAGGCTTTCTTCGCCTTCACCGACTCCTCCCGGAGTTGATAGATTGGCAAATTGCGAGTCTTCGTTGGCCTGCCAGCCTTGTGCAGCTTTACTGAGGGCCATGGCACGAGCCTTCTTCGCTTCCTCTTTCCGTTCTTTTTCTAGTTGCTTCTCTCGCTTCTTCTTTTCGCGCTCTGCGAGGTCAGTTCCGCGAGGTATCAGATTATCCAGCTTCAATTGCATTTTCAAGTCCGGTGCCACGGTGGGGTCATCGGGGCCGTAGATCTTCAAATTCATCGGACAGGTGTAAGCCCCGATGGTACCGGTAAGCACAGCCTCTACAACAATCTTCTTGGGGTCCTATATCCTTGTGAATAAAGGAATTGATTTCCGTTGTCTGTTTTGTTGCGTTCAACCTACCATGTACTTTGCAAGCTTTTCAGCCACTCCTCGTCCGATATGGCCGATCTGAGCACCCATGACATTGTCGACACGGATGGCATTGCGGTCATAGGGGTTTGTAGGTTCTCGTTTCAAGACAACATGCTCACCCTTAGTAGCATGCCCTCGGTAGAAGCGTACACCCACAATTGAAGTGGGACAAATACCTATCCGGATACTTTAGTTCTGTCCCAGTGATTATAATGCATGATAATAGGGGATATTTGGACCATGGCGTACCATAAATCTCAAAGTTGGATGTAGCTGTATCATCTTGGCTGTCTTGCACGACTTCTTCTGCGGCAGCATCCTCTTCGTCGGCACCGGCCACCTGTGTCAGGGGGATATAGTCCGCGGTCAGGTCGATATAGTCTGCCGGTGGGTCAACCTTCTGACCAGTGCTAGAATCAGATGGTGTTGAGAATGAACTTTTCCGGCTGGCTTGAGACACGCGATCTGATCCTTCTTCAAGCCCAGCCACCGTCAATCCAGCTGCATCGGCATTGCGTTTGCTAGTTCGCCGGGGCATGATCGACGTATTTTACACACGCGGTGAGAAATCTTGTCCGATAATGAACTCGAGCCGAAGCTCAAGTGAAGCTGAAGAGTAAAATTGATAACTAAACATCAATCCAGGAAATTGAATAATTAGAGGATGAGGGGACGATCAGGAGATTCCACTAGAGATGTGGACGTGAATATGTGGAGGTGACGGAATCGGCTAGTCCCAATCAGGAAGCCTCGTGTGTCGCGAAACACGTGGTCATGTGATTCTCACTCCCCATTGATGCAGCCTCGATGGCGACAAAGCAACTTCTTACTCAGGAATTTGAACATTTCTCTGGATTCCATCTTGGGTGTTGGCGTCACTTTCAATCATAAAATTCAGTCGCGGTTTTTACATTCTTTGCCATCGACGAATGAGTCCATATTGCTTATCTGCTTAGCGCTTCCCAAGGGAGTCAAGCTACCGTGCTAGTGGCGCATTATCCGTATGGCTGATCCACGTAATGGTTCCTATAGGGATCTTGTCCGACAGCATGGGGTGGAACTCGAGGCACTACTGCAACAGGGAATTTTCAAGCCGGTTTTCCTCTATCAAGCTGTGATCTTCAGCCTTCTACCATTGCTTGGTCTGATTGTACCCCGCCACCGGGGCGGCAGATATATTCGATCCGCCATCTTTGCCCTAAGCTTGGGTATTGCCCTTCAGATTCTTCAAAGCCGCCGCGCTCACTTGGGTGGCAATGGCTACATGATTGGACTTATCGCCGCATGGTCACTCATATGGAGTGCCGGAATATTAGTATTCACCGACATCGAGAAGGATTTTCAACGCATTGAACGCACGACTACTGCCGAGAGTGGATCAACAAAGGTGGCGACTTTGAATACATCTGCGCATGTCCAGTCCAAGCCCAAGGACAAAGACAGGGAACGGGAGATGTTCCAATGGCAGCCCTATCCTCGTAATCTATCCCATCGTCTTGGGTGGTGCGCAGGTTTGCTCTTCAACTTGCGAGGACCCGAGTGGAACTGGCGGGCTCCTCATCTTAGGACCACTTCCTCGGTCCGTGCATTCCCAACTACATACTGGATTTGGCTCCAATAAATTCAAGTTCCAGGCAGAGAATGATTCTACATATCCCAGTGCGAACCGTCGTCTCAGACATGCGTTCCGCACATTTCTGGTATCTTACCTCCTTCTGGACTGTTTGAAAGCGGTCATGATGCGAGACCCCTTCTTTCGAGGATCGGCCATTACATATTCACCACCGTTTCCACTCTCCTATTTCGAGCAATTTCCTATTCTTATTCGTTTCTACCATGTTTTTATCAGCGCTATGGGCGTTTATGTTGCCTTGAACTTTGTAACCTCATTGAGCCCCATTGTTTTCCTTGGGCTGTCTCTTGCTTTCCCCAACGCATCCAGAAAACTGGCGGCATCTCCCCTTGATGCATCTTGGCTATATGCAGACTCCTTTGGGCCATTTCTTGAGCCTCTTCTAGACCACGGACTCGCTGGCTGCTGGGGACGTTGGTGGCACCAGCTCTTCCGCCACGGTTTCACAATGACCGCTGGATGGATTTTGTCACTTCTTCCAACTAATTTGGCACAGAATGTGCAGCTAAAACGCATCATTCATATCGTCGTTTCGTTCTCGCTTAGTGGTTTCATACATGCCTGTGGCAGCTATACCCAGTTCACTGCTACCCGTCCCTTCTCCGGGCCATTCCTGTTCTTTTTTATGCAAAGCGTCGGAGTCATTGGGGAATATATTTTCAAGACGGTGGTTTTTCCGAAGCTCTCGCTTCCTACACCCCCGAAAAATCTTCGGAGGGCTGGAAATGCAATTTTTGTTTTATCCTGGTTGTTGTTTTCAGGAGCCCGCATAGCAGACGACTTTGCCAGGGGTGGATTGTGGTTAATAGAGCCCATTCCACTGAGCCCACTTCGTGGATTGGGACTTGCCAAAGGCTCGGGCTGGTGGTGCTGGGAAGGGGCGTGGTTTCGTTACTGGAGCGATGGTACATATTGGGGCAGTGGAATTCGAGTGCTATAAAGGTCCTAGACAATATATATTCGGGCTTTTCGGTCTATTCAAGTTTTGATCAAACTCCAGGTCTATAAGAAACGTGTTCAAGGTTCAAGGAAACATCATAAACGGGGCCTTGGAGGTACATCGTCCAAAAATATTTTCGCAGAGAGATATATACATTTACAGATTACTTAGCCTTCCATGGCGACATCGTCGTCTTCATCTTCATCTGTATCGGAGTCCATGTTCAAGGTGGGTAGCTCACCATCACTCTCATCGTCAGCCGGATCCGCAGCAGACTGTGAGGTTGTTGAAACGGTTGAGACCTGGGTCTTGAACTGAGGCTGCTCATGCGAAGAAGTAGACACTTGGGTAACGGTAACGGGCTGCGTCTGTCCAGAAGGCGATTCGGCGGAGTCAGCGGTGACAGTTGTCTCAAATCGCGCCTTTTTAGCCTGCACTGGTTGCTTCTCAGATTCCACAGCGAATCCAGTCGATTGGAGGGTTGATTCCTCGGCATATGTGCGTTTGTGCACTGATGGGACTGCTGGTGTCGGCTCAGGTTTGGGAGCCTCAACGCGGGGAGCCTTCAGAAACTCGGAGGTTGAAGGCGTGGCATCAAAGGTTTCAGTGTCCATCTCCTCGGCTTCCTCGTCTTCTTCATTCTCAGCGTATGCATCAAGTTCCAGCGCAGTCATCAGGACTGGCATTCTGGGGCGCACCAGAGCCTCGACCTCCATTTGATCGGAATAGCTGCGAACCAAGAACGGCATGAGGCTAGCGCCAGCCCCGCGACCCTTGGCGGCTGGGATTGGGTTGAGAACGCTGGCAAGCATCGCGTCCTTATCCGCAGTCAAGATGATCGTACGGTCAATCTCAGCCCGAAGTGACGCCGCAAGAAGCTCGGACGGAACGGACGCAAGGGCGGCCTGGAGCAGATTAGAGGCAGTCTTTTCGATCTTCGACAAGCTGGAACCAGGAGAAACTTGAAGGGTAATAAGGTTGGGGTTCAGGAAAGAGTCGGCATTTGTCGTTCCTGGGCCAGCCTTCGACTTCGATTTGGAATCAGATTGGGACTTGGCTTGCGAGCCAGATTCCCCAGATGTGGGGAGAAGGTCATGGCAGCAGGAGCGCAGAACATTGGCAATGGAAGATACGCTCTGCTTCGGCATGGCAGGCCCGTTCACAGACACCAAGGACTGGAGCAAGTCATAAGTAGTTGAGCGAACATCCTTGCTAAACCTTTCGTGTCGGAAGACCCAATTGGCTTGCTCCAACATAGACTGCGTGATAGAAGTAGTGCTAGTCTCGAGAACGTTAACAACCTGTGCAAGCAGCTCCATGGCACCAATATGGATGCGAGGCAGCTCGGCCCAGAGTTGTTCTCGCTCCTCCCGGCTAATCTCGGGGTTGGCCTGCGCGCCATTGGAGGATTGACCGTTTGCCGGAACAATCACCGAAGTTAGTCTCGATGTCAAATCGAGAATTGAGCCCAAGGGGAGAGCCACACTAGATGTGGATGGCATGGAGATAAATCCAGAGAGAATTCTCAGAAGTGTGATGATCCTGTCAGTTCCAGTGTGAATGCCCTTCCAACTCGGCAATCCAAGAGCATCAGGACGATCGTTGCCGGCCTCTTTGCTATAGTTCTGTTTTGTTGGAACCAAGGACCCGTCTACAGACTCCCATTGTTCCACCACGGCGCGGAAAACGTGATCCACTGCGTTGTGGATCGACACAACTGTGGAGCGGCAGTCATTGCTCCAGCCAGAGCTAGATTTATCCTTGGGTGCGCATTTATAGAGCGAAGCAAACAGCTGCTCTGCGACGTCAACCACTGGCTCTGGGTAATACGCAGGCGAGGAGGCACCAAGGATCTCCGTGAGGAGGGTGCGAAGCTGGGTACCGAAGGGACGGAAAATAGTCGGGTGACGAGGAACCAATTCCAAGATCGCATGGAGAACAATTTCCAAAAAGGGTGTGTTGGGCTTGGGTTTCCGGCTCGATCCAGAGGGCAGTTTCACAATTGTTGAGACGAGGTTCAAGGCAGCAGTAACAAACGCTGGCAGGTGAGGGGTTGTAATCTCTCGAACAAGAGTCGGATACTGGTAGGTGAGGTGGAAGATGCGAGTCAACGTAATGATGCACATCTTTCTCGTGGAGATCGGATCTGGTTTCTAAAAAGAAAAGGAAAAGATAGGAATTAGCCAATTGAACCAGCAATAGTCGAGATCGCATATCATGTTATTACATACTGCCAGAATGCCAATCAAGCCACGAACAATGGGCTCATATCCTCGCAGGATTTCCCATTGTCCCGCTTCAACAGTTGCCTTCACCAAGACCACCGCGGTCCATCGGCCCTCGACAGTGCGATCCTGCAGCAGACTTGCCAGGCGGGTCTTCAATTTGTGAATTTGGACAGCATTATCGGAATCGGATTTGCCAGGCTTTTGATTTTGGGGGGGCAGACAGCAGTTCTGCGCAATCACCCAGAGAAGTCGCAAGAAACGAGGCTATAGAGGGCAATTGGTCGACAGGGGTGGCGGTCAGGCGGTGCGTAATGGCACGCAAAGTAGTGGAGGTCATTGCACTGGGCAGCTGTGAAATCACAGCGACAGTGACTGTATAGGAAGGCGAAGTGCAAGTGTCAGCGCAAATGTCACAAGTGAAATGCTTATCGGCAACTTTTTTTTCCTGACGGCTCGAGGCTTGGCAAAAAGAGTAAAGCTTGGGCCACATGAAGCCTCGGTAAATTACCGTCACGGGAATACGGGCAGCCACTTCACAGGGCTGTGGCACCTTGTACTCTGTACTGTACTGTGGACTGTGCCACCCCTGGGCGATCATTCATTCTCGGGGCCTGACGACGCCGCGCTGCTTGCTCCGCGCATGGCCCTTCTACCTTCTACATCTCTCCTCCGTGCATTCTTAGCAAGTCCTCCTGATATTGAACCATGGCGGTAAGTTGTGATGTCCCCCATGAACCTCGTTTATTCTGATTGAATTAAATGTCAATTCTGATCGAGCTATACTAACATGTGCGTCTAGGGAGGTAATGCCGAGAAGGGGCAACGCTACATCGCGTCCTTGGACCAGGCGCGGGCCCAAGGTAGATGGGAAGAAGTGCCCGAATTGATTCGAAAGGTCACCAAGCACGCTCCGCAACGAACCTGTACGTCTACGTTTGACTAGTGTACGCTCACTAGCGGGGAAAAGCTGACAACGTTATCCCCCCAAAGGTGTGATCCAAACCGCAACAGCAGAGACTCGAGTGGTCGCATTTCTTCAGCAGCGAACGACAACCGAGTCTACGTCGACACCACATCTTCCCGAGTTGATCCCGGCCCTGTTGACGACTATCGAGAACAACGACGGAAATCTGCAAGAGCTACTGCAGGCGCAAGTCTGCTTGGGTTGGATCCATTGGACTCTCAATGAGCCGAGTCTGGCAGCTGCTCGCCTTCCAAGGGACTTCAACGCGACAATCGATACTTTGACAAGTGATGGCCAGGGTCTCTCACCGTGGACCGAGGTCTGTCTGGTTAAAGGATGCTATCTGAAGGGTACGGTGTGATTTCATTGCTTATAGCCCATTTCAACTGGCTAATATAATTACAGGTTCTGCGCAATCGGCAGTGGCCGAAATCGATGAGATCTTGGAGACCTTTGCCTCACTGGCAGTATGGCTCGAGAAGGGCCAGCTTGCCTCTACCTCCAACCAACAATTCCTCAGCTGGTCCGAAACTATGCTAGGAAGAGGCGCCTTGATTGCCACCGAAACAGCCACATGCCCTTACTCGGATCCCAGACATGTGGAGATTGCGCTTCGGCTCTTTAGGCTGTGGTCTGCCCTGCCCGCAGTGAAGCAGGGAGCTGCGCCCAACAAGGCTGCATTTGCCGACAATTCGGTTACGCTTTCACGCCCAGCAATTTGGAAATCCTACTACGGACTCCTCACAACTGTTCTTCAAAATGACCTGATCTATATCCCGCCCGTCGATGGTATTCCCGAGCGCCCGCAGCTTGCAAGCGAACTTCGTCGCATCGAATCGATCTGTGAAAACAACCTTCTACGGGAAGTCAAATTCCCTACCGCCCAATCCAATAACTCCCAGGTTGAGGAGTGGGTGGAACAGGTTATTAGCAACTGGGAGGTGCTCTGTGGACCGCACTGGCAGGATCAGGACCTCGGCGAAGGGGGCCAGAATGCCGTGGGCCGGAATGTTTTGGATGTAAGCAGAAATGATTGACATTCCTCGGGCGACTACTGACAAACTCTATCCAGATCCTTTACCGCGCAGCAACGAAAACATATCACTCGCATTTGATTTTGCGACGCTTGTTTCATGTTCATTCGGCATTGGCTGACTTTGATCTCGCTATCAAATCATTGGAATCTTATATTGAGATTGTCACTGCTGCCAAGGAAAGAGCTGCCAAGGCGGCCGAGTCGGGCGAACTGGAGAAAGATGAAGTACTTCTGCAAACTCTCTCCGAAGGTGTCTCATTGTTAAGCTGCTTGGGTTCTTTGGAGGAGGCAGAGAAGGCCAAAGATTTGACGGAGTTGATCAAAGAATTCCTCGACAAACAAGAAACGACCCTGGAAAACGGCACGGTCAATAACAGCGTGCTCGTACCTGGCGACGCAAGCCCCGCTAACTCCTCTGATATACCACAATCTGTGCTTGCTTTGGCCCATAGAGCAGTTGGAATTGGACTCGCGAACTGGGCCAATTATACTCCCCAAAATGAATCTCGAGATCTCATTCGTGGTGAAGCAATTGATTATCTGGAGAAGAGTGTGTCCCCAGAGTTGGGCAATCAGTTGAGCTATGCCTCTCTCTACACATTATCACTGGTCCTTGCGGAAAATCGAGACCTGGATGCTGCAATCAGCTATGTCAAATCGGCCTTGAGTTCTCATGGCTCACCGAGCTCCGAGGATCTGTCGCATGAACGTGATCTTGTGCCTCTTTGGCATTTGCTTGCGCTCTTGCTTAGTGCCAAGCAGGAATTTGAAATCGCCGAGCGTTCTTGCGAAGCTGCCTTTGAGCAATTCCCATCGGACATTTTCCCCAAGAGCAGCCGTGATCGGCGCTCCTCGAGACAAACCCACTGCAAGGACCACGGTTTTACTGGCCCTAAGCGCTCAGTTCTCAGTCGCTTGTCTGGACGAGAGAAGGAACGCATAATTCAAACACGAATCTCGCAGCTCGCTTTCGTCGAGCTCATTGAGGGCCCCGAGGCTGCTGTCAACCAAACTGAGCAATTACTGAGTTTGTTCAGTACATTGTTTAGTGACCTGAACCTTGATAACGGGGAGTCGAAGTCGAAGTCGGAGCATTTGGTACCCCCCAAGAGCTCTGCAGGCACAACTAAGAGCTTTCGCAGCAGCATCTTCAGTCGAAACAGATCATCTCAGCTGCCGGACCGCCGAGGTGATCAAATGAGCGATGCACCTGCAGTGCCGCCGATTCCCAATGGGCCTAGCACTCCCACTGGGGCACCTGCCATCCACGTCACTGACGAAGATACGAACAGTCAACAAGAGCATCAGTCAGCCCTCTCACGGTCTGACTCTAAGAAGCTGAGAAAACGAAGTGGCAGTCTCCACAGTAAACACGAGAGGCCTCGTGATCAAGAACCGCCATTGCCAAATGGAGCAGAAACCCCCGAGATGGTTGGCATTGCGGTATCTGGCAATGCGTCGCCTGTTTCACAAGCGCCCCCCCCGAGTGGAGGCAAGCAGCCACTGCAGCCTATAGCGCATAACATTCATCATAAACAACAACCAGCTCCAGCTGGCCACGAGCGTCAACCCCCCCGTGCAAGATATTCGTTTACCGGGCTCTCATCAATTCAACTCTCCGACAAATGCAGTCACCAAGTTCTCTACCCCACAGTCCAATAAGCATGCCCTCGGCCTGCTTGTCAAGATCTGGCTCATAATTGCGGGCCTGTATCGCCGAGCGTCCTTGTTCGATGATGCTCGCGAAGCCTGCGAGGAAGCTGCTAAGCAAACCGCTCGAGTTGAAGTCATCGCCTCTACTCACGAATCCTCAGCCCGTTCCCTCGGCAAACGTGGCTGGTGTAATGCCAATAGCTCGGAGGAGCTCTGGGCCGATGTCTACGCTGAGCAAGGTCTTTTGGCCCAGGCTCAATCAAAGTCTCACCAGGCTATCAAGCAATTCGAGAGCGCCCTCCTGCGGTCCCCGGATCACCCGACAGCGACTATTTCCCTCGCAAATCTTCTTCTAGATGTGTGGGACCAGACACTGCCCCTTGAACCTACAAATGCCGACATCAATCTCGAAGCCTCGCGCCTTTCACTCTTATCCGAGCTTTCCCAACCAAAGTCTGCCCGGGCCGTGTCGACCGAGGAGATGAAGGTCGCCGAGAGCGCACAAAGCTCAGAGCCCAGTGAGGCCCCCATGTCGGCCCACGATGTCGACCCCAAGCACCTACATCGACTTGCTGCCCGAGACCGCGCATATGGTCTTCTATCTGCGCTGACCAAACTTGGAAGCTCTTGGGACAACTCCGATGCATGGTACGCACTCTCGCGAGCCTACGAGGCCGGCGAGCAAACCGAGAAACTCAAGGAAGTTCTCTGGTGGTGCATTGAGCTTGAGGATCGCCGACCAATCCGTCATTGGTCGAACATTGGATCTGGACTCTATGTTCTTTGAATTGGTCAAGGAACCGAAAAATGCGTGCTGCTCCTATATATTCTTGTATCTATTTGAATCTCCCCCACCCCTCCTGCTGGTTTCTCGTTTTTCTCCCTTTTACTTTCAACATTTGAGATACCATGCCAATAGCAACCAATTAGTTAGGACCTAATAGCATGGCTAGGCAGACTTGGTTGCCAGCGATTTCAGAAATGGAACAATACTATTCAAAGTTTTTGAAGACTTTCTCTTTCAAATCCACTAGTCGCACAACTTTATATACATTCCTCGATGCGGTACCCATGGTAGGGTTCTAAGGATCCAAAAAAAAAGAGTAAAAAAGGAAATAGAAAACGGAGCCGAGTCAAAGTAACTAAAGATAGATTCATTTTCCTGGCCCATAAATCATTGATTTACCGCGGAGCAGCAACGGGGGCCCAGGCAGAGTACTTGGGGCGGGTACTGTAGGTTAAAAGTTAGCAGATATACGACAAAAACAAACACCAAACCATCGTTCACACTCACGTCGAATAGGTCTTGAAGGCAGCACGGCTCAAAGTCAGGTTGGGACGGTGCTCGGGGATCTCCCAGGTGCGGTGACCGGGCTGCAGGAGCTTGTCGGCAGTCGGGGGAGCATCAACCATGTAGGAGATCCAGGCGTGCCTGCAATCCATGTTAGCCTCTTATTGCAGCTATGCACACACAGAGCGTATGCGTCTCATCGGATAATGCTTACCAGCCGGGCTCGACCTGGCAGGGCATGAACTCGTGCTCCTTATAATCGACCCATCGTGTGCGGACTATGCGGGGACAAATTGTTTAGTGATTCGCTCGCAACCGACAATTCCTCGTTCCTTCTCATCCGGCGATTGTCTTACGGGGAAGCTCCTCGGTCATGTTCTCGTAGTACTTGTTGCCGAAACGGTCGGTTCCGATGAGAGTACCGGCCTTGGTATCACCTATGAGAGCGCGCGAATTAGTCAACCACTCCAAGCAAGCAAGACACTGCGCGGGAACACCATACCAATGTACTGTAAAAATCAAACAGAATTCCCGGTTAGTATTTGATCCATGATATCCAGCCCTTGTCTCGACTCCCGCGGCGTCCAATCATACCATCATCTGGTTGAAATAATCCTGTAGCAGTCTGTTAGCATTGCGGGTTCACGCGCAAGAAAATAGCGGGCAGCAAACCTTCAGGCCAACCCGGCGTAGGTTGCGCAAGGTACGAGTGACGGTCGACATTGTGAGGGGTGCAATGGAGGGAGAAAGTGGTCCAGTCGCTCCAGCGAGTGTCCGGCGTTGAGGAAAGCGAGGATGCCCACGGCAACGCTCACACCGCCCTGGGTTTCTGCCGGCTTTGGTTGGTCACAAATTACAATACAGCTATTCAAAATGTTTAAATGTGTTATCGAAGTACTAATCTACTGGTTAATGATGGATATTTCTGCAGCTCTCCCCTACAGAATCAACTCCATAACCTTGTCCATATCAAGACCTCCGAAAGTAACCAGGACATTGTACCAGCCTCGTTGGTACACCCGTATTTCCCAGGTCACGTGCTGATACGGGACCGTGGGTCTCAGCGATGAATGGTTTCTTTGGTTTGGGCCCTGGAAGCTGTTCGGACTTTGGGAACTTTAGCAAAGTACACAGATGTTCGGTCGTATAGGAGGCCAGGCGATTCGGTGCGCAGTTCGACGTCCAGTCGCTCGCCGCAAGGTCTGCGATCGCAGGTTTTCCGCCCATACAACCTCCAATGCTGCCCCTGCCGCAATCCCGTCGCCTCTCGGCAGTATCACTGTCGAGCTCGATCGCATTGCGCCTCGATTCGAGATCCCAGCCTCGCAGGTCACCATTTTGGACTCGCCAGCTAGCTTCTACTCGACGTTAAAGGTATGCCTCGCAGAAATTGCCCTGATACTTACTCACCATCCGGCCATTGTTAACAAAATTGTTTCGTCTGCAGTCAAAAATCCTCAACGCACGCCGCCGTGTTTATCTCTCGACCCTTTATATCGGCAAGACCGAGCACGAGCTCATTGAGACCTTATCACAAGCCCTACTCAACAACCCAGACCTCAAAGTATCGATCCTCACTGATGCTTTGCGTGGCACCCGAGAAACCCCCAATCCGTCCAGCGCTTCATTGTTATGCTCTCTAGTTGAAGAATACGGCCCGGAGCGAGTTGATATTCGTATGTTCCACACCCCCAACCTCACAGGATTGCGGAAGAAATGGATCCCCCGTCGAATCAATGAGGGTTGGGGTTTGCAACACATGAAGCTTTATGGGATTGACGATGAGATCATCCTTTCGGGGTATGTATGCCTTCGACACTTGAGAGGGTTGGTTCCGTTGGACTAACGAATTACCCTAGAGCGAATCTTTCTTCGGACTACTTCACAAATCGTCTCGACCGTTACCACGTATTTAGCTCCAAGGAGTTGACCGAATACTATGCGCGCATTCACCATGCGGTCTGCAGTCTGAGTTTCCAGGTCCTACCGGATCCCCATAACAAGGCAGGGTATCTACTGGATTGGCCTACTGCCAACGGGGCACCTTCGCCTCTTGATAGCCCCCAGGACTTTATCAGCTACTCGTCCACCGTCTTGAACCCGCTCATACAGGCATACGACAACAAGCCCGTTCTTCCGTCCACGTCAAGCCAAACTTTCGTATACCCCGTCGCCCAATTCACTCCTCTCTTGAAGCCCGACAGTTCTACAGAATTCCCAGCTGTCAGTGGTATCTTGCGCTTGCTGTCCCAATCACCAGCATTCACCGGAGCTCGCTGGCTCTTCACCGCAGGATATTTCAACATCCACCCTGTCCTTTCTTCCCTCCTGATCTCCGGCACTTCTACATCCCCTCAAGCTCCGTCCTCTACACAGGGTACAGTCTTGACTGCATCCCCCTGGGCCAATGGTTTCTACGGGTCCTCGGGTATCTCAGGTATGCTCCCAGCAGCCTACACGCATCTCTCGGCCCGATTCCTCGACAGGGTCGCTGCTGCCCAAGCCACAAATTCCATCCAACTCAAGGAATGGAGACGTGGAACCGTCGGCACGCCGGGTGGCTGGACTTACCATGCCAAGGGTCTTTGGATTACTTTGCCTGGTGAGGAGAATCCTAGCCTGACCTTTGTTGGAAGTAGCAACTACACAAAGCGCAGCTACAGTCTCGATATTGAGGCTGGCGCATTGGTTGTTACAAATGACCAACAGCTGAAGCAGAAACTAGGCGAGGAAACTAAGTGGCTGCAGGAGGACGCTACCCCGGTCTCCAGGGAAGACCTGATGCGTACAGAGCGACGAGTCGGATGGAATGTGCGACTGGCAATGTGGATTGTCGAGAAAGTCGGCGGAGCTTTGTAAATTGTATCCTGGTATCATTTTTGTATATTAGATTTCATCTGGGGTGATTTCTTTCCCCCGCTTGTACTTATAGATTCGGCCACCAGGCCATTGAAACATACCGTAATGAATTACCATCGAAATACTATTAGTCACAATCTACCCTCGAGAATCTTCATCCGTGCCTCACAATAGTAAATTTTGCAATCAAATCCACATCATACATCCCAGCAGGTCAACTATTAGCTCTGGAGAACATACTACTTCATCATGTCTGATTCTGCCTCGATTGCATCAACCCTGGCTCAAAAAAAGTGGTTCGGCTTCGACCTCGATGACACCTTGCACGAATTCCGCAAGGCCTCCGCGCAAGCTTCACAGAGCGTTTTCGAAGTAATTCACTCTCATACCGACGTCAACATCGAATCTCTCCAATCAAGCTACAGAGATATTCTGCAAAGCGCAACAGCAGATGCCTTTACCGACGGACGTACTTCCACGGATTACCGCCGCGACAGATTTACCCGTCTGCTGCAAGCTCACGGAATCAATGAGCTTGGTCAAGAGGATCATTACATAGCGCATCTATTGGGTGTCTACAAGTCCTCTCTGCGCTCTAGCTTAACGCTCAAAGTGGACGCCCTTTCTTTCCTCCAGGCTCTGAAGCAGAAGGGTAAGAAGATCATCGTGGTGACCGAGGGTCCTACTGATGCCCAGGAATGGACGATTCGGGAATTAGGATTGGAGCCCTACGTTGATGTTTTGGTTACTACGAATGAGGCAGGTTGTTCGAAAGTGGATGGGCTGTTTGGCGTGATGCTTCACAAGTTTGAAATTCACCCGGAGGATCTCATTTACTTCGGGGACAATACAATTCGTGATATACAAGCATCACAGAAAGAGGGGATTCTTGCCGTACTTTATGATGAAGAGCAAGAAAGCCAGCTCGTTGACTTTCACGCCTTGCGTATTAATTCGTGGGAAGCCCTGAAAGTTATACTCGATCAGGAATAAAGATATGAATGTCATCAAGACAGAACTTTTGATCTACCAGGTATATCAGGCCTAAATATGCATAGAAAATATCTTCAAATAGAAGTTTAAAAAAAACCAAACGCCTTTTTTTCATGAGAGGGAGTTCCATTCAAAGTCGTATCATCGCGGTTCGGCGTGGATCCATTTAGGCCGGCCCAGGGACCTTGGCAGCCTCTTTAAACCGAGCGGGTCCAAGGCCAGAGCGAACCTCATCCAGCATGCGAATTCCAATGGCCTCGTTTCCGTTGCGACCGCGCTTGTTCTTGGCTCCCCTTCGCTTGGCCTGGGCACTAGTGTTGTTATCCCAGCCGGCTAAGAAGTCATCCATGACATTGTGGAAATCACTGCGCGAGACACCAGCTCCCTCGGCATCAATGAGACTAGGCGCTTGAGAGGATGCAGTAGACATTCCAGTCATGCCAGTGGCACCGGTCATGCCGCTAACCATGGACATGCTGTCGTCGTATTCCTCATCTTCTTCGTCAAGGGAGTACAGGGCCTCAACCTTGTCGAACCGGTCGTCCAGAAGGCGATGTCCCTCGGTACGCGCCAACGCGGACGAAGTCATAGAGTAAGCGGAGGGGTTGGTCAGGGCACCCTTGCGCTTCTTACGGCGGATGGGAGTTCCACCAACTGTGAAAGCGGTGGATGCGGTCGTCTGCTGCTCAGAGGGAGCGATTGTAGGAGGAGCGGGGGCAGCAGCCTTGCCAGACTTCGCCTCTTTCTTGAACTTGGCGAACTCGTTCATCCATCCTTGATCCTGCGGGTGGAGGTCTGGAGCGGGGCGGTCATGTTCAGGCATTTCGCCGGGCTCAAGGTCCTCAACGGGGTCAACATCTTCAGTACTGTCCACCTGCACTGGCGCCTTTTCTGTCGCATCTGACTCCCAGCCATCATCCTCCTCGTCGTGGTCAAAAAGCGTATCCTCCCAGTCTCCTTTATCCATCTCCTCATCACCACCCTTAGTCAATTCGCCGAAAATATCATCATCCTCATCATCGACGAATGCCTCATCTTCCAGGGCCTCCAGGGCCTCTCGTAGACGCGGGTCCATATCGGGCTGGAATCCAGCAATGGCATCTGGAACAGCTTGCTGATCTTGATATGTCGGCTTTCGCACGTAGGATGTCGCAGTTGAACGCATATCGCCGAACTCGGACCCCGCAACACTTGGCCCATCGTTCAAGGAAGCCTGCGCCAACGCATCCTCCAATCTCATGCCCTTGATCTTGCCCTTGCCCTTTTCAGGCTTGGCCTCCACGAAGTGTGCATCACCGGCACCAGTGCCCAGTTCGCGCAAATGCTGCATGTAATCATACCGAGAGTCGTCAAAGTAGACGCCATAGTTGGCGGCCTCTCCCTCGTTGCGACGGATGGCATCTTCGGTGAATTCGGACTTTAGTTCGGAGAGGTTACGGGAGGGCTTTTGAGATGCTGTCGAGGCCGATGAAGGGGCCGGCGTAGGGCCAGAGACGTGGTGGAGGACTCGATCATCCGCTTGGGGGTCGTGGATCAATGGATCCAGTTGGGAACGGTGGAAGAGCTGGAATGTGCTCGCATTTTTCTTGTCGCTAGATGTTGGTTAGCACAAAATCTTCAAGCGCGCATGGCTTCATAACACATACATCCACTGGCGGGGCGGCATATTGGCGATGTTGGACTTGGGGATTTTTTTCCCTGGACGAACGAAAAAAGTGGGATAGATACCCTGTCACGTGGGGCTTATCTGCCTGAACCCCTCGGGTCCTCAAATGGTGGCGACCTGACAGAAATGAGATTTCCACAGATTTACCACAAAAAAAGATAATCAAAAATATGTAAGTATAGAACTTGGACCCTATGATCAATATTCAAAAACCAAAAAATTGAAATTCCTAGTGTAAACATCACTTTAGACGAATAATCAAGATCAGTACCATGACCGATTAGTCAGCGTTATCTTATCCGCCTAAATCTTTTTTGAATTATTCAGGCGGGGTTATATTCCAAATCTTGGACTTCCACCACTTTTTTTTATTCAGAGCTGCACCATATACTTCATCCACCATGGTGCTCGCAAAGTCCAAGAACTCCGTCGGGCTGGGCAACAGTCTTATGAACGATCGTTTCGGCAAAGGCAAAGCATCCAGGGAGAAAAAGGCCTCGCACAACGGCGCCATCGCGCGTAAGGGTATCAACGGCGAAACCTATATTACCAATGCCTCCGAAGATGCCTCCTGGGTGAAGATGCGCTCTATCACTGAGCAGGCCGCCCTCGATGAGTTTCTTAGCACCGCCGAACTGGCAGGTACCGATTTCACCGCCGAAAAAATGAGCAACGTCAAGATCATCCACTCCGACCAGAAGAACCCTTACCTCCTGTCTGCCTCCGAAGAGAGGACGATTGCAAAGAAGCACAAAGAGAACAAGGCGCGCTTGACGGTCCCCCGACGACCCAAGTGGGATAAGACAACCACCCCGGCGCAGTTGGAAATGGCGGAGCGTGAGAGTCTGTTGACTTGGCGACGTGGATTAGCGGAAATGCAGGAGAACCAGGATCTGCTGATGACCCCCTTCGAGCGAAACTTGGAGGTTTGGCGTCAACTGTGGCGTGTTATTGAGCGTTCGAATCTTATCGTGCAGATTGTCGATGCGCGAAACCCGCTCCAGTTCCGCTCGGAGGATCTGGAGAACTACGTGAAGGAGATTGACCCCCGCAAGATGAACTTGCTGTTGGTCAACAAGGCCGATATGCTGACCCTTAAGCAACGAGAGGCCTGGGCCGAGTATTTTGAGGAACACAACATCAATTTCCGTTTCTTCTCTGCGCATCTCGCCAAGGAGAAGATGGAGGCTCAGCTGTTGGAGGAAGAGGCAGGCAAGTCCGACAGTGAAGAGGAGGATCTTGCCGAGTCCACAAAGAAGATGAACGTTGAAGACGAGGCCGATGAGGAGGCTTCTGATGAGGCTGATGAGGCTGATGAGGCTGATGAGCAGGCGAAGGAGAAGGAGGAGACTGCCGCTAAACTGGCTGACCCCGAGCAGTCCCTCGGTGCCCACATCCTAGACGTGGAAGAACTGGAAGAACTTTTCCTCGCCCACATCCCTGAGACGCTTCCTCAAAGCCAGGATCCTTCGGAGGACTCGAAACAGAAAACCACTATTGGTCTGGTTGGTTACCCCAACGTGGGTAAGTCCAGTACCATCAACGCTCTGCTTGGTGCCAAGAAGGTGTCTGTTTCCGCCACCCCCGGTAAGACCAAGCACTTCCAGACTCTGTACCTGTCCCCAGAGATCATGCTGTGCGATTGCCCCGGTCTGGTCTTCCCCAACTTCGCCTCCACCAAGGCCGACCTCGTGGTCAACGGTGTCCTGCCAATCGACCAGCAGCGCGAGTTCACCGGCCCCGCCGGCCTCGTTGCCAAACGTGTACCGAAGTCTTTTATCGAGCAAGTTTATGGTGTTAAGATCAGGACTCGTCCCGTCGAGGAGGGAGGCACTGGCATTCCCACTGCTAGTGATATCCTTCGTTCCTATGCCCGCGCCCGTGGTTTCTCGACACAGGGTCTGGGTCAACCCGATGAATCCCGTGCTGCCCGTTACGTCCTCAAGGACTACGTCAGTGGAAAACTTCTCTTCGTGCACCCTCCTCCTCGGCCCGAGAACGAAGAGCCCATCGACCCTAACCTATTCAACCAAGAGCTTTACGATGTTGCCCATCTCCCAGAGAAACGTCAAGCCATGCTCGCAGGTTCGGTCGTGGACCTTGATGCCGATGTTGACTCCGACATCTCCGCACTTGTTGCCGGTAAAAATGAATTTGGTGCACGCTCCCGCAATATTGACACCGGTTTCTTCGGCTCTGCCACTGGACCCTCGGCCGGCCGCCTAAACGTGCCTTTCAACCACAAGTATACCAACCAAGGCCAGGAAATGCGCACGAACGTCACGGGCCGCAAGGAGCGCATGATGATTGCGCTGGAGCGCGGTATAGATGTTTCGGAGGTTCGCAGTTCCGGCTCAAAGAAGCATAACAAGGCCAACAAGAAAAGGGCCAAGCATGTGCGCAATAACCCTGTCGACGAAGATTACAACTAAAAAGTTTTGCTTTCTTTTTTACCCTTTCGTTGCTCTTTTCACGATGGACATATGAACCCTCTTCTTTCACGTTTTGATATCAGCTATATGCTCATGTTTTCTTTCTCTTCTCCATGGCACAAAGGCATTGTGACGCTTTGGCAGGGGATTGGAGATACGAATCTCTCAAGTCATGTTCATTTTTGAAACTACTCTAGACATTTGCAGGCGTTTGGGGGTCCGTTTAGTACGAGTCAAATCTACTTATATATGACCAATTATCATGATGGTAAAAGTAAAAGTAAAAGTAAAGAGAAGCGGACGAAACTTCAAACGTAGAACTTGACTTTCATAATTGGATTTCATACTTTGTACTAAATACCCCGCATTGAGCAAGCGGCACTATAATATCACAGGTCTATTTACAGGTGGCTCTTAGCCTTAAAACCAGCAGCCAGTAGCAGACGATCCGACTCCTCACGCTGCCACTTCAACTTAGCAGCAATAGCGTCCTTGCGCGAGCGGTTTTCCCTGCGGCCAAGTTGCTGCAAGTGAACCTCATCGGGACCATCAGCGATCCGCAATGTACGGATACCAGCCCAGAGGTACGCAAGAGGGGTATCCTGGCAAACACCAGCAGCACCGTAGGCCTGAACAGCACGATCAATGATAGTCAGCGCGGTCTGGGGGACCAGAACCTTAGCCTGGGCAATCTCCTTCAAGGCAGCCTTAGCATCACCCTGATCGATCTTGATAGCGGCATTAAGAACAATCAAGCGAGCGGAATCAACCTCGATCCGCGACTTGGCAACCCATTCCAGGATAACACCGTGGGAGGCGAGGGGCTTGCCGAAGGTCTGCTTCCTATCGTCGTTGATACGGTTGATCATCCACTCGAGAGCCTTCTCGGCGGCACCGATGGTGCGCATGGCGTGGTGGATGCGGCCGGGACCCAACCGGCCCTGGATGATCTCGAAACCACGGCCCTCGCCGAGGACCATGGCGGAGAGGGGAACGCGGACGTTCTCAAAAGTGATGTGGCCGTGACCGTGCGGGGCATCGTCGTAGCCGTAGACGTGCAGCATGCGGTTTATAGTCACGCCGCGGGTGCCGGCGGGCACCAGTACGACGGATTGCTGCTTGTAGGTGTCGCTGTTGTTGGGGTCGGTCTTGCCCATGACCAGGTAAATCTGGCATCGGGGGTCACCGGCGCCAGAGGACCACCATTTCTGTAAAGGATCATTCGTCAGAGATGGTTCTATAGGGAATGACGGGAGAGACTGGGGAGGAGAGACTTACGGATCCATTGAGGACATACTCATTACCCTCGCGGCGGATGTCCAATTCAATGTTGGTGGCATCACTGGACGCAACATCGGGCTCGGTCATCAGGAAAGCAGAACGGATCTTGCCCTCCAGCAGGGGAGCCAGCCATTGCTGCTTCTGGGCATCGTTGCCGTACTTGGCCAGCACCTCCATATTACCAGTATCCGGGGCGGCATTGTTGGTGGCCTCAGAAGCAATCTTGCTCTTACCAAGGATCTCGGCCATCAAGCCGTACTCGAGGTTCGAGAAGCCAGCACCTTGCTTGAAATGGGTCTTGGACAGGAACATGTTCCACAGGCCGAGCTTCTTGGCCTTCTCCTTCAGCTGCTCCATGATGACGGGGGTGGTTTGCCATCGCTTCTCGCCTTCGCCCAGCTCGGCGGAGAAGACGGCATCGCCGGGGATACAGTCTTTTTCGACAAATTCCTCGACCTAGTGGAGGGGCCGTGTTAGCTTGAGATCGGATATCGAAGCCCGAAATGACGGGATAGAGAGGGGAAAGAGGGGAAAGTTGAAGTTACCAGGTCGAGGGTCTTCTTAGCCCGTTCGCTAACGAAGGGCTGGGCGATAGGAGGAATACGGGATGAGGCAGACATGATGAGTTGATGGGGGAGTGAAAGAGCTGGTACGAGTAATGGGGCAACGCTGAATATAAGTTGGCTCCTCGAGGATTGCGGAGTAGCGCGGTGTGGAGTAAAGCCGAGCGACGCGGGCATTTTGCCTCGGCCCAACGACCACTTTAGACACTTTGGACACCACACCACCCCATCAATGAGAGACTTCTTCGGCTATGTAAAAAGCGGGCGAGATGAAAGTATGAGCTGCTCATTTGATTCGGTCTGATTAGAAATCTTCCATAATAGCGTAAGTCTCTTGCAAGTCTCTCCCAACTGGCCACTTCCTTAGCCGACCCGCCGACGGGAAGCTCAGTAGGTGACCTCGGGCAGATCTCCAGCCTTAACTTGGGAATACGAAATACGCGATAAAAAAGAAACAAAGAAATGCTACCCCTCAAAACACCCCCAGTCCAGTTCATGCATGTATCACATATCCAATTGCTCCTAAACCAGTCCCGAAGGAACAAATTACCAGAATTCCGTAGCCTGAAACCCCCGAATACACACACAAAGAAAAGAAAGAACGAAAAAAAGATCCAACATAAAACCGATTGAATCACACAAGTGAAGAAAGCAGAAGACATTGCGGGTCATGACAAAAGAAACAACAAACAAAAGAGAAGAGCCACGGTCGCAGAGTCTACTCCTCATCCAATCTATCCCAACCTCCGATATACCACATGGGTGGTGGATCGTTCCATCGAGAACGAGCCAGCGTCACAGAGATGGGAACCCAAAGCATAGGTTAATAGAGTACGAGAAGTTCGGATGAAAGACGGTCGACTATCCGCGACAAAGACTCCATCCCAAAAGGGACTGCCGTCTATTCGACTGTCCGGCTTTGCTCGGCGGATGATTGCTCATAGCTTTTCTTTCCAAGCTTCGCGAACAGTGACTGTGGCTTGCCAGCACTAAAGCAAAACAAAACAAATATTAGCCAGGACTCCTAGGGTTGACATCATCGACAGTTTCGACATACTTCTTGAAACGCTTGCCCTTGATATCGCTCAATTTCTTCGTGCAGGGGCTCATAATGTCGTCTGAGGGTGAAACGTAGGCGGTTGGTTGTCTAGAGACGGCGACATTAGCACACCATCATCAGGCTGATCTGCGATCATTCGTCTCGTCTCGGCTTGGGAAGAACTTACTTCTCGCCACTCTCCAACTTATCCTGCAGCATCTGGCGATGCTGCTCCATTGATGAGAGATCCATGGACTTGAGATCTGTCTTGTCGGCGGTGGCGTTGACATTGGCCAGGTGGGTGTTGGTTGGGCGGTCCGCGAGAGGCTGCGCGTGTGTTGTGGCGTCCATTTTGAATTGCGGAGAGAAGGGATGAGTTGGAAATAAAGGGTCTTGCAGTAATCGTGCTTAAGCTCTGATTTTCACGCGAAGTGCAGATGGCAAGATGAAGATGAAGAGAGATGGGATTCAGTGTGGATCGGATAAGAAGAAAAAACGTGCAGCTTGTTGGTGCAGGTGAGCGATGAAAAATGCGGTTTGATTGTTGGCCTGGCAACGCGGGCCCCGAAGATGGCCAGAGGGGATGACGCACCATTCCTCTGGGTTTTGTTGTTTTGGGGCACTTGGGGCAAATTAGCAAATTACGCTAGCCGTTTTATTTGTTTGCTTTATAATTTGAGTTGGTAGGAGAATTTGATAGAGCATGCTTGAATTTGAATAGTACATGTTTACATCGTACAGTGGGAATCTGATCGTAGTCATCCGAAACATAACACTCGCCAGGGCGAGACATAGGGAAAAGAGACCCTGGAGAATGCAAATGAGAATGAAAAATAAGATAAAACAATAACTCCCAGAAATCGCCAATAGATCATGAGAAGAACCCCAAATGCACGAGAATATGAGTATGCGGCGCTCGGCAAACATTAGAGGGACATGAATGATGTGTGTTGGGCCAGCCAACGTACAGTTTGAAACCCGATATGTATTGGTTGCCCATCATTATTAGCCGCCCCGCCTTCTAATAGGAAACCAGTAGCTACCTAAGATGGGTAGCTAAGATGGGTAGCTACTGGTCCGCGATTAGAAGGCGGAGACGAGAACAGTCAATGGGGTTTCAAACTTTTGCAACGCCACGTATTAGAGCAGGAAACCCCTGGTGTTTCTGTGGGGCCAGGGCCAGGGGCAGTGAAATGAGCTCGAAAGATCACCGAGCCTTATGACGTTAGTGGCGGGTCTTCGTCTGAGGGTGTCGAGGCCTGGACCTCGGACGATAATATCCCGTCATCTTCTGCCCCATTCAGGTCAATATCCGATGTATGGCCGTTCAATACCGGTGGCGTACTATGCGACCGGTAATGTGGGCTTCCGAGTGTAGGTAATGTCATCGAATCGGGAGATCGGGGTTGGTCGCAATCAGCCTTGTCGTCCCCCAACTCCCGTTCCACGTCAGAGGTCGGTGTCGGCGGTATATAGGCAACATTCGGGCTAGCGGGGCTATCCTGGGAGGATGATGTATCTGAAATGTTCCGTTGGTGGCCACCATTCTCTCGGTACGAGGAAGTCGGCCGCGTGGATCCAGGGCTGGCTGAGGGGGATGCATAGATGGGGGATGAGGACCGCAAACTATACGAGCGGGCGACCATCCGCTGGACACGCGGGAACTCCATGTAATTACTCACAGAACCGCGTGAAAACAGAACCAGGGCGAAACAGCACATAACCATTATGCTCTGAATCACGGTGACTCGTTTCTGAAACACAAGCTCGTCGGCTAGAACACCCAGTTGGGCACTGAGCGAATGGACTTCTTGGTGGTAACGAAGGCGCTGGTGTTCGAATTCAAAAGCGACCGACTTCCAAACGTGGTCATATTGTTCACGAAATTCCTTCAGCTCGTTCAGGACAGTGACATTCAAGTTCTCGAGGAAATTGGAGGTCTTTGATAGTTGACGTTTTTCGACCTTATTGAAAGCGTCACGAAGAATCCGAGATTGTTCCTCAATATAGAGTAGTGACAAGGTAGAGTTAGACTCAAGCATTTGCAGTCGCTTGTGGACAGACTTGAAAAAAGATTCTTGGGTGGTCGGGTTCGAAGAGGGCGGTTGTGTTGAGGAAGGTCTGGTGGATTCTGCAGGCGGGTTTTGCTGATCCTCCTTGGGGTTCGTAGTTGATCTTCCTGTGCTTTCGACGGCAGCATCCTGCTGCGCCGGCTCTGCAGCTGCGACTGAAGCATCTGGTGTTATTGTTACCGCTTTGGGAGAGTCACTCGCCTTCCTGGCATCCTCGGCGGCCTTGGGCGGGACAGAGCCTGAATTTGTCGCAGGTGCATTGTCCCCTGGTATGGCGGTAGTGTTCATATTAGACGGAGTGGCCGTCCGTCCCGTGGAAGGTGTGCCTTCTGGGGCTGGTTGCACAGGCGGCTTCTCATGAGGACCGCATCTCCCAACAAAAAGACCCAGCAGGACTGCCTCAATCTCAGTAAGAGGGTTAGGGCATATCTCCGCCTTATTCGGCTGGCGAAGCAGCTCTTCCACTTGGGGCAGAACTTGTTCAGCTTCCGGTGCATCAACATGCTGACTTTCCGGGATTGGCTGCTCGGCCTCGGCCTCAGCTTCAGCTTCAACTTCGGCCTGGCCGTGACTTTCATCATGCTTATACTCTTCCATCATCGTCGTGCCATGAATGCGTATCAAGCTGACGGGGCAGAAGAACTCATGGCCATAATGAGTCAAGAACTCGATGCGAAGGTATCGAGCCCAGATCAACGAATTTTGGACGGCAAATGCCTGCACTTCGCGAGTATTCCGTGCTTCGTAAACTCCTAGCTCTTTCCACTGATCCGGCTTCGCAGGATATCGATCCGAAACACTGACCCGGAAAGTGTGGAAGATCGAACTGAAGAACTCGTAGTTCGCCAGCACCACCGTATCCACCAAAATATCATCGCACAACTCAAGAATCAGGAATTTATTCAGAGCGCGGCATTCATTCAACATGTAACTATCCTTATTCTCAACAAGGATGGCTGATGAGCCCTTCGATTCGGAATTCGTCTTGAGCACCGTAGCCGCACAATCGAAGGATGCATAATTGAACCGCTCTTTGCACGTTACACCCGCGTCCTTTCGCCGCGATATGTCCGTTTGTGCTGTGCCCTGTCCCTGTGCATCATGGTTGACACCTCGCTCCGAATGATCCGCATGTTGCGATGGGATTGGTGTCCCCCAGGCCGTCGGGCTGGCCTCAGGCGTCTCACCGAACCCACCAAAGTCTAGTTCAATTTCCCCATCGTCTCCCAACGAGTCCAAGACGTTATTGATTCCCGGCTGGCGTTGAGTGTCCTTCCCAGCTCCAACGGATCGTCGGTTCCCTCCCACATTATCAGCGGACTGACCAACCTTAGCCAGATTTTGTTTCTTCCAATCTTCGAATGAAAGGAAGCTCGCACTATCAAGCAACGAGTCTGCATCATGTTCCTGCTCTGTATTCGGTGCCACTGCAGCCGCTGTAGACTCCTCGGGTGTTGTAGCAAAATCAGTAGCGGCAGTATCATTTCCTACGATACCGGACGCTGCTAAGTCGGATTGCAATAACTCTCGACCTCGCCCCCAGCGAGTCTCTAGGCATACAGGACCCTGAAAGAGCTCTGCCTCAGCTTCCCAAACACTTTTGGCGGGGCATGTATTTCCTGCCGCCACCGCATCGCCAGGATGTTGAGTAGAGCCCGGAGTAGCCAAGGTCCCCGCTGCCAAAAGCGCTGGTATTATAACGATCGAAGCATGGCATATCCACCCCCGCTTCACAGCTACCATCGTGTCACTCTAGGCGAGAAGAGCTCTGCACAGTGATACGATTAGACCCTATCTTCCCCAGCCACGCGTAATATCCAGTCGGTGGTTTTTATTTCTTCCCAGGGGTTTTTGTTTAATGGTTCGATATGCCGGTGAATGTAGCCCTGTACTTGTGGCTATTTTCGCACCCAGAAAATTTGATTTATGAGAAGCGCATCGTCGAGTTGATAGCGAGACCAATCGCGAGCTTGGACGCTACTCGTATCTTTGGGGGTCAAGTGAGGACGAGAGTTGCGGATGAAGGGGAACTAGGACGGGATCGTGCTAAGGATCGAGTGGGGGCGATATCGGGGCCACTGGCGATATTAAAGAGACGGTGAATAATTTGGAGGTTGGAAAGCAAGCGAAGCGACCGACCTCGGGTGAGAATGCAAGAAGTGGACCTGGTGGCATCTCAACGGTTGGCCCGGGGTCACCGCCTGCCTCACCGCCGGTTGAACTGCGTTGATATACTTCGTACTAGCTATAGCTATCTTGGAAGTTTTACGGGATGATAGTAAGATAAAAGTTGTGAGTGATAATTATGAGTCATGACATATGTGCTATTCGCATTTTCTTCCTAGGTCTTATTTCAAGCTGGTAAAGTCAAGCTCAAGCTTAGATTCAAGCTCAAGCTCCAGGCGAGCGCGATGCAACGCAGGCGCACAAGTGCCGACGCTACTGCAGACCCACCAGGCCGAGACGGCCTTGGGAAAAATGGGGGTTTCAGGAACTCTTTGTTCAAGGTACGAGGTAAAGGAACAATGCAATCTTCACGAAGGGTGTTTCCCATTTGACAAGTCTTGGCTAGTTACAGTACATGATTGGCTTCGGTACGTTTGTCAAACAGAACAACGACCGGATTTCTATCCTCCTTCCAGCACGTCCACCTCATCATTCTCATCCTTGGCCACATATTGCCTTTTTTTTCCCCAGTCGCAGCATTAGTCCGTATGCAATAATAATAAAAAAAGAAATTCCTCCCTAAAACAAATCCTCCCGCCTTCTAGTCTTTTTGGTGCTCGGCGCCTCCGTACACTCTGTCACCCATGACCCAGTATAGTACATGAAGGGGAGAAGAGAAGAACGAAAATCTGGTCGGACCGGTGGGTGATATGGTCGACCGAAACGTAGACACGGGGGGCCTTCGTCGGTTGGGAGAGCAGGAGACACCGGCAAACACACACAAAGCCGAAAACAGAAAGTGATATGAAACGATTGCCGATTAGTTTATCGTTGGTAATTTTTGAACTTTTTTCCTAACTGAATCGAAGAAAACTTGCGCAATAGGACGTATGGGCGACGAGAATAAAAAAAAACAATCATGAGATTGAGAAGGGAACGTATGCATATGATTATGCTACAGGTGGAGGTCATGCCATCCGCCCACGAGATCAAGATCGTCATCGACACTGCTGTCGTAGTGGAGAGGGAACTTGGCGGGAGGAAGAGGAAGCTTAGAAGATTCCATATTGTCACGGCGCCAATCTTTTTCCATGAAAAGTCGACGACGACGGT